GGCAGCGAGCGTCAGCGTGCGGGTTGCGGAGGACGAGACAGGTTCAGAGATGGTCGTATCAACGCAGTTCGTGCTCATTCATCCCTACCAAGTAGCCCCAGCACCGCATCACATGGAACTGCTGAGACCGACCAGGAGGAGGGAGAAGCATCCGTCCCGCCCTCCCCGAACCCTACGTTTCCCTCAGCCATCACCCTCACCTCAAAGCGCCAGACGTTGCGCAGCGTGGCAAGGTTGCCCAGCAGCTTGGTAAACTGATCGCGGCTCAGCGTCAGCACCGACGCCTCCGATTCCGCCTTCACCGTTGCGGACCGCAGCTCGGAGCGCAGCAGCGCCAGCTCGCCGAAGCAGCCGCCCTCGCCCACCCGCGCCAACACCTTGCCGGAATCTGAAGCGGCGGAAGAGGAACAGACGTGAGGGGTGAGGAAGTGACAGGCGGGGGAGGATGAGGAGGAGAAGGAGCGCAAGTTCGGATCAGTGGATCAAATGTCGCGGTGATCCAGCGACGACGGCAGCCATCCACCCACGAACCTCCGTGCCATATACTCCCCAGCCACCCACCATTGAATACCCAACCAACCAGCCATGACCCACCATCGATTACGGCGAAGGATCCTGAGTGCACTATGTAGAACATGTCGCCCACCTCGCCCTTTCGGAACACCACCTCGTCCTTCTGGAAGCTCGCCGTGTCCATGGCGTGTGCCAGCTGCCACAGCTGCCGTTCCGAGAGCGCTGACAAGATGGCCACCTGGTGTGGTGGTGCAGGCGTTTGTTGGAAGTATAGTAAAGACTAGAGAGGCAGAGCCAGAGAGACCCACGGGTCATGCATGGGCGCAGTGACATGCGAAACACCTGAAGATGACGCTTGATGCACAATTCTGGGTCCTTTGCAGCGTCCTTTGCATCTGCTGAGTGAACGGTGCCACTGCCTAGCGATCTAATTACCGGTTGACCGAACTCAAAAGCCCGTGTCACCATGATACGCTCACGCAAGACACACGCTGCAAGCCATCCCACGGCGACTTATCCTCACCTCCTTGAGGTGTTCGAAGCGCCACATCTCCTCCTGACTGCCCAGCAGCTCCTGGAAGGAGGTGGAGCTCAGGCAATAGCACACCAGCCGCCCCTCCGCCTGCAGGCGACAGGGAACGCAAGCGGCAAGGAGGGCAAGTAAGGTACCGCATAGGAAGGGGGGAAGGGGAAGCACAGGGAGCAACTACGACAGGGTTCACGTCAACCATGTACACCCCGCATTGCTCCCTGCGTTCCAAGCCTCGCACCGAACCACGACTGCATGGCACGGCAACCTGAGGGTAGGGCGGCCCGGACACGCCCTGGCACGACCGAACACACCCATCAGCTACAGTACTGGCGCAAGCATCCAACCCACCACCACGTCCGCCGCGCGCGTCTCGCCGCCCATCAGCGCCCGCTCTCCAAAGTACTGCCCCACCCCCAGCCGCGTCAGCACCGCGCCCGTGGGGTCCTTGACCAGCGCTGCACCCTCCTTCACGATGTAGAACTCCGCGCCCGGGTCGCCTTTGCGGAACACGTGGCGGCCCGTCTTGAACTCAACCTGGGAGGGGGGGGGCGGCGGGGTAGCGAGTGAGAGGGGCGGGGATGAGGAGTGGGTGCAAGCCGTGTGTTCACACATGTAGGCGTGTTGCATGGCTATGACGGCCATGGTTGGAAGGGTGCAGGAGGCGGGGTTCCCACCTCTTTCCTCTTCTCACGTGTTCCCACGCACTCTCTTGCGCTCTCACCTGCGTCAAGGCATCCACTAGCAGCGCCTTCTGGTGGCTTGACAGGTTCTTCAACATGGGAACCTGCAGTAACAGCAGCAGCGGCGGCAGCGGCAAGGGCAGCAGTAGCAGCAGAAGCGTCAGTAGCGGCGGAAGAAGAAGCGGCCCAGCGTGGGTAGAAGCCGCCCCAGGGGCATACGCTCAGCGCGCCTTCCCCGTTCCCAGTATCGATGCTCGCACTCGCTCCTCCCCCCTCCCTTGCCGCCACGTCATACCCCACTCACCTGGTCAAGCAGCGTGTGTCGAGCTACGAACTGCTCATGAGTGAAGTTGCGCTTCACGGCATTGTACACGCCACGTTCCATCACCCAGAGCGTGCATCTGCGCAACAGCAGCGGCAGCAGCAGCAGAAAGAGGGGGAAAAGGAGGAGGAGGAAGACCCTTGTAGACATTCTTCTTCTTGGTACGGATCGGCACGGCGGGGACCGATCCGTGTGCCGCCCTCAGGAGAGGTGACGGAAGGATTAAACCTCAGGCAGACGGTACCAACCTACAAAGACACACCACTGCCACAGCTTTCCCAGTCGCGCTGAAAAGCCCGCCCAAAGAAATGAGGCTGCCTCATGCTCCTGCCCTACCATCTTCACCAGCCCGGCTCCCAGCCAATCCAACACAGACCTCACAGCACGCCCCAACGCTCTCCCCGTCACCACCTCGTACCTCGTGGTCGCCTTGACAGTGGCCGCACGGGGCGCCGAATACAGCAGCGCGAGCTCACCAAACGCACTTCCAGCGCTGTAAATGAGGACCTTTTTGGGAGCTGGCGCGGCTGCGGCTCGAACCCACACCTCGCAAACGCCCTGCTCGAGGACGTAGAATTGCGAGGCGTCTTTGTCGCCTTGGCGGATGATGTCGGTACCGGCGGATACGTCGACTGGGTACATGGAATCAATGATGACTTCTAGGGCGGCAGCGGGCATGTCTTGGAAGAGGAGGTTGTCGTGGATTGCATTGGCTGCGAGGGGGGGGAGGAAGGGGTAGGACAGGCGGTGGGGATGCGGAGGACGAGGGGATGCGGTGATGGGAGAGATTGAGATGCGAAAGGATGCGGGGCGAGATGCGGTTGGGAACTATGGGGAGGTGCTTACTTGGACGTGAGGAAAGCCCTAGGCGTGCAATTTCAGGGTCAGGATGGGGAGTAAGGAACATATGCGGATGCCCGCGGGGTTGGGGACATGTGCGTGATGGTATGTCGACGTAATAGGTTATCTTAGGGCTTACAAGTCGACAGTGCTTATATGGCTTTTTTCGGGCTGTAGGCGGCGTATTCAATGGCCTAGCTGCAAACCTAGCTAGCCGACCTTGGTCCTACCAGGGCGTTGGTATATCCAAACACAGCCAAAAGCAATGTAACATACAGATACAATTATTTTGTGGTTGCCAAAGCGTTCCAGTCTGCCAACTCACCAATGAGCTCCTTAGTCTTCTCAGGCTTGGGTACAATCGTCACCTTTGCCGCGACGCTCGACTCGGCAGCAACTGCCTGACGTTTCTTGCCCCAAAGCTTTGGCAAGCTACCATTCCGGTCACGTCCAGCGCTCCAACGCTGTTGGAAGGGAGAGAAGTAATGGGGAATGCAGTGAAAACGGGAGGTGGACGGCCACAGCGAGATGAATGGCATTGGATGAACCCAAGCATATGCATAATTATATTAAGCTTAAAGCGTGCGAGCTGCGTTGTGCACGGTCTCAGCCACAGTATGACGACCATTGCTCGGACGTTTCTATTTGCGAACCGCAGCAAGCCCAAAGCCACGGCGAGCAGCCAAGTTCCCATGTAACCATCACTTACCACGTTCTCTACGTTTCCATTGGCATCGCTGATCTTCACAGTCGCCATCACCTCGTCAACTCCCGACCTGTCCATGAATTCGTTAACCGGGCCTGGCTTGACGCAAGAGTTCATACGCTGGATAAAGCTTTTCATGCTACAGGGCATAGATGGTTAAGTCTAGGCCCGCCCAGCTTTGCGTTGTTCGGGCGACGCTTGAACTGACAACTAACCAACAGGTTTCTCGCTCAGTCACAGCTTAGCTTTGGGTATATATGGACGTGTATTACATATAATCCTGTATCTTTTTCATCACTACTGCGCAAACTAAGCGACTTAAAGAGTAGCGGCTGAAGGGAAACAAGCGGCCGCTTCGTACGAAACCGTAGTGCCGCTCAAAGTGCCGCTCAAAGTTCGTATGCAACGGAATATATTCCAACGTGACAAGTACTATGAGTTCCTAGTGTCACACTCAGCACGGAAACTTCTAGCGAGTTTGAAGCAGAAAACGTCTCGCTCATTAGTTGTGCGACGCGATGGTTAGTTGGTAGCAAGCGAACTCCAGAAGCAATTCCCTAATGAACCAGACCGAGCTGAGCTGCTTGCCTGCCTTCTGTCAGGCGCCAGTGTAAGAAGATGGGCCGTGAAGTTGGACATAATGGTCTGCCGGCCGGCCTGGTTGTACAAAACGTCTGCCAATATGCGTGGCGCATTCTCTTTTGCGCCGCACACTACACAAGTGATACCGTATGCAAAACATGAAAGTAAGTCGTACGATTTGAATGTGTCCAGGAATAGCTTGCCTAAACAGGCACATAGTTAGGATAGTTGACCCGGCATGTTCCATAACACCTCCTCTACCCTCCTTGCTCAAGGGCGCGAAACCTCTCGTACGGAGTGCTTGAAAGTGACAGCAGGCTGATTCGCTCGCTGAGAAGGCGATGGGTGAGTTCTACGTGGGGCGTGGCCTACCATGTCTCCCCGGTCACATCAGGACGGAGGTTGCGACCCAAGCCGGTACTCCAGCCCTGTTTGCAAAAGTGGACGGCGAGTGCGATGCAGCCGCCAAGCATGAGGCATTGGTAGCGGTAGTGGTTTCGGGACGGGGGCCGAGGGAGTCCATGCATGTGTGCATGTAGGGTGTGCATCCATGGGAGTGGAGCAGCTAGGGGTTAGCAAATGCAGCGGTGCCGGATGAAGTGCACGCGCTCAACCCTGCCTGCTACCGGTACGTTGTGTTGATGTGTTGTGGTTCAAGAGGACTTGTTTGGATATGTTTGGCAGCAAACATGTAACAAGTTACTTCAAACGCCATACCCCCATACACTGATGCCGTACAAATGCTCCGAAGTCGTACAAATGACTACCAAAACTCTTGACCAAGCACTGGGTCTAATATGCGAGTATTGTATGGGAGTTAGAACTGAGTATAGAACCTGTTGTTACAAATGACCAACGGAAACCTCACTGCCGTACATTGAAGTAGAAGCTTGTACAAAGCAAAGCAAAAACGCATTTCTGGAAGCCTCCGCTGCTGTCCCAAAAAATGAAAGGGGCACCGGTATACCAATGGAACTCCAGACCCATACCGGAGCTTCTTTGCCTTACTTCTGCAGCTTAAAATAAGAACAATCATAATTCCCTGGTGTACGGTACAAGCTCTCACCACCAGCAAGAAATCTTCTACCGGGTTGCATTGTACGGCGACACATGTACGGGTGATGACATCGGGAGAACTGCACTGCACTACGTAAGCAAGAACCACCCGCCAAGCCGTTATCAGCGCGCTGTGCCTTCTTAACCGCTCACACAACAACCCCCTCACTCCGCATCGCAACCCCCTCACTGCGCATCGCAACCCCTTGCATGCATGCTACACGACATACCCTCTTACATGCCACAGAGCCACACGCCCACCCTCGCAACACACACCTTGCTAGTACACACAATTGAACACCAAGAGACGCAACAAGAAAGCACAGCGGCGTGTGCGCAGATCCGCGCCACACTCAAAAAGCCAAGCACCCGCTCCTGGCGAGCAACGGGGCCGTACAACACCATCTTGCGCCTGTGTATGTGGAACGCGCAAAGCTTGCGGCATTAGCTCCGGACTTACCTACCTCACATGGCAACAAGCAGTGTGGCTGACAGGAGAGGAGTCGCCTAAGCGTCATCCCACCAGCATTTATTATATTTAAACACAGAAGGCGGCGGCATGGCTTGGAACCGGCTTTTGGTGTGACTCCAAAAGACAGCCCAGCAAGAAAACCTTCACTCATACGAGGAACGGAAGAACCATTCACTGTCGCCGCAACACTAGGAGCAAGACAGCGAGGCCTGCGTCACACGCTAAAAGTATCCCAGCCACAAAAGCGCTCTGAAGACGGACAGCAACAACACATTCACAACCGCAGCGAACGGTGGAAGCGACCCGCGGGTCACCTCCACATGACAGCCACGCCACTACGCTACCTCTTTTGCTTCCTGTATTTCGGCCTCAGCCAAACGCGTCCCGCCGACTTGACAACCAACGCATATTATTAATAGCAGTCATATGCGCCATTTACCTACTATGACCCCAGCGCTTATGAAGCTTACAAGGCGCCATACCTCGCATTGCAGCCGCGTGGAAACCCCCAAACGACCTTTCAGACAGCTTAAAAGGCCAAACCCGTCTACCTTTCTCCCTCCCTGCTGTCCTTCCCTTTTTTCACTACCGGTACCCTATGGACCTTCATGCCCTTCTTTCCTTCTCTTCCAGCCAACCCTGCCTCTAAACCAGCACCCACATGCATAACTCACGTCGCCTTTGACACGTAGCCCCTTCGCTCGCTCTTGGCAACCTCCATTGCAGGAGCCGCAACCAACTTGTGGAGCTCTTTTTCTTCTTCTTCCTCCCCCTCCCTCGCTCTTCCCATGCAAGTCGCAGTGCGATGCAGGCCGACAGGAGTCCAACCCCGCAATCTGCAACAATGCAACCCACCACCACCAGCATCACCCTTCCCCTAACACCCATGCAGACTCTTCGTTTCTCTTAGTTCCTCGGTCCGCTCAGCCTCGCCTCGTCCGCTTCTCTCTCTTTGCTTCAGGCCTATAATGTCGGCTAACGACAATGAGTTTGCCAGAGCCAGCACCAGGCAGCAGAGCTTAATCGCCTGCTAAAGTTCCTTCCACGCTCCCTGCATGTCAACAGGAGACATTAGTAATCACCCACCGTAAGCAGCAACTGTCAACCGCCAAAGCAACGGACAACCACCCTTCCCGGTCAACAATCGCTCTCCTTAACGCAGCCACTGCCGCCTATCAATCGTGGAACACGTGCGCGTCCCACGCCACATCACGAAATCGTCCCCTCATCCCAGAAAGCTCCCTCAAGCCCGTCACAACTACTCCGCTAGCAGCAACTGAGTCAACCAGCACTACCACCAACAGTGCAAACCCGACCCCCTCCCTCAATCAAGCCCCTCCTCAGTAGTTCTCAAAAGCACCAGCACCGCCGCTGCCGTTCCCCCCGGCACCCGCCGCCGCCCCCGCTCCCGCCGCCTTCGACGCTCGCCGCGGCACGTACGGCGGCGCTTCATTCCGCAACAATGCCCAGTTGATGCTCTTAAACCACGGGTGCGCCTTAATCTCGTTCGCGCCGGTTCGACTTCCCAGCCGCCTCGACACATCCTTGACCAGGAGCTTCTCAATGAGGTCGCGGACCTCCTCCGAAACCGCGGGTTTGGCGGGGAAGCGCAGCGGCGCGTTGACGATGTTTTCAAAGGTCTCATCACGGCGAGCTCCTCGGAAAGGTGTCGTGCCGTACAGGAGCTCGTAGATGAGGATTCCCAGCGACCACCAGTCCACCGCTGCGGGTACGGCAGTTGTGGGTGGGGGAGGGGGCGACGAGGGGGGTGATGAGGTGAAGTGAGGCGGGAAGGGGAGTGATGTCCGCATGTAAGAGGCCAGGAGTACTCCCTGGGTGGCATACACGCATGACTGACACACCCCGCCCTCCCACTTTCCTGGCTACATGTAAGGCCAGCAGCTGCCATCAACTCCTGCCTCATGCACGCTCCCCACCCCCACGCGCTGCTCCCACCACGGTCCTACCAAACTTCCCCTTCGCTACCACTTTACCACTTTAGCACCACCCTACCTACCACCACCCTACCCTCCCACTCCCCCTCACCTGGCCCATGTCCCCCCGCGTTGATGACCTCGGGCGCCAGGTACTCCTCCGTGCCCACGAAGCTGTTGGCGCGCGCCACCGGCTCCGCCAGCAGCAGGTAGGTCTCGCCGGAAAGGGCCACGCCGGAGGAGAGGGAGGCCTTGCCGGAGGAGGCCTGGGGGGGGGAGCGGAGGGGGGGAAGTTAAAGACAAGCGAAGTAAACGAGCGGAGGGGAAGGCGAAACGGGATGAGGGAGGAGCTACGGAACCCCAACCACTTGACGAGCAGGACTGCGGCGCACACCATGAGGGTGTCCAAGTGCCAGGGGTGCTTAGCCCTGTCAGTCACGCATCAGGGTATCCCGCACTGGGGCTCTCACACAGCGCCCTCCTCCACCACAACCAGGCACAGCTGTCAGACCTGCGGTTCACTTTACACCAGCACTCCCGCCAACCACCCCGCCTACCACCACCACTCCCACACCCCTCCACACTCCTCCCTACCTTCCTCGGCGACTTGGGCGGGTGCCCGCCCGCGCCGCCCCCCGCCGCAGGCGGCCCCACCCGCTCCACTCGCGGTGTCGTCACACCCTTGCTGTACGACAGATCGAAATCCGTGAGCAGCACGTGGCCCGACTGGTGCAGCAGGATGTTCTCGGGCTTGAGGTCCCGGTACACGTATCCCAGCAGGTGAAGGTACTGCAGCGCCAGCAGCACCTCCGCGGCGTAGAAGCGCACGTGCTCCTCCTTGAGCCGCTTCTTGGGCTGGCTGTTCAGCAGCCCGTACAGCTCGCCGCCTGGGGGGGGGAGGGGAGGGAGGGGGGGAGGGAGAGGGTACAACGTGAAAGGTAAGGGTCGGTATGGGTTTCGTGCCACGGCTCTATGCTGCTAATCCGCCCCCACCCCCCACCCCCCGCCCCTCACCATCGCAGTACTCCATGACAAAGTGGAGGTGCGTCTCCGTCTGTATGGTGCAGTAGAGTGTGGCCAGGAAGGGGTGGTCCACAGCCGCCAGGATGCCGCACTCGGTGAGCACGCGGGCCACCTTGTTGCGCTCAGCCATCTCGTACTTGTCCAGCGTCTTCATGGCGAACTTGAAGTCGGTGCCCTGAGGGGGGTGGAGAGGAGGGGGTAAGTAGGGATGCATTATAGCCTTCATAGGATTACGCAATAGGCTGGATGTGTAATAGTAGGTGCACCACACCGTCTATCACGCGGGTATGCTACTGGAGGGTCCGGGTCGGACCTTCCGCAGGTCAGGGATGTGGGCTACAGCATAGGATCCTCTTTTCCTTTTCCGCGCTGCAGCCCTCCGCTGCAACCCCCCACACACACTCCTGCGGCGGTTCTGTGGGGACGTCATCTTCCGACATCTCAGTACGTTCCTACTCGCGGCCAGTTTTCTTAACACACCCCTGCTGCTGCCTAGGGTCGCCCGCCACTCCCTCCACTCCGCTCCCGTTTGTGGTCCTCCCACGTCTTCCCCGCCCCACACACCCCTCACACGTGCAGCTGCACAGACCAACCCGCCCCACAACCCCTTCGTTTCCTCCAGAGTCCCGACGCATGGCACCTGCAGTGCAGTACGGCAAGCAACCCACCAACCCGGCCCCCCTTGACGCTGCCTAGCGTCCCCTCATCGCTGCTGCCCCTGGCATCGGTAAGCCTCCTTTTCCTGGTAAGTCCTCCTATCGTTCTGGCTTCACGTATTCGGGCTTGGCGGCATGGGTGGGCAACCACGATGGTAAAGCCGGTGTCAGCCGGTTAGTTGGTACCTTCCTCTTTCCGCCCGCTACTCTGCCCTCCCCCACCCCAGTTCGTTGTTTCCTCTTTACCCACCCCCTCTGCCCCATCCAGCCCCACATCCCCCGCCCCCCCCCCCACACACACACCTGCAGCTGCACCAGGTCCACCAGCCCCACATCTCCCGCCCCCAGCTGCTTCACGCGGCGGAAGTGCATTAGCTTCAACTTGCCGTCACGCTGCTGCAGGGACAGAAGGGCCTGGTGGGGTGGGGGGGGAGAGAGCGAGGGTGAGGGAGGGAAGGTACAGAGGAAGACACTAGCTAAACAGGGAGGGGGGGGGTTTGGTGGGGTACAAGGGAGGGCCAGTGGGTATGTAGGGTGCGGTGCAGCAGCAGCAGCAGCAGCAGCGGACCACATGAGGGCTATTTTACTACGGGCAGAGTTATGGGATATGCACGGGAAAGATGCGGCCACACCGCCGGCTTTGCAACGTATCCCCTATCCCCACATCACAACCACCCTACTCTCACACTACCAAAAGTCTCCATCAAGCCTATAGCCCACTGCGAAAGAAAACATAAATTTTCTGTGTGTTCACCGCCACTCGGTAAGCCCCCCCCCTCCCCTACCTGGTACGCCCTGTCCTCCCCCTTGTGCGGCTTGCGGCGCATCATGGAGCTGCTGATGGCGGCCCAGGGGTTGGCGGCGGAGGCGGCGGGGGCAGCCATGCCCTGTCAGGGGGGGGGGGCGTTGCATGTTGCGGTGGAGGAGTGGAGGAGGGAGGGAGCAGCAAGGTAAGAGCGCTGTGGGCTGCACCATGTGGGACACCCACTCGGACCGGGTTGGGTACCGTAACCTCCCCCGTTTGGTTTGGTATTGCACAACCCACGCCCATCCCTCAATCTTTCCTCTTTCCACTGCCCCCACCCCCCCCCCAGCCCCCACCTGCAGCGCCGTGCTGATCATGGACGCCGCCTGCGCGCCCATCTTGGCCTTCTCCTCCTCCGCGGAGGGGCTCTTGTTCCAGGCGGGCGCCTTGTCAGCGGGGCCACTGGACTGCGCGGTAACGTCCACCTGGGGTACGGTGGGGGTGGGAGGGGGGGAGGGCAGGAAAGTGGGAGACAGGGCAAGGGGCGGGGTGAGGTTAGAGAGCTGCCAGCCTTGCAACGTCCTCCCTACCAACAACCCCTTCCTTCCTTCAACCCAGTGACTCAGTACGCCTAGCCTCCTCATCCACCTCCCAGTCCCCACCTCCCTCCCTAACCCTCTCCCTCCCTCACCTTCCCCCTCGCCCCTACGGTATGTTCTTTGACCCCACCTGCACCCCCACAAAGAAGCGCACACTGCCGTCCTGGTCCCGCATGGGCGCCATGGTGAACATGTTCCAGAAGGCGCGGCCCTGCTTGGTGTAGTTGAGGATGCGCACGGTGATCTCGGTGCCGCTGCGGATGGCGTCGCGGATCTGGTCCACGGTGAGCCGGTCGGTGCCAGGACCCTAAGAGGGGGGGGGGAAAGAAATCCCAATGTGTTGATGAGAATGCGCACCAGAGGACAAGAAAGAAAGAAAGAGGCGAAGAAGGTTGAAAAGGGGTTATGGATGTTCCGCATCTGGGCTGGGTTGTTTGATTGCGTACTTTGGATTGCGGGGGACAGGAGGAGGAGGAGGGGAGGAGGATTGGGTTATATATTTACACGCACTATTTAAGGGGTCTCTATTTTGGGAGGTAGGAGCATTGGGGAGGGAGGGTGGAAGTGAGGTAAAGGAGAGGTGGGCAAGGTGGCAGGTGAGGGAGCGAGGCTGGCAGGGGCGCCCCAGGAGCGGCGAGTCCCCGGGTAACCGCCGCCAAGGCGCCCGGCGGCACGGAGCACCCGGGGCGCTATAGCCTGGGGGTGGCAGATGCCATAAACCCGGAGGGGGGGGGAGGACACGAACCCTACCAACCACCGCCACCACTACCATCCCTTCCTATCTGCCTTCTGAAGGCCCCTACACCCCGCTTTCGCTAACCTCCCAAACGCTGGGAGGTTTTCCCAGGTTGGGGCGGCCTGCGCCACCAGCAAGCCCCCCACCGCCCCCCTGCGTGCTGCTGTGGCCAGCTGTGAAGGCCGCCCCCGCCAGCAGCGCCAGGAGCTCTGGGCGTTCCTTTTGCCCCGCGCCCAAGGCTATTGCTGCTACGGCTGCTATTGCTGCTGCCGCTGTTTGGCAGTCGGTGTAGCCCAGCACGCACACCTCCCCATCTCCCCACACCCACCTCCCCTTACCCACCACCACCATCCCCCTCCCGCCCGCCTCCAACCCACCTGCAGGAAGCGGCAGTTGCGCCCCAGCACGTCCTCGCGGCTGTACCCCGTCAGCTCCAGAAACGCATCCGAGGCAAACACGATGGGGCAATCGGGCAGCGTGGGGTCCGAAATCACGAAATTCTGCTGGATACGCTCCACCGTCGTCGCCAGATCCAACGCCACACGCGGGAAGCTCTTGGGAGCCGTACCGCGCGCCCCTTGCTGCTGCTGTTGCTGCTGGGAGGGCTGCTGCTGCTGGGGCTTGCCGGTGCCTGCCGCGCTCGCGGCTGCGGAGGCGGCGCCCGGCTCCACGCCCTCCGCCTTCTCCACGGCGATTGTGACGTCATCCACGATCTTCTTGGCCACGTTTTCACGCAGGCGGTGGTCGTACTTGACGAGCAGCGGCACGCCCGAGGTATCCGCCAGGGCCTTACCCTCGGTTTTGCTGGTGACATCCACCTGGGGGTTGAGGAGTGGTGGTGGAGGAGGGGATATGATACAGGTAGGCAGGCATAAGGGAGTACTGTACGGCAACTTGGGCTGCAATTGGGAACAGCTACCCTTTCCAATAGCATGTTTGCTTTCCTCGCCTCGCCTCCCTCGCTCATGCCCCGACGCCCTCCCCTCTTCCTCACCCAGAACCAGTCACCCTCTCTCCACCCTCCACGCCACGTGACTGCTAACCCCCAAGCGCTTCCCCCGCCCTCCGCTCCCAGCCCTACACCACCCCCCAGTCACATCAACCCCACGCACCCCCCTCCAGGTCATCTCCTCCCATCCACCCCCCCGCCCCCCCCCCGCCCTCACCTGCACTCCCACAAACTTGGACACCTTGCCGTCCGGCGTCTTGATGGGCGTGACGGTGAGCAGGTTCCAGAAGGGCGTGCCGTCCTTGCGGTAGTTGAGCAGGCGCACGGAGCAGGCCTCGCCGCGCTTGATGGCGTCGCGGATCTTCTGGACCTCCTTGGGGTCAGTGCCCTCGCCCTGCAGGAAGCGGCTGTGGAGGAGGAATGGATGTGAGAGGGGTGCAGGAGAGATCAGGAGATGGAAGTGAGGGGTGCAGGGGAGGGATGGAGGGTGAAAGAGAGTAACCATGTGTGGTGTTGGGGATGGTGGTAAGATGTTGCGGGGAGGAAGGGGCGCGGGGAGGGTTGCAAGGGCGGAGGGATGGAAAGAGAAGGAAGGAGGATGGGAAGGGATGGGATGGAGTAAGCGTAGCGGGCTGGGTTCTCCGATGTGCTTATCAGGGGACGGGCAGGGGTAGGGAGGCGAGGGTTGCGGTGGGGTGGAGGTGTGGGAGAGACGGCGGATGAAACACGAAACCAGAAACATGGGATTGTGTCTACGACGGGGCTGAAAGCAGTACTCAAGGAGCCTTGCGCGGTACTCAGAAATTTGAGCGAGTAGGACAAGGGCGCCGAAGCTTGCTTTGCGGCCCCTGTGGGGTTTCCCTCCTGATGCAGCCCGCCTCACAGCAGCCGCAAGTGAAGTACAGCTTAAGTACAGCCGCCCAGCTAGTGGCCATGCCTGAAAGCCCGACAAATACAGCTACTGGTGTAGCATGATACTATACCGGGAATTGTTGGCAAAAGGTGATGTGCGGCTTAAGACGAGTTGCGCAAGGGACTAAACTGCTAGTTAAAATTTAAGGGCACAGCGAGATAGATAGTTATAGCGTGCCTGAAGAGTGGAAGACGAGGGAGCTATTTGCCTCTGATTGTGGAAACAGCATCGCTGGGAAGGCCAGGACCCTCGGGCCATGGAACAAGTTCCTAAAGGACTCTCAGCAGAACTCTGCCCGGGCTTGTATCGATACTCCTATGATGCATATTTATGTGACAATCCATACGATACAAAAAGTCGGCATGGTGCGCTTAGGAAGGCTGAAGTGAAGTTAAAGGGTGCTCCATGCGACAGCATGTCGGGCAACAAAACCATCCAACCAAGGTGAATACCCTGATGGAATTATGTATAAGACAAAGACAGACCCGTTAAGTAATGTTGCCATCCCAGGGAGGTCGCGTCAGTACAGGGTTCCAACAATTGACGGAGCCCAAAGCAACACCGACATCACCGCCCCTGTAAATCGTACCAGTTGTGCCCAAGAACCTCATCTGGCCCATAGCCCGTCATGGCGTAAAACCTGCGTGGCGCAACAAGCGTATTTCACGCTTAACGACCGCGAGTCCCACAGCAATGAACCCAGCTGCGCGTGGCAGCCACAGATAACCTTTACTTACCCTTCGCTTGCATATACAAGCGGACAGTCTGGAAGCGTGGCATCTGCGACGACGAAGGTGTGGCGCAAGCCAGCCAGCACCTTCGTCAGCTGGCTGGCCGGGGAAGGCACCTATGCAAAAAACGCCGCCAAATGTTTGCGGTGCAATTCGCGGATCCTTGCTGTGGACAATCCCAAAACATAGGACACAGCGTGGGCCTCACCCCTGCCATCCTGTTTTCAGGTGCAACCTGGTTGCGAATACTGCCAGTAGTAGGTCAATTTATATGGCTACACGTGTAAGGACGACTGGAGAAATGCCAGTACACGAGGCACGGGGCGGCTCTTAGCCCTTATCTCTGTTTCATCAATTACGTTCTAGTGAAATGCGACATGCTACCAACGGGAGGCTTTAGAAACCAGCGGCTTGTGCAGCGAACGCTCCTGTGTACATATAATCGTTTCTGTCGTACGCTAGTCCTGGACGCATTGACTGAAGCTCACGCGCAAAGCGTTTTCGCCAGCAAGCTCAGCTTGCAATTGCAAATCTTCCGGTAAGAGCTGATTTTCGACATATTGGGAATATAGCTTCCTGCTCGTCCCGATCGCCGTACTACACCTTCAATCTTTCCTAAAAGCCTTGCGGATGTTGGCTTATCAAGGCATACCGTAAGGCAGGGGCACATATGCAAACGTGTTAAGCTTCTCACAGTTCGCAGGATGCCTTTTGAGCCGATCTGCTTTCGTGCGAGTATGGTTTGTTGCAGGGCAACGCCGAACACTTAGGGCTGCGCTATGTAATCCTGTGGGAAAAGGGCTTGGCGGGCAGAGCACAGGGATAGTGGTGGCCACGTAGGTGTATACAGGACCAGTGGTTCTCGGAGCGGGTATGCCAGCATGTGAGAGGATACGTAACAAGGCTACATGCTAGCCAGCTGCCCCATGTTTCCGCTCAAATTGTATGAAGCACTGATGTTAACTGCACGGTAAACCCTTCCTGTCCCTGGCTGATGTACGACAGTGTAAGGCACGGCATGGCAAGGCATGTACAGGCTCCATCTTCAGCTTCTGTGAGCAAGACGTTGTGCACCCGTCCATGATGCCTTTGCAACAATCCTACGTCAAGGTGTCGCTCCCGACAGTGATGTGTTTTCCTTGCCGAGATGTCGTCCCTCTGCATCCTGTGAATGAGCTTGCAGACGGGCGTTGCGAAATACGGTGCGATTCTAACCCAATGTGCGAAGCCGAGTGCACGATGCCGATGTAAGCAGCAGTCGTATTTAGATAGTACCAACAGCCTCAATCCTGACCGGAGTCTGGATGACTGAATGGCTGAATGACTGAAGACTGGATGGAGCCACGTTGGTGAAGGGAGCATCCGTGAGGCTCTGTGCCCAAAAGGGTCTTCCAAAGGACTTAAAGAACAACCTCCAAGGAGTTCCCAGCTTTTGAGGGACCTTCCTCTTTCTCTCAGGAGTAATTGTACATGTACCTTCTCTTATGTTGATCTCCACAAATATATTCCTGCGACTTGCCCTGCCATGGCCACTATGCTCCCTAGCCGAAGCAATCAAACGAAGCAACACTCGTCATACATTGCACAAATGTTCGGCGATAACGCTATATGTCAACTAGAGCATGTACCAGAGCTCTTTTTGACCATCAGGTGTGTTTACAACGGCTTATGTATGCACAGCGGCGGTTGGTCTTCCCGACTTCAAATAAAGGATGACGGACGCATGAGCAACAATATTCCATCAACGATGCCTACTTAATACTTGCATGGATAACTCAACACCTGGTCGGCAAATGTCGCGGGTAACTCGCCTTAATTGCGCCATGGCTCGTCGTCGCTACCATACCCATATCCTGAAGCTGCGGGCGATGTAGCTAGACTTTTGCTACAGACAAACGTAATCAACAATTTCAAGAAGTCGCTTGGAGTGGACGCCACCAGTCGGCATGAACGCATGATTATGGTATGCTTTTGCGCCTCCGAAGCCGCCGTACTGATAAGCGTAAATGAATGGCTGGGCACGTGGGCAGCATAGTGTGTGCCAAATGCATTTAGCAGCAAATGCAATACTAGTCTATCCTTGTGATGCAAGCATGGCGTCAATAAGTTTTCATTCGGCCCAGATTGGGCTCCATGCCGCGCAAAGACCCTTTCTCGCGATGCCCTGGGCCGCTAATTCTCTTAAGCGGCGCACAAGCCTCACATGCAAATCTTCCAATAGCGACCGTTTTTGTTACGAAGATGCCTACCAGCAAAAAAGTGACTTGTCCAGGCGACATGCTCTCGCTATGTCAGTCGCAGCAGCTGCAGGTCTTGCGCTGGGAGTGCGGCCAGGCAAAGCTATCCAAGGCCTCACAGCAGGGCGCATTCCAGGCAGGTCAAGCTTTGCACAGCTAGCTATATGCTTGCGCCATCGTCTCTTGTGTATTGCGAAACCCGTGTTTTCTTCGCAAACACTGGTCAAGAGGGTTGGATATACGGTGACCATATGGCCTAGGCTTCTGCACTTGGCGCCGTCGACCAACCATCCTGCATCTTAGTCTGGGCATCACAGTCCGGGCATACAAAAGTGCTCTTCGGTTAGGTTGCCGCGACACACATGCGCCTTGATGAATTTAGCATTCATGCTGCAACACATTTTACGCCTTGTTGCGCACTGCAGGGTTAAGCAAGGACGCGGACGAAGACGGCTTTTATACCTACACCCGGCCAGAGGGAAAATCGGGAGGACACGGCGTCGGTTGGAGCGAAATCCCGCCGTACACCTTTAAAGTGCCAGCCGGCTGGGAGGAAATCCCGGTCTCCATCGCGGACCTTGGAGGAACTGAGGTGTGGAGCGGAAATGGCTGCGTCCTCGGTATCTAGCATGAGACGGCATGACCTGCCTTTATTTTTGGCTGCCACACCTCGTATAAACGGCTAATAGTGGCGGGTGATGTTTGCGCGGGCACATTTAGGTGGAATCCCCTGGCATGTGCGTTATGCGTCGCCGAGAGCTTGTGGACTCCGACCGCTACTTGACTACTTGCGATTAGTGAATGGCTTGCTTTGGTTTTGGCTTGCCAGGTTTTCACATGCTTACACACCAAATTAGGACCAACCCTTTGTCCCCGGCGTCATAAACCAGTGTGTACATCCTGCTAGGGCTGTGCCCTCTAGAGATCTCATCCCTCTCATCCTGACCCATGGGTCGCTACATCCCGCTCTCTTCCCTGTGCCTCCAGATCGACCTGCGTTACCAGAGCAAGGAGCAGGGTGAGCTAGCGGTGGTGGTGGCACCCGTGCTCAGGTACGCGTTTGCCAACGTGGCTGCTTTCGCTGCGGGATGCGGGTAACCTCTTGAAAACAGCCACCTGCAAGCGTTGTTAACCTTGTGCAAGAGTGCAACCCAAGTTAGGAGCTACTAGCAGGAGCGGCTTTTTGCAAGCCCCTGCTGATGCCGCTTCCCGCGTCCCCCCCACCTCAATGCAACCGGCTGCACCAAGCGGCTGCGCCCTCTCAACGCTTACTTGGTTTCATGTGTCCGTGCCGGCGGATCATTGACGGGCCCGCTTCCTCCCACTTCCTGCTCCTCCCACTTCCTCCCCGCCCCCACCATACTGCCCCTGGCCCTCACGCCCAGGTTCATGGACCTTGGTTACAATGCGGTGGGTCTGTGGGTCGGCGGGATGCGGCGTATAACTGGGTATCCTAAGCCGTTCTCCATCCAGTGCTGAACCTCCACACTTCCCCCCGCTCCTTCCCATCCTGCGCTCGTCCTTCCTGAACCCCCTCCTCCTGCGTTGCGCTGCAGCATGTGACGCTGAAGGAGGTGGGCGAGCCGCAGCGGGTGATCGAGGGGTTCGCCCCGGAGCTGTTCGGCAAGCCGCTGGACGAGGGGGATGTGCTGGCAGCAGAGGTGGCGAGGAGGGAGGATGGCGGGCTGTACTACCTCTGGTGGGTGAAGGGGAGAGGGTAAAGAGGAAACAACTAACAAACCGTGTGGTGGGTGGGTGGCCATGGTTGCAGCCACCGCCCGCCCGCACCCATGTGTGTGCCACCACCGTTACTACAACCGCTGCAACCGTCTTGCATTTGTGCCAGGAGCGCCAAAACTCACCAAACCCATGGGTCTCACAAACTCCTCAACCCAGCCATCCGCATCCTCACCCGCCTCCCTGCATCCCCTCTCTTGAAGCCTCTTCATACTGTTCGTCAGTTTCCTTATCTTTCCCCCACCTTCATCACCACCCCCGCCCCCCCAGGGAGCTGAAGCCTCACCGGCTGGTTGTTGCCACCGCCACCCGCAACCGCGTGTTCCTGCTTACGCTGTCCGCCTCCTCCCGGCAGTGGAAGAAGCACGAGGAGGCGCTGCGGGAGGTGCAGCGCAGCTTCCGGGTGCAACAGGAGAGGGCGTGATGCTGGTAGAGGGGGCAGGGACCAGCCCACACCACGATAGGAAAACACAGGTTCGGGCAAAGCAATGGGGTTAGGTCGGGGGAGCGGACGGGGCAGGGAGATACGGAATGCTGCAATGGATGTTGTTGATTGATCCCAGGATGAGAGTGGTTGAGAGCCGACGGAGAAGACGAAGAATGGAGCTGAATGCTAAAATGCTGTAATCAAGGGATGGGGCAGGTATCAGGGCGGGCGGGACAACGAGGGGATTTGGCGTGGTGGTACTGTCGGGGTACAAAGAGGAAACTAACGTGCTGTATGAAGAGGGGTGGTGGTGAGATGCTTGCATGGGGCAGAGCGGCTGGTTGTTGTCGTTGCTGCTATTGCTGAAGGCCTGTCGCTGCATGTGAGGCGCGTGTGAGGGGAGCTGTTTAGCGCATGAAAGATGAGCGTGCAGGAGCATGAGAGACGTGTTGCATGCAGTATGGCCCTATTTGGGCGGTGGGGCATAGCCCGGCTGACGACGTCATGACTCATGAGAGAGTGATGGGACAGTCGAGGCTGAAGCAAGGGAATACTTTGTTATGTTTCGCGATGTTAGTACTATAACATGCGTCTGTACTGGTTTGGTTATAAGTACGCACATGGACCCATGGGTCTGTCGCGCTGAGTGGTTGCGGCTCTGCAGCACACGAGGTACGAGGGCTACCGGTGCCTCGTTCCGCAACCCCAATGGGGCAGTGAAGATACGGAGCGAGGGCAGCCTACGCACATGTACTCTGCTTGCATGCCTTGCTAAGCCTTGCATGCTAGCAGTTTGGTGTGCAGAGGTACAAATCCAGGCTCATGGTGATCGTGAAGTACGGTAACAGGCATGTGCCGTTTGGTGCGGGCTTTTTTTGTTTTAAGCACTTCCCAGCCATTCCCCGAGCGCGCCTGCACATACCAGCACGAGTACGATTGGATCCTACAACACATACTCCTTAACACGCCCTAACCTTAACCACGAGCCGATACACCCAACATCTGCAACACGTATGGCAGGTGAAAAGGTGCCGTACACAACCGTTCCCAACCGCGCGGTTCCCCGAACTCTCCCACGTGGCCGCCTGCCCACCCGAATTCTAGACCACTTGCCACTTAACCACTGCAACAGGTGTCCGCACCACCACATTACGACATTGCATTCCCAGCTCCCGTTCCCCAGCTGCCACCCCAAACTCCTTCCTCGCCTCATACACCCAGCAAGAAATTCGCGCACCCCAAGAAGATTCCCAAGAAGATTCCACCCCTGAAAACTGCAATCCCGACTCAATCACATTCCCTCAACCCACAGCTCCGAGTGCATACAGCAGGCAGGTCCAGCAGTCCCCTACCCCCCACCTGCAGCAGCATCACCCGCAGCAGCATCACCCGCAGCCACCCAGCACTGCCCATCCCGTGCCCAAGGGCAGAGTGGGCGGGATCACATACCCTGCCTGCCGCACACATCATGTGCATTGGACCCGGCTTCCAATGCGGCACTGCCCCACCCCAACCCACCCCACCCGTTGCTGCCACATCAATCACCGGGGCGCTGCTGCCGCCTCTACATCACCGCGGCTTTTCCATACCGGGCTAGCCTCAACAGATACGGCTACACCCGCTCTCTGCAAGTCCTGCCCGCTGCTGCTGCTCCTCCTCCGCCGCTCCCGCTCTCATCGCTGCTGCTGCTGCCGCCAGTTGGGCCCACAGTCCTGCCCGCATGTCGCTTCGCTCACCCGCTCCGCGCCACCGCCGCCCCGCGGGCAGCGCTGAACGCCCGTGAGGAGCACTGGCGGTAGGCCTCAGCCACCTCAGCGCACCGCCAGGCCTCCTGGGAAGGGAAACAGCGGGGAAGGAAGGAGCGAGGGGTGAAGAGAAGGAGGAGGGCTACAAGCTGGTAGGCGATGTGGACGCGCCGTTGGCTTGCTAGCCGGACAGCTTCCACGGGTACCGTGGACGCCGCGTAGGAGCAACAGCAGCAGCAAATGGTACTGCAAAGTAGCGCACAGCTTTCTGACCTATGTCCTAGCAGCCTATATCTGTCGTACTGCCGTACCTTGGCATGTTCCTTGAAGCACTGGGTGCAAGCGCTGGCCTCCGACTGGCAGGGAGCCGGCTTGGCGGGCACACTAGGTAGGGCGGGGGGTGGGGCAGTCGTGGAGGGTGGGATGGGGAAGAGGGTGGCACGTCGGGGTTACGAAGGGAGATGCAGGGCGAATAGGGGTTTGTGTGCTGGGAGGAAGGGCCCTGCTGTCACATCTTACCATCATGCCGTACAGCATCGTCACACCGCCCATGCAAATCTTAGTCACGTGAGGCGCCCAAACCAGCTCCTCACGCCCTACCCCTTCACTTACACCCAACCAGCCGCCCAACAGCCGTTTCGCGCAGACTGGCCTACAACTTGGCACTTGACTCTACTTCCTGTAGTCCCCTTGTCCCTACATCCCTGTTCGCGCCCTTCCTTAGGGTTCCATCCTCCCTCCTCCGCCCCTCCCTTGCCCCCACCTGAACTTCTTGACCAGCTCGTCCGCCATGGCCTGCATGCGCGCCACCTCGCTCTCCTCCGCCTTCACCAGCAGACCCGACACCTCCTTGGTGGCCTGGGGCGGGAAGAGGAGAGGGAGGAGGAGGAAGAGGAGGGAGGGGGCAGGGGGACGTGGGAAGAAGGGGGATGCAGCGCCGTACAGGGGTTGCAGCGCCAGTTCAGTGCGCCAAACAGCGGTCGTGAAGGAACCATGTTGCCCACATGGGCCGGCCATCCTTACGCAGAAACTGCTGCATGCATGCATGCAGGATGACACTCTGACCCCGGAGCTGAGGGACGCAGGTGGAGGCGGGGGGCAGGGCGGCAGGGCCCCTTGTGGAGTGCATGTGGGGTGGTGCAGTCCGCACACACGCACCTGCAGCTGGCGTGTCAGCTGCTTGTCCTGCGCTAGCATGCGGGCGGCCTCCGCGGACACGGGGGACCGCGTGGGCAGCCTGCAGCGCAGCAGAGCGAGGGAAAGGGGCGGGCAGGGGATTAGCGCGCTGGAACAGTTCGCGGGCTTGGAATGGATGGAGCGCACGGTCTCAAGGAAAACTACTTAACTGGATCCCAGGCCGAGGAGCCATAACCGGCTTAGGCGGCTCCGGCTTCTTCAAGCCTGCAAGCTTCTCCAGCAACCCGACGGAGAGCTGCAAGCAAGCGCGCAGGCCCGATTGTCGGCCAAACATGGAGAAGCAAGCGGAAAGTTTTGACACCGTCGGAAACAGCCATTAGGGCATCATCAAGCAACTCATGTGCCCACCGTCACATCATGCGGTCGCCCGGCCATGGTTCTGGGTTAGATGCTTTCGCAGGGACTCCGTAACTAGCCTTAATTAATGCTAGCCAAATCTCAATTAACGAAGTGATGCTCTATTAAATGAGAACTAAAGGGTATGCAGTGACCGTCGACTTATTAGTGGAGGAACCAACGTGCTATATCGTGTGGGATAGTCGCGTGCATGCCGAGCAAGATGTCGCTTCTACACAGTAAATATAGTTCTACTGTAAGGCCTAATGCAATGACTGAAAGGCAACCCCTGCCTGCACGAATTCATGCACGGGGGCTCTGATGTGGGCCCACTCATGCTAAGGTACGTTGCCCCTAGGACATATACTACATTGCCTAGTTGCAATATAGACGTGTAGTAAAAGACCTGCATAATAGCCAACTAGGGTATTAGGTGCGCTCCCAAACCGACGAAATGGCAGATAGCACTGAAGGCTCCCGCCGTAGGCTATCGGTCTTGGCCAGGCAGCTTACGGGCCATGTGCGTAGCGTTCCGTCACGCGAAGCGGCTGATCGGGAGGGAGCGATGGACGCGACGCCCTTCGGCCTTGCGCCATGCTCAGGCTTGGACAACAACTCAGGCGGAATGCTCTCAGGACAGGTGGCACTCATAACAGGTAACGTTCAAAGGCGTGTTTCTGACCCCTTCCCGAGGTTTTATCCTTGACGTGTGCTATATCGGGCTAGGGATGTTGCGCAATACAGAACACGCGTAGACTGCCCAGTAAGGGAGGCCTTAGAGTCAATGAAAGACGATGCAATTGGATTGAAAGTAAGGTATTTGTGACGCGCTGATGCTGTTTGGCCCAAGTTAACAGATTTTGCCGGGTGTCGGGTGGTCCAGCAGACCCGCCAACCCAGCAGTCACATCGTGAAGACCAGATAGCGTTAGGGAGCAGAGGCTGGGCGCCAACCCTAGGGCTGTCTGGTCTGGAACCGCAAGAGGAGCTCAACAAAGGAGCCGGGCGAAACATTAGGGTTCCCTCCTCAACAAGTTCATATGTGTCAAACTGTGAACTTATACAGCCGCCCACATCCCACTTCCATTCATCCACCCTTGCCCTCACTGCTCCCCTTCTGCTCCTTCCCCTCCTCCCCCTCTCTAGGTGCCGGCAAGGGCATCGGCGAGGCTGCTGCCAAGCTCATGGCAGCTCACGGCGCAGCGGTGGTGGTGGCGGACATGGATGCGGGCGCAGCGCAGCATGTGAGCTCGTACCGATAGTGTACGACATTGATTGCTTTGTCGTCGTACAGTGTAGAGCCGAGCAGGGGCATCACGGCATCAGGGGCGTCACCCGGCTGGAATCCTCCCCTCTCCCCCGCTGGCCTGCCCTGCTCACAATGATACGCCAACCCAACTTTCTTTTCCAACAGCCTGATGCGGAGCGTGTGTACTCCTGTGGTAACCCCCCCTTATGTCATCTCAGGTGGCTCGGGAGATCCGGGTGTCAGGTGGCCGGGCGGTGGCGGTGGCGGGTGACGTCACGGCGCCGGACTTCCCGGAACGTGTGGTGGGGGAGGCGGTGGCGAACTTTGGCGGCCTGCACATCCTGGTCAACAACGCGGGTGAGCGGCGACGGTCGGCGCAGTTGATGTGTGTCGGGTAAAAATAAGGAGGCAACTAACGAGCTGTGTGACGTGCTGTTTTTGGTGGAGGGGGGTGCGTGGAGGTTCACAGACCCTTGGAAAGCTCTGCCCTCTGGTTCTGTTCGGTCCCGGATGCTCCCAAGCGGTCACCGGCTCCTCGTCACCGGCTCCGCCCTATTCCTCCGCCCCTAACCCACTCCCCCCCTCCCCCCATCGCAGGCTACACCTGGGACGGCACCATCCACAAGATGAGCCCCGAGCAGTGGGCCGCCATGCTGGAGGTGCACTGCACGGCGCCCTTCCGACTCATCCAGGCGGCAGCGCCGCTCATGAGGGATGCGGGCAAGGCGGAGATTGAGCGCAGCGGCGAGGCGCGGCAACGGTAGGGGGCTGGGGTGCATGGGGGCAGCAATTACATGGGAGAAGAAAATTGAGTAGGGGGCTGGGGCTGCCGCTCGCAAATCACACCCGCATGTGCTTACCCGCGTTCTCTCTCTTACCCTCCCGCCGCCGATCTTACCTCGACTCTATTCCCATCGCACCCGCCTTTCCCACTGTCGTGACGTGAGCACGTGACGCCCCCTGTCATGTGAAACATCAAACATGTGCTGCATACCGCATACACCACGCGCGCACGCAGGTGCATCATCAACATCAGCAGCACCAGTGGCACGCACGGCAACGCGGGCCAGGCCAACTACGCCACTGCCAAGGCGGGGGTGGTGGGGCTGACCAAGGCGGTAGCCAAGGAGTGGGGCCCCTTCAACGTGCGCTGCAACGCCATTGCGTTTGGCCTGATCGACACGCGGCTGACCAGGGCCAAGGAGGGCGGCGAGAGCATCGTGGTGGGCAGGGCGGAGGGGGAAGGGAGGGTATGGGAGGGAGGGAGAGGGAGGTATTACCGGTACCTGAACTGAGCCGCGAGGAAACACTTGCCGCGGTATGTAGGGAGGCAGGACCAAGGGATGGGGACGTTGGATGCGGGAGGGCGGGTTAAAGTGGGAGGCGCTGAGGGATGCGCCTCGCAGGAGGACACACACGAGCGCCCCACGCCTGTTTTCTTAACACGCACAATTGCGAGTGAACGAGGCCCCTCTTTCCTAAGATTGTACCGGCAAGTGGTTGTAGTTAGTTGCACTTGCTTTTCCTCCACCTTCCCCCCCGCCCCCCCGCCCCCAGGTTGGCGGCAAGACGGTGCATCTGGGTATCCCCGCCGCCTCCTCCCACTGGGAGGTGCTGAAGCCGCTGGTGGCGCTGCGGCGGGTGGGCAGCGCGGAGGAGGCGGCGGGCGCGGTGCTGGCGCTGGCTAGCCCGCTGCTGAGCTACGTGACGGGGCAGGTGCTGGAGGTGAACGGCGGCTCGTACATGTAGGAGGAGGGGGTGCGTGGGAGGGGGAGAGGTGGTGGTGAGGAGTGGGGTGGGTTTGCAAGGAGGGGGAGGGGGCGCATTCGCAGGGGTGGCGGGGATTCGTGTACAGTAGTGACGTGTCCGCGCCTGTGTAGCTCGGTTTTGGGGGTTTGGAGCTCTTTGTTGTTCAGGAGTTGTGCTGTGCCTTTGGTTTTCTGTTGTACTGCGTTTTGATGCTAGGTGTCCTGACATTGGCTAAGAGAGGTTACGTAGGATGATCTGATGCTGGTGCAGTTATGCACTTCAATGGCTAACCATTGTTGTTAATAGAGGGTAGTTGCAATACACTTTTGGGTTGTATCGTCAGACACTGCTAGATTTGTCGAGGCTCCTGGTTGCGGGTTGTGTGTGGCGTATATTCAGGAGTTTTGGGAGGGCAGCTCTCTAAACTATATGCAAAAGTGCACGACACCCTGTTTTGCAATTGTGTGCGCATACATGAAATGCTGCGACGTATCGACGATTCCGCTTTACCGATGCTTCGAGCTCGTGACAGATGCAAATGGTACGGCATACCTCTGAGGCTGTGGTCTGCACCGAAAGCTGCCTGTTACGAGTATAACATGTATGCGTTCAAATACTCTACTGCTGCTGCTTGCTTTTAGACGAAGAGGGGCTCTTGGTATCAATTGTTGTATCTGCCAACTTTTGTTGGTATTGTTTCTGGGCGTTGCCCTTTACACATTCTGCCTAGCTAATTAGCATAAAACAAATAGAATTTACATAGCTTGCAGGCGGACCGTTTGTGTGGTGCATGCAAGGAAATGAGCCGAGGACAGACGGGAGAAAGCGGAGTGGCGATGTGTACCCACTTTTGTGTAGCTTGTTAAGATGTATTTATGGCCGATGTTCAAGAGCTGGGTAAATAATGCACTTGGCTAACCCTCCTGGCCAGCATGGAGTCGGGGCCAGGCCTATGTCGTTTCGGCTGGAAATTCCCCATTACTCACCGCATTCTACACACGAATATCAGCGCTGCTGCTGTATTGCCTCTACCCACTCGGCGGTGGCTCCTGTACAGCACTGTGGTGGAGGGACGGCAACACTCCTTAATCATCAGGTACGCGCCGCACAGGTCGACGAGTCCTGATTTTGATTCACGATTCAAGCAGGAAACGCAGTTTGGCGCTAGGTCAGTACAAAAGCGACTTGCAACGTCCTTGGCACGTATCTCCCCATGCGTATCCTCCCTGCGGTCCGCAACCTTGACCCAATCATCCAAAGGCCGGCGCCTTGCCGCCAAGCTCTGGCTTGCAATCCAGAGTTCAAACTTGCGCCTCCACGCGCCACCCTTTTGCTCCCATGCACTTCCTCTCCCTCTACAGCTAGACCGTGCTCTTCACAGGAGGCGCAGGGGCCGCTCTCCGTGCCCCCCCAGGGACGCGTCTTCCTCCCCTCCTCAGCTTACGCAACACTCGTCACCGCCTTCTTCCTTGGCCGTTGGCCGACAACCTCTGCGCCTGGGCTGTACGGCGTTCACCTCAGCTGAGCTTGCACCGCAGGCATCTCTGGCTGAAGGTGCAGGCCACGGTGGGGCAGGACAGGGGTGCGGTGCGGCGGCGGGAGGAGTTCGAGAGACGGCAGGGGAGTGGTGCCTGGTGCCCTCCCCATGGACGCATTGGCCGCCGCAGCCGGGAACCGTGCAGGACCAGTCATCATGCGCGCTACTGCTCATACCACCGTCGTCTCAGCAGGGGCAGCAGCAGCAGCAATGGCGGCGGCAGCAACAACAGCACTTGTCGGCACATGACTGCGCCGCTGCGGTGGCGGCAGATGCAGCCCCCATGCTGCCACGACGCCGGCAGAAGCGGCAGCAGTCGCCGGTCCATGCGGCAGGCAGCTGCGTTGAGGTGGACAGCGGCTCGGCCTGCAGCCGCAGAGCTGGCGACGGCAACACCGACAGCCACCTCTTGCGAACGTTACATGCGGCGACGACGGAGGCGGCAGAGGCAGCAGCTACCCAGTGCTGGCCAGCCCAGGCTGCAGCGGCAGGGGCAGCAGCAACCTGCCAAGCAGTGCTGGTGCCGCTCTGGGAGGACGTGAGGGTGGAGAAGGCAGTGGCTTGGCTTGATTCCCGTGCCGGGTATCAGCCCCAGCAGGAGCAGCAAGCGTGTGGCAGGATAGACACATGGGAGCTTCCGGCGGGCTCATCACCTCCACCTCTACCCCAGTTGAAGCCGCATCCGCAGCCGAAGCCGAAGCTGCAGTGCGAGCAGCGGCAGAGGCGGAAGTGTCGACGGCAGAGGCGGTTGCGGTTGCGGCTGCGTTGGCCTTTCCAGTCTTTCGCGCTCTGCGGTCGCTGTAAGGACCGCCAAGCGCGGCCTGGACAGTTGTGGCGGCGGCGGTGGCGGGGCGGTGTTGTGGATGGTAGGCCGGGAGGGGGTGATGCACCGCCGTGGCGGGCTGAAGAAGCGGGTGTGGGTGTGGGTGCAGCAGCCGTCCCGGATGATGAGGCATTGCTGCCCGGCGGTGCTGGAAACGGCGTCACAGGAAGGCGCAATCACACGGCGGCAGCAGCTGAAGCACACGCAGGGGCGGAAGCGACACTCCCGGGATTAGCCGTGCCAGAAGCGACGAGCGACGCACTGCTGAGATCGGCACCAGCGCCGCCAGCGATGGAGCGAACCGCTGCCGTACGATCCGTAGCAGCCGCAATGCCGTCGGTGACGCCCGCAGCTGCAACACTGCTGCCCGGTCCTAAACCGCCAACCGCCGCTTACAAAGGTTTGTGGAGTAGCAGCACCAGTGTAAGCGGAGGCTCCGTAGGCAGCTGTCGCAGCAGCAGCAGCAGCGGCTTGGCCAGTGGCATAAGCGACACCGGGGATGCCGCCAGAAAACCGTGCTCGTCAGCAGTGACGGGCACGAAAGCTACTGCCACTACTAACGCAGCAAAGCTCACTCGCGTCATCACCCGCTGTCGTACCTGGAGGGAGCTGCAGACTGCCGTACACGCGTACGGCTTGGCCCGCATGAATGCCGTACACGTATCGGCGGCGTTGACGGTGTTGTCGCGCATGCAGCTTTCGCTGCTGCGTCAACCGCCGACACCTTGGAATCCGCTGACGTACAGTGATTCTCCTAGCGGCAATGGTGGTGGTGGTGGTGGCGGCGGCGGCGGGGCCGGAGCTGCTGCTGGAGAGGCCGCGGCCGCAGCAGCAAGGGAAGAGCTACAGGCAAGAGGCGAACGGCTGTCGTGTGCTCTGTGCTCTGTTCTGTTGCACCGGTATTCCGTCGCGTTGCCTGGTCCGCAGTGTTTTCCGTGTGGTGCTTCTAGGGCTGATTGCCTGATCCCCACCCCATGCCTTGCTCTCATGCCTCTTCCTCTTCCTACGCTCCTGCAGGCGCTGATAGCCGGGCTGCTGGGCGCCTTCCATCGCCACCTGCTGGCCACCTGGAGCGCTGCAGCCGCCACCACCACCACCACTAGCAGCACTACTACAACTCCACCTGGCAGCAGCAGCAGCAGCAGCAGCAGCAGCAGCATTGATGTCGCTAACCACCGCAGTAGCGAGCTTCTGGAAGCAGCAGGGGGTAACATTCCCCTAGCAGCAGCAGGAGCCGCAGCAAGCGCGGCAGCAGTGGCAACGGGGATTGGGCCTTCTTCCTCTCCGGCTCCTGCTGTCCCCACTCAGCAGGGTATGCCAAGCGAATGCCCGGGTCTGGGTCCCCGGCAGCTCGTAAACGGCTTGGCGGTACTGGCACGGCTCCGAGCTGCAAGGTGGGCTGATGCGGGGCCCGGCGGCAGCAGTAGCGGTAGCAGTCGGGAGGTGGTGGGGCTGGCAGTGGCGGCGGCCGCTGCCTGCTGGAGACTGGAGGAGGCGTTCCCGCCGCAGGTAGGGGAACACGGCGGCCTAATTCTTGACTCGGCCAACCAACCCTGCGTCCCTGTAACGCTTACAGCATGCGACTTGAACGTCCATCCATCCAGAGGTCTGCAGAAGACCTTAGCCAGCTCTCACGAGCCCTAGTCCTTCCCAGGCTTCCCTTTCACCGCACCACAACGTGTCCCTCTTCCTCCTCCTCCTCTTCCTCTGGATACCGGGCCACAGGAGCTGACAACGCTGCTTTCCTCCGTTGCCAAACTAGGCTACCGGCCGAGTCCCAGCTGGATGGAGGCCGTGTGTGCCGCCGTCAGCGCCGCCGCCGCTGCCGGCCGCCTGTCACCCCGCCAGCTGGCCACCGCGCTCTGGTCCCTGGCGACACTCCGCTACCGCCCCTCGCCGACCTTCATGAACACATGGCTCAGAGCCTCCGCGATCGCGATGCCGTACTTCAATGCGTACGATGTTAGTCAGGCGCTGTGGTCCCTGGCGACGTTACATCGGCCGTCGGCGATGACGTCGGCAACTCATGGCCTTCCCAAGGCATGGGTCAACGCGGCGCTGGCGCGTGCGGCGGCGGTGCTGCGGCCCGGCGCCGCCGCCACCCCTCAGGACGTGTGTAACACCCTTTGGGCCGTTGCGAGGCTGCAGCTAGCGCCGCCGCCGGCATGGTCGGCATCCGTGGCGGCGACGCTGCTGACGGCGCCGTACGGCACCCTGCAGCGTTGCCGTCCGTACGACATCGCATCGTTGATGTGGGCGGTGGCGACGCTGCTGTGTCGAACGCCGCCGCCGGCGGCGCAGTTGCATCGCCTGACGGACGTGGCGGCCGACTTGGCGGCCGCGGGGCGGCTAAGCGAGCAAGACTTGGGTAACGTGCTTTGGTCCCTCGGGGTTCTGCGGCTCCTGCCGGATCGCCGGGTGTTGGGGGCACTGTGCGCGGGGCTGGCGGGGGCGGCGGCCCGGGGACAGGCGGGGCCGCAGGTTGTGGCGACCGCGGTTTGGTTCCTGGCGCGGCTACGGCTGAGGCCGGATCGCCGCCTGCTGCTTAGCCTGCTGACGTCCGCAAGTCGCTGTGCTGCCGCCGCAGCCGCAACCGCCGCCGGCGACGGCGAAGCACAGAGCGGCGTCAAGGTGGTCGCCTTCGGGTCACACAGCGCTGCTCTCCTGTTGTACGGCTTGGCACGGCTGAAACACCTGGACTGCCTGCCGCTGTCCCTGGACCTAGTCGGGGACGCCACGGAGCTGTCGCCGCCGCCGTCGCCGCCGCCGTCGGCAACGACGACAGCGGCGGCGGCGGCGACTGGGCAGTCGCTGTCGGCCGCATTGCCGCCGCCGCCGTCATGGCTTCGCCCCATCCTCAACGCAGCGTTGCATGGCCTGACAGCAGCGGGGTTCGAGGCGTCCAATGCAGGTGCCGCCGCTGGCAACGTGGTAGCGGGTGGTGGCGGCGGGTCGCCTCAGCGGACGCTGCCGGTGCTCCTGTGGTCGGTGGCGCGGCTGGGGTACCGGCCTGAGGAGAGCTGGGTGCGGTGCGTGCTGGTGCACAGCGTGGAGGTGAGGTTGCCTGTTGGTTCTGTTCAGGTCCCAGGGTTTGGAGATGTAAGCTAGTTACCGACCCAGCTTACCGACCTTCCTGTGCTCAGCGTATGACATGCGCTCCAAGCCAGTGCTAACATGTTAAACTGTGAAGCCCTAGTCCTTCCGAACAACACTTTCCCCCGACTGACCTGTTTGCCGCTGCGGCCGCCGCCTCTTCCTCCGCCACCCCGCTGCTACCTCCACCGCTGCCGCAGCTCCTGCCGCTACTGAGCCTCGCGGAGACATGTCTGGTGGTTTCCGCACTTCGCTGGCTGCGCTGCCGGCCGCCGCAGCTGTGGTTGCAGCGGGTGCAGCAGCTGCTGCGGACTCGCTGGCTGCCGGCGCAGCAGGAGGCGGCCAGGGCGCTCGCGGAGGCAGAGGCGGAGCTGCTGCGGCTGCAGCAGCCAGCGGCGGAGGCAGGGCAGCACCCGACGCCCCCGATGCCGACCCCGATGCAGGGGAGCCTCATACATGGCGGGCTGTCATTATGCCGACCGCGGCAATCAGACTTGCTGCGTCAGCAACAGCAGCAACAACGGCACCAGGAGCACTTGCAGCAGGACGGGCGGCAGGGGCGCCATCAGGAAGGCCAGCAAGAGCGGCCGCAGCAGCTACAGCTGGCAGAGCTGACGCTCCAGGCGCTGCACGATTGGGAGGAGCGGCTGCAACGGGAGGTGTTCTGGCGGCGAGGCCGGGAGGTACACCTGCGGACGTCACTGCACAGGCTGCGGCTGGGGCTGCGGGCACTGCATGCGCGTGAGGACCCGCCGGGACCCCAGCAGCGGCAGCGGCAGCGGCATCAGGCGGGTGGCAGCAACCAATCCAGTAGCGGTAATAACAGGAGGCGGTATAGAGCAGCAGCAGTAGGCACGGCAACAACAACAACCCAGCGGATCGGCGGAGCAGGGAGACGGGTAAAGGGGAAGGCAGAGGGCTCCAGCAAGCGGTTGTCTCATGCTGTTATAGCCCCATCTGAAGAGCAGGGCACGGGTTCGGGCCGGAATAGGCTTTGAGGGTGTAGGCACCCGGCGAACGAGGGTGTTTTGCATGAGTGAGTAGTATGCACAGCGAAAAGAGAGAGGGACGGAGAGAGGCAAGCGAAAGCGTGATACGGGGTATGTATGACGAGATAGGCAAGATAGGTAAAGGAGGGGCCGTGTCTCTTAAGTGGTGCAGGTGGCGCAGGCCAGGTCCGCCGGGCACTCAATGTGGTGCAAGGTGTTGCAGCCTTGTTGTTTGTTTCGAACCCTTGACGTCGGTAGCGTTTCATAGCAGTTGAGAGTGGAGCTTCCCAGGACAGTCTCTTACAAGTGTAGAGTAGGGGTAGAACGGTAGGGTAGGAGCTGCAGTGTGGGCAAAGACGCAGGTGGCTGTCGTTGCTAGTTAATGTGAGCTGAGCGGCTTGTGGTGGAAAGCACGTGGCGAGAGCAGCGTAAGAGTGTATGTGTGTGTGAGAGAGAGAGTGAGTGGGAGGAGACGTGTCTTCCTGGATAGTTTTTTTGAGTGCATCATTCGTGTGTGGAGAGGCAGGCTTGGAATATGCGGCTGCCATCAAGGAGGAAGAAACGTGCTGCAAGTGGATGTTTACCCAGGGCATTATTCCGCGTCTGTGGCGTGCGTTCGGTTCGCGTGTGAAGGCAAATGGAGCGAAGGGGTTGCAGCCCTCAGCTAGTGTCATGCGTGCCCCACAGCGTGCCAGTACTCCCGGTAGTGCTTACTGAAACGTAAGTTTCCTTTGACCACAGCCTTGGCTCCATTAGTATATACACCAACAAGACACATGATTAGTTCCTTCTGATAAACTTTTAGCACAGGCTACTTCGGCAGTACGGGTACTGTACAGGACGTACAAGCGGTGTTGGACACCATGCTTATGCAAGGGGCGCAGATTTTGCAGAGTATTACAGTCTAGTGTTAGTGTACGCAACTTATAACGTGGCCATCGCCTTCCAGGCGGTTGGCTTGTCCCAACGGCCGGCATTACCTTGCGTGCTAGCTCAACAGAGGATACAAGGAAGCATATGCGAGTACCATTTAATGTAGCCGTTGCGAACTTTAAGCGACTGAAGCCGAATTTCCAGCGGGCTCGAGCGAGGTTGTTGGAAAGCAAGCATGCCGAACACAGGTAAAAGTTCGGTATTAACAATGTAAAGGAAGCCTGTGATCGTTCACGCTCCCGCATATGCATTTTCCAGTTGGGCGACCTCCGGACGATGAGCTTCTTGCCGTGCTCGTCTACGTGGCTCTTATATTGTTGTGTTTGACAGCAATTGTTCTTATAACACATGCAATTCAGGTAAGGTGTGGCTGGGGCCATATCCTTGGATTCTGTCTTGGACGGGTTGCGCGTTGATGGCGCACGGGCATCCAATAAGGGGAGAACTCTAGTCTAGCATCCGCTGCGTCCAGGCACCGTTCAGCACGTGGACGAAGACCTTGTAGCCGTGTCTTGGGATAACCCTCCCTATCTTCCCCGGGGTCTGCACGTGGCCTTGCAGGTGTCGTATGACAAGAAGCAAGCGGAACGCGTAAGTACCGCTCACAAACCGCCTCGCCGACCATCAGCCTGAAGGCACTTGCACGCCTGCGGCTACCGGCCACATGCGCCACACTATAAATACATCAACACACCCTCCTCCTCGCGCATGTTATCAGGTCTATAACCCCATCCCTCACACATACTACCCCAGTTTCCGTAACATGGCCCCCACATGCGACATGCCCGTACACAGGCGCGTCTGGAAACCCTTGAAGCTTCCCGTAAGCGTCTGAGGACCCTCGCAGATCGCCACCGAATCTACGTCTCCCCCTTCACCACCACCGCCGCCACACCCACCGGCCACACCCCAGCAGCTGCGACCCACTTCTCCTCCTCCCCAGCTCCAACCTCCATCTCAGACGCCGCCGCCACACCCTTCGGCGGCGGCAGCTCACGTCCCTCGTCCAGCTTTGAGGGAGACGGCGGACGCAGCAGCAGCGGCGGCTGCGGCGGTAACGGCAGCGGCGTCACAGCCACGCTTCTAGCCACAGCGACCTCGCTGCTGCTTCATCGCCGTAGGGGCTCGGCCACGGGATTACCGCCTGCCGCCTCCGCCCCGGCATCTGCAGTCAGTAGCGGTGCCAGCGGAGTCGGCGCCACCGGCGGCGGCGGTGGAGGCCTGGGGGGCTTGTTAAGGCGTTGCTGTACAGCTGGGGTTGCCTCTCACAATGCGGGCGGCTGCGAACCCGGTGCTCAACCGCAACCGCAGCAGTACCCGCAGCAGCAGCAGCAGCAGCGGCGGCGTTCCTCCACCGAGTTGCTGTTTTGCAGGGAGAGTGGCGGCCCGCTGGAGATGAGTCAGGTGCTAGGCAGCGTGACTCCGGAGGCAATCCTGAGCACCCGCCAGGTGTGTGGGATCCTCTGGCCGCGATATGTTGCGCATCTTTGGTGCAGCTTTAGGGAGTCAGGTTTTGGGGGAAACGTAGCAGTGGAATGGGTTAGGATTTGCGCATCTGGTGCTGCTGCATGTCCAGAGGTTGACGACTGAGGTTGCATGTACCGGTATCCGTGGATGGATGGGCTGCCTCGGGTAGCAGGCAGGGGGCCCACTGCCAACGTCCCCTTTAGGACTGATGGTCGCGCTGCCTTGCACCCACGCAACGCAGTTGGTTGACACGTATCACCTTGCTTGTTGTGTCGATTGGTCGTACGTTCCGCATCTTTCTCCTTCTCCACGCACAGGTGCTGGCGACTTTCAACTACGACTACTCGGCTCTTCATCGCCGGGAGGTGAGCTATGCCGGCAGTGGGCCGAATGCTGGCAATTGGCAGCGACTCCGGCACAGCTGAGGACTCCACACGTTAGGCTGGTTTGGTTGAGTCAACCGTCCAACCAACCGAGGTTATCAATCAAGAACCCATCCTGACCCACCTACAACGTATTTGGCCACCAATGTTCCGGCAGCAGCACTATGGTCCCGTTGGTCTTCCTGGCAAGGGGGTACCGGTAGCGAGTGGCGCTGGGCTTTGGAGTCGCGGATGGACAACTTGGGGCGACGTGAACAGAATGAGGATGGATGAAGCTAGGCCAAAAGGTACAGGTGGGCCTCCAAAAACCAATCATCTAGTTGGAAAACAACACGGAGTCGTTTTAGTGTTTGGTGGTGGTAGAGAAACCCAGCTGTTTGGTGGTGAGGGGAGCCCAGCCGCATGCTGTGGTATGAAATCGACCCTGTATCGGCTTCACACCGCCGCGATCGTCGGAAGATTTGTGTGTGTCCAGACATTTTAGTGTTGTGTATGCGTGTCTGCTATCTGTTGTGCCCGTGAGAATTGTTGCGTCTTAACGTACCGCAAGTTATCGGCATGCGTGTCTTGCAAAAATGTCTTGTCGTACTGGGCATTTCGCATGTGAATCACTACAGAGCAACGATCGCGTTCGTATCCATATCGAGTTCCAAGGTTCTGCTGTGGTGTGTTTGTTTGGGGTTGCGTACCGAAAGAGTTGCCGAGCGGGAAGCGACGTTGCCTGCTACTGACGTTGAACGTTCGTGGGACGGAGTTCTAGGTAGGTGAAAGGCGGGTCCTTGGTAGACATTAACAACGAGCCTTGCGGAGCGATTCTGGCGCTTTATGAGTAAGCACGGACCTGCATACCTAGAGTGAGTTACAGAGGAACCCAATGGGGCCTGCGGAGCCCCAAGGGCGGATGCTGTCGGAGTGGCGGCCCTGTGTTAGGGGGAGCGATACGTGACTGCACGTATGCCTGCATGCAGCAAGCGCACCCCCATCCCGAAACGTCAACCCCGGACGAGAATGCTGCACCGTCCTCTGCCTGCATTCGCTTTTGGGTTTGGAATTGTGTGTTGTTGTTGTTGTTGTTGTTGTACTTTGTTGTGGGTTACTGTTGCAAGTGCTGCCGTGGGATACTTCGTAGAGCTGGTTTAGAGCTGTTTGGGTACTGGGTGTTTCCTGGAAAGGACTGTGTTCCCTTCGCGCCGGGAGTTGGAGGCCAGCAAGACAAGAGGCGTGGGTGTTCCTGACTCTGGAGGAGGGAGCTCAGCAGCATTTAGCTGGCTCAGATGGCCGGATTGGCCGTGTCTGACAAGCCTAAGGTGTTAGCCGCCCTCGGCTGCACGCCTTCTGTTCCGTCATGCGTTTCTGGGTAGCTTTGCCTTTGGGTGCGGCACGAGTGGTTTGTTGGGTGTTGGAAGGATGCTGTCCTTTGCGATGCGTTATTTTTGGAGGGCCGTTGAGCGGACGTGAGAGGGAAAGGAAATGCGAAGCTACGGGCCTGCATTTGGCTGAACGTTTCGCCTTTCGCCTCCTGTTGTCGGTCGAGGGGCATGTTGGTTTCTTTTTTTGGAGAGTTGGCATCCTATGAAAGCGGAGAGCACCCTTGGACGTGAGCACCTCCTCTGCTGAGCATGATATTACCGGTATTGCTGCGAGTTGTTGAGTTCATAACATGGTTGGCGAGTTGGATTTGAAAAAAGAGGTTTTGCGTTGTTTTTTTGTGGGACAGGAAGCAGTAGCTGGCAACGGAAGGACGGCACGCGTGCTTCGGCGTGGATGTCCAGTGTGTTCTGTGGCATCCCAGGGTTGCAAACACTAGCAGACGTCGGGTAGTTGAGAAGACAAGACGGAGGATTGAGTGGGTGTGTCCTTCATCGTTTCTGCTGGCTGGCCTCTTAATTTGGTTCATGCAAATCCGGGTGCTTTTGGTGCGGCGCTTGCACTGCATTACCCCATAATGAATTAGCCTTTCGGATGTAGTGAACCAAAAACCGAAGCGAGGTACCGGTAGAGCTCGTTGTTGAGGCGCACAGTTCCCTGAAATCTGGGACTTATTAGCAACAGGAAGGCTGTCGCTGCAGCCGTGGGTGCGGGCGCAGTCCGGCAGTTGGAAGATCTTCAGCTGTCCACCATGTATTGCCTCTGTCCTAACGAAATTGAAGCATGCAGAAGTGTCTGCAGCATCAGGCTGCGGGTCTCAGGCTGGGCAACGGTCACGGCAGGTAGGGGTGGGATGGCGAGCGGCAGCATGGAACAAGGAGATACTAGAAATTGGTGGGGTTACGTGGGTTCACTGGGCCGCTGCCACACAACGTTCTCCTCCTCCTGCTCCTTCCCCGCCACTTCCTTGCCCTGCTCCGCCCGCCGGCGCCCCCCTTGCCCTGGCTGTGGCCCCTGCCCTGGCAGTTAGCCCTAAGCCCGCACTCCTCCTCGCTTCGGAACCTCGGCCACGCATCAGTCCTTTACTCCTTTTCCATGGCAGATGCCATTGCCTGCAGGGGTGGGCGAAGGGAAGAGTGCGACAGGTGGGAAGACGGGCCATTCCTCCAACGTGTCCTCACCTGCACCCTCCCCATCCGCAAGGCCACATGCAGAAGGAACTGGGCGGGAGGGGGCGTGCAGGTCACGAGGGAGGAGCGGGCAGTGGCGTTAGCAAGCTACACATGGGAGCTGGGCCAGGCTAAGCAGTTGGATAGGGTGCTGCGGGCAAATGGCGCCATTCCAGAATTTAATCATTTCACGATCTTGTTGCTTCGAGTCTAATAATATAAACAAAATCATAGCAACGTTCAGGACAAGAAGCAGCAGGCATGTAGCGCTGGGCAGTAAACAAGTTTACAAAATGCAACTACAAGAAGAATCCTTTTATAAATGGACGGCCTCTTACGTATAGCTTGTTTAGCGATTTGGGATGCCGGAATCGGGGCTCACAGCAAGGCTACGTGGCTAGTCCTGGCTACCGTGCCAAACCAGCTCCGGAACTACAACGAGAACGGTCGTGCCAGGAGCGCCAATGTGAAGCATACGTACCGGTACAAGAAGGTTCTGGGAAAAGGTAGCTTTATCACAAACTCATAACTCCAGCAGTTAGGCGGACATGTTTTTGCACGGTTCTTTCTTTTTTGCGAGCTTAGCTAGCGTTCAAAGGCTCCTTTAACCATGGCGCAACCACTTAGTTTGCCCCATGGCGTATGCTATATAATTCGTACGGTAGCTCCGCGATGGCTGTAGGCGCTTGCAGAGCACAAGCGCAGCCACCAGCTCGGCGGCCAAGCCGGACGATTCCCGGAACATAGACAGGCGTACAACCAAAGCCCCCTAGCGCGCAGCGAGGCAGCGCCGAAGGAGCGACCAGGCATCGTCACTCATCCAGCCGCAGCCCAAGTGGGAGCAAGCGCTACCGGTACCATGCATCCCGAAGGCCCTTTCAGTGAAGGCCGTCCAAACGGCCACACCAACCCAACTTGTCCTCCCAGCAGCAGCGAGAGCGACGACAACAACTCCTCTTGCGCCGTCCCCTGCACCGACATTGTTCCTTTCTCCCCGAAAACCGCAAGCTGCCCAGGCAACACCCTCGCCCTTCCCTCCGCTCCTACCCCTGCAGCCCCACAGCCCCTCGTTCTCCCTCCTCCTGCTCCCTCCACCTCCGTCACGTGGCACCAGCTGGCTGACATGTGTCCTCGGACCGCCCGAGGCCGCACGCTGCGAGTACGACTCCTGGATGAGCCCGTCCCGTTCTTTCGTTGGACGGTACTTGCAGTGGATGCCGTAGGCAACGTCGCCTTGCTGGCCTTTTATCATTCCGACCAGCACAATCCACCACTGCCGGGGCTCCGCGCAGGGGCCTGGCTAAGCTGGAGCAACCCCGCTGGGCATGTCTTCCTGGACGGGCGATTTGGCGCGCGCATTGAGGATGAGGATCTGCCGAACATTACGGTGATGGACGAGCGCGGCCGCGTCTGTGAGTTCTCCGGCGCAGGCAGACGTCGCAATGGCGGCGGTGGTGGCGGAGGTGGTGGTGGTGGGAGAAGGAGACGCAAGGGCCGGAATGGCGGTGGCGGTGGTGGTGGTGGTGGTAGTGCAGCGGCGGGGGCAGGAGCGGCAGGTGGCAGTGGAGGCGGTCGTTGCGGTGGTGGTGATTTCGGAGCGGGTTCCAGCAGAGTAGCCGCTGAGTCAGCATTCTCGTCGGCGGGCGCAAACAGCCGCATGGGAGCTGCGGGAGGTGGTACGGCAGCTGCGGGAGGAGGGGACGGAGGGGAGGCGAACGGGAGGGGGTCGGAGGCGGTAGCTGCTGCAGTGAGGCGGCCGGTGGGGGCAGCGGCGCGGCGCGGTGGGGTTCCTCCACGCAGCAAAGAGGTTAACCTGGACTGGGTGGTGCCGCTGGTGCTGCTGCTGCTGGGGGTTGCGGCACTGCTGGTGGCCAGCAGGGGTTAGCGCGCGCGTGGGTAGAACAGTATAACAGGATAGGGTTACTCGAAACGGGCTGTAGTCGGGGCGGTTGAGGTAGTGGCGGAAGGTGGTATGGTATGGTATGGTATGGTGTGGTGGGGAGGTGGTGGCGGGAGTGAGGTGGCAATGGTGTAGTGTAGAGTACGGCTAGCGGTACTTGTTTCGGCAGGATGGTGCACACGTTGTGACATACAAACGCGTCACCAGTATTGCGCAGTAGGCGCTGTCTAGTCCCTTGAAATGTTGAAAAGTTCCAGCGCACGAGTGTATGTATACTCGTGTAAGTAGGGTAGGCTCAGACGCAGACGTTCAGTTACACTGAAGACAGGTACCCTTGCGGCTGCTGCTGTCCCGACAAGCAAATAATAAACGGTCATAACTGTACATACAAGGGAGGGGCTGGAAAGGTACCGAATTGGAACCATTATGCGCCTCACAAGCGCTCCGAACAGCACCCGGCGCCCTCCGGTGCCCATCGCGGACACCCTTGGAGCTTGCAACTGCTGTGTGCCAACTTTCCTAGCTGCTGTCCCGACACGCAAATAATAAGACCTTTGTCATCACAGGAGGCGTACAATGGCACGCCCTTTGTTGTCAGATTGTCGGATTGCAACCTCCGCACAACCTCCCTCGCGCGGGTGTCACCTATTGACCGCTGCTTGTCGTCCATGGCAACATGCACAAGATCGCCGAGCATTAGATACCGTAGAAAGGCAACCCACCCACCCGCCATCACATGCCCCGCTACTGACCACCGCATTTCGGCCATGATAAATCACGCGCAGTATCTTTGCAGTAGTGATAGTGACCCGTATGATCGCCGGCTAAATGCTGTTAGATATACCTCGGACACACACCACGGTCATTCTTCCGGTATTTGTTATCACACCTGCCTCGTGCGGCAGACTAAATTGAAAAGCGGTTAAGCATTAGACACACACATTCGTCCGGCGTGGTGTGCTCCGTACCGACCGTACGCCGTACGACGCACCGTACAAACACCTACCGTACTGCCGCCGCCGCCGTACAGTCTCATCAGCAGTACAGGCTATCAATGCTTCCCGCCTTAGCCAGCTCATAGTTCCGCTGTACCACCGCCCAGTCCACCAGGTACACCCACTGCGCCAGGTAGCTCGCGCGGACGTTGCGATAGCGCAGGTAGTAGGCATGCTCCCACACATCCACTCCCAGCAGGGGCGTCCCATGGGTCGCGGGCGCCGCGAAGCGCTGCATGAGCGGGTTATCCTGGTTGGGTGTGTTCACAATGGCGAGGCTGCCGTTGCTGCGGTACACCACCCAGGCCCAGCCGGAGCCGAAGAGGGAGGAGGCGGAGGAGCGCAGGGCGTCCAGCATGCCGGCGGGGCTGCCCCAGGTGGCGTTGATAAGGGCGGAGAGGTCGGGCTGCAGGTGCGCCGCGGGGGAGGAGGTGTTGTAGCTGGTCATGATCCTGTGGGTGGGTGGTAGGAGGGCCACGGGGATATGAGCCATGCGATCAGGCAGGAGGGCGTTGTTACGGTAAGCAGGGGTGCTAGCCACAAGGAGGATGACTGGATGATAAGATGGATGAAATTGTAAACCGTTACCACCAATACAAGTCATGATCTCTCGAAGCAGCAGGAAAGGCGGGCGCCTGCTGGTCGCGTTGTTGTCCCGCGGCGTCAAACAAGCAACACGACCGCCTTACCTCCAGAAGATGGCGTGGTTGATCATGCTGCCCGCGTTGTTGCGCAGGGCCGTGGTGTCGTTGTCCGCGATCTTGTACTTGTGGGTGAAGCCCTTCAAGCCGATCTGCGGGTGTGCCGTAACGAGGAGGATCGCGGCAAGCAAGGCCCGTTAGTCTTGGAACAACCCGGGAAGCTGACGTGGGTGCCTTGTTGTTGTGCACGTGAGGCTGGAATAAACTGCATACCGGTAACTGGGGCTGTAGCGGCACAAGCAGTACATGACGCCGTGGGTTTAGTCATGCAAGTAGCTAGAGACTGGTGAGTCCTAGCTAGTGGGCTTGATCTGGTCTGGCATACACAGCCCCATCACGCATGTCGCTTGCCAAGGAAAGCTTTCATCATCGAGGGCGCTGAACACATGCAAATCGGCATGTGGACACGGCCAGAGGAACCTGGTGCCCGGGTTACGGCCGTGTGGGTCGCAAAGGCCTGCAGATCGCCAGTCAAATCGGGGCCCCAGCATTTGGGACATTCTGCTACCCCATCTGCTCTGCGGCCCCATCAGCCGCCACAGGCCACACCCACCTTGGAAACCAAGTCGGCGAGTGTGACGCTGTCCCGCAGCGTAGGGTACCGCGCCAGGATGGCGTTCACATTGTTGATGGCGCCCTACGATACATACGAAATCACCATGCCGTTGTTAAGTTTTACCAGGTTGGCGTAATAAATAGAAAATGCGACTTCGAGTTATGGCCTAGAAGATTGGACCCAGGACTCGTCGCTAGGATGGCCTGTCCATGCGCATGCTCGCCACGCGCCATGCGTGTGTGGCGAACGCACTCCACGCCCCCAGGATTACGCCTGGAACATACTTAATACGCCGCGCATTTCCATGTCTATGTTCACTCTGGGAGGACCCAGCTGGCTAACCGAAAGTCGGACAGACATCGCAATTGCACGCGCTCGGGTCTGGGAACCTACCCCAGCGTGGCGAGTGTGGTGCAGATACATGGTCTCATTGTCTATCGCTGGCAGATAGCCGTCGTAAGGTAGCGATAGAGCCGGATTCGCGTAGGTGTTATTCCCTGTACCGGTCGGGCAGCCGCGCTCCCTGTCGGTAGACGGCAATTCCCAATCGTTCAGGGTTTATTCATCACACATGTGCAGTTTGAAGGCGTGTAACAAAACGCGTGTACTTACAGTGCGAGCGCCGCGGTGAATACTTGCAGCGCCAAGACACAGCCGACCAACAGCCGTATAGGAGCCATGTTCGGGTTTTCGTCGTTGTCTTACGCTTGATTGCTCACCTGTATCTGCGTAATGGGCATGCGCCTGCGTTACCTTAAGTAGACTAGTAAAGTAGTAATACTGTACGAACCTGCCCCGAAGCCAGAATCAGGCTTCGGAGGTCCAGCGGCAACGGAAAGGGATTTTGGGAGAGGTATGTACCGGTATAAGGCGTTGGTAGAATGAGATACCACTATTCAGCACAGTCTATACTAGCACTAACAGCTCGAGCGTTAAGTACCGTACAGCAAGCGGGCTTAGGCCACATCTATTTATATTGATCATCCACATAGGATTTCGTGTTTACGCTACACGTAGCTGAAGAGGTACCAGGGATTAACCTGGTTCCAAGCCACAACGATGGTGAACACTTTCAACACCTCACGACATACCAGTTCGCCGACTCTCCAGACGCGAAGACCTGGGCATCGGGGTCTATCACCGAACATTCGGCCCTGGTCATTCACTAGGTGCGGGATGGCCTCTACCTCAAGCTTCACCTAGGCATGCATATGGCAATTGCAGACTCCACGCTCAGCATCATACACGTTTACATCTTACAATCCGCCTATGACATAACGGTTTGTGCACATCAGTTCCACGTTTCTCCCTGACGTCAACCTGACCTGCTTTGCCCCTCCTCCTGCTACCTCCTCCTACGGCCATCTTGACCCCCTATCCTTCCGATACCTCAGCCAAGGCCCCCCTCAACAATTTGACACCAATCTTCAACAGCCGCAGCAGCCACGCACCAACACCAGTCTGCTTCCAACCAGCAAACGTCGCTCACGCACCCTTGTGACTCCCAACGCGCTTCCCACTCCGGGCGACAGCAGTACAAGTGACGACAGCAGCAGCAGCAGCAGCCTTCGAAGGCGGCCAAGCAAGCGCGATCCAGACAGCACCAGCCCAGCAGATGCTGCTCCCCTTGGCTTTTGGTCATCCCCTCCTTCATCGTTCCCACCATCCAAAACCTCAGCACCCACACCCTCACCCGCAACAGCAAGCACACCGAGAGGTGCTGCTGCTGCTAGCGATGATGATGATAATTATGATGGTAGCGGCGACGTACATGTAGATTACAGTTTCCTGGACGGCGATGCTGCTGACGGCGCGGATGGTGGGTCCAACAACGGCAGCGGTGGCGGTGGCGTGCGGAGTTCCTCGCTTGCCGCCCTCGCTGCCAACCTGCCGTACATCTCCGACACCAACGCACTGCAGGTGGGTGACGGTTGTGATGTCATGTGGGTGGTGACGGCTGGTGGTGGTGGTGGTGGGTTGGTGCCTGGCGGGTGGCCGGCTGGCGGGGCAAGGAGGAAGAAACGCACAAACTAACCTGGGCTAACCGTACGACAGGGCTCCACCATGGGTTGCATGGGTCTGTGGCGGGTGGGTGGCTGGCTGGCGTGGGAGGGAGGGAGGGAGGGAGGGAGGGAGTGGCAGGGACAACAGCAGCAGGGGCACGTGAGGGCAACGTACGACAGCAGCGGCGTCAGCCCAGTACTTGCATGTTGCATCCCCCTTGACCAGCCAACCACGACACATAGCATCCACTGACCTGCATGCCCCAGCGCGCCACCTCTCTCTCCACATGGCAGGCCTCCCAACAATAGCACCGCTGCTCCCCCTCCCCCTTCCCCTCACCCTCAGACCGCCCTGTCTGCCGCCATCGCCTCCGAGGACTTCCCGCTTGCTGCGGCAGTGAGGGACCGACTGCAGCTGGTGCTGGCGGCTGCGGCTGCGGCTGCCACCACCACTACCTCCCCCTCGGGTGGCCGTATCGACTGGGCTGCCACCGGCCTGCCCGACTGGCTGGCGGACCGGGCAGCGAGGCTGGGGTTCGCATTCCCCACGGGTGGGTGCTGCGGGGCTGCTGGACAGACGGGTTGCTGGACAGATGTGGCAGCTAGAGTTTGGGGTGGGGGGGTACAGGAGGAAGACCGCAGAAAAGACGGGATGGGTTGTGGTTTGCCCTTAGCACCAGCCCTTTTCCATTGTTGCTGTCCTCCCGCCTCCCCTCCCCTCCGCCTCCCTGCAGAGGTGCAGCGTCGCTCTGCTCCCGTGCTGCTGGCGGGTGCTGACGCGGTGGTGGGGTCGGAGACGGGCAGCGGCAAGACGCTGGCGTTCCTGCTGCCGCTGCTGGCGAGGCTGAGCTACCCGCCCGACATATTCCTGGACGACATGAAGGTGGGGAGGTGGAGTGGGGTGGGGGTTAGAAGTAGTGGTCTGACAAAGCTTCATCAAGGGTTGCATGAGGGTGGAGGTGTGGGAACATGCAGGACGGCAAGGGTAGGCTGCTGCTGCAGCTGAAGCTGAAGGGGGCAGCTGCAGCCGCTCAGCTGCGGTTGGCGCATATCTGCCCCCCTCCCTGCAACTACCGGGATTCGGGGCCCCAACCCGTCCTCCAACATCCTCTCCCCCCTCCCCCTGCCCCCTCCCCCCCCAGGGCCCCCAGGCGCTGCTGCTGGTCCCCTCCCTGGAGCTCGGGGTGCAGGCGGCGCTGCTGGCCTTCCGGCTGCTGGGTGGCAACATCAGCAGCGGCAGGCCGGGGGACCGGGCCAACATGTTCACGTACAGGGGGCCGCGGGGGGTCAAGGTGAGTGGGTGTGGGGGGTAATGGGGATACATATTCCGCATTGGGCTGGATAGTTGGTAGTTGATACCGGTGGTTGAGGATGGGGAGGGGAGGGGAGGGGAGGGGAGGCGGTGGAAGGAAGGGGAGGGGAGGGGAGGGTGGAGGCGGTGAGGGCGTACAGTGATAGCACTGGGGTGAGGTTGGTTAGAGGTCGGTGGTGAGGGTTGTCGGGAGTGTCGTGCTGGTTGGGCTTTTGCCTCGTTGTGCCCTTGTGCCCCCACCCAGCCGCGTGGGCCGAGTGGGCAGGTCCTCCATGTGTGCACCCTCCACACGCTCCAACCGCAACCGCAACCGCCACCCCTCCACACTGCTCCCCCCCCTCCAGGTTCGCGGCGTGCTGAACAAGGAGGAGGTGGTGATGGCCAAGTCCTCCCTCACGTACCTCAGCCAGGTGGGGGAGGGGGGGGGATAGGGAGGGGAGCTATGCGTGTAGGGTTACTTGGAACAGGCTGTGTATATGCGGGGAGGGGGGGGGGGAACAGAGGAACCGAAGCAGCGCATGACAACCCCGGGACACACCGCACAACCCCGACACCCCGCCACCACCTTCCTGGCCGCCTATGTAACGTTATTTGACCCAATCCATCCAACCATCACCCTCCCTCCTCCCAGTTCCTCCAACGCACCCCCTCCATCCGTCCTAATGCAGAAACCTCTACTAACCCCCCTACCTGCCCCCCCTACCCCCCTACCTCCCCCCCGCCCAGGTGCACCTGGTTGTGGGGACCCCCGCTGCGGTGATGGAGGCGGTGCGGGGGCCGCAGCCGGTGCAGCTGCTGAAGCACCTCAAGGTAGGGAGGGCGGGGGCTGACTAAAGACTAAACCGAGCCATAAAAAACAGAGGGGGGAGGGGCAAACATACGTAGGAGAGGGGTGGCGGGCGGGGGCTGGTGGGGATGGGGTGACGGCAGGGATTTGGCTGACTGTTTGAATGCACGGCAGAACGCATGGCGACGGGAGGGGCAGCCCTCAGGCCTCAAGCCAGACAGGGCCGGCTGCTACTGCTGCTGGCGGGCCTCATTCGTCCACCACCAGCGCCGCTCCCCCCCCCCACCCCCCCACCCGCTGCCCCATGCAACCCCGGCCAGCCCCTCGACTGCCCAACGCCCCTGTGGCGCCTCCCTCCACGCCGGGCCCGGCCCCCGCCTTGTCCCCATCATGTTCCCCGCCCCCCCCCCCTCCCATTGGGACTCCAGTTGCTGCACTTATCAGTTATTCCCACCCCCCACCCACCCTGTCCGCCCCCCTGTCCGCCCCAGGTTCTGGCGGTTGACGAGGTGGACGAGTGCTTCCGCTGCTGGCCCGAGGACATGCAGCAGCTGATGGAGGCGGCTGCGGGGCGGGGCGCGGAGCAGGAGGGGGGAAACTCCTTTGGCAGGAAGCCGCAGGTGCGGGGGGACTCGGAGAGGGAGGAGGGAGGGAGGAGGGAGGGAGGAGGGAGGAGGGAGGGAGGGCATGCGGGGCTCATGCAGGGAGGCGGGGGTGTGGCCCGCATGGCAAGGTGCGCACACCCACCCTTGCCTCACCTCCCTCACCTCAACCCTCGCCTCATCTCCCCTCTCTCACTCCTCCTCTCATCTCCCTTCCCTCTCCCTCACCCCTCATCCCTCTCCCTTCCGCTCCACCCCTCCCCAGGTGGTGCTGGTGGGCGCCACCCAGCAGCCGGAGGTGCTGCAGACCGCCCTGGAGCGGGGCTGGATGCGGGTGAGGTGGGCGGGGGGGAGGGGGGTAATAATAAGGAAAACTGACGAACTTGGTGACGAGGCTTCCCGTTTGGGGATGAGACACCCAGCCCAGGAGACAGCATAGGGGGGAGGGCGCTGTGTTTCCTCGCGATCATGCGCTTGCACCCACATAACCCCTTGAACCCGCCATGTGACCCGTGGGTCGGGTCGGTTCCCCGCTGCTGCTGCTCCCTCTCCCTCCCCATTGTCCCTCCCCCCATGTCCCTCCCCCCCCCCACAGGAGCCAGTGAATATCCAAGTGGGCCGCCAGGGCTCCGTTCCCAGCCTGCTGGAACACCGGTGAGGGGGGGGGAGTGGAGGGGAGGGGGGGGCGGGTAAGCGGGACGGCTTGATGACGTTGCCTGGATGTGGGGACGGGGTTGAGGGGGTGACGGGGCCCTGCACGATGGCGGTAGTGCTACCGGTAATGCAGCACTACTTCCCCCATCTTTCATCCACATCTTGCATACCCGGTATATGTCCTCTATCTCGCCTCTCACCCCGCCCCCCGCTATACCCATCCTCGCCACCCCCGCCTCCTCGCCCGACTCGCTCGACTCACTCAACTCCATGTCTACGGAGCTTGTCGTTCTCCATTTCCATTTTTCCCTCCTCTTTCCCATTCCCCCCTCTCCCCCCCCCTCAGCTACGTGGTGGTCCCCCCCGCCCGCCGCCTGGCCGCTCTCACCGCCCGCCTGCGTGCCGACCTGGCAGCCGCCGACCCCGACGCGCCGCCCGCCCGCGTCATCGTGTTCGCCAACCAGCCGGCCGAGGTGGCGGCGATGGCGCAGCCGCTGAGGAGCAGTCTGTGGGGCGAGCACAGCATGGCGATGCTGGTGCCGCCGGGTGGGTAGGGGGGCGGCAGGGGTCGGGAACGAGGGGGAGAAAAGCCTGAGAGCAGGGTGGGGAGGGGCGTGGGGGGGGATCCGTGACCCGTGATGAGGTCAGGGTGCTTGGTAGGGCGCGGCTAGAAGGGTATGGAGGAGGCCGCTGATGGCGGTCCCCTCAGGTTCGAGGTTGGAGAGCAGTAGGGGCTTGGGCGTCGTGGGGCCGTCCATGGGAGCAGGACGCTGTAGGGTAAGGAGGTGTGCCTCAATGGGATCTTCCCCAGCGCCACCAGCGCCTGTTGCATGCCGAGGCAATGCTGCTGCTGCTGCTGATGGTGGTGGTGGAGTGCTGATAATGCTGTTGCTCCACTGCTGCTGTTGCAGGTACCGTGCTGGGTCCTAATGCGGACGACGGCGAGGAGGAGGAGAATGATGCCACGTCCTCCTCCTCGCAACCCGACTTTAGCAGCAGCAGGTGGAGCAGCAGCAGCAGCAGCAGAGGAGCAGCAGGAGGAGGGGCTGCAGGAGGGGAGGAGTCATGGGCGGTTGCAGCGGGCCCAAGCGGCAGCAGCAGCGGCAGTGCGGGTGATGCCTCCAGCAGCGCAGTGGAGGAGATGTTCGGTGAGCGGCAGCTGGGTTACACTAGCGGTACTGGGTCTTCCTCCCCTTGACTGACATGCTTCCCCCTCCCTGCTGTCTTGCCTCCCAGTTTTAGTGCTCCTGTTACCACCACCTCAATGCTCAATCCCATGGCCGTTATGAGTTTCACTTCCCAACCCACCTAGCTTACTGCATACCCGCATGCGGACAATGCAATATACGTACGGTATTCAATCCGGCGCCCTGCTGCCGGTGCATCTCCCTAACCACCTTGCCCTCCCTTCTCTCACCCCCTGGCCTCCCTCCCTCACCTCTTCCTCAACACACCCTCATCCCCCCCAGCCTACAACCCCATCCGCGCCCTCCACGCCTTCCGCGACCACAAGGTCTCCCTGCTGCTGGCCTCCGGGGCGGCCGCCCGCGGACTGGACCTGCCGGCCGTGGCGGCGGTGGTGAACCTGGGGGCGCCGCCGGACGCCACCGCCTACCTGCACCGCGCGGGCAGGGCGGGCAGGATCGGCTCGCTGGCAGGTGGGGAGTCGGCCGGGGAAGGCTGTGGAAGGCCGCTGGGTTGGGGATGTGCTTGCATGGCTCTGCTGGTGTCGTGCGGGTGGCTTGCGATGCTGCTTCTTTCGTGAGGAAGGGGCATGCTGAGTCAGTGCTGCTTGTGGGCTCCAGCTCCGCCGTGTCCATGCCTGCATGCGTCGAGGCACCCATGCGTACCCATGCCACCCTTGCCCCATGGTAGGGGTTCGTTAGTCGTTTCCTCTGTATTTCCCATGGTAGTGCCCAGTTGCAATGGGTGGTCTCAGCTCCCTGCGTGTACCGGTCCACCTCGGCCACCCATGCCCAGGTGGCGTGGTGACCAGCATCATAGCCCCCGAGGAGGAGGAGCTGCTGCTGGACCTGGGTGCGCAGCTGGGCATTGAGCTGGTGCGGGAGGAGGAGACGGCGGGGCTGCTGGGGCAGCTGCCGCGACTGCAGGCGCCGGAGGATGATGACGGTGGCGAGGGCGAGGAGGGCGGTGTTGGGAAGGGAGAGTGGGGAGCTGCAGGGGATGATGGGGTGGAGGCGCGCTGGGGAGGAGCGGGGGCAGCGGGGGAGCAGGGTGAGGGGAGCAGTGAGTTAGGAGATGTGGAGCGTGTGCGGAAGGGTCTGGAGGATCTGTTTAACCTGATGTAGGAGTAGGTTCTGGTATAACCTGTGATTGTTTGTTTGTCGTTTTCACGGCGTAGGTTTTGGGCTTGACTGAAGAGTGCAGCGTGTATATCTGCTAGCATGAAGCGGGCATGCGTGCCTACAAGTTTTGCGTGATTTGGGTTGTGCTGATGAGATTATGCGGGCAGGACCCAGACCTGCCCGGACTGCATGCTACGTGCTCCAATGCCTCACTTCCGGTGTCATCTGCAGACATGCAGCGATGCTGGACGGTGGCAGGGAATGGAGCCCACGTGGAACGGGTAATCTAATCGGACCCAAGCGCTGTGCTGCCGGCCGGACGCAACATGGACTAGCACGCAAAGCGCCTAGCAAGGAACAAGTTATCTTCCTGCCTGCACACCGCGACTGAAGAGACTATCCAAGCTGTGTACGTAGTTGCGCAATACCCAACCTCCACAACTGCTTTTAGGACACACGACCGTGCCAACATGAGGACACCAAGTGCGCAAATTCTCCGCTATGCAGTTTAGACACCCCTTGCGTCCGCTACGGTCATGAAGCGAGCATCCACGGGCACGGCGCATACGCGCCACATCACTGCTTACCTCGTCCAGAAGCTGCCGTATGCTCCTGTGCTGCCACCTCTTTTAAACTGTCCTAGCTGTCTTAGCAATTTTAGTCCATGCAGCGCTTCACCCTATGTGCATTGCTGGAGGATTGCTTGCATGCGACTTGGAACTTGAGCGCACAGCCACAAAGAAAGGCACGAGTCCGGTCAGTTTGCATGCAGTTACAGCGCAAACAGCATGGCCCCTCACGCTGCGTGGCTCGCCTGTCAGGGCCCGCTTCAGGCGAACCAATCAACTGCCCAACGGCCCATTGCGTTGGTGACGTTCCGCTGCCTGGACATGCGGATTAGAATGTATCCCAGGTGCCTTAGCACACCACGGCCTTTTCAGGCCGGGGGCAATGCAGCCAAAGCCAACCAACTCGGGGCATGACTAGCGGCAGCCGCCACTGCAGTCGTCTGATCGCCTCAGCAGGCCGCCCCTTCCCCACACGCAGGCGCAGCTGCCAGCCCATGACGCAAAACGCCTCCAAAGCGGAAAACTGGACACCATGGGAGCTGCCGTCCCTCGCACCATGCTACAACACCACCGGCTGCTGCTGCTACTGCTGCCGCTGCCGTGGGAAGAAGAACAGCCGCTCGCCGCCCTGCTGCTGCTTCCTTCAAGGGATGCGGCGGGGAGGGCAGCAGCAGGTCGCCCTCCGCGCCCGGGGCCCCAGCGGGGGGCTTACTCCGCGGTGTCGAAGTTGTCCACCAGCTCCGGCACGTCTGAAGGGAGGAGATTCGGTGCAGCGAACCGGGTTGGATGAAGTTATATAGACGTCGTGCATTGGGGTAGAGGGAGTGATGGCATACACGGGGCGATTAGAGCCGTGGAAGCCACCCAATGTGCACAGTGTAGACTGGCCAATAAACGGGTCCAGAGGGGACCTTGCGGTGGGGAATCAAATACAGTGTAACCGCATGTTGGGCCACGCCCTCCCCCGCGTGGTTTTCCCCACCCGCCACCCCTGAAGAGCATGGGTAAAGAGGCAGCGCAACCAAAACAAAGCCGCTGGCTCACCCTCGTCGTCGCCGCCAGCAGCGGCAGCCGCGCCAGGGGCAGCAGCTGCGGCGCCGAGGCCTCCAAGGCCGCCCATCATGTTGGCAAGTCCGCCGGGCATGCCGCCCAGCTGTGATTGGGCACGGAAAAAACGCATTTTATGTTAGAAGTGGACTGAAATTTTGTAAGCTGTAGCCAACAACAACTGCTGGCCTCGTAAGCGACTGAAAGCGCCGACACGCAACATTCGCCGGTGTTACATAGTCCATTATAGGGGTCCCAGCACCGTACCTGCTGCATCATCTTCTTCAGGTGAATCAGGCTGTCTGGCCCCATCTGGTTAAGGATGCCGGGCAGGAGCTCCTGGATCTCTGCCGGCGCGACGGGGTCATGTTGTTAGTTCCCTTTCCAAGCGGCTTAACCCAGCTGCGATCGACAATTTGTTATATTACTTACTCTTCTGCTGCGACGGGCCGCTGATGACGTAGGTGTTGGCGGCAATGGACGCTTGCACTGCAAAGAGAACAAGGTTGCTCGCGGTCAGCCCAGAAAATCTCATCGAGCAGAATTCCGTGTAGCTTAAACCCACCCTTAGGGTTGACAAAGTGGATGACAGTGTCGTCCTTGAAGATGTTCACCTCCTCAATGCCCGGGATGGTGTTCACGCCCAGGCGCTTGAGGGTGTTTTGCAAGCGCTTGTCGTCAGTGGACGTGGTCTTGTGCACGGCCTTCTTCTTTCTGTGCACCAACAATTAATACAACGCGTGTCAGAAAGGCTCTCATCGGCATACCGCGCCTCCAGCCGCCGCACCTCCGGACAGAGCCCTTGCCGCCGGTGCGCACGGCACCGGCCATCTTCATAAGCTTATCGCGATCCATTTTGCTGCGCAGAGGTATGAAATGCGTTGAGAACGTAAGAGGCCAATGCCTAAGTAGCCTGGTAGCGAAATCCTGCTATAAACTCACTTCGGGGCAGTAGACCCCTATAAGGTGTAATGGGTCCTTAGCGTGACCCTAGTGTTGGGAAAGGGAGGCAAAATGCGTCAGCGTGCACCCAAGTCCGCCATCCGCGCGTTGGGCCCAGGTAACCAATACATCGTCCCACCCGCTTTCGCACCGGCTGGCTTACCCAGACAAACGCAATCAGGTTTATTGAAACATAAACCGTTTATTCTGTGGCAAGTCTATTTGTCCCTCAAGGGGGCACTTCACAAGCATTTCTACACTTCACTGGATTCCCCTTAACTGTTGATGGTGTCATTTGTATTTGCGGAAGACCTACCATTGCGGCAGCTTGTGAGGAGTGAATGCGGCAGCCCCTGCTGCCGTCGTCTTCAACCACCGTCGCATGCGAATGCCTGCTACCATTTCGTGCGGGCTTTTTTAAGAACGAGCAGCCAGCCCCCAGGCCGCCCCCCATTGGTTTGCATTGGGCAGCATCTACGCAACTAGTCCCAGAAGGTCGGGCACGGAAGGCGTGTAGTCTGGCCATGTGTGTTTCAGCGGTGACGCCCAACAAGCCCTTTGGGACAAAACTTGGGAAGCCTTCTTAGGAATGGACCGCTTCTACACTGAAGTTTAGAAAGAAGATCAACGCTCAGTGTTAATGCTATCATTTCAGCATGCCGATTGCATCAGGACTTGTGCACTGATTCAGGCATGGCAGGCCCCCCAATTGTTGTACGACTTGAAATGCTAGTGTTTAACCTCTGGCTCCGTTGGTTTCAAACAGTTTTCCAGATAGGGCTCGAGTTGTCACGCATGTCCCATTCAGAAACAGGCTGGGTGGTCATTATGCTACACATCATGCTCCGTCATCCCGCCTTATATGATCTTGCCTTAAGCACTTGTAGGGCTGTCCGTCCTGCCTACCGTGGGGTGAAGCGTCCAGCATACAACATGTTTTGAATAGATGTGTGACTATCAGGGCACCACGATGGCAAAAAACAATGCCTTGTGTGGCGATCGTGCCCCTCCTGTATATCTTTTGATCTCTCCCCCGGCACACTTCCAACAACTGCGAAGAAGTTCCCACCCATTGGGTACGCACGCACATAGCTGTGGTGGTACTCACACCTAGCCGTACCCAAGCCCGTACCTGTACTGCTGGGTGCTTCCAAGGATCCGAGCAATCCTTTCGATGGTCGTGCAATGTCAAATGCTGGGCATTTAACCTTCATTTAACTAGTAGACACTGCTTGCTCATACACCGTGCTGTATCTCTTGTGAGGTCAGGTTGCTCACATCACTTGTGTAAACTCCAACTCTGTGCTTTGTAGTGTAGTTATTGTAATCTTGTATCACCACAGCGCTTGACGCGGCATTACCCTTTGATTACGAGCCACTATCTACTTGTGCAGTTGGCGAAATGTCGCAGCTCCTAAGCAGCGCGCTTGCAAAGACTACAAAGCTTGCTAAGGGGCGTCATCTACAGCTTCTTTGCAACACGTGGGTAGTATCAAAATAATGGTAGAGCTCTATCCACTGTTGGAGTAATTGTGGACCACACTGCGCCCGCTTTAGGTCGGTCCGCGCCTTCTCCACGCCTAGCGGTGATGCCTCTTCGGCTACATCCTCTGCTGCTCAGGTACGGGCGGCTGGCTGAACTCGCGGCTATGTATAGCAGTCGGTTGGTTGGGCCCAGCCACACCAACCCGAACCTATTTACGTCTAGGACAAGCTAGTTAATTCCTGTTTACAGCATGTCGTAGTTCGAGGACAGGGCCACGAGCGTATATGTGGCCAAACCCTTTTCGCCTGGTTCCTTTATGCTTGCTGGTTGAGGCTTTGTCCGATACACTAGATACCACGCCGCAACTCGTATTATGCCTGTTCCTATCCTCCCTCCCAGGGCGCTCCTTCCGGCCCCCCTAAGCTGGTGGTGCTGGGAGGCCGTGGCTTCGTGGGCAGCCACGTGTGCCAGGAGGCGGTGTCAGCTGGCCTCAGCGTCGTGGGCATGAGCCGTGGCGGTGGGTGACTGATGCTGGGGCGGCAATGGGATACCTACCTCGCTTCGTCGACGCGATGCAGGAGGATCCTTCCTTTGTAGGCCTCATACCTCCGCAATCCGTGTGCTGGCCCGCAACCCTGCAATGCATTCCGCATGCTCCCCTCCAGGCACGCCCCCTCTGGTCCAGGAATCGTGGGTCGACTCCGTTGAATGGGTGCGCGGCAACGCCCTGGAGCCGCAGACGCTGGCTCCCTACCTGCAGGGAGCGCATGCGGTGATCTCCTGCATCGGGGGCTTCGGAACCAACCAGCAGATGCTGAAGGTGGGAGGGCGGTGCGTTGGCAGGCCGCGTGTGGCTTGACAACAGCAGTGAGGGATGAAAGGTTGGGCGAGCTGGGTGACTGCTGTGGACCGCAGTTTGCGGTAGCCAACTTACATGTGGGCTGTGCACGCGCGTGTGGAGGCGTGGATGCCGGGGCAGGTGCCATGATACGACCATAGGCAGCCTAGATTTCTCAACATCTGGGGCTCGCATGCATGGGTGCTCCCGCCTAGGCCATGCCCACCTGTCCTCAACGCCTGTTCCGCCTGTTCACAACGCCTGCATGGGCTGTGCCGCCGTCACATGTCACATGTCCTGCCCCCCCCCGCCTGCCCCCTGCAGATCAACGGCGCTGCCAACGTGTCTGCAATCGAGGCGGCCAAGGCGGCTGGTGTGCCCCGCTTCGTCTACATCTCCGCCACCATCCCCAACATCCCCGGCATTGGTGAGGGCACCAGCCGCACCTGACAGCATCCCCGCACAACACCACAGCAGCGTTCACCATGATAGCCGTGATACCTCCTCTCTGCACTCTACTTGCCGCGCCTCTCCTGTATTGCAATCCTCCGCCATGCCACGCCACGTCCACTGCCTCCCATCCTTCCTCCCGCCTTCCCTCCTTCACCTCTCCAGAAACCCTGCTGGAGGGCTACGTGCGCGGCAAGCAGACCGCCGAACAAGCCCTCCGCACCCACTTTCCTTCTACCGGCGTCGCGCTGCGCCCGGGCGTCATCTACGGCGACCGCGTCATCTCCGCCAGCCTGACGGTGCCGCTGGGTCTGGCCTTCCAGCCGCTCGAGATGCTGCTTGGCAAGCTGGGCGCCGACAAGGCGCAGCAGCTGTCGGGGCTGCCGCTGCTGGGGGCCGCGTTCGTGCCGCCGGTGAGTGTGCAGGCGGTGGCACGGGCGGCGGTGCAGGCGGCGATGGGAGCCAACGTGCCGGGTGGCGTGATTGACGTGTGGGAGCTTGCGTCCAAGTACAAGTAGGGAGTGGTCTTGGGGTTGCGTTGTGAGAGGGAAGATGTCGGAGGGCGTTGTTGGCCTTATAGGATTCTGCTGTGCAGGCGGAGCGTGGAGTGTAACCTGTTGTACAGTGGATGGTGCGTTTGTGAGGTGTTGTCTTGCCATGTACCTGCGGATAAGGATGAAAAAAATGTAACGTTGTAGTGGAGTGGGCTTTGGTTCATTTTAGCGCCATCTGCGCGTAGTGTGTGGAGTGTGAATCGTTGGACGAGTGCGGAACGAGGGCTGGCATGAGTCTCATTGCGCTACGTGAGGGGCGGTGTAGCTTGTGGTTGCGTTGTGGAGTGTGGGCGGATGGGTAGGGTTGTCATGTACGAAAACAGAAGGACCGAGGATACAGGCATGGCGAGCGGAAAAGAGAGAAAGGGGGAGCGGAAGACGCCAAAAGACATTCTTTGGTGTGCATGTGTATTCTTTTGCCTTTACGGGTAGTTGCACTTGTATTCTTTTGGAGTGCGCGTGAGAAAGCACGTGGTCGGTGCTTGGCAAAGGTGTGTATGAGGCCTAGGATCATTAAATTGCAAAAACGTTGAAGCTCCTGGATCTTCAATTCCAAAAAGTGAAGGCTCCTGGAATGCTACGCGTCCATTCCTGCACTGCACTTGTTCCGTTACGTGGCCGAGCAAACATTTCATCCTCCGCAGCCTGCACCCCAGCAAGCGTGTATAAAAACTCCAAACCTCCAAGCCCAAACGAGGATGTGGCTCAGTTACGCGCTCTACACGACCGGCCATGCATGCCAATTCGTGTTAGTCAAACCATGCCCAGACACGGCATCCTCGATCCAGCCGCCAAACCGTCCATCCAAGGACATGTGCCTCTGGTGAACACCCCACACCAATACGGCGCCCCTCCGCAGCCCAGGTAGGAACGGACCCATGGGTCAGCCGTGTAGGACGACGGTGCGCTCGTCCGCTGCTTGCTCGCACGATTCAGCGGTATAATGGTATAGATCCATTGGCTAGCTCAAGTCGTGGGCTGCACTATAGCAAGGTGCGCCCTCCCTGCACGTAAAACTCCAGGTTGGACGACAGGCGGGGGTTTCTTCAATGATGTCAACGCTTGAGGTGTTTCTTCCGTCATCCAGGGGGAATTCGAAGTGCATGAAATAATATTTTGGTTAAGCATTCGTAGAGGCGGTCATCAGGGGTGTGTAAATAGTGTGCCTGCCTGTTCCCAACTTTTTCACACACCCCTACACCGGCAATACGACTGCACTGTGTTTCGGTCAAATTGTGACCATTAGTGAACCAACAATGTTCCTCTTAAAGGCGCATCGGCGTCTTAAGACCCAGTCAGAAGTACGCATGACCGCCCTGCTTACAAAGCTGTACAATGGCAACACAGGTACCCTACACAACAGCACAGCTGACGTACCGGTAGTCCAGGCAGTCTCGCTGCTATGCTACGATCAGGGGGATGCAACACCAACAGCAAAAAAATAAATATGTTGCAACCGGCTACGGCTAACGACCCCCCACTCAGAAACCCGCCCACAACAAGTCCTCACCCAGCTCCGGACGCTGCCCGATGCCTGAAGGACCCTTCACAACTGCCCATCACCTTCAGCCATCACCTGCTGAACCACTGCTGCCGCCGCCAGCGCAAGTGTCCATAAGGTCACGTTTCCCACCCCCATAAGTCCAAATTGCCACGCAGTTCAAACCGTGTCTCTGTGTTGCGGCCTTAAGAACCCCTAACCCAGGGATCCATGTCCAGGCGGCGGCGCCGATGCCCCCCTCAGTGGCTCCGAGTGGAGGGGTTGGAGCCCTGCCCAGCACCGCTACCGTCAATGTACGACTCCAAGGAGCTGCCGTACAGCCCACCTTAAGGACCGCCACCACCGCCGCCGCCACCACTGCTGCCGCCGCCTGGGGGTTGAGGTTTTAAGCCATGTGGTGCGGATTGCCGCCGTACAAGTTGCAGGTGCTGCTGGCCCGCTGGCGGCACTGGCGGCGGCGGCGGTAGTTGACTGGCTCGTTGGTGCAAGTGGAAGTGCTGCGGTAGAGATGCCCGCCGCTGGAGTGGCGGAGGCGGTGGAGGCAGCAGTCCGAGAGCGGCGCTAGCGGTTGCCGCTGTCGATGGCAACGGTTGGCTGCTGGAAGAGGGCGGTTGGTGGTTAGGCTGCGAAGATGACCCCAACTGAAGGCTTTCCTTATCGTCCAGGGCCTGGGGGTTTTGTGTCAATACTTGCTGTTGCGGGGGTGGAGATGGAGAGCAAGAGGACTCCTCACGTTGGCGTTTTCCAGCTGGCTCGATCAACCGCATTTGGCCTCGGGGCTCCTTCCCCTTCCCGGCCTCCTCCGCCCTGACTCGTCCCTCGGCAGTGCGTCCACCGCCCACCCCAACACCCGTCGCCCCAGCGGGCTCGCTCTTCAGACCGCTCAGTTCCGATGCGGAAGCTATGGATGCTGCTGCCGCCGCTGCGGCAAAAGCAGAGGGCGCGGCCGCCACCGCCACCGCCGTGACTGTTGCTGGTGCTGCCGCCGCCGCTGCAGCTGCTGCACGGGTCCCGCGCTCCTCCTCCCACCGGGCCATGAAGTGTGCTCGGAGGTCGGGGGGCTGGCAGGAGAAGCCCGGCGGCCCCGACCGCAGCTCCCGCAGCGAAGCCACCATGGTCAGCAGCGCAGCAGCCTGAGCAAGGAAGGGAGGCAGCAGCAGGGATGCAAGCAGATATAAATTAATATGGCTAGGGATGCTTGTGTTCATGCCTGTTACAATGCCTTCCGTACATAAGAAAGGATAACGTGCCGTTGCAAGCGAGGGCGGCAGGGACTGGTGTGCGGCCCTGGGTGGCAACCACGCACCTTTGGATCGGTCAGCTCCGAGACCAACAAAACATCGTCGCTGGGAGCTCCGGATCCTCCAGGTGCCGTACCGCTGACCGCGCCACCCGCACCCGACGCAGCGGTCGCCGCAGCGCCGCCATCTTCCCCCTCTGCTGCTCCTCCTCCCTCCGCATCCTCACGGCTGGCACCCGCCGCGCCGCGGGAACGCTTCCGGCCGCCGCCGCCGCCTCGCCCCCGCCCGCGACCGCGAGAAGTGGAGCGAGGCCGCTTGCCGCCGCCGGCCCTGTCCGCGGGAATGATGCCTCCCGGCAGCAAGCCGGCTGGGGAGGCTGCCGCTGCCCGTAGCGCACGCAGCACATCGACCGCTAGCGGCGGCGGCGCCAGCGCGGGCTGTGTTACAGAGGGCGCTCCAGCGGCGGCGACGGCACCTCCGTCGGTTGAGGGCCTCCTAGGACCCATCGCCGCGCTTCCATCCACCGCCGCCGCCGCCGCCGCCGCAGCAGCAGGAGCCGAGGTCGCAGCCAGCTTGGGTGCTGTGGAGTTTGCACATGGCAGCGGCTGCGGTTGCGTTACAAGGCGTTCGTACGACAGGAGGCCGGCATAGGCGGCGGCTCGCCGCGCCGCCACCTGATCGGCTGTGGCGACCAGGCCCTCCGCTGCAAGCGCGTTGCGGTGCCGCAGGTCCTCCTGCATCCACCCCACCGCCCGGGCAGGACGGATGCCGACCGGCAACCGCAGCTCCAGGGGAAGCAAGCAGGCGTCGTACACCTGGGGTTTGCCGTACAGACAGCAGGGAAGGGTTCAAGGAGACAGCTATTCGGGTGGAGCACAGAAGGGAGAATTTATTAGCGGAGATCCAGCTCTGTTGCGCAAAGTGCCAATCTGAGCACTCGGCACCAAGATAGACATGCTAAGCGACGTGGGGAAAAGGGCCAACAATGCAGGGGTCACACACCCCCTGCCGCACACGCCGCACCCAGCTCTCCGCCCACCTGTTTTAACACGTCCGCAAGTCCTGAGTCATTCTGCAGCTTTGCAGCAAGCGCCGGCCACGACACTGAACCACCAGCACCACCAGTGCCCGAAGTGACGCCGCTAGCGTCGCCTGCGCCACCGCTGCTGCCGTTGGTGTCACGACGCTTGCCGCTGCCGCTGCCGTTGCTGCGCAAGTGAGCCGCGCCTGCGCTGCCGCTGCCACCCGCCTCCTGCACCTGCAGGGAAAACACCGCACCGCACCGCAAGGGCGCGCGTGAGACGTGTTGGTGCAGTATCGTACGCAAACAATAGCAGCCACACTGGCTTCTATGACCTCCTAGTTCTATGAATGCAAGAGCAGTCATACACTTTCATAGGAAAGAGAAGGCACAGGGAATCCGGTCAACGTGAACAGCATGAGCAATTGTTGGCCAGGTTCTTACCTCCATAAACAGCCGCAGCAGCGACAGCGGTGGCGCGTTGGGAACTAAGAGTGGCAGGTCAATGGGTCCGCGTCCAAGCCATAAGGTCAGCGTCTCTACAAACTGCACATGGCGCTTGGGAAATTCGTGCCTTCCGTACATTTGTGCAAATGTTGGAGGGCTGGCGGCTGCTGCGGCTGCCGCTGTTGGTACAGCAGCAGCTGCGGTGTTACTGTGCTGACGGCATATGCGGGTCGAGGTAACTACAGCTGCAGCGCCGGCAGTGTTTGCGGTCCCAGGAGCCTCGCCGGCTGCCTGCGGTGACGCACCAAGCCGTTTTGCCAACGACCTCCACGCGGCTTGGTACTCGTCCTTGCGGGGAGCTCCGCCAATAGTGAAGGGGTGTACGGCCGGAGGGCGGAACGTGGCGGCTTCAACGACACCGTGGAACACCGGAGCAAGCACGTCGCCCGTCAAGCCGTACTGCGCGTTGTGGCGTTCAGCCAGCGCCATGAGCTCCTCGTTGGTCATCTTTGCCATCTGGAACACGCATCCTGGCGCGAGCGCGGGCGTCGAGGTTGTGCGTGCAGCCGTATTTGCCACGCCACTGGTCATGGGCTGTTGCTCGCTGCGCATTTCCTCTTTAAAGGCTGAGTTCATTTGTCATAGGATGGCACTGTTAGCGAGCAGCATAGCCTGCTTGGGATGGCTTTGCTCCAACGGACGCTACCTTACAATGAAATGGCTGCCTAACCGAAACACTGGAAACGCACAAGGCTTCATCGTATTAAAGCTTAATGCTCACGGCCAGGTTGTCAAATGGGCAAGTGCAAGTACTAATAGGCTGGGTGTTTATGCTCGCTTTCGCCTTCGTGTGGCAGGACCGACTCAACAACCAAAGGAGAAAAGAAGCCAAACAAACGGAATTAGCATAGAACCTTAACTTTGGACTGCACTTGGCAAAATGCGATCCGCGGTTCCAGCAGAGCCGGATCCGGACAGCCAGTGCTTTCCAGCTTTCAGCTTCCAGATACTGCAGAGTAGAGACCACATGCTGCTTGTTGCAAGTATACAGTGTACATTTATATAGCCAACACCTTGCCCCGTGGTAGCAAGAGGCTTCCCGATGCCTCGCAGCCATTTCCAAACACCCTTTTCGGCCCGCATAAGCGCAGCGTTAGTCAAAGCAGCAGGCACACTGCCACATATGACTGCCAAATGAACAGTCAAGCCCGTGCCGGTGCGGTGAAGTCGGACATTAGACACCGGTACTAGGAATGGAGCCGTGGAGCTTTGGTGGTGAGGTAAACCACGGACTCAGTAGGTACCACAAAGCATAAACGTTACAAAGCTAGGAGTCTCTGCACCTGAAACGTCCCGCAGGTCGCTGGCGCTCCGGAGGCAGCAGTACACGTGCAGCATCTCCGCCAACTCTTCCGGCAGGGCCGTACAGCTGCAGCTACCACCTTCGGTCCCTCCAGCATCAGCGGTAGGGTAACCGTTGCCCATTTCCAGGAAGGCCTTTCACAACAGCAGCTCACGGGGAGTTCAACCGCCGGTGCTCACGTCCACGACCCCACGACCAACCTCCTAGCTTCAAAGGCTTCTGCTTTCCATTCCACCTTCTCTACCCAGCCAGTCAGCCAAAGTTATGGCACCACCACTGCCACAGTCTTGGGCGTCCCATTGCGGAACACGAACGATGGAAGCCTCGGCCTTCGTAGCGTTGGTGGAGGCATTGACAACAGGGGTTCTGGCAGCGGTAATTGGGGCCTCATTGGCAACAGCAGCAGCAGCAGTAGCATCACAGCTGCCGGGACACAGGAGAGGGGCAACTACAGCGATGCAGCCGCAGCAATTACACGCCAGGTAGAAGAACTGAGGAAGCAGTGGCATGAAGACCAGCAGCGGCAGCAGCTCTTCAACTGGCAACAGCAAGAACAACAGCACCAGTATCAGCTCCAACAACAAGAGGAGCAGCGGCAGCTTCCTCGCCAGCAGCAGCGGGACGCGGGTCGGTACGGCGACGACCGCGCTGTACGGCCTGTCACCAGCGCAACAAGCAAAGCCAGCACCCCGCTGTACAGCTTTGGACACAGCAAGCCAACCACCTACACAGCAGTGCGGAACCTCAGCTTGTCGGGTAACGATGCATCGAACCGCCTCCCCCACCGCGCCACCGACAGTCGGGAACTCCCCACCGCACCTGCCACCTCCCGCTTACCTAAACCGGCGCCGCCCAAGCCCATCTACGCCCCGGACCTCGGACCCAACCTTGACAGCCGCCTGCCGGTGTTCCTCAATGCCGCCAACGTCCCTCGCCGCCAACACCGCCCCAGCCGGGGGGCACACGCCGGCGCCGCTAGCGCTGCCACCGGCATCAGCGGCGTGGGCAACAGCCGCGGCGGCACTGCCACTGCCACTGCCGGAAACGTTGGAAGCTCTAACGGTGGAAGCGTTAGCGGCGTGGCGGCGGCCGCATGGGGCTCCGCACTCCGGGACCACACGTCTAGCACCCTAGCCAGGGTCAACAACTCCAGCCGCCCGCTTCCTCGGGCTGGGGCTCTAGCAGGCGGCAGCTACCTCAGCAGCGGCAGCGGCACTGCGGCCGAGCAGGCCGGCGGTGCTGGGGTGGCGCACGGCAGCAGCAGCGGCACCAGCATGAGTGAGGGCGCCCTGGCGGCGCACAGCAGCTTGGCCGTATCCACGGATCCTGGGGGGAAGCCCCAAGCTGCCAACCAAGGTGTTGCAACCGGCGAGGGCACAGCTGGGGAGGCTGGAGGTCCGGCTGCTGTCGGTGCCAGCGCTGGTACCAAGCGGCCGGCTAGCCGTCCCGCCAGCCCATGGTTTCGGAGCCAGGGGCCTGCTGGGGCGGAAGCAGGCGGCGACAATGGAAGAGGAGGAAGTAACGTAGGAGGACCAGGGCGGGAAAGCAGCCTGGAGAATGGCTGCACGATTGGTGTTGGCACTGGCAGCGGAGGAGAAGGAGGAACAGCAAAGTTACGGGGCCGAGTCGTGTACGACATGTTGGGTCAAGCTGACGTACCGGATGTACGAGCAGTACGACCCAGGTCCGCAGCGGCGGTGATGGGCCGCAGCCGACGCGGGGTGGAGGCGCTGCCCGCTGCCGGGGACGAGAGGTAGGAGGCGGCCATGTGCTGTGTGTAAAACTCGCTGCACTTAAGTCGCATCGTTAAGTTGGGAGGGCGGCCTTCCGTCACGTCTCCTCCCATGCGTTCCAACAAGGGTGCTGATGCCCCTTCCTCGGATGCTTCTATGGCATCGTCCTTGCCGCTTGCCGCCTGTGACCCTACCAAAACCGCAACATCCTGCCCGTGTTCCTTTCCGTGTCAACCCTTCAGGCCCCTTCTAGAGGTGCGTGACACCCTGCTCCGCAGACGGGTGCCCTCAGCCTCCTTCGCATCATCCGCCTACCGGGCCCCGGACCCCAGCTCCACCCGCCCCCGGCGCCGCAGCGCTAGCCGCGACACCGCCTCCCAGGCCGCCACGCGCAGTGGAGTGATAGACGCCACCCAACGGGCGGCAGGTCTGCAGGGCGAGGGCGGCTATGAGCTGCAAGTCCGCCAGGCCGCAGCCCCTGCTTCCCATGCAACTGCCGCAGTCCAGCTACGACCGCTGTGGGAGCTTCTGGGTGGTGCGCCCCGGGAAGGGGAAGAAGAGGAAGAGGATGCCGGTGGGGAGGGGAGCACGTCGCTGTGGCAGAGACGGTCTCGTAGCGGCCGTAGCCTCGGCGGCAGCCCAGTCAGCAGCAGCCGTGTCGGTAGCCGCAGTCCCAGCCGGGGCCTTAGCCCTGAATGCGTCGGCGGCAGCACTACTGACCGGAGCCGAAGCCGCAGTCGCAGCACGCGGCGGCGTTGTTGGGCTGGCAGCAGCGGCGCCGAGGAATGGGAGGAGGCCGGGTCACGAGGGAAGACAGGAGCAGGCAGGAGGACGCGGTGGGCCGGAGTGGAGTCGCAGCCGCAGCAGCAGGCTAGGGTGCAGACGACAGCGGAGGCGATGAGGTCCGGGCGTGCGGTGCAGTTCAGCCGGTCACGCCGATGGAGCTCGGGAGGGGAGGATGAGGATGCGGGTGGTGGTGTGGAGGGCGGTGCAGCCCATGCAGGCGGTCGCGGAGGCGGTGTGAGGGGCGCCGGGCGAAGGCGGAAGAGCTGGGGCGACGTGGGTGGAGATGCAGGCGGCGGCGCCGCCGGCAAAGTGCGGGTGGTAAGCCATCACCGGGTGGGGCACCCGTGTAAGGAGCTGGAAGCCGGGGGCGATCAATGCATGTCCGCATGCCACATGTGCTGGTTTGTGGGCGTGAGAAGTGCCTTGCCCCTCAACTGTCAAGCCCGCCTCTCTGTCACCCGACATGTGAGACCCCCGGGTACATACCGTAACCCCACCCCACCCCCACCCCATCTCACCACCTCCTCTGGCCTCCTCTCCCCGCGCCCCGCCAGCCTGCCGCACCCGCCCCCTTGCAACTGGACGCCGCCTACGCTGCCGTCCTGCCCCGTGTGTCGGCTGCCACCATCTCCTCACACGGCCCCCGCATCGGCTGGCTCCCGGAGCCGCGACCCCAGCCGCAGCCCCGACCCAAATCACAACCGCGGCAGCCATGCAAGCAGGAGAAGGAGGATCAGGCGCTTGGCTACCCCGCCTCTCCGGGGCACGATGTTGGGAATGAGGGCATGCAGGGAGGCTCCGAATCCCGGCAGCGCTGGCAGCAGCGGCGGCGATGGAGCCAAGGTCAGAGTGATACGGAGGCTGGGGCGGCGGGCGGGAGCGGCAGCGGGCTGGAAGGGGAGGGACGGGCGGGCGCTGGAGCAGGGGGGCGGTGGCGGCGTAGCAGCAGCAGCAGCAGGGGCCGTCGGAGAGGGACTGTGAGCGAGGGTGGTGATCGAGCTGGCGCTACTGATGTTGAGCTGGGGTCAGGGGGAGAAGGGGAAGCAGCCGACAGCGATGCAGGTAGCGGGGTACTGCGTTCGCAATCGCGACATGAGGAGGAAGAGCGAGGAAGGCGGCAGCGCCGGAGCCAGCGCTGGCAGTCACGGCAGCAACAACAACGACAACAACAGGACGAGCTCCCGGATGAGCCCATGGCTCCTCTATCTCACTTGGCCGAGGCCATCAATGCCGTACGTCCACGTGTGCAGGTGGCACGGTTCGGCCACTGCAGCGTGGCTGAGGCGATGCGGCGGGAACTGCAGGTGGGAGCGGGGGAGCGGGGGGCTTGTGCTGGGGTGATCCAGACGAGGGGCTGGGATGATTCAGCTGGGACGTGCTGCTGGGCGTCTGGAAGCCGGGAAGAAGGTTGCTGGTTGTAAGCTAGGATGCTGCGCAAGCTCCTGACGCCAGGGGTGGGGTATACCGGCGTGCTTGTATGCTTACAACCCTTATAACAGGGTTAATTCCCCTGACCTCACCCTTCTGTTCCGCGGGTTCCGCCAGGCTCGGCGCGAGCGGCAGCTGCAGAAGACCCGCCAGCTAATGGACCAGCTTCGAAACCAGCCCTTTGAGCAGCTTTGGCCTGCTTCGAGCGGTGCCGCCACCGCCACCGCCACCGCTGCTGCTGTTGGCCCCGCCTCCCACGGCGGCGCTACCGGCCCTGCTGTTGCTGTACCCCCTGCTGAGGCTGCCTCACAGCTGCGGCGGCAACGGTTGCAAGAACTGGGTCGCCGGCGCCGGCGCTGGAGCGGCACAGCGCAGGAAGCGGAGCAGCAGGCGCAGGCGGCTTCAGCTGTGCCTGCCGGCGCTAGCATGTCCAGGGCGCAGGTTGCAGGCGCGAAGGAGGAGGAGGAGGAAAAGGAGCAACGGAGTGAGCTTGCCGTCAGCAGCGCTACCGGCAATCAAAGCGGCGACGAGGGCCGCGGCGGTTGTGAAGAGCGGCGGCATGTGCGGCTGGATGGCGGGAGGGAGTCCGACGGCAGCAGCCCGGGGGCTTCACCGCCTGAGCAGCTGTCCACAGCAGGGGAGCAAGGGGGCGGAACCACGTCGCCGCCGCCGCAGTCTTCACCAGAGCAACCACCTCCCGGCGCGGCTGCTCCGGACAGCCCGCCGCGGCCAGCAGCTGCAACTGCAGCACCACCAGCAGCCCAATCAACAGCAGCTGAGCAGGAGCCATGTCAATCCCCACGCCAGGAGCGTCAACCAGCCATGTCGACCCCGTCAAGCCATCCAGCCCCCGCGGCTCCAGGAAACACAGCCGCCATCACCTCTTCGGCAGTAGCGCCCCCCGCACCCACAACTGCAGCTGCTGCTGCTGTTGCTGTTGCAGTCAGTCCCCAACGTCCTCTTCCCCACTACCTGGCTGCAACCCGTCAAACCCTGTCCGCGTTAGAGGCCACACTCAGAGATGGAGTCGCCGCAGAGCTTCAAGGGCAGCAGCCAGCGACAGCGGCGTCTGACCCACGGGTCACCGCCGCCGTCATGCCGTCGTACGCGCTTGTACAGAAACGGTAGGACCTAGCAATGTGTCCCTCATTCCTTCATACACCTGCCGCTCTCCCTTTCATCTTGTAGGCCCCGCCCAGCCCCCTCCCTGCCACTCCACGTCAACACGCACCCGTTTCCCCACCCGATCCCACAGGGCCCCCGTGACCACGTTCAGCCCTGCTCGCACCGTCGCGCCCTCCCCGCGCTACAGCCGCGAGCCAGGACCCGGTCACTACGACCCGCAGTTGGCAGACACCGCTCTGTCACGCATGGCTCGCAGTCCCGCACCCTTCTTCGGTGGAGCACGCAGGTCTGTCGTGGTGTCCTCCTCGCATGGAGGTGAAGCAGCTGACGGCGGCAGCCCCACGCATGCGGGCGCCTCCTCAGCAGCAGCAGCTTCCGCAGCCGCAGAGGTTGCATGGTTGTACCGGGACCCAGCGGCCGCGCTGGATTACACCAAGCGCCGAGTACCCGCGGCGGTTATACTGCCCGCGCCGTCGGCCATGCAACGACGGCAGGGCGAGCTGGAGGGTGAAGGTGCGGATGAAGGTACGGCGGTGGGGCTGCACCAGCCAACGCAGGAGCTGGTATTGGATGTGCGATTTACGTTGGTAGAGCCACGAGTCCGAGGCACACCCATCATGCGGCGACCGCAGGTAAGCGGGGGGAGTTTGGGGATATTGAGGGTTCGCCGACATACCGGTAGGCATGTGATGCGGAAGGCAGATAGCAGCACCGCTGTTAATGCGCTGCAGCGAGAGGGGTGGTGCCAATTGCCCGGGAGGTGACATGGACACGCCGGTACAACGCAGGCGCGTGCACACGTGGGGCCTTCTTTTCTTCTCGTACGACCCCAATGACCCCAATATGACATCCACTTTATCCCGCACCACTACAGCTCACCGCTGATCCCCTTCCTCGCTGCCCGCTACATGTCTGCCCTCTCCCCAGCCGGCACCAGCAGCTGTGGTCGAGGACGAGTACGGCCAGCCTTTGGAGCGGCTCATAGCCGACCCATGGGCCATCGACCTGGCCATCCGCCGCCGCCGACCCGCCTGGGGCTTCCCGGCCGTGGGTCACGTGGACATTTTGCCGGTAGGTGGAGTCAGCGTTGAGGGGGAGGGAGAGGGGCGCATATAGAGGACTGCAGTTTCAGCCAGGTATCAGTGCGGGAGCCCACGACGCTAGAGCTGTTCTAACAGCTGGCCCGAAAGCGGTTCAAGCAGGTTGCGACTAAGGCAGGGAGTCATACTTTTGGAGGGCGCGGGCGGCGGGTAGGGTACACGGCCCGGGTACAGGGCCATAACGGAGACAGGCTGGGGCAGCGGAGTGAGCTGCCTTGTCAGAGTAGGGTTGGTCCGAAGGCAGTAGGGTTGGTCCGAAGTGCAGAGGCCAGGTGGTAAGGTCATGCAGAGGCCGGGGCAGCATGTCTGGCGAGACTCCGGGGGGCACACATACATCACACTCCCCCTCCACATGCCCCCCTCCCTCCCTCCTGGGCCTCTTCCATGCCCTACCTACCCGCCACTTGCCTCTCCCGCCACCACCTAACCTCACAGAAAAGTCCCGTGGGTCGCGACCTGCTGGACCTGCGCCCCGTGTACGACCTGGTGGAACGGCGCGTGGCGGGGGCACCGGACTTCAGCCGGGCGCAGGAGAGGCAAGTGGCGGAGGCGCATGGGTTAGGGTTGGCGTGCTTTGGTGCTGGCGCCTGGACGCGCTACAGTTCACGCTGTGTAGCGTTCTAAAGTTATCCCCGTGCAGCCCTACAAGGCTGCCGTCGAAGTGGCCTTCAGCTCATTCCCATGTGTTTCCTCTTTCGACGTATTGCTGCGACGTTGCTGTAATGCCTTCCTTGCCCGGCTGCCTGCTGTCTGTTGCCCGGGGCTGCACTCGCGGTCATCAGGTATGCGGGCGAGGAGGAGCGGCTCCGGCAGCTGCGGCGGCAACCGGCCGCTGGGGACTATGAAGTGGAGCTTGCGTGGGCCTACCTGTGTCGCCGGGCGCCGCAGGTTGGGGGCGCGTGGGGGCCGCAGGGGGAGGCGAGGGTGGGGGCAAGAAGGGACATATGACGCTTGGACGAGAAGAATGAGCATGGAGGGTGCGGCAGCACCATTTGGATCTTAGTGTGACGGTTCTGACCTGCAGCCTTGCCCTCGGACTCCAATACCCGTCGCTGCCACCTCCTGGTGTTCAGTCCTTAACCCAAATGCCGTACACACCCGCCACCTGCTCCCCAGGTGCTGATGCGCCTGGCGGCACCCCGGTGGCCTCCGCCTCGCCCGTCAGAGCAAGACACGGACGCCGCCGGCGCCGCCGCCTCTCCCCACATCGGCGCCGACCCAGATCCCGACGCTGACGCCGACCCCGACATGCAGCGCCGGCAGCGGGGTGCGGCGCTGCTGGAGCTCTCAGCGGCGCTGGACTGCATCCGCCCCCGGCCGCCCGCCTGGACCTTTGCGCCCATTGTCAGGTGCGGGGCATGCGTGCGTTTATGCCTGCATGCATGCCATGGGTTCATGCCTGCCCCACACACTGCTGCCTGACGGTGCGTTCCTGCCCACGTGATGTGGGCTTACCACCACCGGCATGTGCACCGGTATATACCTGCAATGTCGCATGCGTAAAGGGCGTAAGGGTTACGTATGCATGTCTGCCGTCAAGCTAGGCGAGGAGATTAACGTTCCTTCCCAACACCGGCTGCCGCCATCTGGCACCCTGGAACCCTGGCTGACACCGCAGGGTGGTACGCCGCGACGGAGGAGGGCGCCGCGATCGGGGGGCCTTCGGTCCGCTGCTGTCCTTTGATGTGCGTCTGTCGCTGGTGCGGCGGCGGCTGCCCGGGGCGCTGCCGTTCGGAGCTGGACCCCCGCGCGTGGGGCTGCTGGTGAGGAGGAGCGGTGACGTTAGCGGTGACACTCGAGCCCCTGCGCATGGCTGTACGGCGCACGTCCCTTGCCTTTGGCCCTGACAACAGTTCGCGCATGCGACCCTGCCCGCCACCGCATTTGCATGAGGCTGGCATGGCGGCCAACCGCCCCCTCTTCGCTCCTCCTACCACCCCTCCGTCCACAACCTTTCTCGCCTTCCCCCTGTGTGCCTCCGTGTCCCGCCCACCTCCTCCCCGCTGTCAGGACCCTCGTGCACTGGCGGCGGTACGGCACCTCGCACCCGGCACCTATGAGGTGGAGCTTGCGTGGCGGGCGGCGCAACCCGCACCTCGGGCCACGGACTTTGCCCGGGGCACAGGCCACGTACTGGTGGGTGGTGAGAATCACGCCTGGCGACAAGCATGCATGACCGCAAGTTGGCGACGTAACTTATTTAACCCTGACGCAACGGCTCCCACTGGCCCCCATGGCCTGACCGTTTCAGTTACCTGCGACGCTCCTTGCACCGCCAAAACTCACAAGGTGCTTCACCGTACTGCATAACTCTTCAGGACGCCGACGAGCCGCCGCCACCCGACGACGGCGGGGACCTGCCGTACGGCGCCCGTCTAGTGCTTGACGCCGCCGCCGCCAAGGATGCCGTACTGGCGCGTCGCAGTCGCGGTGTGGGGCCCCGCATGGCCGTTGCGTTGGGTCGCGAGGAGGCTCAGGCGCTGGACCCGCCCGGCAGCTATCAGTACACCCTGAACCTGCCGCTGCCGGACCCGGACCTAGACCTGCCCACCAGGTGCGGTGCTGTTGCTGCTCCTGCTGCTGCTGTTACTACTGGCTGCTGTAGTGCTGTTACTCCTTAATAAATCCCAGCCAAGCTTCTTAGCAGTCGTGTAATGAAGCCTTCATTTTACACCACTTCCCATGTTTTCCATCAGGCCCCGGCCGCGCGCCGTAGTGCTACACGACGACGCCCCCGGCCACCAACCCCCCGCTCCGGAACCCTCCGCGCATGAGGCCCTCCGAGGCCCGGGTGCCTACAGCCCTGAGGAGCTGGCGGTGGCTGGACACCACCCCACCGCACCTGCTGTGGACTTTGGCCGTGCCGCCGGCAGGGATGCTGGTGCTGAAGGCAACAATGAGGATGCACTGGAAGGCAACCGACTGGTCTTGTCGCCTCATACCGCGCTTGATTACGTCCGGCCACGGCCTCCAGCGGCAATCATGCAGCCGCCACATGCAACGGCAGACGAAGTCGCGGCAGCGGCGAATGCCGAAATGCCGTACTTCCATGCAGTGTACGACACGGCTGCGGGAGTGGAGCTGCAGCATCCTCGGCCGGTGGGTGTTCCTGATTTCGGAGCAGGGGCTGGGCGTGACCTGCCAATGCCATGGCCGGCAGGGATTGACCCGCCCGAGGCGCCATACAATCGTACGGCGGCTGCGATGCTGGGACCTGATGACGTGGCGCTTTGCCGACTGGCTGGGTTTCGGAGAGCGCCGGGAGCACCGGATTTTGGCGTCATGCAACCGAGAATGCCGCCGACGGCAGGTGAGTGACGCTGAGCGAAAGGCGCCTGTCACTGCAGCATCCAGCGATCTGGTTCATGGGAGGAAGAGGATTGCTGCACTTGATTTGACATCGATTCCTCGGTATCACACTCTCCACGGTAATCTCACAAGCGCTCGTCTTCCAACCTTCATCCCTGCAGTCAACATGGACGGACAGCGTTTGGATCTGGATCCGGACGCCGTACTGGATCGCCTGCGCCACATGCCGCCTCGTCCAGCTGATATGACGCGTGCACAGGGCCGCGCTGACCCATTGGCTGCTGGCGGTTGGCTGGGCGGTCCTGATCCTGACCTGACAGCATGGCTGGACTACCGACCACGGTAAGGGCCGTGGTGGGGGGGTCCGTAGGCAGTCGTTTACTTTCTGGCGTATGCCGTACTCCAACTTGATTTTCCATGGAATTTACTTGTTCTTTCGCCGGGCGAGTCCTTAATACCATGGCCTGTCCCCGTCTAAACCGCGCAGACCGGATGCAGTACGGCGGCATCTTGTGGCGCCACTGGCCGTGCCTCTGGGTCGGCAGATCGGTCGAGCGCAGGCTCAGCGTGCTGACCCGTGGGTCGGGGACGATGCCACGGGCGACCTGGACGCTGGCGTGTACAACGTACGATACCGCCTGGTGAGTAGGGGTCCCCGATTACCCCCAGGCCTGAACATCGAAAGAAAGTTAAGAATGCAGGCCGATAACCACCGCCCCTTTCTGCTCCTTGAGCGCTGTCATGAGCCTGTGACCCATACGGCACATCATCCCATTGCAATCCCCTGAGCCCTTACTTCCGTCGACATCTCACTCGCCCCTCCCTATTCCCGCCCACGTCGCCTCCCTTGTGTCCTTGTCCCTGGAAAAAGGTACGGCGCTCCGCACCCGCCATCGACTTCAGCCGCGCTGCCGCCGTGGACCACACCGGGCTAGCCCCGGGCGCCCTGCCCTCCGACCCAGATGCGGGCAACACGCTGCTGCTGCAGCCGCGGCAGCCGGAGGGCTGGCGGCCGGCGCTGCACCCCGGGGAACCCGGCAAGCAGCCGTTTGGGCGCGGAGAGGGGCGCTGGGAACAGCCAGGTACGGCAAGACACGGCCGCCTGTAGAGGCCACTGCTACGTACCGTACATTGTGTCACCCTCATTGCCAGTCCCACGCTTGCAAACCAATCCTCTATCCATCTACATTACCGCGTTAGTTACGCTGCTCTTCCCCTCCCGCCTCCCAACACCTGCCCACCCAGGTGCCGACCCGGCCTACCGCCTGCTGGCGGCGGTGGGTGATGAGGGCGGCGCGCTGCTGCTGCGCCACTCCGCTGACGACCTGGCGGCGCTGCGGCGGCGAGCCACCGCCGCCAACGCACCCGCGGCGGCATGGGGCTGGATGACAGCGAGGAGGGACGCGCAGGTCAGGATAATCAATGCTGCCTGAAAAGCTATGTAAAGATTACGTTTAGCCTTTTCATTACGAAAGAAGGTTCGACACCTGACCCCAATACGGAGGTTTAACGCATGACGACCCAATGGCACACACTGTGCGCGCAGGTGATGCAGCCTGACCCCTCGCAACCGCCGCCGCCCCCGCCCCGGGCACCTGCTGTCCCACGGGTCGGTACCCTGCTGGTGCAGCGGTTGCCGCCGCGAGATGCGGAGCTGGAGGTGATCAAGGCCAACCCTCCAAACGACCCACGGGTCAGTTACCACATGTTTCTTTCATGTCATGCAAAAGCGTTGTTAAAAGCACCATGCGTGTTTGCCTGCTCTGCTCTTGATGACCCATATCAGCTAAGTCAAGAACCCGATGCTGGAGGGGCGGAGAGACCCACATGAAACAGCCTTGTTCCAAGCTGTCTTGGCCTAACGCAACCCTGCTGGGAAAAACTCTTTCTCACGCCCTCCTGCTGTTGTTGTACACCGTACCACAGGTGGTGGCCATTCGGCGGCGGGACAGGGTGCTGCAGCGGATGGTGGACAAAATAAAGGCGCAGCGGGCGGCTGTGGCAGACATATAAGCTACCGTTTAACACCTCCACAGCTGCCGACATAGCCGACAGGCCTAAGGGCTGATGCTTGAGGGAGGCATGAAGTGCGGTATCATGAACGGATGCTGACCCAGATCGCATACTAAACATACAATCCTCAATAATGGAGAAAGGGATTAATAGCCGGTGGCCGGGTAGGCTTTTATGGCAATGAGAAGTCATGCGGCTTGAGAACTGCGGGTTAGGGCTATGGTAGCAGGCATGCAACCGTTTTGCGGTGAAGTATAAGCGCTTGGTTCAATGCATACGAAAGGCATGATTAGGCGGCAGGCTGAGCGGCGCGGGAGCGACACGGGTCTTTGCTAGGCTTGCCGCGGCCGCTGCTGCTTTGACAATACCTGCCTGCGCGGGAAGCTACTTGCTTCATTCAATAGCAGGCCAACCCTACTACAAATAGAAGGTGTTACCTACTTTAAACATCACAAACCATGTGAGGAAGTGTTTCACACGCTGATATAGGTATTTTGCTAAGCTGTCCGGGCCTTGCCGTTGCTGTGCCGGCGCATTACAACGCATCAGGGTTTCTCCGCATTTCAACGCATCAGGGTGTCTCCGGCTTTGTTTCAATTGGCAACATCTAGCTCATGAGCTCCTTGCTTCCCTGTCGCTTCACTGTCCTCTTTAGAGGTACCCTTATCGTTGAGAGGCGCAGGCTAGCGGTGTGGGTCCGGACGGACCAGGACGTGGCAGGTGGCGTACGCTGGCGCGTACACATGGGTTGCTATCTTGCTAAGAGCGTACATATATTCGCCAGCACTTAATTTGGCCGTACGTCGCAACGTTGCAAAGTGACTGCTGAGTGCTGGTAAAAGCAACCCGTCGCTTGGGATGCAGCAGCTACAGCCTCCAGCTAAGGTGTGCCTCTTTGACTTCAAAAAAAAGCCGTCTGACACGACTGTACCTCTTTATTTTGGCGAAAGAGTCGTCTGACATCCTGCATGGATTACATGCAAAAATTCAGCATGGGGGCCTTAGTCATGGCCTGGTCATCCCTGCCGTACGAACTACGAAGTCGTATATAACGTCCACAGGCGACAGGTTTCGGTATCTTCCCCTTATTCGTCAGCAACAGCAGCAAAAGAAAAGAGCCGCGTCGTACTTTGGGCCCTTCCCTCGTGATCTTCCCAACTCGTGAGCCCCTGTTCATTATTACTGGAGCCCTTCTTCGGTTTCATCCTGTTCAGCCCGCAAGTACCGCAAGCAAACAAGATGGCTCGCCAGCAATCCGGCCTTGCGGCTTGGCTACTGATCGCGGGAGGCCTCCTGCTAGCGTCTTGCTGCGCGGTAAGTGAAATGCCGTGCTGCAAGGCAAGACCCGCGAACCATGTAACTCTTTTGTCTACTGTAATGAATTGTAGAAGCCACAGTTTGCTTCCTTTGGTTCCTTTGGTTCCTTTTCGGCTTTCCTGGCTATTCCTTTCACCACAACGCAATTCATTCACGAACCGCCTCTTCGGCAGGCACGAGCGGACGGCTTTGCTTATCGTCGCCTTCTTCAGAACCCAGATCTTCCGCAACAAAGAAGCGGTAAGTTCTGAGGGCTGTTCTTAGCTGCTACCAGTAATTTGCAAGCTTCCCATTCTGCAAACGATACCACAAACTATAAGGAAAGATACGAAGAGGCACCATGGCTCACAGCCTTCCTACCGCACGGCTTCCCTGTAATTTAGCTTTGTTGCTGTCTTCTTGGTCGCAGGCACACCCTCTTGGATGAGTGGAGGTGGAGGCAACAACAACCACCAAGGCACAAGCCAGCCCTCTTCGCAGCAATCTACTCCTGCTCCCTCGCAGCCTTCACCGGCTCCCTCGCAGCCTTCACCGGCTCAATCCAGCAGCGGGGCGCCGGTGACGATCTATTCCGGTGGTCAGTTCGCTAGCGGCTGGAAGGACTCCTCCTACAACGTGCGGCCTTTCACCTCCTACTCTCCGGCAGGTAAGCCGGAAAGAGATAATCAGGGCATAGGAAATAAAACTCCCCTAGGGAACTCCGGGTGTCAATTGCAGCAATGGTTGAGAGGGACTTGCGCATTCCTGCAGAGGGGGCTTGCAGCGACCCATGGGTCAGCACGATGCGAGTTCATTCAGGGTGTCGTGTTGTGTTTGGATTCCATGGTTTTTCCCATCGACCCACATCGACAAACCAACCGCTTTCGCTGCCCGTCTCCCGGCACCCCACAGGTCACACCACCGGTGTTGCCAAGTGCTACTACCTGCCGTTCGGTGCGGCCACCAGCTTCTACGGTCCCCAGGGTGCCTTCTCCGGCCGCAGGTAGGAGCATGTCGTAGCGGGAGTACGGTTACTTATCTGACAGCCATGTCTGTTGTCTGGGCCTACCGGTATGCTACTACACATAGCAGCTTAGCGCCTCCCTAAGGAAGGCGTGAAACTGACCCATTTCCCATGTAGGGCCTTCGCCAATGAACCCCATTTTTGAGCCAGATCGTGTTTACTGCCTAGCAAGCGAGAACCGATTGGGGTCATCTCAAGCCTTGCCTATACCATGCCTTGCTCATCGCTTAAACCTTTCCGCACACTACCCCAACCCCCTTCTCCAGTGCGCTCGAGTTCTGGGCCTACGCCGGCAGCTCCTCCCTTGCTGACGTGGAGGTCGTGATCGCCAGCTCTGGTCGCGACTGCCGCCACCTGCGCATCAGCTCCCTGTCAGCTGCGGAATCCATGTCCGGCTGGAGCAAGTATTACATCCCGCTGTCAACCTTCAGCCTGGACCAGTCGCAAGCCTCTTCGGGTTCCTTCTCGGGCTGCGGCTCCAGTGGTCCCAGCAGCGGCGAGCTGGTCAAGGTGGATATCCGCAACCCCAACCAATCGTATGACGCGCTGTTCTGCTTGGACGATGTACGGCTGCTGTAGGTGCTGCCGTACGGCGTTTACGGAGGTTCGGTGCGGTGCTGTAGGGGCGAGTGTGATGGCGTGGCGCGTGATGCTGCTAAAGTGACATTGCGGTGGAGAAGCGACGGAGAAGCGTGCATAAAGTGTTCGTAGCCAAAGCTGCGACGACTGGGTTGTGTGGAGCGTGTGGCAAAGGGTGAAGATATGAAGACAAGTTTGGATACTGGTAGATAGTAGGCAGGACGTTTAGAGCGCCATTTGCGCATCAGGCATGTAGTAAACACTAGGAAGGTAGTGTAGACGGCCATCTTGATTTTCACGTTGCCAGGCGGACGGCGCTGATCAAGAGATGGACCCTTATCGTTCTTATGTCTTACATTGCCATACCCGTCATTCACACAGCTTTGTAAGGTTACCTCTTGTGACAGAAAGGGTACATTGTGTTCCACAACCAACTTCCGCGAACAGCAACAACGACAGTTGGTACAATAGCGTTTGCACTATCCAATATGCCGGTATAAACATCTTGCATGCCGACGCTCGCAACTTGCATTTGTCTTTTGACAAGACGAAGCAAGACCCAGTACATGAAAGCTACTCATTCCAAGCGTACCATGCAGAGTACCGGTACGTTGAGTACTTCAGATGTACTCTGCTGACAACGAGTAGCAGCACAGCAACACAACCTGGCATAGCAGCACGATCTACCAGATTGCTTAGCACAGTAGGGTACCGCCCTTGCCATGAATGCCTGGCTACACCTTGCAATTGCCAACCCTACATAGGAAAGAGGAAGCTGCACACGGTAGCACAAGCCAACTACGCAGTCTCCCCACGGATGAATATATTCGGTCAGTGATAAAGCCTAGCTATCCTAGCTTCAAATTGTGCCCCAACGCTGGTGCACATGGCCAGGGGGTACTGCGATCTTGAATCGAAACGAGTGAGTGACGCTCCAAGCGAAGCTACTAATCCTCCAGCTCACACATCCAGCTAACGCCCCGTTCACCCTCCGGATCCGGCAGCAGCTCCCAGCCAGCACTGACGCGTTCATTCCCCACCAGACCCTGTGCCGTTGGGCCCGGGTTCCCCTCCTCAACGCCTTCGCCACTCGCCAGTACGACATAACCCGTATGTCGTACTTCGTACACCATAACCCACGGCGCTACCATGGAGGCCGCGCACGACACTGCTTCACCATGGGTAACCACCAACACGGCCTCGGTCGTTTGCGGCGTTTGCTGTTCCTGCTGTTGTCGTACATTGTACGACACGTCTTGGTTAGATCCCGGCGACTCGATTGAAGCAGGACCTGCAGCTGCCAGCCCGGCCTCAGGTGACAAGGACGATTCAAGGGACTCGTCGCCATCCTTGCCAACGGCACCTGCAACTGCCGCCGTCAGCTCTGCGGCGACGTCAGGCGACCTGCGCCCCGCAGGCAGCCTGTCCAACGCAGGCGGCGACTGTGCGCCGCTGGCCGCCGCCCCCGTCGCCGTACCCCCTCGCTGGTCAGGAAGCCATAGCGCTCGCCATTTCACCGCCGCTGCCGCTGCTGACACAGGGCCCTCCAACACCCCAACGGAACCTCCATGGTCACTCCCAACGTCGCCGGCACTCCTGCTGCGGTCCGCCGTGGCGGCGGTGGCGACGTTGCTAGAACACGAAGCATCGCTCGCCGTCAGCAGCGGCGACGACGGCGGAGCTGCAGCCTTCATGAGGCAGCGGAGGAAGGCCTGATAGCGCGCATGCGCAGCCTCCAGCGTTTCAGGGCTGCAGGGAATGCCGTACGTCGAGGCTGCGGTATGAGCATGCGAAGTCTCACCGGCGTTCGCTGGCGCAGCTGCACTGACGCCGCTATCGCCAGAAGCCTCGGAATCCCTGCTCGCCTTCCGTTGATGGTGATGCCGTACATCCACTAGCTGCGGCTGGTCGCCGTACTGCTGTGCCTCCTCCGCTGCCGTACAACTGAGATCCCTTGCCGCTGGCGATGACCCAGGTGCCGCTGAACAGGGGCGTCCGTCGTTGTTGCTTGTGTTGGTGACCCAAGGGTCAGTCGGCGGCGGCAACAGGGACACCCGCAGACCCTGCAAGTGAAGGAGGAGGGATGTAGAGGCATTAGTTGACTGACCAGGCGCGTACCAATCGACTCCCGTCTCGAGTCTGGTCACGCCCGCAGCACCCATTCTGCCCCTCGTGCCCCTTCCAGTCCTGCTAGCCTTTCCCTCTTTCCCTTCCTCCTCGCGCCCCACCTTCAGGACGTGCCCAAGCGAGCCAGTGGGCAGCTTCTGCTCTCCCTCCAGGTCCTCTGCTGCTCTCGCTGCTTCTTCCTCTGCCCTGCACCGCCCACTCTCCGCACCTGCCTCTGCCACCCCCGCTCCAACCAAGCCCTCCTTCCCGCCAGCTGCTGCCCCCGCCGCCCCATCTCCGCCCTCCACCACTGCCCCCAGCAGCTGCAGAAACTCCTCGACCGTCATGCAGCTGCCCTGGGGGGCCCCAGCAGCAGCAGCAGGAGCCGCAGAGGCTTCAGCGCCTCCCCTCTTCATCCCTTCCCCGCTTTCTTCCCCGCTCGTTCTCTCCCCGGCCTGAGTTTCAACGGTTGCGGCACCTCCCGGCGAGCTGGCGGTTGCTCCTGCTCCTCCTCCGTCTCCATCTCTCGTCGCTGCAGGAGGGGCCGGGCGGGGCCACATCCAGGAGGGCAGGGGGCCCGACGGCGGCTCGTGCAGCCGACACAGCGTCTCCGACAGGGACCAACTGAGGTGCATGCGGGGGAGGCCCAAGTGGCGGCATGCGGCTGCAGCGGTCTGGAGGCATCTGAGGGGAAGAGGCGGAGGCGTGGGATGAGAGGGCGGGCAGAGGCGGGGAGAGCGGCAGGGTTCAAGGTGTGGGGGGCGTACGGGTCTCGGGCAGCGAATGCATTACCGGTAAGATGGTTGCATCCGGCAGATTGGAGGTTCGAGGAAGTGGGTCGGATAGGAGAGATAAGGATGCCTAATGTGAATAACCCTCGTGACTCTTCGTCTTCAGTACGTGTTTTCGCCCTTGGCCGTGGGAAAGACGTTCGTTCCCATTTAAGACAGCCGTAATGCGAGCAGGGTACCTCTATTTACGAAAGGGGTTCGCGCGATACAAATACAGCATCAATTTCGCCTGACCCAATCCCTGGTCGGGCTTTGTCCACACCCGCTACCAGCATCAATACCTGAGGAACGGCGATGATACAATCGAGACAATACGCGCCCCCGTGCGGCGTTCCCACTCCAGGAGGTTGGCTCCTGCAGCTTCCGCTTGACCCAATCCACATGGGGACGACAGCGGTGGGTCCCACGGTCTTCCTCCAGGCCTCGCTGCCTCAGCGCCCGGCCAATCGTCTTCTACCTCATCCTGACGCTGCGCGTGTCGCATAACGATTACATAGCGCCGTGTGGTCATGGTCCTGTGTCGCTGCGGACTACTTCTTTGTTCATGAAAACAGCAATGGATGAATCCTGTTAAGGAATGCAAGAACGATAAACGCGTATGCAGTAGCACGCGGGTCTAACGAGCGATCAAATCAATGTTGCTCGTTTTGTACGGGCGACGTAATGTGTAAGCCTGCCACCGGCTTGCTACAAAGACCGACTCTATGTCGCCTACAAATTAATTTCGTATGCAAATGGAATTGTTTGCACAATTTATCGGCTGGGCCTAAGAGGTCTTGCATAGGCTTCAGTAGGCCTAACGCGAAATCCCCAGCGCTGCCCATTGGCTCTATCAAAAGCTTAGGGATTCCTTAACGATGCCGGCAGTAATTAACGTTGGAGGCCCTGTCGCGTGGGGCCTCGTAGTGCTGCTGTCGGCATGGGCCGTGCGCGCGGGCAGGGCGCTTGCAGGGCGACATGGAAAGCGCCGAGGGGAAGACGATGAAGCCGTTCAATACGATCCCGACGCTCCGCAACCCCGATTGCTGCAGCGCCTGTCGGCGACGGCGGTTCGTATGCTGGTGAGGAGATGGTGTGCCATGGGCGAGGGACGGCAGGGATGAGGGAACGTGTGGCTGTCACCTCTCGCCAGGAATCATGCACTGGGGAACGGGAAGGGCAACTTTTAGCTTTTGGAACTGTTGGATTCATGTGGATATGTGGCAGGTCACGGTCGTACGGACGGACCCTGGGAGCGCGACCCTTTGTTAGGGGCACCTCAGTAGGGACGGAGCGCGAACCCAACCTTACCGCATACGAACAACTCCCTGGCCCTGCGCAGATTGAGACCTCGCCGTTACCCTGTGTCGTGCTGGAACTGGCTGAGCCCGGCAACAGCAACAGCAGTAGCAGTAGCAGTAACTCCCGGCTCCAGGGGCAGCAGCACGGGAAGTGCCGTACGGCCGCCATCCCAGCCCGTCACCATGCTGACGGAGGTGCAGCCGTACACCCCGCCGCCCTCGGCAGGATCGTACCGCCTGAGTTGGCAGCCTCGGTGCCGTACATGACCGGTGGGCGATGACTTAGTTATGACTTATGAGATGATACCACAGGAGACACTTGGGTGCAGCCCTGTTACTGCTCCTGTACCTTAGTAACCATGGAAACCAGCAACGCCACCCCGGAGCATCCGTACTTCTGCTTGGTTTTTTGTTATCACCATGTCTTCCCTCTGGTTCTAGTAGTGGTTCACCTGCTAACTCGCTTACCGACGTTTTTTTCCTGTCGTGAAACTATCCGCTCCCGGCAGCCGCCGCATGGATACGCGCCCTGGCCAGCCCTGAAGCCTGGCGCACGGAGCTTTCGAAGGCCGCATCCGCTGCTGCTGCCTCCACCTCCGCCTCCTCCAGCAGCAGCGGCAGCAGTAGCGCCTGTGGGGGCAGCAGCAACAGCACCGCTGATGCTGTAACAGCATCCAGCACCACCACCACCACAGCAGCTGCAGCAGCCACGCCAGTAACGACCGAGTCAATTGTCGGACGGGAAACAGCAACAGCGTCTCAGACACCAGCATCATCATCAGCAGCAGCTCAGCAACAACAGCAGCTGCTCCTTCGCACTTCCGTACATCCCGTACAACAAACGCTCCCGGCCACAACTGCCAGCACGACAGCTGCCGGTGGTGGTGGTATACCGGCGGCGGTGGCAACGACTGGGGGAGAGCCCGACGGCAGTGGGCGAGTGGGCTCCTCCGCCTCCGCCTCCGCCTCCGCACCCTCCGCCGCATGCTCGCTGCCGTACCCGCAGCGCCATGCGTTGCTGGTGGTGCTAGGCCGCAACGAACGAGCGGTGGCGGCGGTGACAGCTGCTGCCGCCGCGGCGGGCTTCTCCAAGGTCGCCACCCTCCAAGGCACCCCGGATGCCTTCGCCGCCGCCTCCCTGTGCGGCCCCCGCCTGCCCACCCTCAGCCGCAGCGGGCTGTGGCTGCTGCTGCAGCTGGGCGGCGAGCAGCCCGCATTCCACGTGCCCTCCGCGCTCGTGCTGGACGTACGGAGGCCGGACGAGCGATTGATGTACGGCGCTATCCGGGGAACGATCAACATACCAGGTAGGTGCGAGGGCTGGGGTGGTTGTGGTGGTTATTGCGGTTGTTGGGATGGTGCCCTGCCCTGCCTTGGGTGCCCTGCCTTGACACACGTGTTTTGGTGCATGCGATCATGGCGGCGGCTAGCGGGGGAAGAGTGCTATGAGGAGTTGAGGACTACTGTGTTAAGCACCGGTAGCGTTAGACAGGCACCGCAAGGATGCCTTGTGGACCCGTAGCTGTTACAGTGCAATACAAGTTTGCAAGTCTTGACCACCCGTGTCTCCTTCGCTCACCACCAAAACGGGGTTGTTATCGTACCGGTTGTAATCCGTATATCCTTTCCTCCTCCTCCTTACGTACTGCACCGTACGGCAGCGGACGAGCTAGCGGTGGCACTAGCACTACCTCCCCTGGAGTTCAGCAGGCGCTACGGCGTACCTCGACCCCTTCCGGCTGCAGCGGTGACAGCTGCCTCAGCTGCAACCACCACAGCTGCTGCTGCTGCCTCCCCCATTGTGCCCGCTGCGGAGGAGGCGGTGGTGGTGCTGCTGTCACGGTCGGGTCGGCGAGCAGCCTGGGCGGCGCAGTTGTGTGTGGATGCGGGGCTCCGGAGGTGCGGGGGGGGGCTTTGGGGATACGGTATGACGTTGATAACACTGTCATGGGTATGATGATGGGTGATGATGATGGGTGATGTTGGTGATGTGTTGTTGGCCGCTTGCTTGGGAGCCGGGACCGCTACCCGCTTTGCCAGGCAGCAGTGCGCTCCCACAGCACTACCTGCCTCCCTGCCTTCCCCCGCGCACACCGGTACGCTCACCACATGGCTCCCCTGGGACGGTCAGGGTAATCGTGTACGGCGAAGGGGTGTACGGCTGGCGACTTGAAGAGCGGGTGAAGCCGTACCGAGCATTCGACCTGGTAAGCGACTGACCCAAGTTTTGCGACCCTATGCGTGATACGTTAAATGTGCAATAGAAGCAGCAGCAGCTACATTATCGGAAGTAAGAGTAGCTGTTAATTCCTGCTGCTTTGGCATAAGCTTTCACCACGCGCGCTTAGTCAAACATGGCGTCTTGCCCTTTCTGGGAACCAACGGTGAGAGCTGAAGAGCCACGAAGAGCTGATCGTGCAACACGGTTTTGCCCCCCGCCCTGCGTGAAGGGCTGTGCACCCCCAGATCCGGAGCCCTTCGTTCCGGAGGAGCCGGATGAGGCAGCGGGTCTGCAGGTAGGGCCTGCAACGGCGGCGGGGTGTGATCATGTGAAGGGGCCTTTGCAGCTCATGAGGGGAGCTGTTCACGGTGTTTTTCGTAGCGGCTGTGTAATCCTCCGAGACGGTGGGCCGTATGTGGGCCGTAGGTTTTGAGTTGACGCGTGAAGTTCAGGCCGCTGGTGTTTGCTGAGTTGAGGCCAACAGATGAGTATTGAGGGGCTCCTTCCCCTTCCCCTTCCCCCACTCCCCGCACAACACCCCCCCACCCCAGGAGCTCCATGTGTTGGGCATGCCGCTGCGGCAGGAGACCCGCCCCTCCCGCTTCGCTCGCATGCCCACCCTGTGAGCTGCTGCCGGCGTGGGGGGGGCACTGTGGCGCCGGCGGCGGTGGCGGCAGCCGCTGCTGCTGCTGCTGCGGGGCCCTTGCGGCTGCTGTGACTGGACCACGGGGCTGTTCTGACGGCAGTGCTGATCGGGAGGAGGCAGGGGGGACCTGTGGGCTTTGAGTACGGGACCCGGATGGGGGATCTTTGCACCTCCTATGTGGTGGAACGTGAGAGGGCGGTTAGGAGCGTGTTGGCTCTTACACGCGAGTGCGCTCTCTGAGTGCAGCAACCAGGATATACCGTACTTGCGGGGCTGCGTTGGGCGGGACAGATGGGGAGTGGAGTCATCGAGCACCCTACCATGTCCCATGCATGTCGGGCAAAGAGGCGATCGCTGTCTGCTTACATTCGACTGCTTTTTCGAGTTTGTTGTTGGGCAAAATGTGGTCAGTTGCTGGTGTGTAACACTACGAAATAGACTGTTGTTGCTCAAGCGCCCCACAAGAAGTTTAAGTGTAAGTTTCTAATGTTGAGCAATTATGTCCTCTACAGCAGCTCTTTGCAGTGCATGCAGTTGGTCATCAGACCAGTGGCGTGTAACCATCCTTCATAATGCTAACGGAAAACATAGCGCAATCTCTGCGCTAGTCGGAATAATAATGTGTGATACAAAACCGATTCAACAAAATGGTGCGAGTGATTCACATCCTGAGCGAAAGAGCAAGATAAAAGTGAATGTACGACAGCCACTCCCCGTATGGGCCGTAAGCCCGTAACGCGTAATGCACTCTATATAACGCTGTCAAGAGACATGTCAGTTGCACGCTGTTCACGGCACACACTATAACATTACACCCGGCCCTTATGGTACTAGGCCGCAATGCTGCCTTGTCCGCGGATGGAACGAAAAATTTACCGCTTGACGGCGAGGTATCGTCATGCAAACATAGCAAAAATACGGAGTCATAAATCTTCATTCTGTCTCTAGACATCTGTTTCCAAAATAGGCAAAACAATTGGACCATAAGGCTGGGGGTATTCCTATGGCTGTTCCCTTGCTTGCAAGCCGCGGCCTAGCGGAGCGCCTGGAATCAAGGGCAGGCCGAAAACGGGCGATACCCAGCCTACACTGCAAGGAAAGGGCAGAACCCCAAGGCAGAAGGGGACTAGACCCTAGAAGAAAACCTGTATGCCAGGGGTATGCCATTGGAGCCACCCCAAGGTGGAAAGACACTGGCAACAGCAGCAGCACAAACCAACCAGAGCTCATCCTTGACAGGGTTGACAACCCCAGCAGCATGCTAAAGGTGCTATAGCTGACAAAGCCCAAGCAAAGGACGAAACACAATGGCAGGGGTCTTAGCATGAAATATTATTCCCCACCGACCGGGAATTGTGGTGAAACAGGGAACCCAATCCACTTGTTTAGCAACTCCCCATCCAAAGTACCACACAGCAAGAAACCATCATCGCAAAGCCAGCCAAAAGCATACCAGTAACCAGGAAAAGGAACTGCTAGGCAAGGGCCACAGCATCTCCAGCTCTAAAGCTAAAGTACAATAGCCGGAAACCAGAACTACGAACACGAAGAGGCTGGCGGCCGTCCCGAGACAGGCTGCAATACCATGCCGCTCTGCCGTGACTTCTACCTGCCGTCCCACCCGTCTTCATTCAGCACTCCGTCTACAAATCCAGAGCCCCTACAGCTCCACGAGTTATGTGTTCGCTGCCGCCTCACAGCAATTGCCGCAGCTGCTCAACAATGTCGTTGAAGGAAGGGCGACTCCGGGGATCCAGAGTCAGGCATGCGGCTGCCAGCTCTCCGTACGGCCGGTGAGCGGAGGTGAGCATGTCCTAACGGGAAGGAGGCGGCGGGTAGGCGGGGTGCGAGCAAGGCGCAGGGGTTGCGATTCGTGAGTAACTAAAGGAGCACGAGGGCGGCCAACCGAAAGCAGCGTAGGGGCGAGAAGGCAGCAGACGCAACTGGTGGGCAGCAGCACACGAAGGGCAGCAGCAGTCAGCAAACACGCACGGAGGCTAGATGCCATCATCGCCGACACACAGTGGTAGCGATACCTTGAGAAGATGAGGTAGCTGTAAAAGGGGTTCTCTAGTTGGAACACCCTCGCCACCGTGCCCGGCTGCTGGGAGCTCCGACGCCAAGACTGCGCTCATGGAGCAGCCGTAGTAGAGCTCCAACAGCAGCAGCCCGAACGACCAAACGTCCGCACGAGGAGACAACTGGCCGCCAGTTGAAACCTGTGGAGGGTTGGCGGCATGTGCGATGTATGTGATGACGAGGAGCTACAAAGGAAGAAGCCAGCAAACTGGCCCCTGAGGGGCGTGACCCATGGGTCGTTATACGTGGCGTCGTGATACGCATACCCAGTCTCTGCTTACCTCTGGCGCCATGTACGCGGGTGTTCCCCGGAAAAGCCCCGAGGCATGTGTGGCTCCCTCGGGCAACGGCAGGCTCAGACCAAAATCCGCCACCTTTGCCATCAGCCCTTCACTGTATGGCTCGTCCCTGTTGGCACCCTCATCCTCGGACATGGATTGAGGTCCGTACACCAGCAGCACGTTTTCTGGGGGCGTAGGTGCGTAAGGAGAGTTCAATCCAGTGACCGGGGAGAGAAAAGAGTCTGGAAATGGGGAGCAAAAACTGATCATCAGTTTAAGGTTGCAGCCACTTTGCACGGTCGCGTCCTACCTGGCTTTAGGTCTCCATGCACGATGCGGCAGCAGTGGATGTGCCGCATGCCCTGTGCCACGTCCAGAGCGAGACGCAGCGCAAGAGCCTTGAATGCCCCGCCGGCACGAACACAGCCTGTCATGCCCTTTTCTGTGGAGGAGAGGGTTGGTCAGGGGGGAGTGGCCATTCCATTGGCGGAATTGACTCGTACGCCTTGCACACACTACACTTCAGTGCGGAACATGTTCCCCATATGAATCTTGATGGTCGGTGGCGACCTTCCTCACATGCATACGGGTCACTAGTAAAGGGGCAACCTGGACGTGGCATTCCAGTAGTAGTTGTTGACTTATTGCACGGCATCCCCAGCTCCCACACCACCCCAGCCTTGCCTAGTGCCTCCCGCAGGGTGCCCGCGTTGCAGTACTCCTGCACGATGTACAGCTTGTACACCTCCGCCGCGCCCTGCTCAGCGTCCCCTGCCGCGGCTATGCCGACCGGAGCAGACATTTCATTGGGCTCTGGCTTCTGCACGAGCGCCTTGATGTCGTACGTGTAAGTGGCTGCAGTCATCACAGGTGCAGGACACACACGGCCTTGGAATAAACGTTTTAGAACATTAAGTGTGGCGATCCGGCGGTGCCACAGCATTGCAACGGAACATTCAAGTGGCTCAATGTCAACGAACCCCCAACGCTTACCCACGATGTTGGGGTGTGCCAGGCTCATGGACACGGCCGCCTCCAGCACCGCCCGGTGCCGTGCACGTCCCACGAGGCTGATCACGGTAGCTGGCACCACCAGCGTCTTAATCGCTGCTGGCAAATCCCGCCACGTGCCACCGTAGACTACACCAGAGGCCCCTATGGCGATGACGGAATGAAGCTCGAGGGCATAATCCTGAAGCTCGGCCTACATGGGGTACGGTAGGAATGCATGGAAGCAGCATACATAGGCAGGCCCAATACAGCGACAGCCGTAGGGCCTTTCCAGCCCGGTGTCCTAAGGTGTTCTGTGACTGTGTACAACCGCAGTTGCCTTCCGCTCTTAGATCGTGTGTTGATTGGTTCTCACACCCCAATAATTCCAGCGCCCTTACCCTTGCTGCATCTATTGCCGCACGCATAGTCCCCGGTATATCAGCTGCTGGGAGCCTGCTAGATTGAGAGGCGGGGCTATCCGGCTGAAGCCGAGCTTCAGCTGCCTCCACGTCCCGAGTCCCAACGGCATTCGCTGTCCGAGTGTTTAACTCGGCCTGCTTGCAAAGGCTGTTGTAGTAGGCCTGCCGTACAGGTGCCAGCAGGCAATATCGATCAGCAGGAGCAGGGTCAAGCGTATAAAACGATGAGCATATGCAGAAGGAGAGCGTTCTTATCCTATACATGTAAGCGGTCGCACAGGCGTTAGGTAAGCCTTAGTAAGAGGTGCTGATTTACGCACCCAACAGGCTTGCCCACTAAACCTCTCACACCGCCCACCCATGCGTGGTTGCGTACCCAGCCCACTCACCTGCATGCTACGGATGTACGAATTGCTCATGCCAACGTGCTGGGCCTGGCAGCTCTCTGCTCCTTCCACCGCACATCCCCGGGCCTCCATCCCATTACTGCGGGTGTCCCCTGGGTTGGTTTGCCCATCATGCCCCACCGCACATCCTTGAGTGTCATTGCCACTGCAGGTGTTTCCCGGGGAAGACTGCCCCACATGTCCCTTTGCCTGCTCCCCCTGGTTCCGCAGCTCAGCAGCAGCTCCCATGGATGCTGCCAGCACGTTGTTCAGCCTCATCAGGCGGTTGGCCTGATGAGGCGACAATGACAACCACAAGCGGAAGCGCTTGAGCCCTACTCAGCAATGGTGGAACGGACCTCACAACATTACGTTAATCATGGCGAGGCTTTTATAGAATTACAAGCAGCTCGGCTACCCAGGGATGTATGTGGAGAGTCACGTCAGTCATTGTTACATGTTCCTCACGAGAACCAGCAACCGCACTTACTTCCCGAGTGTCACGTTTGCCAGCAGGTCCAGTTCCCTCCGGGCTGCTAGAATTACTCTCCAGCTTGCCAGAGGATTCTGTCGTGTTGGCGACCGAGGCATTCAATGTCGCATCCCTGCTGCCCTGGCTGGAATCGCTGGCACCTGTGGCATTCCCCCTGAACCCCACATCTGCGGCTGCCAATTGCGTCACGTTAGCCACTGCAAATTGCGTCACATCGCGTGACAGGCGGTTAACGGGCCGTCTAGTGCTAATTTCGTCAGCCCCGTCCTTGCCGGCTGGTACCAGCATAGCCTCATTAGCGGCCGCATACCGGCGCCGCATAACTGCCGTCTTGACAAGCATTAGGGTCAGCAACAGCAGCAGGAGCCCGAAGAAGGCAGAAAGGGAGCTCGCCACAGGCACCACATAGGCAGGACGGTCGACGGTGGAGGGAGGGGGAGGGGCGGTGCTAGCTGTTGAAGAAGGCAGTGGCCCGGGCTGAGCCGGCATTGTGTCGGTTGATAGCATAAGCGGTGTCGGGCGGGTCACGAGCGGTGGCGGGTGTTGAACGTTTGCGGGAGCGGTGGGCGGGCTGGGAGGTGGTGGAAGGAAGGTGCTGACTGATATGTTGATGTCCATTTCTGCGATTAAGGACGACAGAGGAGCACGGAGCAGGGCACATGGTACTGAGGCGATACTCCCACCAGGACGTTCGTTGGTGCACGAACCCGCCTTACGTACCGGTACACAAGATGTGTGGCAAAAGTGGGGACACAGGGAATGTTGTGCAGGGAACCTAGTAGGTAGGTATGCGGCCCTAGTGTAGCAGGCGCAAATGGCTCAGCGTTACGAGTGTACCTGCAAGCTCTTGGTACGGCAGGGTAAATGACGGGTAGGAAAGCAGGCTTGCATTCCTGGGGGCATCCGGTGGCAACTTGTACGTCACCGTCACGTTGGTTCCCACCCAGCCGTAGTGCTGAGCAGCCGCCAGGACCAGCACCCCGGCATTGTAGTCATAGGACAGTGCCTGCCAGGAGTAAGGGAGAGAGAAACAAAGCACATGCGGCACCACTGGTTGCCATGAATACCAAGGTGCTCTTGCTTAGAACACAAGGTCCTCATTCGTTCGTATTACACCGCGTCACGTGACTCCGCATCCTCACCTGGGATGCCGCAGCAAAGGCCAGCAACGCCGTCACTGGAGTGTCCGAGCCGGGTGGTAGGGGTGGCGGTGGTGGGGTTGGCGGGGGTGAGGGGGGCGGTCGGGGAGGTCGTGGATGGGGAGGTTGGGGTACTGGTGGCTTCGGGGGTGATGGCCGAGGAGGCCGGGGTTGAGGTGGTGGTGACGGAGATTGCGACGGTGGTGATGGCAGTTTATATGGTAGTTGGGGCGGCAGTGGGGATGGCGTTGGCAGTGGAGGTGAAGGAGGAGGCAGGGGTAAAGGTGGCAGAGGTGGCGGCGGTGGCAGTGACGGCGGCGGCGGTGGCGGCTGGGCAACGCTGTCAGGGGTCGCTATCACTGCTGGCGGCTGGTCCACTGTAGGAACCAGTGGTTGTTCGTAAAGAGGAGGTGGCGTTTGGCTGGGCGGTGGCAGAGTTGGTGTCTGGGATAACTGGGGTGACGGTGGTGTCGGATAGTACCAGCGGAGTACGCCCCCTGTGCATTGGGGTGGAGAAATAGGCCATAACTGTAAGCCGGTCAGGACAACAGATGTAAAGCCCCAGTTAGGCGAAAGAGATGAACGGCCGCCGGGTACAATGCAAGGAGGCGGCCACATGTCAACACATGTTGATTGAAGAGGACCTGGGCATCCAGGATTGAAGGCAGGTAATCTTCACTAGCCGGCCGTACCCTACCTGTCAAGCGTCGCAATTGCCTGGATGTAGAGGCCAGTTCATTTTACAATCCCTGCCACGAGATGCATCTGCCCCATATACACCCACATCCATCTCTTCCAATTCAACCTAGCTTCAGCCACTCACCTGAACCGCCTAAGAGCCCCTTCAATTTGCGAGACACACGATGAGACGCTTTGGCAACGTGCACGCCTGTCGTCTCCCTAGCAGTGGGCTCTGTTGAGCTCCCTAATGCTACTGCTGTAAGCGCATCATCCTTTCCTGCCATGACAGCTGTCGCCCGCCAATACGTCGGCTGCGTTGCCTCCTGCTCCTCCTGCGCCCTACGTGAGCGCCCGGCTGCAGCGCCCACGTGTTGCAGCAGCACGGCAGCGGCTAGCGCACGCCACTCGGGCTCTGAAACCACGAGAGTGACATTCTCGAGCGCTAGCCGTGGCGCCTGTGGATCCGTCGTGCTGATGTTGCCAGTCTTGCTGAAGAACCAGAGCGGGAGCGAGCTGTTGGCCCAAGCCGCGTCAGGGCCCCTCAGCTGGGGCGGCTCTGCTCGCATGCCATGGCCGCTGATGTAGTCGTCGTCCCCAGCACTGGCGTCCTGAGGGTACATGCCGCCGGGCGCTAGGTTGTAGAACACCAGGTTTCGGAGGGTGACGGGTCGCTGAAGGTTGACGCGGCCGATTGCTCCCTGCCAAACGTGCGTGAGAAGGGTGGGAGCTTTAAGCTGCAACTGGAAAGGGTGGAGTGATGGGAGCCATGTTAATCTTTCAATGATAGTGGTGCCACGTTGGCATGGGCGCAGACTCCGTAGTGCCGGTATGTCATTAGTCAGCAGCTTCTAATTCCTGCCCTACTGCCCCTCCCTCACCTGCAGGTTCACAAAGGTGCGGCCGCCTCCCAGCTGCTGCGGGTAGCCACCCACAACGCACTCGCCAGCAGGGGCCAGCAGACCACCGCTAGAGATGCGGATGGAGCTGGCAGCCTCTTCAGCGCCAGATAGCACTGCGGGAACGCTCTGGTCATCACGTCTGCAGGCCAATCCACAGGCAACAGTGAAACCGTGCTTGTGTGCACGGGCCAATAAACAAATTAGCGAGCTTGTCAATAGCACCAAGCCCAAGCCTGCCAAAGCTTGGCCGTGGGGCACGTCAACGCTACCAACTAACAAACTCCAGCGCAGTAAAGAAAAGGACAGCCCAGAAGTCCACCATCCCAGCCTCCCACGTACCGAGTAATGACCGTGACGGGGGTCTTGCCAGGCAGTGGCCCACAAGTCGAGTCGAGGTTGGACAGGGCGTACTGAAAGCTGGGAGCCAAGGTAAGACCCAGCGGGCCCTGCAGCCAACATCGGCGGGAAAAGCTTGATATGCATCTGGTACGCCCGTATATGTGTCCGTACGGGCCAGGGGGGAACTAAAAGAAACCAAGTTTGTCCAGGCCGCCGCTTGGGGGTTACGCATGGTTATTTCCCGACAGAAATGCTTAGCTCCCATGTGTGCTATGAGAGCGTACTACGTACGCGTCATGGTCGACGGCAAGAGTACATGGGGTGAGGCATGAAAGCCGCGACGCCAGGTACTGGCTTACAGACCAGCAAGCAATGCAGACCAAGAGGACCCGGTAACGCTTGCCTTATGCGACCAGGATTGCATGGGGCTGCTGCTGTCAGGCACTCACCCACTGCGCTGCCGTCTCAGCATCCCCATGCAGCAGCTCCGGGGCCCACAACAGCGACTGTGGCAGCAACGGCCGGGCGCCTGGAAGCGCCGAGTAGCGGCTGGCGGACAGCAGCGTGCAATTGACCAGGGAAACCTGGAGAGGCGGGTGCGGGCGAGATTGCGCAACCTTCTCGAGTGGTACGATAGGTTGGGAGGTGACATGACGCAACAGCGCAGGCCAAAGCCTACAAGGTGAAACGAGCCTCACCTCACCCAAAAGAAAGGAAATACGACAGGACACAGACAGTCCTCTGGAAGTCTCACCTGTGTCCCCATCCGCAGCTGGTTTACAAGCAGCTGCCCCTCGAGCGCATTGTGGGAGGGCTGCTGGGGTGAGGGTGTCACGAAGTGCAAGGGATTGGGTTGTCACCCAAGGTAGGGTTGTCAGTGAATCGGTGCTTGTTGGCAACGTCGGCAACTTCAGCCAGCTGGTGCTCCTGGGACGGATGGGCACACCGGGTAAGCAATCCTGACCATATTCTTCCGGCGGTACGACCATACTCGACCACAGCACTCGATACAAGCTATCCATTAATCTGTTATGGGCCCATGCAAGCAGCCCACAACCAGACCTGAACATCAAAGACGTTGAACAGCGATGCCATCTGCGCAGGGGAGGTCCTGTTGGTCCGGGACAACCGCTCCAAAAAGGCAACCTCTTGGTCCGGTACGACAATTGTACTGCGCTTGAGGCTGAGCTGGGGTGACGATGAATCGGGAGTCATCCTGTGGGGGCCAGTACAGCAAGCCTAAGTCTCTTACTCCTTGGCCTCTTATGCTCTTGCATACCTCTCCCCCTCTCCCCCAATCTCTCTCTTGCTTTGTCTCTATCTTTGGGTCACAAAATACACACAAGCTATCCGATGAGGGACTTCAGGGGGCTAGACAAATACCAACCGCATTGCCACAACAACTAAATGACGATGTCTCCTGATGTTCGGCCCCATGGTACATCCAAAAGCAGGGCGTATACCTGGACTTGTTTTTCTAGGGCTCAGTGACGCCAAGACTGGCACCCGCCAACACCGACCCGTATAGCGCCACGCCTGCCACCAATCAATCCTGGCTCACCTGTCAAAGCCAAAACTCTGTAGGCTTACAGCCAGCAGGCTGCTTGTGTTGGCAGGTGTTGTTGCAAGCGGCAAGTTAACAACTGTAAGGTCGTGCAGCTGTATAACTTGCAGCATTGTTTCATCTATAGTAAGATCAACCTCGGCGCTAATTTTGTACCATGCACGCTCCACCCCTGCCAGGTCGAATGTGGTGGTCCTCACAGGATTTCCCAGCAGCACTACCAGGACAAATGCCGGCAACGACACCTGCGTTGGCAGCATGGGAAGCATTAGCCCCGCCCTCTTGACCGACACAGCTGCATGGCCCGTTGACGCACCCAATTGACGCATAACACGAAAACAGCACAAGGCCCTCATCCCAGGGCACCAACAGCCCCTCTTAACCATTCAAGTGTGTACGGCCCCATCCACCTCACCGGCTGCCACCTCCCCTCTCCAGGCAGCACCAAATCCGCCGCCACAGACAGGAACAGGGTGCCATCAGTCATCTTGCCAATCACCGACTCCAGACTTGATTGGTCTAGCTGCCAGATGCTTGTCACCGGAGCTGCTGCCATACGAGGATAGCGAATTTCATTCCCGGGGCAGGTTATCGTCACACCCGACCACTGCACCTCGCCGCCTGTGTACGCATCAAAGCTGTAATCCTCGGAATGGAAGGTTACCAATCGAGCTTGTGTTGTGAGGGACTCTATCTGGATGACACCGTTGTGGACAGTTGCGGTTGTGGTGTAGGTCCACGAACTGGTCGCCATGCTCATCCCAATTAAGTAGGACGTTAGTCCGTCTTCGGTCATGAGCAGAGTCACATTCTTGAGGGTCAGAATGGCTCCATCTAAAACTTGTATGATTACTTCGATTGACATTGATGAAAGGGTTGTTCCTATGCGCGGTCCTAGAGGATCTTGCACGTATGTTGCGCTTATACCCAGGGATGAGAGGGTTAGATGTTGTCCTGTACAGCAAGGCAATCAAGCAACCCAGCAGGCAAAGCAAGGCATGTCGTACTCAGAAGTGTAGCACGCACGGCCTAATGGCCAACCCCAAAAGACATGACTAAGGAGGAGAAAGCGGATTGTGTATGTTCGAGTAGGGTCTGTGCATGCCTGTACAGCATGGGCTATCACTCGTCCCTCACAAAGCAAATGTACGCGCTCACCTGATGCCACACGAATTGCCGGGATATGACTTAATGAAGCAAAATGATAAGAGTTAAAGTCCAATACCGTGTACGAAGCTTCAGCAGGCTGAAAGGTTGCATCTGGGCTAGGCGGTTGGGACTGAGATTGTGGTGGTGTTGGTGGAAACGGTGGCTTTGGAGGGCTGGGAGGGGCTGGTGGGTTGTAACGGTACGCCGAAGGCGGCTTGAGGCCAATCTGGCTCTCCGGCATGGTGCCGCCCCTGCCCTCCAGGACAACCGTTGGTGAGGGGAGTTCAACCGTCATGAAATCTGTACCCTGCTGCTGCAGGTATATGACACCCTGTGGAAGGACATCTTGCCCTGCCAGCAGCTGCTCCACCGTAATACCGCCATCCGAGGGAATTACGAGGCCTTCTGCTATTAGTGAGGCCAGTGCCAGCACGACCACTAGCAGGGCCGATAAACTGCCTGTGGGAAGGACGGTGGGGTTTGCGTGATTGGCAGCAAGTTGCACCAAAAAGGTGATCGCAACGCTTACAATATGGCAGAAGTCATTCATTACAAAGCATCGATCTACTACTCATGTGCACTTGCTATAGCATGCATGTACAAGGCAATGTATTAATAACGAAACGGACTCGGCAGTTCAACAACAAAATCACAAGAGCAAAGTTTAACCGCAAAGTTGCCCAAAGCGTTACTCCTCATGCATAGCATGCGCGTCTTGCTTGTAAAAAACGCGTTAGGCAACAGCGGCGGCAGATGTCCGTTAGCCTCATGCAACTTCATTATTGAGTGGCGGCATCATACCTTCGCAGAATCCTCCTCTGGGCATTGTATATCCGTTTAAATGAAAATTACGTCTAAATGTCGGCAAGATCTCGCATAATCAGTATACACGCTCAAAGCCTGCATCATTGCTACTGGAATTAAGATTGTTTACATGTAGGCATGCGCCATGTGCAAAACAATACGGGATGGACAAGCAACCATCTTTACCTTTGATTGGGAAGGAGGTAATGCGGTCTGAGGTTGGGCGCTGCGCTCTTCCTTTAATACTGTTGAACATACAAAGCCAGATACACCATACTGTACCACTTATGGTGCTTGTTTGTGGTGTTTAGATGCAAACAGGCGTTACGGCGCCAGGGCGGGCGTACTCCATTCCTGAGCAGAAAGCGCGGGAATGGGCAAGAGCATCGGCTGGGCCCGCTTCAGAGCCACTGACCACCCTGGAGTACATCCAACTGGCCCGCCCGCCTAGCACCGTTCTAGAAATGTAATTTCATATTCCTTACCTACAGCTAAGAAGGAACAACCTCCGCGCTTGACGTCCAACAAGAAGACCTGACCGTTAGGGCCGAAATGCCATGGCGCTAGAACCTTACATTCTTCGCTAAACTAAAGCTAAATTCTTACAGGGAAACGGTCACCCATATCGATAGCAATATATTCAATTGCTCTAGGTTCTGAAACCTGAACTCCACGTCGTCATGACAGAGTCGGACGAGGAGCTCAGTCCCCGCAGCAGCGAAGGCGATCTTTTGTCCTGGTCTTCTGGCGATGAGGACGACGATCACTGCAATGGGCTGGATGGCATTGCTGAAGAAGCAGACCAGACTGAAGGCGATGGCGCGGACGAAGATGGCAACGATGGCGCGGCGTTACCAATCGGCAGCGGTGCTGCGCTTGGCCTTACCAACATGCAACCACCCGAGGCGTACTTAGAGGTGTGGTGCAGCTGTGAACGGGCGAGACGGCACATGCAAAGGGGCTGTAGTCGCGTTTCCTGTTATAACCCTTATAAGTCCTGTTACATGCGCCGGTTGGACTCTTAAGCTTTCCTTTTCCCCATCCACGTGTGATCCCCAGCGCGCACAACCACCGCACGCACAAGCGACCGAAGCAGGAGCATTGCCCGGCCTCCCGTTGCTGCAGTCGCCAGTGTTGCGGCGGGGAAAGGTCGTGATCAATATCAACGGAAACCGACAGGCCAAGATACCGAGCCAATAGTCGGAGGGGAAACAGCAACAACGTCTCAGACACCAGCATCATCAGCAGCAGCAGCTCAGCAACAACAGCAGCTGCTCCTTCGCACTTCCGTACATCCCGTACAACAAACGCTCCCGGCCACAACTGCCAGCACGACAGCTGCCGGTGGTGGCGGCATACCGGCGGCGGTGGCAACGACTGGGGGAGAGCCCGACGGCAGTGGGCGAGTGGGCTCCTCCGCCTCCGCCTCCGCCTCCGCACCCTCCGCCGCATGGTCGCTCCCGTACCCGCAGCGCCATGCGTTGCTGGTGGTGCTAGGCCGCAACGAACGAGCGGTGGCGGCGGTGACAGCTGCTGCCGCCGCGGCGGGCTTCTCCAAGGTCGCCACCCTCCAAGGCACCCCGGATGCCTTCGCCGCCGCCTCCCTGTGCGGCCCCCGCCTGCCCACCCTCAGCCGCAGCGGGCTGTGGCTGCTGCTGCAGCTGGGCGGCGAGCAGCCCGCATTCCACGTGCCCTCCGCGCTCGTGCTGGACGTACGGAGGCCGGACGAGCGATTGATGTACGGCGCTATCCGGGGAACGGTCAACATACCAGGTAGGTGTGAAGGCGGGGGTGGTTGTGGTGGTTATTGCGGTTGTTGGGATGATGCCCTGCTTTCACGTGTTTTGGTGCATGCGATCATGGCGGCGACTAGCGGCAGCTATGAGGACTACAGTGTAAAGTAGCATCAAAAAGGCATCGCAAGGATGCCTTGTGGATCCGTAGCTGTGACAGTGCCTCACGTGTTTGCAAGTCTTGACCACCCTCACGACCACCCGTGTCTCCTTCACACCATCAAAACTGGTTGTAATCCGTATATCCTTTCCTCCTCCTCCTTACGTACTGCACCGTACGGCAGCGGACGAGCTAGCGGTGGCACTAGCACTACCTCCCCTGGAGTTCAGCAGGCGCTACGGCGTACCTCGACCCCTTCCGGCTGCAGCGGTGACAGCTGCCTCAGCTGCAACCACCACAGCTGCTGCTGCTGCCTCCCCCATTGTGCCCGCTGCGGAGGAGGCGGTGGTGGTGCTGCTGTCACGGTCGGGTCGGCGAGCGGCCTGGGCGGCGCAGCTGTGTGTGGATGCGGGGCTCCGGAGGTGCGGGGGGGGCTTTGGGGATACGGTATGACGTTGATAACACTGTCATGGGTATGATGATGGGTGATGTGTTGATGTGATGGTGGTCGCTTGCTTGGGAGCCGGGACCGCTACCCGCTTTGCCCAGGCAGCAGTGCGCTCCCACAGCTCTACCTGCCTCCCTGCCTTCCCCCGCGCACACCGGTACGCTCACCACATGGCTCCCCTGGGACGGTCAGGGTAATCGTGTACGGCGAAGGGGTGTATGGCTGGCGACTTGAGGAGCGGGTGAAGCCGTACCGAGCATTCGACCTGGTAAGCGACCGACCCAAGTTTTGCGACCCTATGCGTGATACGTTAAATGTGCAATAGAAGCAGCAGCAGCTATATTATCGGAAGTAAGAGTAGCTGTTATTTCCTGCTGCTTTGGCATATGCTTTCACCACGCGCGCTTAGTCAAACATGGCGTCTTGCCCTTTCTGGGAACCAACGGGGAGAGCTGAAGAGCCACCAAGAGCTGATCGTGCAACACGGTTTTGCCCCCCGCCCTGCGTGAAGGGCTGTGCACCCCCAGATCCGGAGCCCTTCGTTCCGGAGGAGCCGGATGAGGCAGCGGGTCTGCAGGTAGGGCCTGCAACGGCGGCGGGGTGTGATCATGTGAAGGGGCCTTTGCAGCTCATGAGGGGAGCTGTTCACGGTGTTTTTCGTAGCGGCTGTGTAATCCTCCGAGACGGTGGGCCGTATGTGGGCCGTAGGTTTTTAGTTGATGCGTGAAGTTCAGGCCGCTGGTGTTTGCTGAGTTGAGGCCAACAGATGAGTATTGAGACCTCACACCCCGCCTTTACCCCCTACCCCCGCCTCCACCCCTTCCCCTTCCCCCACTCCCCGCACAACACCCCCCCCCCCCAGGAGCTCCATGTGTTGGGCATGCCGCTGCGGCAGGAGACCCGCCCCTCCCGCTTCGCTCGCATGCCCACCCTGTGAGCTGCCGGTGGGGGGGCACTGTGGCGCCGGCGGCGGTGGCGGCAGCCGCTGCTGCTGCGGGGCCCTTGCGGCTGCCGTGACTGGACCACGGGGCTGTTGTGACGGGAGTGCTGATCGGGAGGAGGCAGGGGGGACCTGCGGGCTTTGAGTACGGGACCCGGATGGGGGATCTTTGCACCTCCTATGTGGTGGAACGTGGGAGGGCGGTTAGGAGCGTGTTGGCTCTTACACGCGAGTGTGCTCTCTGAGTGCAGCAACCAGGATATACCGTACTTGCGGGGCTGCGTTGGGCGGGACATATGGGGAGACTGTTGTTGCTCAAGCGCCCCACAAGAAGTTGAAGTGTAAGTTTCTAATGTTCAGCAATTGTATCCTCTACAGCAGTAATGCACTCTTTATAACGCTGTCAAGAGACATGTTAGTTGCACGCTGTTCACGGCACACACTATAACATTACACCCGGCCCTTATGGTACTAGGCCGCAATGCTGCCTTGTCCGCGGATGGAACGAAACACTTCACAGCTTGACGGCGAGGTACCGTCATGCAAACATAGCAAAAATACGGAGTCATAAATCTTCATTCTGTGTCTAGACCCCTGTTTCCAAAATAGGCAAAACATTTGGACCATAAGGCTGGGTGTATCCCTACGGCTGTTCCCTTGCTTCCAAGCCGCGGCCTAGCGGAGCGCCTGGAATCAAGGACAGGCCAAAAACGGGCGATACCCAGCCTACACTGCAAGGAAAGGGCAGAACCCCAAGGCAGAAGGGGACTAGACCCTAGAAAAAAACCTGTATGCCAGGGGTATGCCATTGGAGCCACCCCAAGGTGGAAAGACACTGGCAACAAGCAAGCAAGCCCCGAAGTCCTGGCCAGCAGCACAGCAGCAGCACAAACCAACCAGAGCTCATCCTTGACAGGGTTGACACCCCCAGCAGCATGCTAAAGGTGCTATAGCTGACAAAGCCCAAGCAAAGGACGAAACACAATGGCAGGGGTCTTAGCATGAAAGATTATCCCCCACCGACCGGGAATTGTGGTGAAACAGGGAACCCGAGCCACTTGTTTAGCAACTCCCCATCCAAAGTACCACACAGCAAAAAACCATCATCGCAAAGCCAGCCTAAAGCGTACCCGTAACCAGGAAAAGGAGCTGCTAGGCAAGCGCCACAGCATCTCCAGCTCTAGAGCTAAAGTACACTAGCCGGAAACCAGAACTACGAACACGAAGAAGCCGGCGGCCGTCCCGAGACAGGCTGCAATACCATGCCGCTCTGCCGTGACTTCTACCTGCCGTCCCACCCGTCTTCATTCAGCACTCAGTCTACAGATCCAGAGCCCCTACAGCTCCACGGGTTATGTGTTCGCTGCCGCCTCACAGCAATTGCCGCAGCTGCTCAACAATGTCGTTGAAGGCAGGGCGACTCCGGGGATCCAGAGTCAGGCATGCGGCTGCCAGCTCTCCGTACGGCCGGTGAGCAGGGGTGAGCATGTCCTAACGGGAAGGAGGCGGCGGGTAGGCGGGGTGCGAGCAAGGCGCGGGGGTTGCGATTCGTGAGTAACTAAAGGAGTACGAGGGCGGCCAACCGAAAGCAGCGTAGGGGCGAGAAGGCAGCAGACGCAACGGGTGGAGAGCAGCACACGAAGGGCAGCAGCAATCAGCAGACACGCACGGAGGCTAGATGCCATCATCGCCGACACACAGTGGTAGCGATACCTTGAGAAGGCGGGGTAGCTGTAAAAGGGGTTCTCTAGTTGGAACACCCTCGCCACCGTGCCCGGCTGCTGGGAGCTCCGACGCCAAGACTGCGCTCATGGAGCAGCCGTAGTAGAGCTCCAACAGCAGCAGCCCGAACGACCAAACGTCCGCACGAGGAGACAACTCGCCGCCAGTGGAAACCTGTGGAGGGTTGGCGGCACGTGGGATGTATGTGATGACGAGGAGCTACAAAGGAAGAAGCCAGCAAAACTGGACCCTGAGGGGCGTGACCCATGGGTCGTTATACGTGGCGTCATGATACGCATGCCCAGTCTCTGCTTACCTCTGGCGCCATGTATGCGGGTGTTCCCCGGAAAAGCCCCGAGGCATGTGTGGCTCCCTCGGGCAACGGCAGGCTCAGACCAAAATCCGCCACCTTTGCCATCAGCCCTGCACTGTATGGCTCGTCCCTGTTGGCACCCTCATCCTCGGACATGGATTGAGGTCCGTACACCAGCAGCACGTTTTCTGGGGGCGTAGGTGCGTAAGGAGAGTGCAATCCAGTGACCGGGGAGAGAAAAGAGTCTGGAAATGGGGAGCAAAAACTGCTCATCAGTTTAAGGTTGCAGCCACTTTGCACGGTCGCGTCCTACCTGGCTTTAGGTCTCCATGCACGATGCGGCAGGAGTGGATGTGGCGCATGCCCTGTGCCACGTCCAGAGCGAGACGCACCGCAAGAGCCTTGAATGCCCCGCCGGCACGAACACAGCCTGTCATGCCCTTTTCTGTGGAGGAGAGGGTTGGTCAGGGGGGTGTGGCCATTCCATTGGAGGAATTGACTCGTACGCTTTGCACATATGCTTCAGTGCGGAACATGTTCCCCATATGAATCTTGATGGTCGGTGGCGACCATCCTCACATGCATACGGGTCACTAGTAAAGGGGCAACCTGGACGTGGCATTCCAGTAGTAGTTGTTGACTTATTGCACGGCATCCCCAGCTCCCACACCACCCCAGCCTTGCCTAGTGCCTCCCGCAGGGTGCCCGCGTTGCAGAGCTCCTGCACGATGTAGAGCTTGTACACCTCCGCCGCGCCCAGCTCAGCGTCCCCTGCCGCGGCTATGCCGACCGGAGCAGCCATGTCATCGGGCTCTGGCTTCTGCACGAGCGCCTTGATGTCGTACGTGTAAGTGGCTGCAGTCATCACAGGTGCAGGACACACACGCCTTGGAATAAACGTTTTAGAACATTAAGTATGGCGATCCGGCGGTGCCACAGCATTGCAACGGAACATTCAAGTGGCTCAATGTCAACGAACCCCCAACGCTTACCCACGATGTTGGGGTGTGCCAGGCTCATGGACACGGCCGCCTCCAGCACCGCCCGGTGCCGTGCACGTCCCACGAGGCTGATCACGGTAGCTGGCACCACCAGCGTCTTAATCGCTGCTGGCAAATCCCGCCATTTGCCGCCGTAGACTACACCAGAGGCCCCTATGGCGATGACGGAATGAAGCTCGAGGGCATAATCCTGAAGCTCGGCCTACGTGAGGTACGGTAGGAATGCATGGAAAGCAGCATATATAGGCGGGTCCGATACAGCGACAGCCGTAGGACCTTACCAGCCCGGTGTCCTAAGGTGTTCTGTGACTGTGTACCACCGCAGTTGCCTTCCGCTCTTAGATCGTGTGTTGATTGGTTCTCACACCCCAATTCCGTACAATCCAGCGCCCTTACCCTTGCTGCATCTATTGCCGCACGCACAGTCCCGGGTACATCAGCTGCTGCGAGCATGCTGCCGGGTTGAGCGGGGGGGCTATCCGGCTGAAGCAGAGCCTCAGCTGCCTCCACGTCCCGAGTCCCAACGGCATTCGCTGTCCGAGTGTTTAACTCGGCCTGCTTGCAAAGGCTGTTGTAGTAGGCCTGCCGTACAGGTGCCAGCAGGCAATATCGAACATATCGAGCTGGGTCAAGCGTATAAAAGGATGAGCATATGCAGAAGGAGAGCGGTCGCACACGCGTTAGGTAAGCCTTAGTAAGGGGTGCCGATTCACGCACCCAACAGGCTTGCCCACTAAACCTCTCAGCCGCCCATCCATGCATGGTTGCGTACCCAGCCCACTCACCTGCATGCTACGGATGTACGACTTGCTCATGCCAACGTGCTGGGCCTGGCAGCTCTCTGCTCCTTCCACCGCACATCCCCGGGCCTCCATCCCATTACTGCGGGTGTCCCCTGGGTTGGCTTGCCCATCATGCCCCTTTGCCTGCTTCCCCTGGTTCTGCAGCTCGGCAGCAGCAGCAGCTTCCTTGGATGCTGCCAGCACGTTGTTCAGCCGCATCAGGCGGTTGGCCTGATGAGGCAACAATGACAACGACAAGCGGAAGCGCTTGAGCCCTACTCAACAATGGTGGAACGGACCCCACAACATTACGTTAATCATGGCGAAGCTTGTATAAATTACAAGCAGCTCGGCTACCCAAGGATGTATGTGGAGAGTCACGTTTGTGATTGTTACATGTTCCTCACGAGAACCAGCGACCGCACTTACTTCCCGAGTGTCACGTTTGCCAGCAGGTCCAGTTCCCTCCGGGCTGCCAGAATTACCGGGCTCCAGCTTGCCGGAGGATTCTGTCGTGTTGGCGACCGAGGCATTCAATGTCGCATCCCGGCTGCCTTGGCTGAAACCGCTGGCACCTGTGGCATTCCCCCTGAACCCCACATCTGCGGCTGCCAATTGCGTCACGCCAGCCACTGCAAATTGCGTCACATCGCGTGACAGGCGGTTAACGGGCCGTTTAGTGCTAATGTCGTCAGCCCCGTCCTTGCCGGCTGGTACCATCGTAGCCTCATTAGCGGCCGCATACCGGCGCCGCATAACTGCCGTCTTGACAAGCATTAGGGTCAGCAACAGCAGCAGGAGCCCGAAGAAGGCAGAAAGGGAGCTCGCCACAGGCACCACATAGGCAGGACGGTCGACGGTGGAGGGAGGGGGAGGGCCGGTGCTAGCTGTTGAAGAAGGCCCGGGCATTGTGTCGGTTGATAGCATAAGCGGTGTCGGGCGGGCCATGAGCGGTGGCGGGCGCTGAACGTTTGCGGGAGCGGTGGGCGGGCTGGGAGGTGGTGGAAGGAAGGTGCTGACTGATATGTTGATGTCCATTTCTGCGATTAAGAACGACAGACGAGGAGCACGGAGCAGGGCACATGGTACTGAGGCGATACTCCCACCAGGACGTTCGTTGGTGCACGAACCCGCCTTACGTACCGGTACACAAGATGTGTGGCAAAAGTGGGGACACAGGGAACGTTGTGCAGGGAACCTACTAGGTAGATATGCGGCCCTAGTGCAGCAGGCGCAAATGGCTCAGCGTCACGTGTGTACCAGCAAGCTCTTGGTACGGCAGGGTAAATGACGGGTAGAAGAGCAGGCTTGCGGTCCTGGGGGCATCCGGTGGCATCTTGTACGTCACCGTCACGTTGGTTCCCACCCAGCCGTAGTGCTGAGCAGCCGCCAGGACCAGCACCCCGGCATTGTAGTCATAGGACAGTGCCTGCCAGGAGTAAGGGAGAGAGAAACAAAGCTCATGCGGCACCACTGGTTGCCATGAATACCAAGGTGCTCGTGCTTAAAACACAAGGTCCTCATTTGTTCGTATTACACCGCGTCACGTGACTCCGCATCCTCACCTGGGATGCCGCAGCAAAGGCCAGCAACGCCGTCACTGGAGTGTCCGAGCCGGGTGGTAGGGGTGGCGGTGGTGGGGTTGGCGGGGGTGAGGGGGGCGGTCGGGGAGGTCGTGGATGGGGAGGTTGGGGTACTGGTGGCTTCGGGGGTGGAGGCCGGGGTTGGGCAACGCTGTCAGGGGGATCTATCACTGTAGGCTCTAGTGGTTGTTCATAAAGAGGAGGTGGCGTTTGGCGGGGCGGTGGCGGAGTTGGTGTCTGGGATAACTGGAGTGACGGTGGTGACGGTGGATAGTACCAGTGGAGTACGCCCCCTGTGCATTGGGGTGAAGAAATAGGGCACAACTGTAAGTCGGTCAGGACAACAGATATAAAGCCCCAGTTAGGCGAAAGAGATGAACGGCCGCCGGGTGCAAGGAGACGGCCACATGTCAAGATGTCAATTGAAGAGGACCTGTGCATTCAGGATTGAAGGCAGGTAACCTTCACTAGCCGGCCGTAACATTATATTTTTGGCGTAGCTAAAAATCTAGTTTGAGGACCCGTAGGGGCGAGTGCATGAGTTGTCGTACATTGAGCCTTGGTGGTCGGATGGCGTTTTGAGAGTTGCCTTCCTTGTTGTTTTATCGTTGCGTGGCTTTCTTCCGGGGAACTTCGTTGGTTTTGTGTCCAATCGCGGCTAGCCTCTTGTAGTCAACGCTAGTCAATTGGGGATAGCCCTCGCTGTCTAGAGCTTGGGCTTGCTGCCTTACCGAGGTCTAGTTTCTTTTCCCACCCACCCGCCCTTCGCATTGTTTTCCTTGTTGGGTCTAGTGGCCGGGGGTTGTCTCTGCGTGGGCCTTGGATAGGAGCAGGCCACGCAGATTGGGTCCGTTGCCGTGCCAGCAGTAATGCGTGTTAGCAGGTTAGCTGAGTACGTAAGAGGGCACGGGTAGCGCGTCAGGGGCCCAGTTGTTTCATTCCCCCTTCTTCAGTTGGCTTCTCCCAGCATGACTGGCTATTTGGTTGGAGAGAGAGTTAAGGTGTTATCGTGTTATGGGATAGGGTGGCTATGTCACGAGCCACTACGGCAGGCATCAAACTACCTGTAACCTACCTGTCAAGCATCGCAATTGCCTGGATGTAGAGGCCAGTTCACTTTATAATCCCTGCCACGAGATGCACCTGCCCCATATACACCCACATCCATCTCTTCCAATTCAACCTAGCTTCAGCCACTCACCTGAACCGCCTAAGAGCCCCTTCAATTTGCGAGACACACGATGAGATGCTTTGGCACCGTGCACGCCTGTCATCTCCCTAGCAGTGGGCTCTGTTGAGCTCCCCAATGCTACTGCTGTAAGCGCATCATCCTTTCCTGCCATGACAGCTGTCGCCCGCCAATACGTCGGCTGCGTTGCCTCCTGCTCCTCCTGCGCCCTACGTGAGCGCTCGGCTACAACACCCACGTACTGCAGCAGCACGGCAGTGGCTAGCGCACGCCACTCGGGCTCTGAAACCACGAGAGTGACATTCTCGAGGGCTAGCCGTGGCGCCTGTGGGTCCGTCGTGCTGGTGTTGCCAGTCTTGCTAAAGAACCAGAGCGGGAGCGAGCTGTTGGCCCAAGCCGCGTCAGGGCCCCTCAGCTGGGGCGGCTTTGCTTGCATGCCATGGCCGCTGATGTAGTCGTCGTCCCCAGCACTGGCGTCCAGAGGGTACATGCCGCCGGGCGCTAGGTTGTAGAACACCAGGTTTCGGAGGGTGACGGGGCGTTGAAGGTTGACGCGGCCGATTGCTCCCTGCCAAACGTGCGTGAGAAGGGTGGGAGCTTTAAGCTGCAACTGGAAAGGGTGGAGTGATGGGAGCCATGTTAATCTTTCAATGATAGTGGTGCCACGTTGGCATGGGCGTAGACTCCGTAGTGCCGGTATGTCATTAGTCAGCAGTTTCTAATTCCTGCCCTAATGCCCCTCCCTCACCTGCAGGTTCACAAAGGTGCGGCCGCCTCCCAGCTGCTGCGGGTAGCCACCCACAACGCACTCGCCAGCAGGGGCCAGCAGACCACCGCTAGAGATGCGGATGGAGCTGGCAGCCTCTTCAGCGCCAGATAGCACTGCGGGAACGCTCTGGTCATTACGTCTGCAGGCCAATCCACAGGCAACAGTGAAACCGTGCTTGTGTGCACGGGCCAATAAACAAATTAGCGAGCTTGTCAATAGCACCAAGCCCAAGCCTGCCAAAGCATGGCCTTGGGGCACGTCAATGCTACCAGCGCAGTAAAGAAAAGGACAGCCCAAAAGTCCACCATCCCTGCCTCCCACGTACCGAGTAATGACCGTGACGGGGGTCTTGCCAGGCAGTGGCCCACAAGTCGAGTCGAGGTTGGACAGGGCGTACTGAAAGCTGGGAGCCAAGGTAAGACCCAGCGGGCCCTGCAGCCAACATCGGCGGGAAAAGCTTGATATGCATCTGGTACGCCCGTATATGTGTCCGTACGGGCCAGGGGGGAACTAAAAGAAACCAAGTTTGTCCAGGCCCTCCACTGGGGGGTTACGCATGGTTATTTCCCGACAGAAATGCTTAGCTCCCATGTGTGCTATGAGAGCGTACTACGTACGCGTCATGGTCGACGGCAAGAGTACATGGGGTGAGGCATGAAAGCCGCGACGCCAGGTACTGGCTTACAGACCAGCAAGCAATGCAGACCAAGAGGACCCGGTACCGCTTGCCTTATGCGACCAGGATTGCATGGGGCTGCTGCTGTCAGGCACTCACCCACTGCGCTGCCGTCTCAGCATCCCCATGCAGCAGCTCCGGGGCCCACAACAGCGACTGTGGCAGCAACGGCCGGGCGCCTGGAAGCGCCGAGTAGCGGCTGGCGGACAGCAGCGTGCAATTGACCAGGGAAACCTGGAGAGGCGGGTGCGGGCGAGATTGCGCAACCTTCTCGAGTGGTACGATAGGTTGGGAGGTGACATGACGCAACAGCGCAGGCCAAAGCCTACAAGGTGAAACGAGCCTCACCTCACCCAAAAGAAAGGAAGTACGACAGGACACAGGCAGTTCACTGGAAGTCTCACCTGTGTCCCCATCCGCAGCTGGTTTACAAGCAGCTGCCCCTCGAGCGCATTGTGGGAGGGCTGCTGGGGTGAGGGTGTCACGAAGTGCAAGGGATTGGGTTGTCAGCTTGTCACCCAAGGTAGGGTTGTCAGTGAACCGGTGCTTGTTGGCAACGTTGGCAACGCCAGCCAGCTGGTGCTCCTGGGACGGATGGGCACACCGGGTAAGCAATCCTGACCATATTCTTCCAGCGGTACGACCATAGCCTAACACAGCACATACAAGCTATCCATTAATCTGTTGTGGGCCCATGCAAGCAGCCCACAACCAGACCTGAACATCAAAGACGTTGAACAGCGATGCCATCTGCGCAGGGGAGGTCCTGTTGGTCCAGGACAACCGCTCCAAGAAGGCAACCTCTTGGTCCGGTACGACAATTGTACTGCGCTTGAGGATGCGCTGGGGTGACGATGAACCGGGAGTCACCCTGTGGGGGCCAGTACAGCAAGCCTAAGTCTCTTACTCCTTGGCCTCTTATGCTCTTGCATACCTCTCCCCCTCTCCCCCAATCTCTCTCTTGCTTTGTCTCTATCTTTGGGTCACAAAATACACACAAGCTATCCAATGAGGGACTTCAGGGGGCTAGACAAATACCAACCGCATTGCCACAACAACTAAATGACGATGTCTCCTGATGTTCGGTCCCATGGTACATCCAAAAGCAGGGCGTATACCTGGACTTGTTTTTCTAGGGCTCAGTGACGCCAAGACTGGCACCCGCCAACACCGACCCGTATAAGCTCCACACCTGCGGCTGCCAATCAATCCTGACTCACCTGTCAAAGCCAAAACTCTGCAGGCTTACAGCCAGCAGGCTGCTTGTGTTGGCAGGTTGTCAAGCCCCAGGACTGAAATGAGCACGGGCTTACCACTCGACAACCCGATGCGAAGGTTGAGGAGTGGCCGGTGCTGGCATGAGCACCAGGGATTAGTCGGCTGCCTGAGAATGAGGACTTATGCCGACGCGGAATGTGGCCAGATGACACTCCGCACCAGGTTGTGGTAGCCAAAGGCGCCGCCCGGTAACCCCTATAAACGCTGGCGATTCCATAAGCGATACGACGCGCCGCGACGTCGCAGAGGCCCGGCTAGGCAGGCGGCTGTGACCATGCTTTCCCGAATGCCGGCGCTGAAACGGCTACTAGATAGCAGGCTGGTGTACTAACTAGGTGCTACACGATAGGGCTGGCCAAGCCGGCTATTGCGGTGCAGCGGTGATGGCGCTATGCATAACGATACTCAATGCTCAGTACATGCTTAATAGGCTTTGTGGAACTCTGCGGCGATTACATGGTTGTAATCCCACCATGCGGTAAAGCATCATGGAGTGTCGTCGCAAGCGGCAAGTTAACAACTGTAAGGTCGTGCAGCTGTATAACTGGCGGCATCGTTTCTAAAGTAAGATCAACCGCGGCGCTCATTCTGTACCATGCACGCTCCACCCCTGCCAGGTCGAATGTGGTGGTCCTCACAGGATTTCCCAGCAGCACTACCAGGACCAATGCCGGCAGCGACACCTGCATTGGCAGCATGGGAAGCATTAGCCCCGCCCTCTTGACCGACACAGCTGCATGGCCCGTTTGTCACCCAATTGACGCATAACACGAAAACATCAAAAGGCCCTCATCCCAGGGCACCAACAGCCCCTCTTAACCATTCAAGTGTGTACGGCCCCATCCACCTCACCGGCCGCCACCTCCCCTCTCCAGGCAGCACCAAATCCGCCGCCACAGACAGGAACAGGATGCCAGAAGTCATCTTGCCAATCACCGACTCCAGACTTGGTTGGTCTAGCTGCCAGATGCTTGTCACCGGAGCTGCTGCCACACGAGGATTGCGAGTTTCATTCCCGGGGCAGGTTATCGTCACACCCGACCACTGCACCTCGCCGCCTGTGTACGCATCAAAGCTGTAATCCGCGGCATGGACGTAATCCTCGGTATGATAGTTTATTAATCGAGCTTGTGTTGTGAGGGACTCTATCTGGATGACACCGTTGCGGATAGTTACGGTCGTGGTGTAGGTCCACGAACTGGCCTTTATGCCAAATCCCATTAAGTAGAGCATCAGTTGATCTTCGGTCATGATCAGAGTCACATTCTTGAGGGTCAGAATGGCTCCTTCTAAAACTTGTATGATTACTTCGGTTGACATTGATGAAAGGGTTGTTCCTTTGCGCGATCCTAGAAGCTTGTGCACGCTTGTTGCGCTTATACCCAGGGATGAGAGGGTTAGATGTTGTCCTGTACAGCAAGGCAATCAAGCAACCCAGCAGGCAAAGCAAGGCATGTCGTACTCAGAAGTGTAGCACGCACGACCTAATGGCCAACCCCAAAAGACATGACTAAGGAGGAGAAAGCGGATTGTGTATGTTCGAGTAGGGTCTGTGCATGCCTGTACAGCATGGGCTGTCACTCGTCCCTCACAAAGCAAATGTACGCGCTCACCTGATGCCACACGAATTGCCGGGATATGACTTGATGAAGCAAAATGATAAGAGTTAAAGTCCAATACCGTGTACGAAGCTTCAGCAGGCTGAAAGGTTGCATCTGGGCTAGGCGGTTGGGACTGAGATTGTGGTGGTGTTGGTGGAAACGGTGGCTTTGGAGGGCTGGGAGGGGCTGGTGGGTTGTAACGGTACGCCGAAGGCGGCTTGAGGCCAATCTGGCTCTCCGGCATGGTGCCGCCCCTGCCCTCCAGGACAACCGTTGGTGAGGGGAGTTCAACCGTCATGAAATCTGTACCCTGCTGCTGCAGGTATATGACACCCTGTGGAAGGACATCTTGCCCTGCCAGCAGCTGCTCCACCGTAATACCGCCATCCGAGGGAATTACGAGGCCTTCTGCTATTAGTGAGGCCAGTGCCAGCACGACTACTAGCAGGGCCGATAAACTGCCTGTGGGAAGGACGGTGGGGTTTGCGTGGTTGGCAGCAAGTTGCACCAAAAAGGTGACCGCAACGCTTACACTATGACAGAAGTCATTCATTACAAAGCATCGATCTACTACTCATATGCACTTGCTATAGCATGCATGTACAAGGCAATGTATTAATATCGAAACGGACTCGGCAGTTCAACAACAACGTGTTCAAGAGCAAAGTTCAACCGCAAAGTTGCCCAAAGCGTTACTCCTCATGCATAGCACGTGCGTCTTGCTTGTAAAAAACGCGTTAGGCAACAGCGGCGGCAGGTGTCCGTTCGCCTCATGCAACTTCATTATTGAGTGGCGACATCACACCTTCGCAACTCTGGTATCCTCCTCTGGGCATTGTATATCCGTTTAAATGAAAATTACGTCTAAATGTCGGCAAGATTTCGCATAATCAGTATACACGCTCAAAGCCTGCATCATTGCTACTGGAATTAAGATTGTTTACATGTAGGCATGCGCCATGTGCAAAACAATACGGGATGGACAAGCAACCATATTTACCTTTGATTGGGAAGGAGGTAATGCGGTCTGAGGTTGGGCGCTGCGCTCTTCCTTTAATACTGCTGAACATACAAAGCCAGATACACCATACTGTACCAGTTATGGTGCTTGTTTGTGGTGTTTAGATGCAAACAGGCGTTACGGCGCCAGGGCGGGCGTACTCCATTCCTGAGCAGAAAGCGCGGGAATGGCTTCTAATCGTATTTCCCAAGAAGCCTTACGCCTTTACTCCAGAATCGTCATTTCTTTAAATGCTTATCCTTTATCTTGACAGCTTACTTGAGATCAACTTACCATGACGACGGAGCAACCCGACCTCTGTCTAACCTCAATGGCTGATCAAGAAATCGTTTGTTGCCAAAAAACAATTTGTTGGGCTTGCAGTTATTTTTACTCAATGGAGATAAGAATACGTATTAGTTGTGCGAATATAATTTGTCTGGTTTGTATGTTTTGCCGTTCCTGACACACGGACAGGGGCTCCGCCCAAAAACAATCGAGGTATGCAACTTGCCCGTGCGTGCACCACTGACCACCGCACTCCCGCCTCCCTCCCTCTCCCCAACCACCCAGACAGTCCCTACAGCGGATCCTGTCCACCTTGATACAGATAGTTTGCATCCCCACACCGCCATGTGGCTTCCATTTTGTGACATCGGCATGTAGTTCAGCAAGCACCGCCGAGGGGGCCCATGTTGGCCCCATGTTCTTATACGGCAGTACGGGACTACAGCTCCTGCTGCTTCATAGCAACACCGGCAACTGCACCAACAGATAGCGCTCCCTCCTCGTCCCTTGGGAAACAACGCAATAACAACGGCGTAACACACGACAAAAACATCATCCTACATTTGTGTGTGTGAGTAATCAACGTCGCCTGCCAGCAGCAACCGGTGTCCTACACATGGTGCCTTTAGGGGGAAACTCTTCTGAAGAATGTCACGGTTGTGCCTTGAAGCTGCTCCAATTGGGCATCATCCAACCGCCAACCGGCACCCAATTCCCCTATCCCTGGCGCACCGCTGCCGTCAACGCCACAACCAATCCAACACCCCTCCCACTTCTGGCCCTGGACCCTTCTCCTCTTCCTCCCCCTCCCAGCACCGCAGCCCGCCTAGCACCCCAACGGCGTCCACGTCAGCTCCATCTCCACCTCCGCTGCCCCCGCCGCCGTACAACTGCCCGCCGGCTGCAGCAGCCAGCGCCGCCGCAGCCGCCCCGCCGCCGCCACCGCCGCCAGGGGCAGCCGCAGCACCCCCAGCAGCTGATCCGCCAGCGGCTGCGATTCCAAACGCGCCATGTGCCCCACCCCCTCCCATGCAGTGGTCTTGTCCCACACCCGCACCAGCAGCGCACCCCCACCCGCACCCCCATCCCCGGCCCCGCCCGCCCCCGCACTGCTGGTGGCCGTGTGTGCGGTCTCATCCCTGCCCCCGCCTCCTGCCTCGCCGCCTGCCACCCCGCCGCCCCCCGCTGCCTGCAGCAGCGCCCCTCCCCCCACCGGCCCCAGCTCCATCAGCAGGTCAGGCCAGCCGGTGTCAGGTGCGTTGTAGTGCACCGGGGTGCGCTGGACAGCCTGCACGCGACCGCAGCCGTCCTGGGGGGGTGGGGGGTGGGGCGGGGGGGGGAACATAGTTGAGAAGTGGAGAAATGGGGAGGTTGCAAAGGAGGAGGGGGGCAGGGAGGCAGGGGGCGGGGTGGGGTTGCGGGGGCTCACCAGCAGCAGCAGCTCCACAAACGGGTCCACCCCAGCCGCCGCCGCTGCGTTGCTCCCCGCCACCAGCAGCCGCAGCCGCACCACTCGCACACCCAACAGACCCGCTGCTGCTGCCGCTGCTGCCTGACCGCCGCCATTGCTGGCCCCGCGGCTGTAGCCCACCGCCCTTCCCGCGCTGCCAGGCCACAAGCAGCCAACCTCGACACGCACCGGACCGCCAACACCACCAGCGCCACCACCACCGGCAGCAGCAGCAGCAGACGTCTCCGTACCGCCCGTCAGACGTGATTCCGCTCCTCCTTGTATTGAGAGCTCCTCCCTAGCTGCTGCCGCCGCTGCCTCGGTGCTCAGGCCGGGGGTAGCCGCCATCTGCGCCACAGCGACCCGCGGGTCGGGCAGTCCGGTGACCACTGCACTGGCCGACAGGGCAGGTCCGCTGCCGGGGGCGGGGGCAGCCATGCTGCTGCTGCTGCTGGCGGGTGTATCGCCTGGTGCAGCTACTCCTGCTACAGGTGCTGCAGCTGAAGCGGTGGTTGTGGCGGCGGTTGCAGTGGTGGTGGTTGTGGTAGTTGAGGGCCGCAGCTGAACGTACGACACCTCCAGAATGAGTCGTCCAGCACGACGGGACTGCAGGAGGAGAGGGGAGGTGGGGGGAGGAGAGGAGAGGGGAGCGGCACGACGGGAGCAGCGATGTTTGCGGGGTTGGGGCACAGGGTTTTGAGGCGGCGGCACTAGCACGATGCAAGTGGTCGTAGTTGTCGTAGTTAAGGGAGGACTGCCTTCACACATACCGGAGTACATACCGAGCTTGCGTGCAGACCAGCGCACACATACATCATACCATGTGACACATGCGCATACAACTCAACATGCACGGGGCGGGGCAACGGTGTCGGACGCCACACACCTCTTGGCCAAAGTGCAGCACCGGACCCACACCGCCCGCCGCCGCTGCCACATGTGAGGCTGCGGTGGCAGCGCCGACGGGGGCAGGGGCCGCAGCAGCAGGTGGTGGTGCAGCAGCCTCCGCTCCCCCGGCATGCGGCGGCTGTGGTTGGGATGCCGGTTGCTGCCCTCCTCCTCGCACCGCCCGGGTTACGGCACGCTTCATGTGGGACTGCGGTTGGGAGTTGGGGGTTGGGAGGGACAGTTAAGGCAGGGGCGCCCGCAACGTGAGGGCAGCAGAAGGGCACCCGGAAGGGCGACAGGTACACCACCCCGATCAGGGGTGCTGCGATGAGGGGTGCTGCGCTGCTGCCGGCAGCATAGCGGTCTAGCCCGGAGCGGAGCAGCACTCCCCCCTCCAGCACGACCGGCCTGCTGCGCATGCCGGCACCCCCCCCCCCTTTCTGGCTCCGATACCAGGTACCTGCACACATGGCCCCCCACCGCACCATGTACCGCCGTACATTCCCTGTCACAACACGTCACATCACACAACGCACCGCGGAGTCACCGATGGCTCGTCCCAGACGCCGCAGCGGCCCCCCTCCTCCGCTCCTCCGCGCCCCGCCCCCGCCTCCACCTCCGCCGCCGCCCCAACCACCCAGCAACGGGAAGACAGCCCCCGACGAAACGGGGGACAGGTGCAGCACCATGGGCAGCACCGGCTGCTGCTGCTGCTGCTGACCCTGCTGCTGTCCCTGCAGTAGCTGCTGCTGCTGCTGTCCAAGTGCATGTTGTATCGCTCCCAGCAGCAGCGGCAGCGGCACGGTGCCCTGGGCCACACAGGGGTCGTCCCTAGCGGGGTGGGGGTGCGGATGTGGGCAAGCGACACAGGAAAGTACGGTGGGAAGGATGTGAGAGGTCAGCCAGGCCATGCCATGCCAAGCCAAGCCAGGCCAATGAGGTAAACCAACAGCAGAGGCCCCGGCCCCCTAACGCCACCACGGGGAATGCAGACATCCGTCCTTGACTCCCTGCGATGCGCTTTCCGGCCCAGCAGTTTGCAGGGGCCCAACAATCTCATTAGCGTCCATTGGCCCCCGCGGCCGCCCGCGAGCCCCCTTTCCTCAATCCCACCCCGACCCACCATCCCTTCTCGTCCCGCATCACTCGCAGCTGCAGCGACTGACGCTCCGGGTCGGCCACAGCCAACGTGAACAAATGCCCCTCGGCTGCAGCAGCACCTGCTGATGCTGCTGATGCAGCCGTAGAGGGTGTAGCAGGTACAGCAGGAGCAGCAGGTGCAGGGGCGCCCGGGGGTGCAGGCGGGTGGCTCCCCCACAGCACTAGGGGCTGCGGGCTGCCACCAGTGGTGGTGCCAGTGGCGGCCGTGAAGGTGATGCGAAGGGACTGTGTTGGGGAGCGATGTACGGCTCCCTCTCGGACCTGGGAGGGGGGCGAGGTGGGGGGTGGGTGAGTGGGTGGGTGAGTGGATAGGGGGATGCACTCGGGGTTATGGAGCGGACTAGGACTAGCGAGACGGCTCTCTCCATGCACCCCTCTCTCTCCATGCAACAACGCAACAAACTACGGCACCCTGTTCGACCCTAACCGCCCTCAACACGTGTACGATACGGGCCACCCGCCCTCCCTCCCTTCCCCGCCTTGCCCCCACCTGAGCCGTGACGTAGTAGCCCTCCTGCTCCTCCGACCCCGCTGCTGCTGCTGCCGCCTCTCCCGGTGCTGTGCCGCCCCCCCTGCCGCCCGCCGCCCCCCGCAGCCCCTCCGCCCGCAGCAGCCGCAGCCGCAGCAGGCCCGGCGGCGGCTGCGGCGCGCCGCCGCCCTCCCCCAGGTGCACGACAATGTGCCTCGGGTAGATGAGCGCGCGGTGCAGTGCGGACTAGCGAGAGGTGGGGGGGAGGGACGTTGGAAAGAGGAGTGGGCCGGCAGAAAGTTGACCGGGGTTTACTGGAACGGAATAATTGCTTGGTTGGGGTGTCCGTCCGTAACGGAAAGGAACCTTAACTACGGCTCATTACTGCATCTAGGCCACAGCAGACACTCGACACTCAATCCAGACCCCCTCATTTCCCAGCCCACTCAAACGCCCGCCGAGCCCGCAGCTACTGCTCTCCCTAAGAACTCACCCCCCTGGACACATGCCCCCAAGCCCACCCACCCCTCCTCCTCACCTGCACCGCTGCATGCACCAGCCAGCTCAGCCCCGGCAGTGACATCACATCCACCGAAACACCGCGGCCGCCGCTGCCTCCTGACCCCCGCTGCCTCTCCCCCTTCACCCCAACCACTCCCCCCGCTCCCACTCCCGCTGGTCCGCCTTCCTCCGCCACCGCAGCCCCTCCTCCCTCTCCTGCCGGCTGCAGCACCCCACCTCCTCCACCTCCACCTGCCACCCCCGCCCTCAGTTCAGCTCCCAGCAGCGGCGGCTGCAGCAGCGTGAAGCTGACGGTGGAGAGGTAGGGCGGGTCGCGTTGCAGGGGGCCCAGACTCAACCTCAGCAGCGCGCGGAGGGTGAGGCGGGAGAGGGAGAGGGTGAGGGCAGGCAGCGGAGGTAGCGGCAGGGAGTGAAGCAGGCGGCGGGGGAGGGAGGGAGAGGAGGACGGCTGGAGGCCGAGCGATGCCGCCAGCTCGATCTGAGGGAGTTGGGGGAAGGAGGGAGAAGAGACAAGAACGGTTGGGAACGCGCAGGACCTAGCATCCGGTTCCGACACTGACGCCCCTGACAGCCACCACCTCCTCCTTCCATAACATGAGGTTACTGTGTACCACAACAACATGCAGATACGGTAGCAAAACCCAGCCTCATGAACACTTTCACGAAGGTGTTCATGGCCCCAAGGCCCCACCTCCAGTCCAGCCGCCCACGCCACATCCGCCTCCACCACCAACTCCTCCGCACCGCCGCCGCCGCCACCGCCGTCAACCGCCGGCGCCCAACCGCCCATCGTCTTGACGCCGCCGATGCGCGGCGGCGCAGCGGGCCCCAGGGACAGCTGCCGTACCGTCAGCGCCGCCACCCCCGGCAGCCGGCCCGCTGCCACGTACGGCACCGCCGCCTCCGCCAGCTGACGTCGGATCTCCGCCTCCGCCGCCGCCGCCAGCTGAGGCCACAGCAGCTGGATCAGCTGGTTGAGAGCCGCGGTCTGGGGGTTGGGAGGTTGGGAATGGGAGCATGATGAGAATGCTGCTCGGATGTGTTGTTAAGGAAATGTGGAGACGACCGTCCATGGAATAGCACAGTTTGGACTGGTTGTCTCATTACGGCGTCACTGGTACTATACTCCATACGTTGCCTGCTTATCCTTCCCTCCGCTGCGCTACGCTACCCGGTGTCCCCCCCTCGCCTGACCCACACACATCACCTTTTCATAGTCCGGCGCCGCCACCCAAGCAGGAGCTAGTCCCAGCAGCGCCCTCTGCTCCCCGCACCACAACACCTCCTCCAGCGCACCCACGGCCACCGCCAGGGAGCCGGCGGCGGCGGCGACGCCACCGCGCGCACGCGCCAGCCCGCCGCCGCCGCCAAGAGCCGCATGTGGCGGCGGCGGCGGCAGCACCTGCCGTGACACGACGCTGACGTGCACGTCCTGCAGGTGTACGCCACCCGGGAGGTCGACTTGTACGGCACCCTCCCCCGTTGGGAGTGGCGGCGGTGTTGCGGTTGGCAGCGCTGACGCCGTAAGGGGCTCGGCGGGCTTGGGTTCGCCTGCTTCCTGAAGAGGCGGCTTGCCGGCAGCTGCGGCTTCATCAGGTGACCCATGGGTCACTGCCAGTGGTTGTGGCAAATGCCGCGCCTCGCTAGGCTCCGGCGCCGCGGCGTCAAGCTGGCGTGGCGCCGCTGCCGTTACCCCTGCTGCTCCCGTCAAGCTATCGTCGCCGCCGCCGCCGCCGCCAGCGCCAAGGCCCCTATCATCTAGTACGGAGTCACCCCTGGGCTGGGAAGCTGCTGCTGCTGCTGCCGGCGCGGCCGCCGGCGCCGATGGCGGGGCCTTGGCTAGGGCTTGCAGGCGCTGGAGTTGTCGTACACTTGCGCTCAGCCAGCCGCGCAGGCCGGTTTGCGCGGCAGCCCGAACTGGGTCGAACGTGTGTCCGGAAGCAGGTGGCCGTCCCGAGGACGGCAAATCGTGGGTGGTTATGTCGCCATAGGCCCAGCTGCCGGCCTGCGTTGAAAAAGGAACGTATAACGCAAAATTAGCAGGTAAAGACATCAATTACTAAGAAAGGATAAGGGTTGGGCTACGGAGCTGTCTTCCCGGTTGCCGTCATATGACGCCGTGCCATATGATCTGAACGGGACGCCAGCTTCATTTAACCCAAGAACGAATACAGTACAGTAAATTTGGGCCGCGTAAGGAGCAGTGCGCCAGTGCGAGGCTCAAGCAACCTACCGCGAGGCCGGCAGCCAGGCCAGTCAGGCTCCCGACAGCTGTGCAAAGCATGCGAACCTAGGGCGGCAGCTCGCCACGTAGCAGTATTTCACAGTCGAGGGCTGTGGATATGTTACCTGGTAACCAGAAGGAGCCCACTCGGAAAAAGGCTGGGCCGATGCGCCATCCCACCGGACACCGATTCCGCCATGAGGTCATCTTGATGCTCGTCCCATGTGAGGTCTTATATTTAGACTTGTTATTAATCACAGGCACCGCCTGACAAGTACCATTGCGCCCTCTTCGGAGATAGAGGCGCAGCTGTTGCGAGCCTTTTGAGGCTGCCAGCTGACTCCTAATACGCGCAGGCCTAACCTGACCCGATCTGTGACTCAAGCGCCTGCTGTATTCGACTATTCGTAGGCATGCAAAAGGATGACACCTCTTCAGCAGTGCCTTCCTGGCTTTCAAGGGCTGCAGAATACACGTAGATAAAAACAGTTGAAGTGCGTACGGGTCAAGCGGTGGTTGATTTTGGTACGAGGGCAGGCGCTTGTGTTTCCCGCAGTTCCGTTGACCTTAAGCGCCCTGTCGCTCCAGTAGGAGAAGTTGGCAGGAAATGGGCGTTTGGTGAGAATAATGTTGGTAAAGTGTTGCGTTATTACCGGTAGTTGCGAAGGGTCCTGCAGCCACGTAGCAATTAGCAGCAGTGCAGTTCTGCAATTATTGTAGCAGTAGCAAGAGCGCCCTGACGTCCTGTTTATAAGTAACCCGCCGTAGCGCTATAAGCACGCGCATCAAGAGGCGCGGGTGTGTTGCGCGGTCGAGCAGCGAGTCCACTCGGCGTAGCTCACCACCTCTTCTCACCCCACAGTCACACACCAAACACCTCATACTTCATCACAGCTACTTCATGTAGGAAACTGCGACCGTCGCCGACCCCTTCGCTAAGCAACCAAACGCACACAAACACGCCTCTGCGCCTTATCCCTTGTGCCCCACAAAACAGTCGTCCCATGGCCGCATGCAGCAGCGCATGGAAGCACATGTTCTTTAGCACTTGTTATACCGGTATAAGCGACGCCCCTCCAGTTGTTTAGCCTCCACTCGGGCCCGGGGTTAGGCCATACACCCCAATAAGGAGCTGCCAACACGCATGGTGGGGCATGGGGCCACTAGCTGGAGCGCCCCTATTGCCTACGCTTCCAAGGCCATGGCTGCTAAACACCCCCACACACTCGCCACACAAACCCCCTGCCGCGGCGCTTACGCTATCTTCTATCCGTCTAGCAAGGAGAGCAAGGAGCAACGACAAGCTTAACACTACCGTAGATATGGAAACAAGATGGTGCCCGCACGCCGACGAGGGGGATCCAGCTCCTCCGAAACCCTCGTCGGCAACTAGTATGCGGTATGCACCTGAATGAAGCCTGGCCAAGTGGCCATACATACCGGGCCATTGCGGCGCTAAAGACACACAACTAAAGGCGCTTAGTACGTTTCCTTTCTAAAGATATTCCATAAAAGGGCAACTGCAGCCGTTAACTAACAGGCCGAGACACACCCGAACAGCAAGAATGCGAACAAGAGGCTTGAACAAGACCTGCCTGGATCTTTTGCATTCCCCTCCCAGGGTGGTACTAAGGACGTGAGGTCAACCACCCGATTGCTGCCCGCAACCCTATAGGGTCAGGAAAGGGCCGCCCTTCCGCCACCTATGTCTGCCACAGCACGAGGGCGCGAAACGAGCGGACACTCTCAGGGTGAGTCGTGAGCTCATGGCCCAGTCCTGAGGACGCCACGTTAATACGATTCACTCCTCGCCTGGCGTGTTAACGCAAGAAAACCAGGCAACGCAGAACTCGTTACTCCATCGACCTGAAGAAACGGACCTGCACATCACGTGCCTGCAACTGAGGACCCACGCGCTTGCACGACAGAAGCGATAACAGAAGCACCACAGCTGCTAGGCTCTCCTCAACAAGACAACTAATCCATAAGTGCCGAGAGGGGGACAACACATATTGCTATAAACATGAGATCCAAGCATAGCGCACAGCGTTAGCAACAAGAGAGCGCCAAACTGATCCTACGCGTGCTATTGACGCGGCATGACGCTCCCATGAACGCACATACTTCCAGGATTTATAGAAGCGTCAGAGCGACCTTTCGCTTGAGGGCGCTAATACCACAGCTAATGCAGAGACCGGCCCTGCAGCCACAACATGACATCAGATGCATCTCCATGTCCATTATGCCCGCAAGCCCCAAGAGTACGCAATGTTTTGGCACGATCCATCCTCGCGTGCGCCGACACACCAACTGCGCAGCTCCGCCTGCCCTGCTTCAACGCGATTACTAAGCACCTGCCCTCTCAACAGAACACGCCATGATAGCATACACCTAGTCCTCAACTACTACCGCATCCCGCTATAACACGTTCCTTAGCAAACGTTCCTTAGCACCACCGTAGGGCACTTTGCCATGCCGTTGATTGCAAGAAAGCAGGCAATGTAGCAACCCCCCTACCTAGGAGCGCTACATGACCCATGGCAGTTTACCATCATTGGCTCTTAATGGGCCCATAGCGATCGTATGCTACATGGACTACTACTTAATCATGCCATGCGCTCCCTCCATCCAATCGATTGCGGGTACACCATCCATGCGATTGCAGGTACATCAATGGCAGGTCCACTGTCGCGTAGAACGATCAGGGTAAGAAACGCCGGATCTACATGACCCATGGGTCATTCGACAAGGATGGAACGAAGGACCGCGTGGCATTAACCCCATAGGCCTCCTCCGCCCGTCCGCATGGCGCCGAAAGCTTGGAATCCAACCGACGGTGCTAGATTGCCGTACTGTTGTTGATGCTGCGGCTCTGAATGCTGCTGCTGCTGCTGCGCTGAAACCATGTTTCCGTACAATGGCATGGACGGCAGCTGCTGATGCTGCTGGGGCTGATGTACGGAGGTACCCCCTGAGGCGGCGCTGAAAAGCCCGCCTCCCTGCATTGACAGCTGCTGCGGCTGTAGCACGTTGCCATTGCCGTACATTGAACCGCCCATCGATTGCTGAGCGGCTGCCATGCCGTACATGTTACTTGCTGGCTGGCTTTGCATTGACGATGCCGTTGGGACTGTCGTTGTAGCGCCCCCAGTGAAGATAGGCTGCTGCTGCGGCGTGATCGGCTGCAATTGAACCGTCTGACCCATACCGTACAATCCGCTACTGCCGATACCGCCAGTCATGGAGGTTTGCTGTTGTCCATGAGCTTGCGTCTGGCTGCCCCCGTACGACGACAGCAGTGGGGTTGACTGCCCATACGCAGCCTCTTGCTGCTGTTGCTGCAGCGGCTGCTGCTGCTGCTGCATGGCTCCCAGCTGCGACCGATGCCCGAACATGGCATGCTGCTGTTGCTGTTGCTGCAGTGGCTGCTGCTGCTGCTGACCCATGGACGTCATCATCTGTCCCGTCCCCGCCGCCGCCTGTCCCATGCCGCCCATGAACACACCGCGACCGCTGGGCGCGGTGGCGGTTGCTTGGCTGGAAAACAGTTCCGATTGACCCAGCTGGATCGGCCCAGCGCCGCCAACGCCGCCAACCATATTTGCACTAGGGCCCATGCCGGCACCGTTGGAGCTCGCAGCCAGCATGCTTGCAGGAACCATGGGTCGCGGATGGGTTCCTTGCATCGGTCGTACGCGCATCATGGCACTCTGAGAGGAAGACGGCACCTGGGACCCGTACGGCGCTGCTGCCTGCGGTTGGCCAAAGCCGGCCTGCATTGCCGTCGAGTAGTTGCGCTTCTGACCCGCTCCCATGTCGTACGAGGAAGTCGATGCGCTGCCGTACGGATCAAGAGCGGATCCGCCGCTTGCCGCCGTATGGCCATCCCTGCCGTACATGCCACCGTACGGCGCTCCTGTGGACGCCGCCCCCATCCGCGATGACAACGCGCTCGCTGCTTCACTGTTGCGGGCCAGACCCAACTGAACCATGGAGCCGCCGCCGCCGCCACCGCCGCCGACATCTCCAGGTCCGCCGGCGGCTGCCGCCATCGAGCCGCCGTAACCACCGAAGCCAGCGCCGCCGCCGCCGTAACCGCTGCTGTGCATTTCGCCTCCGTGATGCCCCCGAGCCGCGCGACCCGTGTGACTCCGGACGTCACTCGCGGAAGCAAGCCCCGGCTGCACGAAGCTGCTAACGCCGCCGCCAGCGGCACCGCTGCCGCCGTCAGCGAAGGTCGCCCTGACCATGGGTCCCATGGGCCCAGGACCGGTGCCAGCGCCGCTGCCGCCATACGGGCCGCCGCCTCGGTTGCTCATGTGTGACCCGTGGGTCATCGGCGGCGGCGGCGGCGGTGGCAGCGCCGCCATGGGAGCCGCTCGCCACATTGGCTCCCTGAAGGGTTGCGCCGCCGCGGCGCCCCTCTCGCCGCCCTTGTTTCCGCCTCGGTCGCCGCCCCTATCGCCGCCCGTCCTGTCCAACCGGTCTGAGCCCCGGTCTCCACGGCCCACTGCGGCCTTCTTTCCGCCCCCGGCAGCGCCGCTGTAACCCAACTGTGGTCGGAGAGAGACAAGGGACGGAGGCATGTCAGGAGGACTATTAACCACAACGCCATCGTCTTCACCAGCCATCTTTGCCGCTATTGGAGCTATACTTACAAGTTACACCGGTACCGGTATCCTATACATGAGCATCCCGTGTCCGACTCCGCAATCGCCTTACCTACCACAGTTCCTATCTGCCTAAGTAAGCAGCCCACTTAGCCCTCGTCCCCCACCCCGACACCCCCCCTTGCCTCACCCCGGGCCTCTCGTTGCCCCCTCTGCCTCCCCGGCCTGGCGGCCCGCCTCCCCCCTGCTGAGGCGGCTTGGGCGCCGGCAGCAGGTCCTGTGCAGTCAGCCCCCGCGGCCCCTCCATCAGCTGCTCCAGACACGCAGCAGCGGCAACATGCTTGGCGTCCTTCTTGGTGCGGGCCTGGGGAGGGGGGTGCGTAAAGAGTGGGTTAAAAGAGGAAGAGATGAATTAACCGTGTGGCAACTGACAAGGTTCCACCATGGAGTGCAAGAAGACGGACGAGAGGGCCGCCGGCAGTCCGGTAGCTGTGAACCAAGCAGCCAAACCAGCAATCAAGTCAAAACGCCATACCTTGGCTGTAGCTGTCGCGATCAGTGCAGGCGAGGAGCCGCCCGAGGTGAGCCGGGCCTCCACCGTGTACGGACCCGCGGCCCCCTCACAGGTATCGTTGTACATCACCTGGTGCAGGCGCGCACGACACAAACAAAGGATTGGCGATCAGTTTAGCTCCGCGATTCAGTTTGCAGCGCCTCTTAACGCACGCACGCTATCCGAATCCGTTCCACGCTTTGACACGTCAGCACCGTATAGACCGTATCCGCATGGAAGCGTAGCATGTATGACAGGTCTGTATCCTCCCACTGTGCTCATCCATGCCTTGACCAGTGTATGCTCGCACATGACGCCGTCCAGCTTCATAGTCATACCCTCTTCCACCTCCACCTAGACCTCCGCCCTCTTCATTCCTTACCAACACCATTCCCTTCCTTTCCTACCTCGTACGACATCTTTGCTGCGTACTCGTGCAGCACCACGAGGGCGGTCTTGGGCACCCGGGTGGACTTGAGGGACTGTGGGGGGCCAGGGGGGGGGGGGCGGGGGGCCGGGGGGGGGGGGGAGGTGCAGCAGCGAGGGGGCGTGAGTGAGCCTACAGTAAGCAAGGTGAGTGGGTGGCTCGGGGGAAGGGTAGCAAGCCGCAGGGATACGGCTAGGGATCTCCGCTAAGACGTGTCCGGAGCTGTGTACCAGTATGCTCCCGAGCAGCAACACAAACAGTCTGCTGTCATCGGTAACCCAAACCGCAAGACGCCAATGCTGGGGTGCACCGACGTACCGCAAGCAACTTGTGTATCTTGGGGTAGGCCGCCAGAGCCGCCGCCAAGTCCTGAGCCATGCCTGATGAGCCACACGCGCCTCCGCCGCCACTGCCGGAAGGCCCCGCAGCGGCAGACGATGGATCCCTGCCGCCGCCCACCGCCGCTGCTGCTGTCGCACTCGCCGCCAGTCTCTTACCGGCTGCAACAGAAGAACCACCACCACCACCGCCGCCACCGCCGCCGCCGGCAGCATTCGTGGACTCCGCCGCCCTATTCGCTGCAGCTGCCGCCGCTGCGGGAGCCCCTGCCGCGGTACTCGCCTCACCGCCGTTGGCAGCAGGGCGAGACAGTAGGCCGCCGGCGCTGGTGCTTGCTGCTACAGTCGGCACCGCCTCCGCTGCCGCCGCCGTCGACGCCTCCGCTGCCCCACCTGCCGGCGGCGCGGCGGCAGGAGTAGCTTGTCGTTTGCTGGCGGTGGCTGCTGCCTGCTGTGTTGCCGGGGCCGTTGCCGGGGCCGCTGCCGTTGATGGCGCAGCGACAGCGCCGCCGTCGGCTAGTGGCGCCGTCGCCGTCGCCGGCGTCAGCGCCGACGCCGCCGCCAGTGCGGACGTGTAGGCCCGCTTAGCTCCCCCTCGCTGTACCACCTGCGGGAAGCCCGGGCCCGACAAGGTGTCAACAAGCAAACCGGAGCTGCTGCTGCAACCCCGTACGACCAGGAGATAACCCACACCGCACGCTTAACCGCCATTTACCACCTCCTCACGGGTCTTCAACCCACCCACCCCGCCCACGTCACGTCCTCATCCCCACCCTCCCCTCATGCAGCCGTTCACAAGCCACCATCACCCCACACCCGCTGCCCCGCCCACCTGCAACGCCGCCGCCACCGCCGCCCGCCTGTCCGGGTGCGCCCGCAGACGCCCCAGCAATGCGTTCATGGAGGCCCCCCGGTCCCCATGCACAAGGTGTAGCGGCGCCTGCCCGCATGCCGCCTGCGCCGCACCCAACACGGAGCGGAAGGGGCGCCGCGAGGCATGCAAGCCGATGCGCCGCCCGCCCACCCGCACGCCTGGGCCCCCGGGTACCGAGGCCGCGGCGGCTGCAGCCACAGCGCGCTGCGCTGAGGCCTCGTCCGCAAAGGTTGCGAAGCCGTAGCCCTTGCAGATGGCCGTCCCACGGGTCAACTGCACGTTTTTGCGGAAGGGAAAGGAGGCGTAACATCCAAACTGTGAGCTTCGCATTTACAGCTGCAGTGGCAAAAGGGGTTTGCCAGTACCTCCCCTCCTCGCATGGCCTCACCTGCAGGCGCACCGACGCCACCTCCCCCGCCCCTAGCTGCTCCAGCACCGCCCGCACCTCCTCCTCCGCGGCGTCAGGCGCCAGGCCACCGATGAACACCTGCATGCGGGCCGTTTAACAAAAGCCTTTTCACTCTGCGCAGCTCTTAACAAAACAGATGCTTGCGGCAGGATGGGCGGGGAGCTGTCGAGGTCGCAGAGGACACAAAGGTGCGTGTGAGGAAGCCTTTAGCCCTAGGGGGGGTTACAGTGCGTTGCTCCGGGCGGCCCCCAGCGGAAGCTCATCAAGGTGTCTGCTCGCCCTGCCTGACCAGCCGACCTCCCAAGCCTCAGCCCACCACGCACCTCGACAGCTCCTCCACGTGCGCTTTCCCCGCCGCTACCGCCGTCACCCCCCCGGCCACCCGCAGCAGCACTGCCCGCCTCCACTCGACGACTGACCACCTCCGCCTCCCCCTCGTCAGCTGCCAGCCCCTCCAGCCTGCGAGGTGCAAGGAACCCGGAAGGCGGCTTGTCGTGCATAACCACCGTAGCGCCGTAGTTGATGCGAGGCATGCATGCATGCATGCGGCGTGAGGAAGTCGTGGGGACCGAGCCCGGTAGCGATGATGTGGTGGGAATCGGATAAGCGGATGCGGATTACGGCATGCGCATCAACAAGGGGCTGTTGTGCGGTGACGACATGCAACTCATTCCCACACCATGCCGGTTTCACACGCTCCCAGCGGCGTGCAAGTGTCGCGTACTTACACGCTGCTGCCCGCAGCTAGGTCCACGCTGATGCACACCCCAGGATCCGAGGCTGCGGGCTCCAGCGACCCCTCTCGCGGCTGTGAAAGCATGCCACTCCGCAGGTGTTCGCCTGTTGCTGCCGGGCCGGGAGCGGCCCCGGCTGATGTTTCCACCAAAGCTGATGCGCCGGGAGCTGCGCCTGCTGCCGGCTGCTGCGCCGCAGCTGCTGCATCGGAGGGAGCGGTGGCAGTTCTCGCACCGCCAGCAGATGTACTTGCAGACCGTGGTACAAGATCATCGCTGGGACCTAGCTGGAGGGTTCCCAGCTGTCGCCGAGCCTCATCCGCTGGAAGTTGTTGCTGGGCAGCGGAGCTTCCGGGCTGAACCATGGCATCATCGAGAGAGTCCGGCAAGTGGAAAAGCTCGAACCTTGATTTCTTATTAGGTCCATCCAAAGCGTCTGCTGTGTTCGGGCTTTCTGAAGCCATGGCACAAGCGATTTCGGGTAGAGCTTCCGCTTCGCGTGCTTGCTGTCCCTCACTGATTTGTTCGCAACTTAGTAGATCAGGAAACCTAAATGAAAGCACTAAATCCAAATTGTGCCTATAGTTTAACTTCTACACTGCACAAGCCAAGCCGCTCTACGGATGATCGTCAGGAAAGACAGAGCGTAGTTCCTGTCTGGCCGCCTGAAAAGCGAACTATTCAGCTCTAGGAACGGGCACAGGAAAAGGTGCTTAAAGGTCAAGGAGATGCTAGTGGCAAGGCCCCTGGTAGCTCGGTGAACCTTCCTGGCTTCAAAGCTTGCGATGACAGCCATATGCCTTCCTCATGTATGATTTTACCAACCCTATGTAGATAGATGGTTTGCATCCGACGATCACCTTGCCGATCGCTTGTACGGCACGGCTACAACATCAAAACCCCAACGGGTCCGGGATCAGCCAGTTACGTACAGAATACCTCCTACAATCCAAAAGCACTTGTACATGGTGGGTAGACGTGTAATGGTTGGTGTTACCGGCACGTCCCTATTAGCATGCCTACATGCTCTCATGGCTGCTCAAATCGTGGTTGCTCAAATCCGATGCGACGCTACCAACAGCATAGGTGCGACCGTTCCTACAAGCGGCATTCCTATAAGTGGTAAGGAAGGTTTGCAGGTTCAGCCGATTTGCACGTATCCTTGCATCCGGGTTACAGTACGGTATGGCGGGTCTGGTTAATGTTTGGCGGGGGTCAGGCTTGGGTTTAGACATCAATGGCTGTATGTGCAACTACAAAAAGCACAAGAATGCATTAAAGCTAGCGCGAAAACAGCGTCGTTTTGCAAGCGTGGGTGTGTCTATGGTGCAGGTAGGAGGTGGCCAGGGGGGCTCATACTTGACAACTCAGCTAGTAGCTCCATTGTCTAGGACCTCTTCAGTTGCAAAGGAATACCTGCACTTTCCCGCGCCTGGGACTACCTACCCTTCCGAGCAAAGTAACGGCATTGCCACGATATGGTGGTTTCCCGCATGGCAGAAGAAATGCATGGCATATCACCAAGTGGTTCCCATTCTGTAACAGAAGACCAATATTTTGGCGTAAGGCTGACGGCCTTCCTGGTACTGGAATGACGCGTCGTACGCTCTAGACTCTAAGGGCCCGCGAACTACATCGCCTGTAAGACATTTTGCCCGTTGCAAGCTGCAAGGATCAACCTGTAGCTCAACACATTGCAAACTGCACCTCCAGTGATATTCCCTGAACTAGACGGCCTGTATGGGAGCATCTTCGCCTTTTTTCTAAACGCTGAAGACAACAATGTCGCAATTAGAGCTTCTGGGCACTACGTTGTTGGACCATGTTCACAAGGGTCCAAATCAGGTGAAGATTGCCGTTGCTTTCTGCCGCGTCTAAGCGTGCATTAGTATAGGAGATGCGCTGAAGCGCTTGTAGCACACCCTCCTAGGCCGTTGCTTACCTGAGCGTGCTCTTGCCTGGACTGCAAGGCATTGTTACTTTGCTTTCTTTGCGGCGTCGCCTGACCTACCACTTACCTAAATTGTTCGCAGGCCGGAAACAAGAGTTTACTAGCTTACAATAGCTTAGTTGGCATTCCTGGATACACTGGCTACATATCAAGTGGGGCCACTCTATCGCTGCCGGTAAAAGGCTTCGACCACACTGGCCGGCCAGCGTCGACGAAGGCTGCAGAGCAGCTGGCGATAAAAACAGTGGACCCCAGGAAAACGTCAACGTAAGTCATGTACTGGGTCTCCACAGGGGCGAAAAGGAGGCCGCTGACAACGAGGATGCCTCGTTGGGAAGTTGTTCATTTAGAGTGAGACCAGCTACTTTTCTCAGATGTTGGATGCTCGGCTTAAGGCAAGGACGCCTTGCTAAAACCCCCCGCTAGTCTTTCAGCTCTGGGAGGGGCGCTGCTTCCACCAACCGTCACATAGAGTCCGGGGTCGCCATAAGCGCAATTACTCGTGTGCTGGCTGATACCCCTAACACCCTAAGCAATGCCGTAGTGGTTGCGTCACTCCACTTGTTGTACGGCCGCGTGAGCTTGCGGGCCCATGGTCCGACCGCTCAGTTCTGCCTGGTATATACCTGTCGTACCAGCACAGAGGCAGCGGGGCCTGCCTACCAAATGCACCAATCCTCCTTTCATCAACACCGCCCTCCCCAACGCCCAAGCTCCCCCTGCATTGACACCGTGCTACCCGCTTCCTGGCCACCCCAACCCTCACAGGTACGGGGACGACTTCCTGAAAGCCCCCAGCGACACACAGCTGCCCTCCAAAACCGGCGGCGGCTACTGGATCTCGGATCGAACCCTCCCAGGCGCCGTGCCCTTCATCGCCACCACCACATACCGGGCTGAAGTCCTGAAGGGTGGAGACACAGCCGCAGCCCAGCTGGGTCGCTCCGAAGGCCTAGCATGCACCCTGGTGGGCTATGAAGCCGCTCGCCAAGCGGGCGAGATGCGTCGGAGCATAAGCGCTGATCCACGGCTCCGAGCGGAGATGACTGCACGCGGCATTGGCACCCAAACCGTGCCGCGACCGGGGAGCGGCGGGAGTATCCTAGACAGCCCGGCCAAGGCGGCGGCGGCCGCCGCTGCCGCGGCGGCGTCACCGCAGGCTTCGAGCAGCGTGTTTGCATCCTCATCACGACGACCGGCGACGGTACCCACCTCAGCTAACGAACTGCCTGGTTATCAGACCACGTATGGAAGCATGACGGATAAGACGTCGCGCATGGCGGCAGAATTCATGCTCGCCGGCCCATCGGAGGGCCCCATGGGCGACCCACGGTTCAAGGTGCTCCCGAGAGTGATGAACCCGGGTGCTAGCCGTACGTACAGCACCTATGCAGCGGACTACGGCTTGGAAGGTCACGACCCAATGAGCCGCCAGGCGCCGAACCGCGACGTCATGAAGCGGCTATCCACCACACGCGATCTAGCCCATGGCACGACCCGAAACGTCTGCCACATTCCTCGCTACACAGGCCACATCCCAGCCTCGCAATACGCCACCCCTGAAGGCGCCAAGCATGGCGAGGCAGTCGAGCCGCGGCCCGACCATAAAGCCCGATCTCTGCCGTACGCCCTGGATCAATACCCGCGCGGCCGGTTGCCTGGCTACACGGGTTTCAAGCCGCAGGCCCCGTGCAATGTCAACACCAACCATACGGTCAAGATTCCCTCGGTGGTTACAGCGTCTGGGGAGCAGGGGCTGGCGGTGACGCGGGGCGGTGCGCTGCCGCTGGACCGGGAACACCACATCAACACCAATGAGGGCATCATGTCGTTCTTCACCAACTCCCACGCCGGCACGGAGTTTGTGTCTGATAACGGTCTCGCTAACGCGCACGTGAGTCCTGATGGTCGGGTGGTTGCGGTGCGGGTGTGCTGCTGCATGGGGTGGCGTAAGCAGAGGCTTGGGACACTGGTAACGTTGGTTGGAGGAAAGGGTTGAGATAGCTGTCGGAAACGCCTCTACTTGGCATTGTGGACTCCCTCATACGGTAGTGTTTGGGGTCCCTAGACAAGGCCCCCCGGTGCTACCCGGTGCAGCCACGTGTCCCCTCGTGCTGCGACACCCCAGGTCGCAAACCGCCGTCCCCGCCGACTAACCTCCTTCCTCCGCTGCTCCCATCTCCTAACCCCGCAGTTGTACTTCAAGCAAGCCAAGAGCCAAGGCAAGCTGGGCATCCGCACGTCTCAGCCCAGCAAGCTCACAGTGTACGGAGCGCCCTTCCGGCCCGCAGCGTCCATGGTGTAGCGCGGCCCGTGCTCGGGCGCCAGGGGCGCTTAGTCTTGCTTGTCTTGGGGGCGTTGCTTAAGGATGCTCCAGCGAAGGAAAAGGCTTCTAGGAGGAGAGCCAGGAGGCTGTCATGTGGCAGGTTGACCGGCTTACTCGGCATCCTCAAGGCGCGTGACCTGCGTCTGGTGAGAGGGCAGACAAGTGGGCTTGGTAGGGGTAGGGGTTTCTGGCTTGTTGAGTGAGGTATTGTGGGCGGGCATGTGGCATCGTTGCCAAGCGTGAGGCATGCATGGATGTTGGGGCTCAGTTGGTGCCCCATACATGTGGGTGATCCCCTTACCCCGCATGGACACTCTTGCCGTTCCTACGGCAGGGGAGCTGTGAACCTGAACGTACGATGTATTATGCTGTGGTGTCAGGGTGGCGTGATTCGTTTTGCTGGGGACCCGACAAAGTGTTGCTGCTTTTGACGCTCAACGGCAGCTCTTCTGTTGCCATTCAGGGTGGGCAGTTAACGTCGTTAAGTTGGCTTATTACTGGCATTCACGCCGCTTCCTTGCTGCGGTACTCCTGTCACATGCTAGGCTAGCAGGCACCCATGCAGCCGCCTCGGGGCGGTGACTGCTCTTTTCTTGCGGGTAGTTAAGATTTGATCAGGGTTATAACGAACAATGCTAAGGCACGTCAGGAGGCGCGGGCTTTGGAGAAGGAGGCTACGGGCTCTAGGGGGTTCAAGAAGGAAATGCAGCGGTGCTTGCAGGCTATTACGGTGCTGGAATAGAGCATCTACATTGCGATCGCGGCAGGCTGACGGTAGGTTGTGACGCTTTCACTTTTACAGGTTGGCAGCGTGTGGGGATGTGTATTGTGTGGGGAATTACCATCGTACGGGAGGGCTGTTGTGCGGGGCGAATGCAGGGTTGGCTGACAGGCGTGCAGTACTTCTGAAGTCGAGACCGGATATATGACAGCTGGAATGTCATGTCCTGCTTTTTATTACAGCAAGGTCTAATGTAAGCCCCTTATCTTTTGTGGGTATGAATCCAGAACCCTTTTGTTTGTAATAGGTTCCTTTGTACACGAGACCTTCAACTGCCTCAGCCACGGATTCTAGGCACGGGGGCATAACCGGTGGACCATAAAATAGCCGTCACATACTGCTCTCCAGCGCATACTTAAGCTCGCCGCTTTCAGGCATTCGCCTCTTGTGTGATCATGTGGACTCCGAAACCACAGGCTGCAATCAACGTCCCGCGCCCATGCGACATCTCAAGGCAGACAGCGCCGCGTCCATACAACTCCAGGCGTCCTGAACATCAATACACCAACTGACGCCCCAACTCCCGTCGAGCAACAAAGGTATAATACATGCCATGGCTCACTGTTGATCTTCTAGGTTTCGCTGGCACTTCCCTAGGACTCTTAACGCCCCGACAATCCTCGACAAGGATGAGGGGCAACGGGTTATGTCCAGAAATGCATGTAAAGCCAGCCAAGAACGCCAACAAGCCGCACTCCATGGTTGTTTGGTGTGGTGCGGCACCTTCAACGCACATACTCGAATAAGATCACGTCCTAGATTCTCTCCAGTCTACGCCTGTCCTTTGACATGGACGCACTACGCTGTCTAAAGAGTGTACGCCACCGCATATGCATAGTACATTAGCCAGCAGGGTTAACCACGCGCATGGCAAAACAGAAGCGCCGTGAAGCAGCATAAGGCACGACAGGCCGTAAAGACTCGTCTCTTGAATACATGAAATACCGGTACCCCAACAACAACAGAGTCTAGTCTCTACGCTCGCCATGCATGACGGCCCCAAAGTCGGCTAAACAGCCCTTCATGCTCAATGGCCTATCAATGTCTAACTGCTCAGGTACCTGGCCTCTTATCACCACCACTAACCGTATCCTCTTCTCCTAAGGTCCCGTACAGGGCCACAGCCAGGCTCCGCACAAGGTTTACGTAGCCACCAGTATGTTGCGAGAAGCCATGCGCTGGGTAAGCATGCGGAGCTCGGTTGTCAGCAACGCTCTACCATTGGCTGCCAAAGCCGTCTACTGGCGGGCTTCAGAGCCAGCAGCAGCCACCTGCATGGAGGTGTCCTGCTGCTCAGCAGCCGCCGCGAGTGCCGGCACCTCTATAATCTCCCCAACGCGGAAGTCTTCTTCCTCTTCGGGGTAAAAGTAGTCGTCTTCGTCCTCAAACTGTGGGGTATTGAAGCAAGGTTAGGATCCAGACATGACCGGAGCGTACAACCAGGTTTCACAGTGACGTGAGTGGGGATGACAGTTGTTGATATGTTTGTGATGCCAGTGCCCGACCCATGGGTCTTTGAAGTGAACAGTAACTCTATTATACCACCCATCGCCCTCACCTCGTAGTCGTACTGCAGCGGGTCCATGCGCTGTGGAGCCAAGACAGACGGTCGGAGAGGAAGGCGTTGGAAAGGGGCAACAACCGACTGGTAAGTGTTACAACTATGAGAACACAAGTAGAAGGACTATAGCAGCAAAGTTTCCGCGGCTCCTCGCCCCCACCATTCGTTAATAAGAAAAGCGTAGGCAACAAGGCAGCCATGTTCCTCGGTCATGTCTTCTCCTGGTCGCCCAACAACACCCAGCTCCCTTCTCGCCCTCTCCTCGGGCTACGACCTTTCCCACGCCCTTCCCCTTTCTCACCTGCTCGTCTCCCAGCATGTCCGCAAATCCAATGGTCATAGTGATGCGCTCGCCACTGGGCTTCAATGCCGACACCTGCATCATCCAGCATCACCAATCGCTCATGAGTCATGACCCATGGTGAAGTCACACGCATGCAAGGGGCCATAGTAGTGCACAACACTGTTTCGGTAAACCCACACGCTAAGGTAAATGGGCTACTGTCAGTTTACAGCTTCTCACGAGCTGTCAAGCTAGCCACAGGGCACGTCAACACGGACAGCCGTGTTAAAGGAACCAGTTGTCCTGAGCCCCCGCTCCGCTCCGGCCCTCCCCCCGCTCGCGCACCTGCACCTCCAGTTGTGACACGTCATCGTCCAGGTCCTTGCCCATGTACTCAGCCAGCGCCGCCAGCGTCTGTGCCTTCATCTCGAGCAGAGACTCGGGCGACACACCGCACCTGTGGCGAGTTTGGGGGGGATTCGACATTGGCATGGACTTGAATGGAATTGGTCGATAGACGTATGGGGTCGCTGGGCTGGCAGACAGCTGCTAGGACGGATGAGGCCCTGGTGGCGCCTGCCGCATGGCTTGTAATGCAGGTCGTATGCGGGTTTCAAACTTACGCCGCAGCTCATTCCCTCCTCCCTTTCTGGCGCAGCAACCATTGCAAACCACGGTACGCATGCACGGCTTCTCATGCGCACTGTTCACAGCTCCCGTGCGCCGCGACACACTGACTCCATCAGCGCTCGTTCCGCCCGTCTGTCCGCCTCAGGTCGCAATGCCCCCAGGATTCATCCACCCCAGCCCCCACCTGTCGGCAATGAGCACCATCTGCAGGCGGCTGGTCACCACCTGCTTGGCGGTCCGAGAGGTCGCCGAGTCCGTGACGCCACTGCCAGTGGCAGCTGTCGCCAGTAAGCTGCCAATGCCACCTGCCCAGGTGGCCAGCTGGCTGCGGGAGCGTTTGGGCGCTGGTGGAAAGAAGACTCCCCACGCCAGGCGGCACTTGTCGAGGAAGGAGCGCCAGGGGTCGGTGTCGTCGGGACCGCGACCCGGCTTGAAACGGTGCAGGAGCTTAATCTGCAGGTGAAGGGTGGAGGAAGGAAAGAAGGGGTGAAAGGGAGAGGGCTTTGGGGTGGCCGCTTTCTGTGGTGTGAGTTGACCGTGGCGTGCTCGTCTTTAAGGCGCAAAGGCTCCAGCATCTTGCGTACAGCGGGCGCAGCTTCGTATTTAGAGTCTGGATCCCGGCAAGTGACGACCGTTGACCACGCCCATACCTCCGGCTTTGGATCCGCGATACTAAACCGCAGCGACCGGGCCGTCACTAGTCCGCCTGCGGCAAATGTTAGTGTCGTGCGCGGTTTGGGTTAGGAACAGAAAGGCCCTGGGCCACCAACCCGTCGGTTGCTGTGGGAAACTAGGTGACAGTACAGAGGGACAGTACAGAGACCTGAACACTGCACGACTTGTTTCCTAGTTGCCTCTTGTGTTCCTCAATTGCAACGGCGGCGGGTCAAAGACCACAATGGTGGCGCGTGTCCCTGGTCTAGGGAAAGTCAGGGGAGTTCGGGCCCCGTATGGCAGAGCAACACAGTCCCACTCCCTGGCCGCTATCTAACCTGGGTGTGAGCTTCCATCTTCGCTGCCAGCGTCCGCTGGCAACGGCCCATACAGCGGCCGTGCTAGCTCCAATGACTCATCAACACCATCGGCCTGCTCTTCGGTGCCGCTTGACTGCTCTGAAAGGAAAGCCCGGTCTTCCTCCTCGTCCCGGCGTCTAAGCTCGCTGAGCCTGCTGCTTATCGCCTCCTTATTTTTGCTGTTACTGCTGGCTCCGGCTACCATATTAAAGAGGAAAGCGTTGACCGCAAGTCTCTGCGAGCGCTGCCGTGTTCTGCAAGCAAGGCCTTGGGCCAAGCGGTTGGCGAACGGACTTGCCGCTGCCTGCAGTTTGGGGACCGCGTGCCAACATGTGAAAAGAAAGCGCTGCTCGAAGTGCGGCTAACAAGCCTCCGGTGTGTTGTTGCATGTTGCAGCAGCTCATTTAAAGGGCATTGACGCTTTCTCCTTGCAACTTTGGATGCGCCGGGTACTACCTAAGGTTAACAGCAGTATGGCATACATGCCTGGTGTATTTTTGGGCAGCATGGCGGTCCTCGTGGTAGATAGCTGCCCATCGTCCCCGTTCCCGCAAAGCGGGGGAGGTCAACTATGAAAGCTTAGCACCGTTACTGCGCAGTACCAACGCTTCAAAAAGACTGAATGTACTAAGAATAGTCCGATTGTCTCCTGGTCAAGTACAGCGAAGCGACCTGTCAAGCAGTATCTCACCCTAGTCCAAGTCAAGAGCCTAAGCACGTACAACCGTCCAAGAGAGCATATTGTTGGGTCAGATTGTTGCTCGGGCAGCTGCCAGAGGCTCGGGGATGGCAGTAATTCAAATTCCCGCCTTCAGGGCGCCGTACAAGTTTATTGCGCTCTGGCATTTAGGTACGTATGCATCATGAAGATACCATTCTCCGTAGACGACACCCACCTTCATGCACTGCACGCTTAGCTGGTTTCAACGGAACAACTAGCGCTTTGCAAAGTAACCGACGAAGGAAACCGGGGTGTTTAGTAGCGCTCCTCTCTAGCAGCCCATATAATGCTATAGGTGAAGTAGTGCTACCTTTCAGTAGTTCTACAAATTACTAATCGGATGGGTACCCGGCAACAGTCGCGCGCAGATGGCCAGCAAGCCGCATCCAACGCGGCGCAGCGGCCCAGGCGCTCGGCTCAGCCCAAAAACAAGTACGCCCCTCAAGTTAGTGATTCAGACATTGCAAGTAGTAGCAGTGAAAGCGAGGCTGAGGAGCAACAGCAGCGACCCCAGCGTGGTGGCCGAGCAGCCCAAAACCAGGCTGCAGCCAAGACCGCTTCCGCAGCGCCCAGCACCAGGCGCACCAGTCAGCGAGCAGCAGCTGCTGGCGCGGCTCCAGGCCGGTCGTCCCAAGCCAAGACAGGGACGAAAACCGCAGCCGCATCCAGTGCAGCTGCTAAGAAGGCTGGGAAGGCAGCTGCCGCTGCAACTGACAGCAAGGAAGATGAGGAGGACACGGACAAGGATGTCATAGTCATCGACCAGGAGGATGACGACGAGGAGCAGGAGGTAGAAGCCAAGCGGCCAAGCCGCGCTTGCGCAACCAAACAGGCGCCAGCACCAGCCCGGGGAGGTCGCAGCCGCACCACCACCTCCACCAGAGCTGCTGCTGCAGCTGCTGCCACCACCTCTGCAGCACTCCAGCCCGAGGGTGCAAGCCGGCGTCGGGGTGCTGCAGCCTCCGCTGCAAAAGCCGGTGAAGATGGCGACAACGACGATGATGACCCCGAGCAAGACGAGGAGGACGTGGAGGAGGACGATGTCGACGATGACACCGCCGAGCCCGCTGCTGGACGAGGCGGCGCTTCTGCTTCAGGAGGAGCTCGTAGAGGACGTGGTCGAGGTGCGCAACCGCAGGTAGTGTCGACCGCTGTGGAAAGTCGCAAGCGGCTTTTCGAACTTCTGGAGCGGCGCATTGGTGCGACGACTGGAGGCAACGGTGATGAGGCGCGGGTGCAGTACGGCGACCTGCCGCCCAAGAACCCCACCAAGAAGGCCAAGCTGCTGACGGACCTCAGGTGGGATAGGCTGGTGGTAGGACGGCTATGTGAGCTTTGCTTGGTGTTGGCAGCTGCCTTAGCATGCACGCCTCCGTCAACGTTTCGCAAGTGTCTGTGCATTAAGTCGGGCCGGCACCACACGGGGCTGTGTCGCCATCACCACAGGGCACTACCTCGTTTTTCGCATACCTTGACCCAATATAACCGACACCTGCTCCCCTACGGTTTGCTTTGTTCTGGTCGCAGGTCCCAGTTCGACGACTGGCACAGCCGACTTCGGTAGGTGGGGGCAGCGCTGGGCTAACCGAAAGCTATTGCACCCCAAGAATGCATCTTCAATGCGTTCCTCTTGCGGCTCAGCTTGGGAACTGAACTTTTCGCTCGCAATGATCGAGACGGGTGGGCAACAAGGATGCAGGACGGCGGGCTTGGAGATGCGAATGCATGCACAATTGCACATGGACGGAGTGAACGAGCGACCATGCAAGCTAACCTGGATGTTGCATGCAATCGTCCACACCGCGCAGGTCGAACTTCTCCGTCCTTCTGTACGGCTTTGGATCCAAGCGGGGCCTGCTGGAGGAGTTTGCTCGGTTCCTGGCCGGACCCCGAAACAGGTGGGGCGAGATGGGGTTGCTTGGACTGGGACATGCAGTGTTTTGCACGCTTCATAGTGATGCAAAGTTCAGACATTGGTAGACCAGGCAGCCGTGACGGGATATCCTTCACGGCCTCGCTCAAGCTCCCTGTGCCTCACCCAACCCCTTCCTATCGCTCTCCCCTCACGTGTCAGGGGCGACTCTGCGGTCCTGGTCTTCCACGGTTACAAGCCTCGCTGCACCGCCCGCGACATCGTCACCTCGGTCGCCACCGCCCTCACGCAGCGCTCCTTCAAGCACCTGGAGCGAGGAGGCGCAGCAGCAGCAGCCGCGGCCGCAGCATCAGCAGCAGCGGGCGACGCCGCGGCGGCGGGTGGTGACGTCGGCGGCATTGCGTACGGCGGGCTGCGAGGTGTGCTTGAGGAGCTCCGGCGGGAGACGCTGGACCGGCATGCGTTCGTGGTGATCCACAACCTGGATGGCCCGGGTGAGGTCTGAGGTGTTGGGGGTTGTTGGGAGAGTGTGGAGCACACAGAGCTGTTCGCACCCGTTGCATGCATGCATTGGTGGTCATGCAGGAAGCCACCGAGGCACTGCGAGGGTGTCCATGTTGCGGGCATGCATGCTCCCCGCCATGACCTGTTCTGCCAGTCCATTCTTCGAGCCGGTTCTGACAGCCCCGAGCCCGGCGCTGGGTTCCGCGTGCAGGTCTGCGGAGCGACCTCCCGCTGCTCAGCGTGCTGGCGGCCTGTCCGCAGGTGGGGATCTGGGGGCCCCTGCCGGTTCTTGACCGTCTTGAGGCAAGGAACGGAAGAAGGGTTGATGTAGTATGCGGCTGACTATACGTCCCATCCTACTTTCCCGAGCATGGCGGCCTAGCATGAGTGTCTGCATGCCCCCACCCCCGCCTCTGCCACCCTGCTACCAGGTGCACCTGATTGCCTCGGTGGACCATGCGCTCGCCCCATTGCTGTGGGACTCGGCGGATGCAGCCCGCTTCAGGTGGGACACGTAACGTAGCGGGTGGCACGCAGCACGTCTCTGGCTGCCGGTTGAAACCACCCAAGTGCACTAGGAATCGGTGTGAACAGCTGCGTGAGAAAATCGGAATGGTCGCCAACATGCACGTTGCACAGCGCCAGCACTGTTGTGTTGTTGTCCAAAGACTGAACGTTGCGATCCACGTGTCAGTGCATGCATACCTTCACCTCACATGTCTTGATCCGCCCTTAACCCTAGCCCCCTGGCCCCTGACCCCTCCCTAACCCGTACGTATGTCCCCAGGTGGCAGTATATAAACGCCACCACCTTCCAGCCGTACATCACGGAGACCGCGGGGATGCAGTCCGTGCTCATGGGTGCGTTGGGGGTGTTGAGGGTGTTGGGATTGTGAGGGGGCCCCACATGTTGCTGTTGGGTGCATGCGTGGGCAGGGCTGGAGTCCTCCTGCGTTGAATCCTACTGCCCATGGCGGGAATGGTGTCGTTATTAAGTGCAAGTCATGTGTGGCATGCGAAGCATGGAGAAGCGGTGCTGCACTCGCACGAGGCGAGCGCAGCCCCGTTGCCTGCCGTTTTCCTTGAGTGCTACTGGCCCGCAGCGCATGAGCATTCCCATCCCCACGCTGTTCCACCTCCCACCCGCGCCGAAACTCCTTTCCCTACCTGCAGGCGCGTTCAAGTCGGGTGTGGTGAAGGCCAGCGCGGGTACCGTGCTGAAGAGCCTCACGCCCAAGGCGCGGGTGAGTGGCCGAGAGGCAGGGTTGGGGAGAGGTTGGGAGAGAGGCAACGAGGGAAGGCACGCTGCCCGCAGGACGGCGGCGACCTTGATGACGAAGCTGCTCAGGAGAATAGGGCCCCACCCGTGTGTAGCTTGCGTCCTGCGCTGACGCCCCTTGTGTTGTCCCTCTTACCGCACTCGCTTCGCGTCGCCAAAGGCGAATGTCCTAGCGCGCCGCAAAGTTTAGCCCGGTCTGTTTTCTTAGCGGTTTGCCCTGCATTTCCTGTCCCCATTCTGGCCCCCCACTGCTGCCCTCTATTCCCATTGCTTTGCCCTAACCTGTGGTTTTGGCATATCTCTGACCCCCACCCGGCTCCCCCACCCCAGGCTGTGTTCCGCGTGCTTGCGGAGTATCTGTTGGAGGACGAGGAGTGCGAGGGGGTGGCGCTGGCACACCTGCTCAGGTGGGGGGGAACACTTGGGGGAGGGAGGGGAGGGGGCATGGGGTGCAGGACAGGGCACCAGGGAAGATCCAACCTCGTTTACCAACCGTTTCTCACATCCCCTCCCCGTCCGCCTACTTTTACCCTTCCACTTCCCCTTCGAGACACGTGCATGTGTTGCCTGAATGCTCTAACGCCTCCCATGCTGTGTATTGCCCCCTGCTCTCCCCCCCCCCGCCTCCCTCCCCCCCCTCCCCTAACAGGATGTGTCAGGAGCGCTACCTGGTGAGCGGCGAGGCGGCGTTGAAGCTGCACCTCACCGAGTTCATCGACCACGAGTTGGTGGCGGTGCGGCCCGCCAGCGACAACGACGGCGAGCTGCTCACCATCCCCATGGAGCGGGAGGACATGCAGCGGGTGCTGGAGGAGCTGACGGCGGCGCAGGAGGGGCAGTGAGGGGGCGGGGAGGAGAGAGGAGGGAGGAAGAGGGCGGCGGGGAGTAAGAGGGAAGGGGGGCGGCAGGGAGGAGACAGGGAAGGAGGGTATGGGGTGGTGCTTGGGAGGAGCAGGAGGGGCGTTACGTTGGAGGAGGATGTGGGTGGGGAAGGTAATGAGTTGAGACGGGATGTGTCTTTGCTTGGAAGGGCGGTGTAGGCTGCCTGGGTGTTGCTTGCGTGTGGTGGGTATGGGGTACACTTTGAGCGGTTCATTGTTTAAATCCTGGTTGGTAGCTGTATCGCTCGGTGGTGCTTGGCGTGTGCAGCGTTCGGGAAAAGCAGGAGTGCATTGCTGCAGGGAGGGGAGAAGGGTGTAGGTTGTGGGAGGGTGGACATAGCAGGTAACAAGTCTGGGGCCGAGGACCATATCACACCCTGTTGTGATCCGAGCGTTATGCAGGGGAGTGATGGGAAGCCACGGCGGGGTTGGCAGCAATGCGGCCTGCATGTTGAGGCGGTACAAATGTGTACGGCATGGCATGACATGCAACCAGCACAGGTGTTGGGACGGAGCCCACGGAGGGTTTGGGTATACGCGACGAGCCCGTTTGCTGTCACATCAGGAACGGGCTGTTGTACACGCGAGAAGGGTGTCTTGGACGAGGTTACATTGGTGAGGAGGTGAGGACAACGACTGTTGACAACGCGTGGAAGCAAGTGAGGATTAACGATCTAGCACCGAGCTGTGTGAAACGCCTCCGAGCAAACTGTACCGCAAAAGCTCTTCCCGCAAACGCCTCTCTGTGGTATTCACGCCTAAAGCTCCTCAAGCGCTCCTACCCGCATTGCTGCAAGCACACGGCGGCTGCACGCGCCACCACGTGGCACACGGCCCGCACGACACGGTAACGACTGCGTTACCTGGCGTTACCGTAAACAACCGCTAGATCACACCGCTATTCGTCTCCATCTTGGTCATCCGCCCCAGCAGCCTTCTTCTTCTGAGCGGCACCCTTCGCACCGCCCTTGGCCCCGGTACCACCCTTGGCGCGACCCCCACCTCCGCCAGCTTTGCCCTTAGCCGCGCCGCTGCCACTCTTCGCACCACCGCCTTTGCCCTTGCCTTTGCCGCCACCGGCACGCTTGGCGCCGCCGCCGCCTTTCCCTGCTCGCCCACGTCCCTTGCTGCGGGGTGCCCCTCCGCCGCCGCGTTTGCTCCGGTCTCCAGCGCCGCCGCCCTCGGCGTCTCGCTCGTCGCCTCCTCCTCCGCCGCCGCCGCCGCCTTCGTCGCCGGCGGCGCCGTACGGATCGTCGGAAATATCATCGTCCATGTACGGCATGTCGCCGTCAGCGCCGGCGCCGGCGACGTCGCCAGACATGTTGTGATGGCTGGCTAGGATGAAGGAGGTGAAGAGGCGATCCACCGTGGCACTCCGGACCTTGCTGCTGCCGCCGCCACCTCCAGTAGCTGCATGCACATGGTTTACAAAAAAACATTAGTTGCTGAGCTGGGGTACCCCGCGACATTGTGCGCTACCTACCGGTAAGCAAGCGTCAACGACTCATGGGTCAGCATGCAGCAAATACACCACGCATGTATCAAGGCCAGGAGCGCACCATGCAAGAGGTACCGGTACCCGTGTGCATGTGAATGAAGATTGTATCATCCTGACCACGCCCCTCCCTAACAGCCGTCCTCCCTTAACAACCGCACCTGCGCCGTCAAGCCGTACGACAAAGGCAGTGCCCGCCAGCGGCGCATGTCGCAGCCGCAGCATCTCCCCCTTGAGGTCCAGTCCCAGTGCCCCCGACGCCAGCAGAGCCTCAGTGGCGGCGGAGGCGGCTGTGCTGCTGCGGGAGCCTCCGCCGCCGCCACCACCTCCGCGGCCCCGACCCCGGCTGCGGCCGCCTCCACCGCGCCCCTTTGCCGCCTTGCCGCCGGCCCGAATTTCCTCTGCGACATGCGACATAATGGTGACGGTAGCGGCAATGAGATGGCGAATTGGTGCTGGTTTGGGACAGATGCTTCTAGATAAAAACGCCGAAGGAAAGGACGTTGGCGAGAAGGCACTGATTCCAGTTTACAGGGCATACAGGCAAGGCTTGGGCGCAGAAGTCCCTGCACGCAGATGCAGCGAGGTACCCCGGTACATGGGCGACGCGTCAGGCAAAGAAGCAATGACCCAGACGGAACCGCCGTTACCTTCTTCGTCCTCCTCTTCACTGTCGCTGACATCGTCTTCCTCGGCACCTTCACCCTCGCTTCCCATCCCATCAGCATCAGCGCCGTCAGCGCCGCCGCCGCCGCCGCCGGCCAGCACGGCAGCAGTGGTTGTCGTACCCGCGGGGGTAGCGACAGCGCCCTGGGTCGGCGCTGCTGATGTGAGGGCCCCGGGCAGCGGACACACCCGGCCGATTGCCCCCATGTCGCCCTGTGGAGGGGGGTCGCAGGAAGGGAAGGAAGAAAGGCTCTGGGAGGGAGACAGGATGTACCGAAGGTAGGAGGCACCCTCGCCTGAAGCAGCATTGGAGCGCAAGCAAGCTAGTCCGCAGAGCCCTAGGTCCTAGCGGCCTCGCGTGGGCATGCAGCCCAGCTGCTACTGCTGCTGCCTAGCTACTGCCCCCCCCCACCTGTTTTCCCCCCCACCCCACCTGTAGGTCGAAGCCCCCGGGCAGCTGCAGCAGCACCACCTGCGCTGCGGAGCGCTGCAGCGCCGAGGCGGGCGGCAGCATCAGCGGCACGTGACCCGCGGGCGCCTGAGCCGGGGGTGATGCGGAGGGGTGGAATGGGGATATTACCTAGACTGCCTAGACTGTTGGGAAGGGGACAGTGTTTACGTGGATGCGGACATGGACGCGGTCACGGAAAAGGGAGGGGCCCGAACTAAAAGAGCGTGGGATTGGATGGGAATCGTCAGCAGGTACCAACGGAACCAAGACAGGCAGCCCGGCGGCAATGACAGACAGTAGCTGTGGCCTCTTAGCCGCAGCTGGTTAGCGTCAGCGGCGGGTGCAGCTGTCGCCGTACACCTCCCTTGACCCTCCCTTACCTCCAGCAACGCATCATCTAAGCCCGCCAGTGCAGTCAACTTGCGTCGTTTCGCCGCCGTCACCGCCGCTGCCGCAGGCTGTAGCTCGTCATCTCCGTCTGCCGTACCGTCACCTACATCACCGTACGCACCGCCGCCTCCGGCGCCAACATGCTCCTCATCAGCATCCACTTCTTCCTTTTTCACTCCCGCCGCATCCGCCGTCATCGCCCTCTTCCCAACTGCCGTACCGCCAGCGACACCGCCGCCGATGCGAATAGCGGGGGCTCCAATCCCACGGCCACGGCCGCGGCCACCGCGGTTTGCCGCCGCCGCCGGTTGCGCAGCGCCCCTGCCGCGGCCTCTGCCGCCACCGGCGGCACCGCCGCGACGAGCCTTCTTTTCGCCCCCATCTTCTTCGTCATCAGATCTGATGCCGTCGTCACTGCCGCCGCCATCGGAGTCGGCGTCGGAATCCGTGTCGTCGCCGCGCCGCCGCTTTTGAGCGCCGCCAGTCGCCTTCCGTCGCCCGCCGGCCCCGCCGCCGTCGCCGTCGCCGTTGGCACTGGGCGCCCACTCGCTGTCGCTGCCGCTGTCGTCACAGGCGCTCTCTTCCTCCTCCTCCTCATCGTCGTCGTCCACATTCTCATCGGCCTCATTCTCTTCAGATCCTTCCCCTTCCTCCTTTTCCTCTTCTGGCTCTGAAACCATGTCGTCGTCGCCGCGTTTTGTCTGCTTACGCCGTACGCTTGCAGGCCGATCGTCAAAGTCGTACGCCTCGGCCTCTCGAACGCCGATACTGCTGCGGCGCTTGGCAGCCCTTGGTCCGCCGCCGTCGACGGCGGCGGCGGCTGCGTCGTCGCCGTCGCCAATGAGCGCCGCCAGTCGCTTGCTGGCGTTACCGCCGCCGCGGCCGCCGCGGCCTCCACGACCGCGACCGGCGGCGGCGGCGGCGCCGCCGCCGCTGCGCCCACCGCCACTGCTAGTACCGATAAGCTGGAGGGGCAGCGGCGGCAGTCGCGCCCCCGGGGTGTGGGATGGCAACAACCCCGAGCCGCCGCTGGCGGTGACAGCGGTTGCAGCATTCGTTTGCGCCACACCTTGAGCGGGCCGCAGCAGTGCCAACGGCGGCAGGGGCGGCAGGGGCGCCATGAAGGACTTGGCGGCCACGGCAGGTTTCACTTTCGTGCCCTCCGTGCCGGTATCGTCACCTGCCGTACCCTCATTGTGCAGCTCCTCCTGCTTCACCCCTACGCTGCCCGGGGCTGCTGCCGGTGTTACTGCTGCTGACGTACTTCCCTTGCCGCGAGCGCGCGGCGCGCCAGCGCTGGCGGTGCGGGGCAGGGCAGATGCAGCCGGGCTAGCTGCACGCGCCGGGGGCGAAGCAGCGGCTATGGGTTTGACCGGTTTGACCTTCGCCTGCTTAGCCTCTTCAATTGGATTGCTTGGGGCCGAGCGCTCGGACGTTCCCACCCGAGGCGTCCGACTGAAGAACTTGCGGATACTCGCATCTTGGGCTGTTGTTCCTGTCACTCCTGCGGGTGCTGCAGCGGGTGCTACCGAAGCTTGAGGTGCTGCTGCTGCTGTTTCATCAGGATCGTTGCCTGTGACTTCAAGAGGAAAAAGAGGAATCGAAGAGCGTCTGCTGCCACCGCGCGATTCCATCAGTTGTGCTCGTTGATTCGAAGTTGCAGAAGGGGCGGCTGTGGCCTGCTTTTCAGAGGACTCGCCAGGGGCGCGAAGCTTTGGTTGGCTGCCGAAAAGGGAACTTAGCAGCGGCTTCACGAGCGGCTGGCCTAGCTGAGACTGCGCGCTCTTGGACTTGGGCTGTTGGTGTTGGGCCTCTAGAGGCTCAGCTGGCAAAGTCTGGGCAAGGCATGGCAGTGCCGGTGAAGGAGCTCGCACATTGTTGCGGGCGCTGCCGTTCGGGTCCATGGGTCCTTTGGGCTTCTCGCTGACAAAAGTATGCCCAGCTAAGCAAGCCGGTTGTTGAGGTATAAGGGCAATGAGCGTAGATTAAGGCTGAGCTTCACGCACCCATCTGGCGGGAAAAGATCATAACTTGTAACGTGCTGGGCGGCATTCACAAGCACCTCGAAAAGGCCTGAATCAGACATTACAAAGGGCACCAAACACGGCGAAAAATGCCGGAAAGCATGTTTGCAACCTGCGCAGTCTCACAGCATCTCACCGGACTCCTGCGCGGAGTTCGCAATCTGTTTGGCAACCAATAAGCGCTCTCACACTTCAACCTCGCTATCCGGGCGACCGCCAAGAAACTCCTTGCCATTAAAAGGACAATGCAGGCGCGGTATCCCTGGGGCGCACTACACCCCACAACCGTCGCCATAACTGCAAAGAAACTCTATAGTGCTTAGGTGACTAGGCCCGCATCCTCCCATTTTAAGCCACCTCCGTTTGTGGACCCCCTGCGACTGCTCGTGACATACGTCTCCAAAGCGCCCCCGTGAATGGAGTTCCTAAACCTCGACGCAAACGCCTCCGACAAGGGATTTACGGGCCAGCCCCTCCTAACCTCCCAAGCTCTAATCTACCTCCTGTTCAGTACTAGTATCAGTATGTAGTCATGCCTTTGCTCCTGTACCCGCAGCTGGTGCCGCGCTCAGCCGCCAAGGCAAACGTCCTGTCGAGTGCTTAGCAACACGAAGGCACGGACGTCGAGTCTAAGTGTTGTAAGGCAGTCAAAACCCCTGCGCTCCCTTCTCGCAATAGAACCACCCATGCATCAAACGCATGACACGGAGTAGCTAAGCGCATGGGCAGCCATACCAGGGACCACGCATGCATGATGGGCTGTAAGGACGGCGGCGCCCCGGGTAGTACCCTAATGCTGCAAGCTGCCTGCTACCGGCGCCTCCACGATACGCGCCAGCGCTGCTGCTCAACAATAGGTCCGGCTCATGACCCTTGGGTCCCAAGCCAGCCATGCTCCCGCTGCTGCCATTCCGCTTACACCATGTACCGGTCCTTCGCCTTGCCCGACGCGATCTTCTCCTCCTGCAGGGGCCAAGCATAAGGAAGCTCGGGGCCCGCTTTCTAAACGACAGGTATCAAGGGAGACAAACCCCGCAGCTACATCAAAGCGCGTTTGCGTGCTGAAATGTTCAAAGGTCAGTCCGCACCCATGACTTACAAATACGGAGAAGCCAATCTTTGAGGAGTCGGGGATGTCTAGGAACTGCTTGAGCTGCTTGCCGACCATCGTCTGCGGAGGACCACACATACACAAAAGAACGTCATTAAGCAATAGTGAATCAGTACGAATGAGACAGGATATTGACAGCAATTCCGTCTAGCGAAAAGTGGTTCGCCTATTGGAAAATCCCAGCTAAGCGCGCGTTCTTACCTGCGCAGCCTCGTTCGAGGCCGTGCGGGACCACAGCTCAATGCGATCACCCCTGGCCCTGATGACAACGGCGATGCCGTTCACCTCATCGCCGTCCGTGAACTGCTCGCCGATGCACGCCAGCACCTGCGCAGCCGGCGGCCAAATGTCCCGACATTGCTCAATACATTCATTGAAACTAATGGTGCCTAGCCTGAAGGCGTGAACGGCTACCGCTGCACGCACCGAGTTGAGCCACCAGGCATCCAGCGTCTTTTTGCTGTCTCCCTTGCCCGGCACAGGCGCCGTCCAGCAGCCGCCCTTAAGGTTCTTCGCATCCTCCCACTTGGGCTCTATCCCCTCCTTAAAGAGGTAATAAGTGGCGCCCACGTTGACTTGGCTCGGCGTGCGGATGTTGTTGTACAGGCTGCACGCCCGCGAAGCCCCGTTAGAACGGTGCAGGATAGGCAAATTCCTGAGGAGCTGAAGCTGCGACTACCCACCACCAGAAGTCCTCCACCGTGTCGAAGGTGTACACCGATCTGAGCGATTGTCCATATTGCTTCTGAGTCTGCTTTTGGTTGGGGTTGTCAAACCAAAGTGTCCAGCGGTTCTCTAGGGGGTGCTTCTTGCTAAAGTCAGGCTCAAGGGAGTCGACCTCGCCCTCCTCACGGCCCTCCTCCTTCGGGTCGCTCATGTTGAGATGCCGGCGGCGGTCCTCGGTACTGCGCCTAAAATTGTGAGCTGCAGTAGTGTTGGTCTCTACCTAAGGAGTTAAGAAGGCAAATCAATAGCAACTATGCGGAGTCGCGTCTTAGGGCAGCATCCTGTACAGGGGCCTTACGCCGGGGCTGCGACTTTGCCTTGCATCAGCAATTCAAGAGCAAAATACAGCGGTGTAGTTCAATGATAATTATACAGCATATACTCTACATCATGGTTCTAACTAAACTTCAAGGCAGTAAATGCTCCCTGCAGTAAGAACTTGCTCGTTACCTCTAGAGGGCACGCAGGGTTGGAATTGCACAGCTTCAGACGTTTCGTCAATTCGTGGGCTGATGGGCGACAAGGTTCTTCGTTTTAATTTACCTTTCCCTTGCCCGACGGTTGCCAACTGCTTCTTTAGCTCCCGAAAACTTCATTTATCAGGTTACAAGTGCGTAACGTGGCTTGTTTTTAAGGTTGTCCGGCCCTTGGGGCAATCCACTCGTGGACTTGTCCTAACCAAAGGCAAGGCCTGCTTGCCGGGCCTCAAGTTTGCCGTCTTCAGCCTTCACTTCACCACCTCAACGTCGTCCAGTCCATATAGCTGTTTAGCGTGGAAACCTGTGGTTGCAGTGCAATACTTGGCTGCCCGGGTTGGGAACGCATGGTGTTTTGTAACCCCGAAGCAGCCTTCAGCGGTAAGGGTGTACAGGAAGGCGGTCACAGCCCACCGACACACGCTGGCCTGATCCCAGTCACATGGCAACGCTTTGCACGTTTCGCTGATCACCTGCGCTATACCGGTATGCGCTGTCAGTTATCACGTTACCGGTATCAGTGCTGTAAACAGCGGCAAACACAATTTCACAGGACATGCGCACAGTAAGCTGGGACTCGACGATGAGTGGGAAGTGACTCCCACGTCCCCTTGCGTTCCTTTCTTGTACTGAAGGCCACGCAGTATGCTGTAGGTGCAACCCACAAACAAACCCTGAAAGAGTTGAATCCACGCGGGTAAGCCAAGCGTGCCCAGCCCTTGTGTCCGGTCTACCTAAATCACGAAGCCCCGGCTAATGCTAAAGGCTACCCACTTCAATCACGCATCGCAATGTGAATCCAAAGGCCGCTGCCAAGTGTCACCCCCCTAACCCCACTGCCTCGCCACCGCAATCAAGGAGACCCAGCAATCAAGAAAGCAAGCAAGAAAACCCTACCGCATTGTCCCACCGCGTATCTGCCTTATTCGTATGTCAGAAACCTCAAGGTTTAGCTCACAAAAAACCTGCCTTCCAAATGTCAACCTCTCAGATCGAAGGAAAATCTGCAAAGGTTTTGTTCGTACAATGCGTCAACCACAGAACAAGCAAGGCGCCCACCATAAGGCACCCAACCCCAGACGGCACCCATCCGCGCTATTCCCATACCGCAAGAAGCCCCCATTGCAGAGCATGGTGTCTTAAACCCAGAGGACCAGATGCTACTGGACCAAACGCTATGTTGGCCCAAAAAGCGATTCAGAAGTTCCAACCTGCCAAGCATACTGGCGCCAAGATGAATGCACCGCACCGCAAATCGCCGATCCTAACGACCGCGTCTCCCTCTGGCCACGAGCTTAATGCCATGCAGCCATAACGCTGCAAACCTAGATCCCCCATTCTCACCGGCTAAACCCAGTTCTTGCCCACTCCTGCAGCACTGTCGTCAGCAACAAAAAGACACGGGGACACACCCGCACGCTGCTCTACCTTACAGCCCTGTGCTACGCCATGTGTGAAACTCACTTGGTTAAATCTCGGATAAACAACGCCTGTTCGCCACCTAAAAACCCATCTTATACGCCAAATCGCTGTGGTGGTGGTGCTGCTGGTGCTGTTGCTGCGGCTGGTGGTGGTTCTGCTGTTGGTGCTGTTGGTGCTGTTGCTGTTGTTGCTGCTGCTGTTGTTGTTGCTGCTGCTGCAAGTACTGCTGATACTGCTGGTGGTGCTGCTCCAATTGGTACTGGTGCTGCCTCTGTTGCTCCTCCACCCAGTGGCTATGCGCGTGGTGCGCATGCGGCGGCACATGCCCACCGCCCGTATAGGGTGGCTGCTGCTGATGCTGTTGGTGGTGTTGCTGCTGCTGCTGCTGCCCGTGTGGGTCAGGTTGTTGTTGCTGGTGTTGTTGCTGCGGTTGGTTTTGCCGGTGTTGGTCATGCTGGTAGTGGTATCGGTGCTGCTGCCCGGGGCCATGGGCCTCCTGGAAGCTGGGGGAGGGCGGCTGGTGGTGCTGCTGGAGGTGCTCGGGGATCGGGGGGTGTTGGGCGTGCTGCTGCGGGTCGCCGCCGTGCTGCTCGTGGTGAGCCGCCTCGTCGGCGTTCCAGTCGCCGTGCGAGTCCCGCAGCCAGTCGGCGTCCTACATCGATGAAAAGGGCGTTAGTGGTGGTGTTTGCCCTGCTTAGCGTGAGAAGGTTGTCAAGCTGCGGTATAGCTACATGCAAGGCCTGTGGCTGCTATACGCAAGGCAAGACGAACGGACAGAGCCGCAGCCCATGCATCGCTAACACCCCGCTTCCCCAACACATCCCAACCAGGTACCCGCCCCACACCCGCGTCCACAGCCCCAAAACCGCCCCTCGCAACCCACCATGGGATCGTACGAATCGTAATGGCCATGGTAATGGTCGTAGTGCCCCTGGTAGTGCTCGTCCTCATGGTGGTTGTAGTGCTCTCCGTGCTCCTCAAAGTCGCCATGGTACACGTCGTGGTGCTGGGATGACACGGGTGAGGGGGGCTGAGGTGGCAGGCCCACCTTGCCCTCCGTCATGTGTACGATGGACTGACGGATCTTGTCCTCGGGCAGGGGCAGATCGACCACGGAATCGCTCTTGGCGGCGGAGGCCGAGGGCGGCTCCTTGGCGGGCGCTAGGGGGTCAAAGTGGTGAGCCTGCGGGGAAGACCGATGTGGAAGGGTACCGGAATATGAAGCGACACAGTACAGGCGGAGGAGCCCTGGCTTCACGAAAAAATGCCAGGCGACAACGCATGCGCTAAGGGGTTGGAACCCCTGCAACGTGCCGTACGCGACTGTTGCTAAAGGGGTGCTGAGCCCAGGTAACTACAAATTGCACCGCATTACGACTTACGTGGTGTGCGGGGACATCCACTTTGATGTGACCGAAGTCCGTCTCCGGCCGGACCTTGGGCTCGGCTTCCGGTAGCGGAGCCTCGGGGTCCTACGGAAAAAAGGAACGACAAGGTAAACAGATGGGAAAAGAGCGGCGCAGATAATGGTTCCGAAGCATAAAGAGTAGGAGTGTGGGCGGCAATTCGAAACACATGCAGGTGTTTTCGCGGACTGTTCAGGCGCCACACTGTTACGCTTTCGGTCTGCGGTTTCAGCCACCTACCGCCGGCGCGGTTTTGTTCTGGAGCTTGGCGACCTCAGCAGTGCACCTGCGGCGGGCCAGGGTGGGATCACAACGAGCCCTTCAGTGGACTGGAACCACTTGCATGCGCAGCATAGCTACTGTGCAGTGGTACCAGAGGAGCGCAAAAGAAAGAAAGAGGGCGACGTGATCATAGGGACACCACCGCACCGCCACATGCACGCATCCTAATCCAGGCCCCAGGCCCAGGACTGCCTGTTCCTCCTGTGCCGCTGCCAGCTTCAAGACATCCCCCCTCAACCCACTTCTTGTAGTGGTCATGCAGGTCCTCCTCGTACTTGACCCACGACAGCGCCAGGTTGTGCCAGTCCTGCTCCCGGTCCTTGTGCATGTGCTCCAACGTCTCCACCTTGCGCTCCAACGCATCAATCACCCCGTCACTGCGGATCAGCCTGCAACAAGGTAGGGAAGGAAAGAAGGAAGTAGGACCTATATGAGTAGGACCCATAACACGAACGGCAACGCCAACATGCGTGGTTGTTCGGCACAAGGGCGTGCTGGCTGCCGCGGCACCTGGGGCGCATGCCGCACAACCACGGATACCCACTTCAGGCTCCGCCTACCAGGCCCACGTCACCGCTCCGTCGACGCCAGCATGCTGAATCCCGCCCTTTCATGCGCACCAAGCCCGGTGCGCCATGCCATGCCCAGACTGCGCTCGTAGCCGCTAAAGGGTTCCCATGCGGCTCGTCACTGGCCGTCCCAACCCCTCAACCAAGCACCGGCGCTGCCCCCTCTCTTCTATTTCCCATTCATTACCCCGCTAGCTGCTTCCGCCCCGCCTTACTCGTTGCGTAGGTCCTCCACCATCTTTGTGAGCTCCGCCTCCCGAGCCTGCCTGTGCTGGTCCGTGGTAGCGCGCTGGGTGGGAACATAGGAGGAACCACATGGGAGCGGATGTCGTAAGCATCCTTACGCGGTCACAGGAACCGACCCACATGGCATTGCCACACGCTACCCTAGCCCATGCTCCCGCCCCTGCAGTACCCGCCCTGCCGTGCGCGATAGCCCTTCCTTGCCTCATTTTGGTGCTGCTTGAGCGTCTGGTCCCTGTTCACCAGCTCCGCCTCCTTCCGTTGCAGCTGGCTGGTGAGCTCCGCCAGGCGCCGCTTGGTGTGGCCGTGATTGGCCTCTAGATGCTCAAACTCGGCATTGCGGCTGGTCAGCTTGTTCTGAGGAGGAAGGAAGGGCGGACATACGCGCCTAGGTATTGGGCGTCTGCCAGGGTTACGCTTGCCAAGTACCCAAAGGGCCGCGCGTGGCCGATGCCGTCCGGTCTTGCACAGGTGGTGCACAGGTGGTAAGAATGAACGGCCACACACGTGCAGTGTGAAAGGTGCACTGCAGCTTGCAGCATGGCAAAACATGTCTGACATCCAACAAAGGTGCTGGTCTTGGGGAAGGGAGGCCGCGTTAACGGGCGAGGGTGGGCGCAGAAGGCCAAGCAGTAGCTAGAAACCTTACGCTAACATCAATAAGGGGCTCATACCGCACGAAACTTGAATGAAGCAGCGTGTCTGTCCTTTACTCATGCCCTTCTTACCAGCGCTGCATCCCTGGCGGTTACCCCTAAATCGCTGCTGGAAGAGTAACGTGATGCCGCCACACCCAATCCTTACCCGCAAGCTAGAAAGCTCCACGCGCAATGTCTCAAGCTCGCCGGAGAGCTTCTCCTTTGAGGACAATGCGTTTGAAGCCCGCGAGGAGCTGTAAAACGCGAAGCCCAATGAAGCGACGATTAACAGCAACCCAACACCTGTTATTGCTGTTTGCGAGCCAAGTATGCCTTTACGCCTCCTGCATATATGGATATTAGAGATGCCGTGTTAGTAACGCAAACATCGCCTGTTATAGGAGATCGCTCCATCCCAGGGAACAGCATACGCACCCATACGCACTGGAATAGCCGCCATACGCGTTGCTGGAGTAGGGCAACATGATTATCAAAGCTCTAAGCCGGCGCTAGTGCATACCGAACCCCCAGTACCCAAGAGGGCCGGCAACAGGTCTGCTGGCCTTCCAGTCACACCGGAGCACGTAAAGGATACGTTTATGCAGTTATATAACCCTTGCAATAATAAGCGACAGCCGCTACATCCATTCAAGACGCACACCGTACGAAGAGCCGCGATACGTGTCCTTCGCAGGCCTTGATAATAACATACAAGGACATACGCAGTACTACTATTACTTTAAAGCCACTTTGACTGATTTCAGAACCTTCTCATCTTCCAGATCCACTTCTAACCGTCTTCTAACCTCTGCCCTACACGCAAACTTTGCGAACACGCAAATAGCGGTGTGCGGGGTACGGTTGTTAGCCTAGTCAGCACTTTAAATTTTTCTAGGACTTGACGACAGCAGCAGGTTTCTTTCCGAGGTAGCGGCGCCCCCCGAGCCGGCGGAAGGTGTACCCCGTCGGGACCATGGCAGGATGCACGGTGGACCCCCTGGTAGCACGGCTATGGTTTGAAAGCGTGGATGTCGACATGTCAGGACTCTTAGACGCGAAAGAGCTCCGTCAGGCACTTGACATAGGCGGGTTGGTCTACTCCTTGGAGGAGGCTCACCTATTCATAAGGTGAGGCTGTGAGTGGGGAAGCATGGAGACACGGGCGAGGGCACAAGAAAGCACTTTGCACGCGCCCACAAGAACGACTTTGTCATCCTGTCGCCTCCTTATACCCACATCCCCATCACGCCTGGCTTTTCCTCTTGTTCAACACCCACATCTCCATCGAACCCCGTCCAGAGCCTTCGATTCCAAGGGCAACCAAACGCTCAACGTTAACGAATTTGTCGAGCTGCACAAGTTCCTCTCTTCCGTACAAGACACATTTGCGCTGTACTCACGCGGGGGCCGTGCGTTGGCAGCGTCGAACGCAGCACAGGCGCTGGGCCGCATGGGTGCGTGTGGCGCCTGGCGCGTAGGGACGGATTGGATGCGGCTGAAGGGAAAGCCAACTGGTTCCCGCTAACCAGTGTCCGCTAGTCGATGTGTGTGAAGCCTATGTTATGTACAACAGCCACCCCGCACCCCCACAGCCGCCTTGTCACACAGTCAGGTAGTCCCTCCTCTCTTCCCCGCCTCATTGCACCAGCCTTTCACCGTGGCCGCACTCGCGCTCCAGGGTCTGACCTGCTGGCTTTGGTCCCATGCAGCATGTATGTGATGTTACATGGTGGGGGCCCTATCAGGGCTGTCACAGACCATACATCGACGGTCTCGTTCCCGTTAACTGGTACAGCTACCGTATTCTGCCGGCAGCGTGCTTGGCTACTCCCAACAGACAGGGCATGACACTGACATGCGTACTGTGCCCTACCCCCGTCTGCCGTTCACAGGTTTCACCCTGGACCCAACCGCCCTGCAAGCGGTACTCCGGCGGTTTGACAAAGCCAACACCGGCATGTTGGACGTCACGGAGTTCCTGCATGCATGCCTCTTCCTGCGCACTGCGGCACGGGCGTTCCAAGCGTTTGACACCGGCAGGACGGGTCGGGTGGAACTCAACTTTAACCAGTTTTGCTATGCAGCCTCTTACTTGGCGTGATAGGCTGGTAGCCCCCACGCCGGCTGCTTCCAGTAGCCCGACGCCGGGTGTGAGGGCGGTAGTGGCCCTAAAGGCAGCCGCTGCGGGCTGCCGCCGCCGTTGCGGGCTGTGGCTGCTGTTGCCGGTTACTGCTGCTGCCGGCTGCTGCGGGCTGTCGCTGCGCGTTGCTATTGCTGTAAGTACCGGTATGCACGATGTTGCTCAAACGCCTTGTAAGTAACATGTTGGTGCGGACAGCTGTGTGCCGACCTGCGGTTTGTGCAGAGGGTCTTGGGCCAGTTGTGTTTTGCCTTGGCACGACTGGCAGTGGCGGGTGGGGCCTAGATAAGGTGATCTTGTGACGTGCCAGCAAAGCATGTGCCAATGGAAAAGTTGGCGTGCATTGGCCTAGTTTACCGTTTTCACGATTGAAGATTCTGTTGAGGCGTGGAGGGTACATAGCAGCTTGACGTGCTGTGTTGCATGTGTGAGGCCAAGCTCGGGTGTTGGGTATGTTGCTGGTAGCTGGAAGTGTTGTGTGCATATAGTCAGCATACATATTATTTAAGGAGCCACGTCGTGAAAGTGGTCTGTACCTGGTACATGCATATAGTTGCGTTGATAGTTGGTAGGCTAGGAGTCACGTGGCTGGGTATCGCAAAAGCTACCGGTATCCCGAAAGTGCTGATTCACGTCTAGCCATGCGCCTGCATCGTTGCATGAGAGCAGTGGGTGGCGGTGCAACGCGACAACCCGGACATCGTGTGGCGATGTGTCCACTGTCCTGTTTGGGCGAACAATACTGCCTAGCACAACAGCGTTGCCGTACATCGCGTCTGCCTGAATGGCGTAAGACTTACACGTCTTGCCTTACTACCGGCGCCGTACCGGCGCCGTTTGTTTTCCCTGGCACCCGTTTACGGTGTCAGCCATGTGTTTGCCGGGAGGTCCACATGACCATATGGGGCGTGTGAGTAGTATTGAAGGAGGAAGGCGGGGCAGGCTGGAAAGACTTGTAAGTCAACATCATCAACGTCAACGCCGTACTGGTTTGTTGATGCACGTGGAGGTTTGTGAACGAGCTAACTGCAATTGAAATCATGTAACGGCCAGACAGTCGTAAGGGCAGGAGCGGCTAGGGTTGCCGCGGTGCACCTGGATGGTTGGGGAATAAGTAAGGGCTGGTAGGGCATGGTCGGGGTTTAAAAGTCCAGCACAACCCCACTGTGCAAGGCAGCTAACGGGTTATGGGCGGCAGTTGTGACGTGCTTGTCCTCATCAAAGGAACCGTCCCGGTGGTAAACATCCTGACAACGTTGGGACTGAGGTTGTTTCTTTTCTTCAGCTTTCCCTCAGCATGCAGCTAGTTACACGTGTAGTCGCCCGATTTCATTGTTACTTTCCTTGTGACTTGAAGCGGCGTTCGGCAATATCTGCCGTACAGCTTGCTCACTCAGGTTCGCCCTCCGCTGAGCACCTTCCTGTAAGTCTTACCCAACCTAAGAGCCTTGCCTTGTTGTACATGGTCTGAACTTTAGCATAACACGATAGCTGGGTGCTGAGTACCTTCCAAACTGTATTTTTGGCCTATTATAGCTTTCGCATAACTTCCCATTCTCCAGCTCAAGTAAAATCGAGATCTGTATCGGCTTAGTCAATTGTAGACAGGCGGGCGCTGGCGGGCAGTGAAGATGTCCAACATTCAGGAAGTAAGGGTTAGCTTCTTTTGCGGGCACCTTCTTTGGCAACATGACTCTTTTTTGATTTACTCCACATTTCCGCTATCTAGCAGTTCTTCGGAATTCATTTAGCAATAGGCGTCGCTCTCTGTCCTACGCCCTTGACTTCACCTAACTTCTGGCCTGTCCCCCGCGATGTGGTGTACGGCTCGTGCTGTCGCAGTGGTTTGCAAGCATTGATGTGGACAGAAGCGGGGAGCTGGACGTTAGGGAGTTGCAGCGGGCACTGTCCATGGGCAACCTCAACTTCGGTATATCCGACGTAGACCAGATGATCCGGTGCGTGCACGCTGCAATTTGTGAGAAGACATGTATGAATGCATCATTAAAGGGGTGACAGGGCCATGCTCAGGTCCAAGCTTACATGCTATGCCCATGCGCAGAGCTTTCGACACACGGGGGCGCAGGCGGTTAAGTTTCCCCGAGTTCCAACGCCTGCATGAATTCCTCGTGAACATCCAGAACAGCTTTGCCTATTTTGACGCGGATCGCAGCCGAACGCTGCAGACGAACGAGGTACAGCAAGCGCTGCAGCACGCCGGTGAGCCCTAGGATGCACCTCCTGCGCTTGCCGCTGAGGGGAATCCACCCCCTTTCCTAGATATCATAGCTATTCCAGCTGCGGAATTCAAGTTTGTGCAGCACTGTGAGACGCTTGCATGCACCTGTTGCCTGTTCCGGCTGCGTTGATCTGATCTCACCGCATAAACATACCTGCCTGCCCAACCAACCGCTTGCAGGCTTCCGGCTCGACTTGCCCGTGCTAGCAGCCATGATGTCTCGGCACGACCCGGACAACTCGGGAACGCTAACCCTTGACGAGTACATCCGCATGTGCCTCTTCTTGCAAAGCTGCGTGCGGACATTCACGGCCTTCGACCCGCAGCGCACCGGCAAAATAACGCTGGACTTCAATCAGTGGGTATACGCTGCTTCGCATGTGGCGTAACCCAGCCCGGACAGACCTGGTCCCTTTAGTCTAATCCAAGGCGGGCTATAGGCTAGCCGCGGCATTTACTTCAGCCCCAGACCGGCCTGAGGTGCCGGGATACACCTGGGGCATGACGTTGGCAGGCAAGTGCGTAAGCGTAGCTAACATATGAAGGCATGGGAAGGGGCGCATGGAGGGTTTAGGGGTAGGTATGGGATGCAAGAGAGAGAGCCGGAGAGGTGCTCAGGCTGTAGACAGGTGTTTGCTGTTCATGGCAAGCACGAACTGTAGGGGCGGGCGGATTAGTTGCATGAGGGGGAAAGGCTGCAGAAGCAGTCGGGCCAGTCTGATTGGCGGCAGGGCACATGACGTTCTGTTTGGGGACGAGCGTTGGGTAGTTGACAACTGCAAGCCAGTAGTAGCACAGGTTAGGTGGAGAGTCATGAGGACGTGTGAGAGGAAGGCTCCTCGGGCTGTTGCCATGTGTGGTGGCGCTCGGGGGAGCAAGGCATGCGCCCTGGAGGGCCGCCTGTGCTCCCACTGCCCCTAGCAGCACAGACCTTGGGACGAGTATTACAGCGGTTATGAGCGCTAATACGGGCGTGCACTACTGCCCTCCTAACCCGGCCCATGTTGCCTGCCCAAGTAAAATAGGACAACCAAGATTCAGGACCAGTGCATACGAGGTTTTAAACACGTACATACTGTTATTTGCTACGGCGTGCATCTCGTGGAGGGCGGTTGAAGTGGCTGGCTTGTGCTACGGTTGCTCGCATTGCGGGGTTGCGTGGCCGTTGCAATGGGTTGCGGTGCCGCACCCCAGGCCTGCACTGCCGACTGGGCGTGCCTTAAAGAAAGGCTGGCGGAAAGCTGTGATGCACGTCGAATCACAGCTGTGCTGCCGTCGTCGGGCGGTCCGGGATTAGGGTGAATGGTGCTGCTTCATAAACGCGTGCCCTTATGCTAACTTGCCGCTATGGGACACCAGACGTTGGGGGTTGTTTGTGATGCCCAATGCCGCACGCCTTCGGGGTTTTGGCACACATGTTGTACCGCCGTGCATGTTGTGACGGAGTTGTTAGTTTTCCTGTCACCCATGGGCGACCATGGCAGGAGTGAACAGGTGGCATTGCGTTGTCATGCAGGGTAAACATAACCTTTTGCTAGCTAGGGGAACTTTACGCGTCATGTTGCGCCTTGCGATTGTTATTTCTCGCAATAACCTAACGACAGACTGTGCGCCGCTCTTCGTTAGCCAGCTACCTTGCGTGGCTTCGTTGTACGGCAGCGCGTATATGCATTTGGCGCGAGCAAGCGACAAACGACCCTTGGGCGACCGCGGTGTCAAAGTGGAAAATGCGGCGTATCTGCGAGGGTGATTTTTTGCGCAGATGGCTTGGCGTATAGCATACCTATCAAAGGGCGACCGTTGGTATGTTTCTGAAAGGTGGTTGGGCGGTGCTAAGAAATGGTCGATGCTGTTGTCCTCCAGTTTACCACTGGCTAGCTAAGAAACCAAATGCATATACGCGGCCACATTACAGGAACCAAAGCAGTTTAATTGGAGCTGCACAGTGCTGCAGCATAGTACAACAGTATGAAAGAGCGCTGCTTGCAGATCACAAAAATAAAACAGCAGCAAGCCCACCCATCTTTTACTAGATGCATAGCAGTGCCCAATGCGAGGTATGACGGTGTAAAGGATTGCGCACCACATAAGCATGGGCCATGTCCCCTCTAAATACGCCTATCCCCATATAATCTGCGATGTTTGCTGGAGCGCCAAAAATAAAACAGCAGCAACCCCACCCATCTCGTTCTAGACGCATAGCAGTGCTAATGGCTAATGAAAGCAGTGCTAGTGGCTAATGAAAGGGAGACATCGTTAGTTATTTCGTATTTCACACGTAGACGGGAGGGGGAGGGTTCCCCTCCCCCTTGAACCCCCTCCCACACATCGCCAGTTATTTCGTTGGCTGAAATCGCAACGAACGCTAATATGCAATGTATTTAACACGTAGACGGGAGGGGGAGGGTTCCCCTCCCCCTTGAACCCCCTCCCACACATCGCCAGTTATTTCGTTGGCTGAGCTCGCATGGATAGCTGAGACATATTATTGACGCGCTGACGGGAGGCTGCTGGACACATTGGTTTCCTGCGCACAAGTGGTTACAAGTTCCAGGTGCTCAAATGTCCTAACCGCAGCCTCGCTGGCAATGCGATCAAAAAGACCCTGCCTTTCCCACCCATCTCACGGGGTAGCTGGCCAGGGGCTAAGTTCTAGTTATCCGCTTGTGAGGTCGTGTTTGTGGCGTTGTAGCATCGATGTATAGCGGCGCTGCCAGGATGGGTGGCAGGGAGTCGGCAGTGACGGTGGTTCGCCTTGGCCGCCGCGTTTGTGGTGCTGCTGGGGTCCGTGTAGAGCGCATTTGTGTGCGGTGTCTCTGCGGCTCGTGTGTGCGATGTATCTGGACAGCAGGACTGCGGTCCCGGGCTGTCAATGGGCCTTAGACCTCGCTTTAAGACATTAAGACCACGCTGCTCTTGCTGCTCTTGTTGGCAATCGGCGCGCAGCGACATACTACAGCTTGTACTTAGCAAGGTGTCATGGGAGGTCATGGGAGGTCGAAGGAAGAGTACACCAACTGTGTGCTAAGCAACCAAAACCTAGGATTAAAAGCTCACCACCAACCAGCGCCGCATCTGAAAACAAATTCCGACGACACAAACCATCAGCCCTGCGCTGTCCTCAGTCCTCAGCTGTGGGGCCTTGAGTACAAACACCCCTGCCTGTCAGTGCAGTCCGTCAGGGAAGTACAGGTCCTCCTACACCCAGCCCCTTCGTCTACCTATAGCCCCCCCCGCTGCTACATTGCCGCACTCAGTCGCTGCCCTCATCTGCCCTCCCAGCTGTCCTCTTCCCGCACCCACCAGCACCGCACCGCGTGGTGCGGTGCTGCCTACCACATGCTCCCCTGCCGGCTCTCCTCATCAGCCACCCCAGTGTCACCCCAATGTGCGGCATGCGGCGCCTCCTCTGCCCCTGCTAAACTTCTTCCTACCTGGAAGAGATCCGTATGCACCCACCACCACCTACACAGCCCGTCACCCGCACGCCATGACCGACCAAAACAGTTCGTCGTACTCATGCCTCCACGCAGAGCCTGCGTGCCGTACCGGTACATGCCTGTCTGGAACTGCTCCATCTTCCTCCGTTTGCATTAGCAGTAACAATATAGTCCCATGCGTAAAGCCCTTCTACCCGACGACTATGTTGTATTGAGCATTCCTTCAGTTGGAAGTCTCCCCGCACCGGTTTGTGTCTTACCTACCCCTCAGCCCGCTGCTGCACTACATGCTGCACAGCCCCTCCTGCGGCGGCAGGTGGAACCCCCATGGGTGGTGTTGCCTAATGAGGCATCCCTTCCACGGAACAGAACACTCCGGCACATTGCGGTTGGCGTTACGACTGCGAGCCGTGACCTGGTGCTGACGACCCACTCACTCATCGGGCTGCACGAAGAGGGCGGCCTGCGACAGCAACACAGCAGCGACACAATGAGGGCGGCACAAGCATCAGGAGCAACTATGGTAGCAAGCGCACAACTCTCGTCACAGCCTAACGGCCACCCGCCCACGTCAATGCAGGCAACGCAGCAACCATGTCCGGAGCATTACCCCGATCCTCCCCTCCCTCTAATCCCTGTAACCCCAGACCCCAGAAACCAGGCAAAGCAAACACCCTCCCACCACCACCACCACCACCACCACCACCACCCCGGCGCACCCCGCCCACCTGCGGCACCAGCCCCAGCTCCTGCAGCTGCGCGGGCCCATGCGCCGCCCGCAGGAACACCCTGCGCGGGTAGCTGGACACCAGGTGGAAGCGCGGGTAGCTGCTGGCGTCCAGAGACTCCACGTAGTCGAACACAGCCTGCGGGCGCGGGGGAATGGTGTACGTGCTAGGAGAACTGCTGGTTGTGGTCCAGGCAGGTCTGCTAGGGAGGTGCACCCGGGTTGACCTTCCCTCTCACAAGCCATGCGCCCCACAACACACAAGTATCCTGCCTGCTTAAGTGCTTACAAAGCCAATCTGGATCTGGACCAATCTCGCATACCGGTAACGGCCTCGCATGCATCCCCCCACCCCGCCACCATCTTCCGCACATTAAGCGTCGCCCCCTGCGGAAAGCTCCGGGACGTGTGGCTCCCGTCCGGTAGCCGCAGCCGGATGGCCGCACTGCCCTCGGCGCCCGCGGGCGGCTCCGGCAGCAGCGCAGCGCGGGCCGCCTGCCGCCGCCGTTCCACCGCTGCCGCCGCCTCCGCCACCCGAGCCGCCTCCGCCGCCGCCGCCTCCTGTGCTAGGCGCTCCTCCTCCCGCTGCCGCTGCTCCTCCTCCTCCTACAAGGCACCCATGCGCATTGCGCAATCACATGATGCCATGCGAAAAACCTTGGGTATGCAGTAAAGCCAAGCCAAGTCAAGCCTCCCATGCACAGCACAGCACCGTACAGTGTCCCTTCCGCAGCCGCCCCTGCATGGCCCCCAGTGTGCCCTCGTTAGGGACACGAGCGCTGCCTGCATACTTCAGCCTGTATCATTCCCAGCTGCAATCCGAGCAGCCATCCCATCCGCTCCCCCGCCCTCCCTCCCCCCCACTCGCGGCCAGTTTTCTTAACACACACCTGTCGCTTCCGCTCCTCCGCGCGCTCCGCCTCCCGCTTCCTGTCCGCCGCCAGGCTCGCCTCGTACTCCGCGTCCTGCTCCTCCAGCAGCCGCCGGGCGAACTCCTGCGGGTGGTGCGTTGGTGCGTGGGGTGGATGGTGGGGTGGGTCGGTGAATGGCTGGCTGTGAGGTGGGTGCGTGAGGGTCAGTGAGCTCGAGGGAGCCAGTCGAGTGTGTCGGGAGGGGACGAGAGGAGGGACAGAGCGTGCGGGCGCTTAGTTCGCGTGTGCTGCCTCGAGCTGCCCCACCTACACCCTACATACCACCCTACCAGGTATGGCACCTCACACACCGCTCCCTTGCATGCATGAACCAAACTAAAGCGCCACCCTACCAGCCACCACCCCCTCAACCCCCTCCCCCCGGCCACCCCTGCACCTCACCCGCTCCTCCACCTCCGCCCGCTGCGCCGCCAGAAGCACCCCATGCGCCTCCACCGTCGCCCGCAGCCGCAGCAGCAGCAGCCCCGGGGCCGACACGTCCGGCCCTGACGCGGCCGCCAGCAGCTGCAGCCGCCCCCCGTCGCCGGGCGCTGAGCTGAGGAGCGCCACGTAGGGGAAGCGAGTGACGCCCATCTGGACTTGTTGGGAGAGCTGAGGGGGTGGGGTGGGGTGTGGAACGGGTAGGGTTTGGGTTTGGATTAGGGCGGGGCTGCCAGATCAGGGTAAGGTGCTTGGACTCCATGCAGGCCTTCCACCCAACCCAGCAACTTCTCGTTTCCATGCAGAGGCAACTTCCGTGCAGAGGGAGCAACAATAGATGAAGTGATTCCCGGTAGATCAAAGTAGCAATGTCGCTCCGAGCCCTAGCCAATCCCTCAGCAGGACACATCCCTCAGCCCCCAGCTCTCCAGTCCTCCCCTCACCACGAATGCGTCGCTGGCCGTCACATCGCCCCCCCAGGACACGCAGTGCAGGTTCACGTAGTCCACCACGTCCGGGTGCGTTAGGACGGTACGGCAGAACGCGTCCGTATCCTGTCGTACCGTACGACAAGGGGGTTAGGTAAACTGAGCAAGGGGGTACGACAAGGGGAAGCAGCGGTTGGCGGGCTGCAGCCGCAGAGCGCATGCAAAACGCTTGTGACCCTAGTACCTCTCGTTCCCCTCTCCCTTCCCTTTGGCATACCGCTTTGCTAGTCTCCCTCACGGCCTCACCTCATGCTCCGGAGAGTGAAGGTACACAAACAGGAATTTGAACTCCCGCCGAGCCTGCTGACACGCCACCCGCCACCCGCACTCCTGCCACCGGGGGTGTCTGTCGCCGTACAACGACTTGAACGTCGCAACGAACAACGCCGCCTGGCCCGCGGGATCCAGATCCACACCTCCGGGACCGCCCCCGCCTCCCACGGCCGCCACCGCCGCCGCCGCAGCGCTACGAGCCGCCCGCATGACCGACACCGGCAGCACCCGGTCGCCCACAATGGCGGCCGCATGCACGCCGTTCACAGCGGTGTAGCGCATGAGGCGGAAGCCCAGGCCCAGGGCGTAGAGCGGGATGCGTAGGACGAAGGTTATGAGTGACAGCGGGGCGGCGGCGACGGCGACGGCGGCGCCTGCTGGGGGTGCTGGTGCGCGTGCCATAGGTGCGCGGGGTCGGGGGGGTACCACTGCGCCGCCGGTTGCTGCCGCCGTGGTTGCGTGGGGGGCGTTGTGCGATGGCAGGGACGGGGCGGCTCCAGGGAAGGGGCCGCCCCTGGTGGGGTCTGGTCGGTGGCCTAAGGAGGGTTCCGCGTAGGCGCCTCCCAAGGCAGAGTTTTCTGCGTACGACGTGGGTGGGTTAAAGAGGGTTTTGCGTGTGGTGTTTTGTGTTGGGTTTTACGTAAACGGAAAGCGGCATGGCCTGGGCCAGCTAGTGAGCGGTAGCATGGGTTGAAAGGGGACCATTGTTGGGTAAACGGTAGCAACATTGGTTGGTAAACGGAGTCAGGCAGTTGACGTGTGCAGGAGTCAGCTGAAGCCTGGTCAGCTGTCTGTCCTCTAAGTACCGAACGCAAATCACATGCACTTCTATCCAATAGAAGACTGCAACACGCAGGATTTCCGTTCGCAAAGACAAGGTAGCTCAGCGACTCATGGACAGGTTCAGCGCGCGGACTAAAACCTTACCAATCGCCATCTGTAGAGCAAGCTCCAAATTACCCCCAGATGCCTCTAACAAGAATCGGGCCTGGGCCTCGTCACAGTGAGCCATCATTTGCAACCGGCTTACAGCAAGATCATCCGGGACATAGCTACCACTGTCCGCCATCGTAAGTGTTAGCCCTGTCAGATAATGTAGGCTGTAAGGCAGGAGTAGCGAAGGATGTGGACAGGGATCCTGATGCGACCTATCCCTCGGTAGTTCCCTAGAACTCTTGCGTTTGCTAACTATTCGTCTAAAATTAAAGGGTCATAGACGACTCATTCTGCTGCGGGGTAGCCTATACTGTTTGCCAACTACGATGGAAAGGCGGGAGTTGCACGACTGCCAACCCTGGCACCATGCAAAGGAGCGTGTTCCCAAAATCATGTATGCTAGCGCAATAGTATTAGCGGTACTTGTCAATGGAGTGCATATTTAACTGATCCTCTAACTTTTCCTTTCCTGAGCCCGCAACCAGCACTGGCTTTGCCGCTCTGTCGCGCCTACCCTGTATTGATTGTAGACATCCTAAGATAATTTGACGTTGCTCGACTTCTGCTAGCGCGTACACATTGCGTTCACCCGCGGCCTCTTGCCGCGCCCTCCTAGCTGCCATCTGCCCACATCCCCTCCAACTGAGTGCACGGCTGCCTGCAGCAACTCGGACTCCAACTTCTCCACCTTTTGGGACACAAAGAGATGTCGGCAGACGAGCGGGATGGACCTTCACTTTCGTCGGAGGCCCGAGAAGCCTCGGTGAACGGCGTCGATGCCGACGACGCGGGGCGAGCCCCGAGCAACACCGCCGCCGCTGTTGTCCTTGACAAACTAGCGTCGTTGGACATGGCCAGAAAGGCCGAACGTGACCGCCGGCGCGAGGAGTCGCGTGCTGCCGCGGACCCGCGTGAATCCGTTGCCCAATTCTTGAATGGCTTCACAGCACGACAGCGCAGCGTTGAGGATGCTCTACAACGCATGCTGCTCCAACACACAGGATCATCACCTCAAACAGCATCGGCACCGGCAGCTCATCAACAATTACAAGCACAGGGGCGGGGCGACACCGCGGACACCGCCGCAGCAGCAGCACCCGCCCCGCTGGAAGTCTCCACTGCCACTCCAGAAGCAATCCAGGCCTCCCTGGAGCTCCTAACTGCAGAGGTCCTCTCCATGGAACAATCCGCAGCCGCCGCGTCGTACTACCTTCCGTCGTACGACCAAAAGCAATGCGCCGCTGCCGTGGCGGCACTTCGATCCGCAATTGAAGGCGCGCGGACCTCCCTCGCGCCCCGGCGACGGTTCGCCTTCGGAAGCAAGAAAGTAAACAAGGTGCGCGGAGAGGAGATCAGTGCGGCAGCAGCGACGGCCGGCAGCGTCGGAGGCGTCTCCGAGCAACCGCCAGTGACGGCGCCACCAGCAGTAGCAGCAGCAGCAGGCGAATGCGCGCCAGCAGCCGCTCCTCAGCTACAGCCCGCGACCGCCTCCGCCGGCGTTTCAAACGGCACACCTAGCGTCGCCGCCGGCACAGATACTCACGAAGCCAACGACTCCCCAGATCCCAACACGACTCCCGCAGTGATCTCGGTTTCAGAGCAGGACCAAGCCCTGGTTTCCCGCGGCCGCGGTCTCATGGGCCTTACAGACGCGCATATCGTCCTCCGCGCCGATCAGGTTTCGGAGCCAGGAGCTGTAGGCAGCGGCGGCGGCAGCTTTGTGTTGCTGGGCCTTACGCGGTGTCGTGTGGTGCTGCTGGGACGCTTGCAGGCACTGCGGGCGGTTGGGCTGCGGGGGTGTAGCGTGGTGGCGGGTCCGGTGACTGGCAGTGTGTTCCTGGATGACGTGCGGGGGTGCAGCCTGGCGCTAGCAGCCTACCAGGTGAGGGGAGGAGGAATAAAGCAGGGCGCGAGGGGTAGCAGTTGAGGTGTAGGCTGCCTGGCTGGGGGTGAGCTTTCCTCCTTCAAGCCGTTGGATGGTCGTTGCCCTCCTTGCCACTCGCCTGCTTCCCAACCCTTGCCTGCCCTGCCAGCCCTCTTAACGCCTGCTCTTTAATGCCTACCGGTATAACCCAAGCCCGCCTGCTTCCCTGCTCCCAAACCATCCCTCTCCCACGCTCCGCCCCCCCAGGTCCGGGTCCACCGCACGCACGCCACCGACCTCTTCCTCCGCGTGCGCAGCAAGCCCATCATTGAGCACACCTCCGCAGTGCGAGTGGCGCCCTGGGCTGCGGCGGTGGGCCCGGAGCCGCGCCTGCAGGCGCTGCTGGGGCAGCATCTGCTGGCGGAGGACACGGGGAGCTGGCAGCAGGTGGGGGGCGGGCGGCAGGGGCAGGGGCAGCAGCAGTATGGAACAAGAGGGGTTCGCAGCAGGCGGGGTTAGCAGGCGGGGGGCACGCAGCAGGGGCCGCGCAGGGGTCAGCAGCAGGGGTTAGCAGGGGCGGGGGAAGCAGCGCATGCACATGGGGTGAAGACCAACATAGGATGAGCTAGCATGGGGTGCGCGGTTGTGAAGGCATGCTGAAGACCTGAACTCAGGAGGAGAGGAGTGGCATGCATGCATGCGCTGTCTTTGTGGTCGCCGGGAAGGCGGGGCGTGGATGCAGTGGGGTTGCCGTTGACTGTCGGCGGGTGGTTTGTGTTGCCCCACCAATCACCTCAAGCCCCCGCTGCTGCTGCTGCTCCTCCCTCCCTGCCCCGCCCCGCCCTGCAGGTGGAGGACTTCAACTGGATCAAGGCGGACCAGTCGCCCAACTGGCGCGTCATGCAGCCGCAGGAGCTGCCCGCGCAGCCGCTGGAGGTGCCGCCGGAGGTGTGGGAGCCGCAGCAGCAGCAACCGCAGCAGCAGCAGCGGGAGGCAGCAGCAGAGGGAGGAGCGGAGGCAGACGGTGTGGCGCGGAATGGGGCTGGAGAGGCTGCCGGTGCTGCGGAGGAGGTTGCTGGGTTAGAGGATGATGAGATCTAGGGGCGTTGACTGGGGCTCGCTTTGACTGGGGCTCTGGCGTTGACTGGGGGTGTGTGCTTGCGTTGGGTGGTGTTGGTGTGGGATGGAATCATGGAAACCGTGGAATGCCAACCGCCAAGTGCCTTGAGGGCTGCTGCCGAGATGAGGCCGACTTGAGGGCTATAGCTTACAGGCAAGCCATGCATGTTGCCATGCGCCTCTTGTCTCGTTGTCTTGCGAATGGCTCAGGAGTGAGTGCACACGCGGCGTGCAGCGCGGTTGCCGGTTTGCAGTGACTGGCCTGCCGCGGAGTCTGCACAGCGTGGATTGGTTTCCTCGGACCATGGATGCTGGTTTGTGACAAAGGGAAGATGACTGTGATGCTGTGCGAGCGTGCGGCTCCTGAATGCATGACTCTTACAGTGATCCCAAACCAGGAGGCAAGGGAAAGCGGACGATACCCAGCCCTACACTGCAAGGGAAACGGGCTGAGCCCCGAGTCAGAGGGGACCAGGCCGAGTTGAGCTGACATCACAGCTGCTCTAGCATTCAGCCGTGGGTTGTGAGTGCTACCGGTGCGTGTGCGGGTGCGCAGTTCAGCATGCGGCGGCAGGGTGCGAGCAATGCTTTTTATGCCAATAGACCCTCGAGTAAGCGTCCTGTTCAAGGACAGGAACACAACGCGTTGATGAGCGGCTACAACACATTGACGAATGCAGCTACCCGTGTTGTATTTGGGCTCAAGATGGCTCAGGTGACAGCACAGCCGCGTACAGCAAGAATGTACTACCGTATATGCAATCCAGGACACACTTGTTATGTGTTTGGGATGGCCAAAACTTTGTTTGCTTGCGTAGGAACCCGGAGATACCGTACGCTTGAGGTAAAACAACACCCATTGCCCTAGCATAAAGTGCCTTTCGTTCCTAAACATGAACAAAGTTGCTGCTAAGACTCGGAAGCAAGATGCTGTTGGGTTCCTTACAACGTTGCCGCATCTGACCCGCGGACCAGGCATTGTCAGCAGCAGTACAACTGGGCTTGCAATAGCGTCTTGCCGGCCTGCTAGGCAGTGAGTCAATAATCCGAACGCGATGGATTACCTCTGCAGTAAGTAACTAAACTGAATACCTAAGGTTGGCACTTGTATTTCACCGCGTTCACCACTTTAGCAGCTTTCCTCGATAGTGCATTTCAGCGCCGCCGCTGGCCGCGAATAGCAACTAGCAAGGCAACTAACTCAGTCTTTCTTAGCAACCAAAGTTCCTAACATGTCCCAGGCGTCCCAGAACAACACTGAAGCGCCACTGCAACCGGGCTCTTCGCAAGCCGCCGCAATGTCATCTGACAGCCCGGCAGCCGCCGCTTCTCAGGGCAGACAACAACTTTCTCCCCGCTTCGCTCCCCAAACTTCTTATCCCCGAGCTCAACAACTTCCACAGAAGCAAAGACAGCAACAGAAGCAAGGGCAGCAGCAGCATCCGTCCCGGTTTAATTGCTCAACTCCTAAAAAGCCAGCGCCGCCATGGCCGCGCGTCCTAGACGTCTATGCATTCCTCCGAGACTTCTTAGATCCGTCGTCACGAGCCGCATTGAGGCTGACGTGTCGCGGCGCGCGAGAGGCCGTCGATCGGGCCGCCGAGCGGCTTCGCGTCGCCAGTCGCTTCGACCCCGCGGCCGCTCGCTACCCTGGCGCGGGTGTGCGGCTCACGGGTCACCTGTCCATTGTGGAAGTTGTGCGGTCGCTGCGCGGCATTGTGCTGGAGCGAGGCTGCCGACCCGCGGGTCTCAGCCTGGACCTGCAAGACGACCGTCAAGACGAGCGACAGATCCGAGGGTGCGACCTGTCTGCCGGGTTCTGGATTGTTTGTGTGTGTTTGTCGCCCTATGCTTGATTCCTCGTAAGATATGAAGTGTTTGTTGACCTGCAAATGTGGTTGCAGTCATGTCTTGAGACTTGACACCTCGTATACCTCTTGTCTGCCGCCAGGCTTGCTGCACTAGCTGTCTTCGCTGAAGCTGCGGCCGGCACCGCTGCCGGCTCCGCCGCTGCCGCCGCCGCCACCTATCCTCCGGTCTGCCGCGACCCCGTCGTCTCCAAAAACTCTACCGCCGCCGCCACTAAGGCCTCCGCCGAAGCCGTCGCCACCGCCAGCCCACTCGCCGGCGGCGTCTCCACACTCGCCCTCACCAACTTCCACATCACGCCGGCGACGGCGGCCGCCGTCGCCGCCGCCGCGCCATCGCTTACCTCGCTCACTGCCGTACGATGCAGCGTCGACGCGCTACCCGAACTCTTCGACGCACACCCACGCATACGACAGCAGTTACGACAGCTCTCACTGCGCCGCTGCGGCGCCTGGCCGGCGGCGCTAGGCGAAATCCTTTCGCACTGCCCACACCTCCAGGACTTTACTCTTCCACTCGAACGAGATCACGTCAGCAGCGGCGCCGTCGACGCCCTGCAGCGACTGACGCAGCTCAAGGCGCTCGATCTGTCGCCGTCGGGCCCCAGTCGGCGTGCCGCCGAGGCCGCCGGCGCGGCAATGGCGCAACTGACGGCGCTGACGCGACTGCAAGCGCAAGAGGCGCCGCTAGTGGCTGTCGTACAGGCGTTACGGCACCTACCGAACCTAACGGTGTTGGGCATCGGGCCGTACAGTTGTACGGAAGCTGAGATGGCGGCGCTGTCGGGGCTCACGGCGCTCACATACCTGCGAGTGTTGCGAATCAAGCTGCCGGCGTCGGCGCCGGTCGGCGTCGGCGGCGAAGGTGCCATTGGGCAGGCGGCGCTGCATGCACCGCCGCAACCGCCGCAGCAACTGCTCGGAGCCGGCATTGACGCCGCCGCCGCCGCCGCCGCGCCGCCGGCCGTGACGGTTCCACTTCCGCCTGCGTTACGGGAGTTCCTCATTGAGGACGGAGCCGCGCCGGCGGTGTTGGCGGCGCTAGTACTGCCGCCGACGCTGTCGTACCTTTTCGCCGACATTGTCGTACCGTACGACGAATACGCTGATGAAGAAGTACGGCTACTGCCGGGCGCCGCCGCCACACTGGCTACTGCCATCACTCGCTTCGTCGGCCGACTGGGACCGGATCGTAGCTTGGATATCCGCGGGCCGATCGATGTGGGTCGACTGAGGCCGCAGGCTGGCGCTTTCGGCGGCCATGGGATATGGATGTCCTCTTTAGGCATGCTACGGGGCCTGCGGAAGTTGGGGCTCAACGGTTTGCATCTGGATGTGGTGGATGCAGCGGCGCTTGCAACCGGCCTTCGGCAGTCTCTGGAGGTCAGTGAAGTGCTACTTGGTGGCGGAAGGAGAGTTACAGCAAGGGCCGGACATGCATGGTGGCCTTGGTGACCCAGGGGTCAGTGAAAACCGAGCTCTGTCCTCCAACAGACCCCTGCCCCCCACCCTCTTACCAAATCCTGCCTTAATTATTTCCCCTTCCCTCGCCCCTTCCTCCCGGCCCGCCCTCCCAGGAGCTCATCCTCGACGACTGCACCCTCCCGCTTGTGGCGGTCGGCTGCCTGGCGCCCCTCCGCAGCCTCCGCCACTTGCAGCTCTGCCACGCGGACGTGTGGGACAACGAGGAGGCCACACGGGGGGTGCTGCTAGGCCTTTTGGCCGCACTGCCGCAGCTGCAGCGACTAGGGTTTGGATGCGCGCTGTCGCCCGCCACGCGCGGCGCGCTGCGTTGGCTGCGCCGCGACGTGCTGCCGGCGATGGGTCGTGACCCATGGGTCGTCGAGGAGCCGGAGGATTCGGAGGATGAGGGCGAGGATGATGGGATACAGGGCGGCGGGGGTGTGGAGGGGGAGTGGGAGGGCATGCTGGGGGGTGAGGAGTGGGGTGAGGAGGGTGCGCTGCCTCGAGGTGGTGCGGGAGAGTCGGATAGTCTGGCTTGGGAGGCATTGGGGTTGGAGATGCCTGCGGGACTAGGTGGAGGCGGAAGCACGGGAGGAGGGGGAGGAGGTGGGGAGGCGGAGGGAGGCGAGGAGGATGAGGAGGAAGGGCAGGGAGCGGCGCCCGGCGGAGGCGGAGGTGGGGGGCATGAGGGAGAGGGAGGGAGGGATTGGCGGGCGGACGCACCCGCGGGACCGTCTGTGGAGCTGTGTGGGGAGGTGGAGGACGAGTTGGAGGAGGAGGAGGAGGTGCTGGGGTCTGGGAGTGTGGGAGGGGGCGAGGAGGAGGGAACGGAAGAGAGGGAGGAGGGCCGGCGGGGCGGTGGTGGGGGTGCGGGCGCTAGGGCCGCTGACGTCTCCCTGCCCTTCTTTTCTTCCGAGGGGTCTTCGGACTAGGAGGTCTTCGGACTAGGATGATAAGGATGGAGGGCGCGTGGTGTGGCGCAGTGCGATAAGAGGGAGTTGATGGCTTTGTTAAGGCTGGTTTCCGGCGTTGTGTTGTGTTCGTTGGGTTTGGATATTGGGTGCCCGGCGGGTGGGTAGGCGGGTGCGCAGGCAGGCGGAGGGCTTTGGAGGCATGCCTGCATACAACAGTTGCGTTGATTTGGGAGATGGCTGGATGATTTAAATTTTGTTCAGGGGCTGCTTATGCCGGTTGTGAAGTGAGGGGTTGTAGTTGGTGTTTAGTATCGCCCATGCGACCCATGGGTCACAGAGGCGCATGTGTTGCAACATACGTTTTACGTCTCCCGTTGGCAATCCCTCTTGTAATATAATAACAGCGTCGTAATATAAAAACATCTGGGGCCGGCAATATTCAGAAGGATGACAAGACCCGGTTTCAATTGCATACAGCCCGGGCCGCCAAGTACGGCAGCGGGCAAACATGACAGCCCCTGCTGTGCGGGCTGCAGAAAGCGGGAGACCGGGGGTTTCGAGATACCGGTATGTGGCTGCCTGACAGTATTTCAACATGGGTGCATGGCTGCACGTTTTTACCAAGCACACCTCCTATGTGGCAACACAGACACGGCAACAGCAACAGATAGAAGGAAAAGGGGCATCATGTTCAGGTAACAAACAACCAGCAGCGGCGGCTTCATGCCATATCCCAAGGTCTCTAGGATGGCTCGAGCGAGCCCAGCTCGGGGCTCTGGAAGGGCCCGTAGCGTGTTCGCAATGATCAGGGATTGATGACAAGGAAAACAGGCGATAGTCGACCTTACATCAATCTGCGATGGCTCCACCATCGCTGTACAGTCCCGCCGTCCCCGACTTCCGTACGCAGCGACTGGAGCACTGAAGACCGGCGCACACACATGCACTCATTCCTCTGTAACAGTCCACATCTGAAAAAAAAACTCGACGCAACCACGCGGGTCGAGGGCGCCTGTCGTAGCTACCGGTAGCGAGCAGGCGAGCAACTGGGTGACTATGGGGCCAGCCGCACATGCAGCTAGACACCAACCAACCAAAACAATGGGGACCCCCCGGGTCGGTATCAACACCCCGGGGCGTCACACCGCGCTCCCACACGGCGTTGTGGGCACCGTGGTACAAAACACGTCCTGGCGCGCAACCGTTCCGGATCGCATGTTGCATGACCAACGCAAGTCGAGTCGAGCGGAACCCAGCCACAACGCAAACAAACACGCACACAACCGAGCAATCACACGCGTCTCACATGTCGGCCGGTCAGGAACAAGGTGAACCCGAACCAACACAACACTCAAACAACATCGAATTCGTCGAACACGAATTTAGAGTGTTAATACCCTTTGTAACAGCTTTGGTAAGAAGCAGTCGATCGTTCCAACCAAAAAGAGTATATTTCCAGACCTGAGGCCCCGAGAAAGGTTCGCGCCTATGTACCCGCGTCTAGAGCACCTAAAGGTCATTTCCGTGGCACTTAATATAGTGCCCTAGAGTGTGTTAGTTTAGGTCTTCTCCTCCTCCGATTAACCGCCACCAAACAACGAATAATGTTGATTCTTCCTCGTTTTCCTACGCCTTTCTTCTAAGCCAGTCCTATCCAGTCATCACCCAAGAGGGAGGCAGCATTTCTGCTCCTTCTCCTCCTCCTCCAAAACCTGCATGTCTTCATGCCTTTTGCGACTTTCGAAACAACGTCTGCCTGCCCCACAGCTCTCGTCAACATGTCCCCCGCCCCACAAGGCCAACACAATGCTCATTGCTAACACCCTCTGCCCCCGCCTCTTCCTCAGTGCAGCTCCCTCTCCCTCTGCCTGTCTGCCTCCTCCTCACGTCCTCAGTGCCCGCCTCAGTGCAGCTCCTTGGTCTGTCCGCGCACCTTGACCAGCAGCTTGTCCTCGGGCGCCCGCCGCGTGAGCCGCTCCTCCGTGCGGATGCGCTGCTCCGTGCCGATCAGCTCGTTGAACTCGCTGAAGTGAGCCAGGGCCGCCAGGTCGTCACGAGTGGTGCCCTGGACAGGTGCCCGGGGGGGGAGAGGCGGAATAAAATGAAAAGTGAAGCAACGGAGTCCCAACCCCATATCCCAGGTGGGGGGGAGGCGGGGGCGGGGGTCAAGGAGGGACGAGCTATCACAACCATGGACTATCCAGCGTGCCATGGTGTGGAACGTTTGTGTGTAAAGAGGAAGGAGCCGGTTTGCGATGGAAGGTGACCAGGTGTTGCAATTCGCCAGCAGCATCCTGACAATCCTATCATACCCACCGCCCGCCTGGCCCCCTGCACATATACACATATACACATACACACACACTTCATCTTTCGGCAATCACAGTACGTTTCGCCTCGCGGCCAGTTATTTTAACACACACACGCGTACCTTCTCCGCCAGAGTGCCGTACACATTGAGCAGCGCCCGCGTGGCTGCGTACAGCCCTGCCAGCGGGTACACCACCAGGTGGAACCCCATGGCGGCCAGCTCCTCGGGGGTGCGCAGGGGCGTGACGCCGCCCTCCAGCATGTTGCACACGCGCAAACCCTGGAGGCGGGGAGGGAGGCGGGGGGGAGGGGGGGGGAGGAGGAGAGAGGGTGCTCAGTGCTGCGTAGAGGGACCCCATACCTGTCCATTCGCCGGCATCACACCCCCATCTCAGACCTCCACCAGCCCTACTACCTTGGTCTCCGCCCCCACGATCCGCAGCTCCTCCTCGCTCCGCGGCGCCTCCACAAAGGTGGCGTCCGCCCCGGCATCCGCGTACAGGTTGGCGCGGCGGATGGCCTCCTGCAGGCCGTACTTGGCGGAGGTGGCGCGCGCGTCGGTGCGGGCCACCAGGAAGAAGTCCTCCTCGCCGATGACCTCCTTGGCAGCGGCGATCTGGGGGGGGGGAGTTGGAAGGGAGGAGCAGGAGGAGGAGGTTGGGTTGATTACCGGTAGAGGGTTGCGGTTGGGCGGTTGGTAGGCACTACTGGGTGTGTGGGCACTTAGACATGCTCCCAGTCAACCACCACCACCCGCCGTGCACCTCAATACTCCTCAAACCACCACCCCATCCCACAACCACCCATCCCACAACCACCCTTCCATTCCACTAACCCCACGCAACCCCTCCGACCTCCCCACCATGCCCCCTCGCACATCCGCACCCGCCCACCCGCATCCGCATCCGCCCACCCACCCCCCGCACCCCCGCATCCCCTCACCTTTGCCGCGAACTCGTCCATCCCGATCACCTCCTTGTTGCGCATGTGCCCCATGCGCTTGGGCCACGCCTGGTCCTCCAGGAAGCAGCCCTTGCAGCCGGCCGTCATGAGCTGCCGGATGGTGCGCTGCACGTTGAGCACGTTGCCGCCGCCTGGGGGTGGGAGGGAGGTGGGGATGCAGCGTGAAGAGGGAGGCACGGAGCTAGAGGGATGTGCACTCTCCTGGCGTGTTACCCGGAGAGGCGTGTTACCCGGAGAGGACACGCGGGTCCAACCAGCACCTCGGTGTTGTGCAACACGATAAGGCCATGCAAGCTTGCCCCGTCCACACGGTTCCCCGCACCCAACCCCCCCTAACACGCACACACGCCCGCACGCACCCGTGTCTGCATCCGCAATGACCGGCCAGTCGGGCACCGCTCCGGAGATCTGGCCCGCCTTGCGAGCCATCTCGGGGGGAGTGAGCAGACCCAGATCGGGCTCACCAAGCACGGTGCCGGAGACCTGCGGGAACGGGGGAAGGAGGAGGGAAGGGGGAAGAAGTGGATCGGCAGCATGAGGTTTATGCATGGATGTGTGAATGGGTTGTATAGATGGTTCGATGGTCATCCAGAACCTGGAAAATAGAGGGGAAAGGCTTGGAGGCCAAGGGTGTTGTGCAGTTGATCGGAGTGCTGAGTGGGTGGCAAACAAGAGCGGCCCTCGATGTTTACGGTACGTCAGTGTTCTTTTGCTTCCACCCTTTGGCGCATCGGTATGGTTGGAGCATAAGAGCGCTAATGCTAACCGTGCAGGAGTCGACCGCTTTGTTACTGTGGGATGGCGTTAGCATGATCACTGGGACACCCGCAACGGAGCCCTCAAACACAAAGATGGGTGTTCTAAGAGCAATTTGTAGTGGAGCTCTAGCACTTGTTCAGAATGCAGTGCAGCAAACAACGCTCTCGAAACGCTTATTACGCCGCCGACCGTAACGCCTATCGCAATTGACCCGCGGTGCGCTTCCTGACGCCTATGCAACACCAAGCCATGATTGCCCTGTCCTATGCCGATACTCGAGCACATGCAAATTGGAGCAATTGCACCAGGAGAGGGTATCCAGCACAGGAGTTCAGCTACCCCTTCGCCATGCTCCATCGCGCCTTACTTACCGCATAGCCGCTGCGCCAGGTAAAGCATTTTCAATCCACATGCGGGAAAGGGGAGGATACCTTTAATAAGTTGCCAAATTCTATGTTACCGTAAAGCTTGCATCATCGTAAGCGAAAACGGAAGCCGCCCCACCTCACAAAGCCAGCTTTGTGGCCAGTCTGCTTGGCAACCCTCGCAGACAGCGCATCGTAAACTCCTGCAACAGTCGAGCCGCAAAATAATTCACGACTGTAACGCCAACACTGTGTCGAATTACTTCTGCTGCACGTAATCCGTCCTTGCCTGGCATCAACAGGCATCCGTTATCCTGGATCAACCGGTGGAACGTCGTGCTGTGGCCCTCTGATCCATTCGCAGCAGCGCAAGGAATGACGCGACGCCGCAAGGAAGGTCGCCCAACGCTAGGGACGCTCCTACAGCTTGCCGAGCTATGGGAAAGCTGCATCATCTTTGTTATAATCCGGTGTGCAAATGGCTAGCTAACGGTTCACTTCGTGTAAACGACAAATATGTTGAATGCAAATTTATCACTATCGAGCTAGAAGGGGCCAGCTATAGCCTATGATAAAGCTATTTCAACACACTGCAATAAGTAACTCTTCGAATGCGATTGTAGCAAACACTGCTGACGTAGCTGACGTGGATTGCCGCCGTACGCAACCTTCTTCTGCGCTTTCATTGATGCTAGTGCAAGCGTGTGCTGCATACGAACTGCTCATTACAAAGACTGTAACTTGTTTGCCTTTCCGGTCTAGTGCTGCTTGTTAACGGTTGCCGTGTCTTCCTCAGCTTCCTCAACGTTGTGGCCAAGTCCAAGGGGTTGTATGACAACGTTCATTAACTTGATCATGTAGCCTTCGTGTTGTCGCTGATGTGGTTGCAAAACCCCATCATTAACGCGACCGGTTGCTCCCCCTTACCCACCTGAAAGAAATTGGAATTCCAGCGCTTCACGTCTTTCTCCTTAACCCCCCGGAAGGATGAGTGTTGCCAGGATTATAGACATGCATGTTACAATTGTATCTTACAACGTTATCAATAGTATCGTACCCTCTTGTAATGTATCACATTGTCGTACTCTCGCACATATTTGCACAACATGAGGCGGAGCAACACCTACTAACGCGCGGGGGTTGTGTTGCATGCGCATGCTTACGTGCACAAAGCTAAAGTATTTCCCCTGAGGCCATCGCCTACAACACGCTTGGAAGGCTCCGGTCAGGCGTTTCGCTGACTTGCCCAACGTCGCCCGGGCCGTCGCTTTAGCCGCATTTTCCTACTACTGCACGGCTAACATGCTCACACGCGCCTACGCTACCAAAATCACACAGAAAGACCGCTTGTAACGACGCCCTTGGCGGTTGTGTACGGCATAAGCACTCTGCATGTGATCCCTCGATCCCTCCCATATGTCCCTTAAACCCATGCGAGGAAAGAATGGCACACTTTGCAGACAAACACCCAAGGGTCGCCGGTCCTCATCAGTGCCCAGCATCCACTGACTGCTAGTACCCCAGCTAATGGAGCTTTTGCTGCTGTTGTCGAACCCCTTCCACAACCACCAGCTCACGGCATACAAACCCGCTCGTGGAAACCCTCAGCTAACCAAAACAGCCCCCAGGATCACAGTACCGTCAACCCAACAGCCCCGCTCCTCTCCCGCACCGCACCGCGACCCACTCTGCACCTCTAGTCACATGCAAGAACAGTGCGGACTCCACTGCCATCTGTCTTGACCGTGTGTTGTTGCTGCCGCCGCCCTGCTCCGGCTTCTGATGAAGACTGCTTACCTAGCTGCCCGGCTGCTGCTATCATAGCCCTGCTTGTCCCCGGTTTGTCGTGTACCCAAACGCTGGGATGGGCGCCCAAGGACGCTGCCGGGTCCGAACAGCTGCTACTGCCGCTATTGTAGCCGCCGCCGCTGCCGCTGCTGCTGTTACAGTTACTGCTGCTGCCGGTGCTGCACCTCTCTGCCCAGCACTCACAGCGGCTTGTACCCCATCACAGTGCGGTGGCGGTGGTCCGTCTCCTCCGTGACCACCTCCTTGAACCCAGCACGACGCATGCCGGCCTGGTTGGGTGGGGTGGAGGGGTGGGGTGCAGGGAGGGTTAGATAAACTGAGTCGCGGAAACACTGACCCTGACCGTGAGGGTCAGGGCCCGTGATGGGTATAAGGGTGCGGGTACCGGGGTGCGCGGTGTGTTTGGTTCGTGCGCATGTGTCAAGGAAACGGGCCGCGAAGAACCTCACATGCACGCCCCCCACCTCCAGATCGTAGCTGTAGTACTCATCCGACCAGGGTTCGGTGGACTTCATGAGGGTGAACAGGTAGGGCGGCAGGTTCTGAATGGTCTTGGACCTGGGGGGGCAAGAGGTATACCAGAACCACAGGTTAGGACAAAGCATTGGGGATAGAGGGAAGCAGGTTGTCAAGAGGCAAAGAAGGACTTGGGGGGATGCAAAAAAGGGCGGAGGGCAGAAGGCGTGTTGGGAGTGCAGGCACATGTAGGGAGTGGCAGGCATTCATGCAAACGCACTCGTATGAGGGGCATCACGAGAAAGCGGGGTGAGAAAGCACGTGTCTTGGGAGCATCAAAGGCCAACCCTCGCAAAAACACACTGCCCAACGTGCCCTGATCTGCCATCCCCTCCTCCTCCCCTCACCCTCCCCTCACCCCCTACCCTACCTGGGGTTGTTGTCGATGAATGTGAGCACACCGCCCGGCCGCAGCACCCGCATGCTCTCCGCGATGAAGTCGTCGATGGCAGCCTGTGTGTTGCACCAGGGGGCGTGTTAAAGAGGTTTGAGCGCATAGCGTGCTGAGGTAATGACACAACTGGACTGGGTTATCTCATGCACGAATGTTGGGCGGCCCAACACATGCATACCACATGCATACCCGTACCCGTAACCACCGGCCCTCCCCAACCCCATTACGCCCCCCTCCCCCTCCCCCTCACCCCCACCTGCGGGCACTCGTGCGTCACGAAGTTGAACACCACCATGTCCTGCGAGCCGTCCGCGAAGGGGCTGCGCTCGCACATGCCGTGCACGTACTTGATGGGGGCGGAGCGCTGGCCGGGGCGCACGGGCGGGAGCTGGCGGCGGGGGGGGGCAGAGGGGGGCGGGGAGGCAGGGAGGGGAGGGTACATGAAGGCTGACTGGCTGCGAACCGGTTAGGCCGGGAAATCTTCATGCACTGTTCCTACCCCCCTCCCCCCCCATACATCGGCCGTCAACGCCACGGGCCCAGCACCACCCCTTACCAGCACTACCACCACCACCATCACACACACATACCCCAGTTTTCTTAACACACCCCTCCAATCACAGTACGTTTCGCCTCGCGGCCAGTTATCTTAACACACCACCTCAGCCCCCCTGATCTACCCGCTCCCTGCACCCCCCCCCTTTCCTCCCCACCGACTGCGCCGGCGGCTGCTGCCCCTGCTCCGCCCGCCTCCGCTCCCACTCGGCCACCGACAGGAAGTAGGTGGACAGGTCCAGTCCCGTGATCTGCTGCGCGTCCGGGAACTGCTGCGCGAACCAGCGGGTGGAGATGCCGGTGGAGCAGCCCATGTCGGCGATGAGGGAGGGGGAGCGCAGGCCGTGGCGGGCGACGTAGGCCTGGGAGAGGAAGGGCGGCGGGGAAGGGATTACATAAACTGAGCCGCGCAAACACTGAAATGGAAGGGCGAAGGGGAGGATTTCCGCATGGGGGCTGGCAGGAACAGATTCAGACGCGTACAGATATGAGGAGAGCCCACCACCTCCAACGCCCGCTCCCACTCCCACTCCCCCGCGCTCCCACCTTAATTGCATCCGTCATGCGGGAGCGCATCTCCACAAAACACTTCTCAGCGCTCCACTCGGGGTTCGCCTGCAGGAAGGGGGGGGCGGTGGGAGGAAGGATGGGGAGGAAGGATGGGGAGTAAGGATGGGGATGATGAGGATGATGAGGAAGTGAGGAGGATAAGGGGCCCACACGTGCGCAGAAGACACAGAGACAGGCCGCCCATGCCGGCTGCCCATGCAGTCGCATTGGGCACGCAAGCATGGCTGGGAGCTGCCTGGCAGCACTCCGAACCAAGGTCTGCCGCACCACAAGGAGCGCGGCTGCCTGCAACTGCCCGCACTGTCGCCCCACTCCCACCCTTCCTTGAGCAATTCCGCAACCATGACGCAACCCAGGGTGAAGCCCCACCGTATCACATGTTCTTGTCCTCCTTACACCGCCCCCACCCCCACCCTCACCACCCACCACCGCCCCCACCACCCCCCACCCCCACCCGCACCTTGAACGTGCGGATGCCCATGGCATATGTGGCGGGCTGCACCTCGAAGGCGGCCAGCCACTCCAGGTTGCCGGTGCGGTAGGCGTGGAAGGGCACCATGTAGTAGGGCGGGTAGGGCTGCAGGGTGGGGTCCTCCAGCTCGGACTTGATGGCCTCAAGCTGGGATGCGGGGGGGGGGGTCAGGGGTGCGGATAAGAGAGGGGTTGGGGTCAAAGAGGAACCAGCCCGATCCATTGGGGCTGGTTAGGGAGAGCAAGCAGCAAGCCCAACATGCCCAACATGCCCATAAACGTCTACGAGGCCCGGTTAGAACGCTGCACCACAGCGCTGTAACCGGCCATGTTGACCGGGCCATCTCCTGCCCTGCAAAGCCCCGCACATGCTTTGGGGACCCTTGCCGTGCCCATGCTCCCGCTCTCCTGTCCCGGGTGCTTCCCCGCCCCCCTCCCAGCCGGCGCCCCATGCGTCCCCCCTTCCCGCAGCAGGCCCCCCGCACCTCCTTGCGCTTCTGCATGTCCGCAACGTGAGCATCCCACAGGATGCCGCGACTCTCAGCGGAGCTCTTCATTGCCTGGTGGGCGGGTGCGGGGAGTGAGGGATGGGGAGTGGGGGAGTTCAGCGGAGGTCAGGCGTGAGGGTCCGGCGTTTTGACGCCCGCAGGTGCTAGCTCCCTATCCGAGGCAGTAGCCCCTCCACCGCTCTCCCTCCCAACTCAGCTTTGCCAGCCTGGAATTCCAGCCCCGTCGTATTCCTTGAGCCAGCGTTAAGATAGCTATCCAAAGCAATTTAGATGGACATGCCACCTCAACCCCAATAGCCTGGTGAACCTGAACCCCTCCCTAACACACCTGGCGCGTCAGCAAGGGCCCATCCCCTCCCCCCTCCTGCTGCCCATGACAGTCCGATGCTAACCGGGTTGGGCTTCGGACATTGGGCACTTGGCTTTCTTTTTCCCCTCTTGCCCATCCCATCCCTTCCCATCCCATCCCTGCCTTCCCGCCCCCTGGCCTGCCCTGCTGGTTACCTTCTTCGCAAAGACCTTCATAACGCCGTACAGCGCCGGGTTGCCGATGGCCCAGTTGACCACCCTGGACAGCACGCTGTCGCCTGTGCAGGAGGAGTGGGTGGTTGGTTTGGGGATTGGGGTGGGAGTTGGATGAGAGGCGGTGGCCATTTGCGGTGGCCATCAGCTGTCTCCACAAGCCGCATCATTATTCGTACGCAGACTAGCGCCAACAAGGGGTTGCTATGGGTTCGCAAGGCAAAGGCAAAGACTGTGGCTGGGGCTTGTAATCAGAGAACTCAGGAGTCTTGGGTTTCCATCCGCCCGTGGACATCCCGTTTGTGACGTTGGGTATGGCCGAGCGCGAAAAGTACAAGGACCAATGCGTGCAAGGTTAGCATCGGGTAGCGTCGGGTGTCGTTCCTCACCCGTCCACTCTGGCTTCTCCCTGTCAGGAGCCGAGGTCATCATTTGAGCCCGAGTGACAACGCTGACGGCCCGCTGAGGTTTACGAGCGCTGAAAACATTTCGGGCTGAGCAGGATGGCAGGCGCTGGCCCGCACGCGAGCCTAACGCCGTCGACGGGTTCGCCATTTAATTTGTGTGATAAGTTATGGTCGTCGTTCAGGTGTTGCGAGATATGCAGGGCGAGATACGTTGTTGTTTCTTTATGGTACAGTGCAAGGCTATGCCAACAACATCGATATCTGGTATGCCCTGAGTAGTAACCTAAACTCTAGTGCTTCAGCTGTACTTTGTCTGTTCAATATCCTGGGGCGTTCTAGGGTTGGGGCATGTACCTCGCGCGTACTACTTTACTGGATCTGATCGCGAACGTCGCCTCACCGCCACGCGTAACTACGAGCAAAGCCAAAGGCAACTGCATGCTCCAATCTCTTTGTAGTATTAGTTCATTTTCTCTTCATGTAACGGCTTGAAGTCATACCGGTACTTGCTGTCATAGCTGCCCCCCAGGAGCTACACCCTGCCTGTGCAGGGTTTTCATAAGTGGAGGAATTACGGGGGCAGTAAATTGCACCAATGATCCACAGCCCCATCCGGCCTCCCTCCCCTGCCTACATGCTTCTGGCCCTCTTGCAAGCCTCGTACGGAAGACAGATCCGATAGGATTCGCCCGCACGGAGTTGCTGCCTGCCCCGGGATCTGAACCCCTGCATCGTAACGAGCTATCCTGGCGGGGTGCTCATGTGTATGGCCCACTTCACTGCGGATTTGAGCGGGCGCCAACCGTCAACCCTTGTAAGGCGGGCTGCATCACTGTTAACCCTGTCACAGGTTCAGCCTCAAGGTCGTCAGCCTGACGCTGATACATGGCCCCAACCGGACTGGGGCCTGCCAAGGGGTTATGCCGTATGCTGGCCGTATGTGATGTGACCGGCCCCCCTTGAAACATTCGCATTCATATACCGGTACTGGTGGTACTGATATCCTTCACTTCGTTACAACGATATTACATACATTCCATAATGACACAAACCACCCTTGAATGGGCTACTTCTAGGTTCTGCAAAAAGCAAGCCGTACTTCTGTCTTGTACGGCTTGTACTGCCTCTGTTGGTTGGTAAAGTCGGGAAGGCGATCACTGGCATTATAAGCAAAATGTCCTTTGGGGACTTTCCTGTAATGTCATATCAACAGCGTGTGTCAGTTCGAGGAAGGAGGGAATGAAAGCAGGTTTCCCAAAGGCAACTGCACCCGCGCTGAGGCCGGGACCTGCTCGGCGTTTGCGAAACATATGGATATGTGCTGCCCTTTCTGGCCTTTTCGTATCGAAAACTCAGAAGACCATGGCGTCCGAGCCCAAGTACCTGCTTGCTTTTGGGGATAGCCTAACAGAAGGTTAGACGAACTGGAGGGCATGCTGCAAGCTAACGCCACTACCACTGAAAACTGAAATGCTGCAACAACTAGACTGGTTGCAGGCTACTACAACTATGGGACCAGGTTTCACCCGTACTCGCTGAAGTTGCAGCAGCTGCTGGATGAGAACGGCTATAACGTGAAGGTAATGGCCGCTGCGGTAATAAATTTTTATAAATTCGTGCGCGCGCAGCGTCAGGAGCTTGGTTAAGCTCCATCCATCTTAGTTCGCCAAACGCTGAGATCCTTTTCCCTGCAGGTTTCCGAGCGAGGACTTAGCGGCGAGCGAGTTGTAGATGGTGGGTATTGCAGGGGCTATGGTGTGCAGGGTGGCGGGCTGGACATTAAGCGAGGCGACATTTGGTTGCTGGATGGCTTACCACATGTTGACATCCAAGCGAGCACCCTGACTGTTACAAGTTCTCGCATTTGCATCCTCCATTTATACTCGTTTCAAGCACAGTTTCAACATCCCTGTTATGTTTACGGTTTAAGCAGCGGCCCACGGCCGCTCCCCTTGCCCCAGCCTTCCCGTCCTGCCCTCCCTCACCTCTCCCCCTCCCTGGCTCCCTCCCCCCAACCAGACCAGCCGGACTCGGGCATGGTGGTGCGCCTGCCCAAGCTGCTGGACTACTCAGCAGCCGAGGGGCGGAACTTCAGCTGGGTGGTCATTCTGGGCGGCATCAACGACATAGGTAGGGGCTATGCGAGGGTGTCCTTACCAACTACTTTGTCCTAGAACTGCGTTCGATAGCTCGACACCAGCCGTGCATGGTAACTGCGGTCGTCAGGTCGTTGCCGCAGCCTCTCTATCCACTTTTAGCCCCCCACGAGTCTTGATCAGCTCGGCCCCTTCCTTGACGCCACCCTGCACGTACCTTCTGTTGTCTGCTTTGCCTGGCTTTACGTTGCATATCCTGACCCAATCTGGCACCTACCCCTCCCTATCCCTTCCCAGGCTGGGGTGCCGACCCGTACACGGTCTTCACCGGCCTGCAGTCGCTGTACGACACGAGCCGCCGCCACGGCGCCCGCGTGCTCGCACTGACCTGCCTGGAGACCGCCACGTCGCGATCCGACACCAAACCCAATGACGAGCGCAGCAGGCTGAATGCACTGATTCGCGGCGCGGGCGAGGAGGCGGAGGCGCGCGGCGACGCGGGCTTTGCGGTGCTTGATCTGGTGGGGCTGGGTTAATGGGGTTATGGAGAGGGTGATGGAGAGAGATGTGCTGTCGCTGCTGGCTATCCATGCGATGTGGCCTGAGGTCTGGTGGGTGACAGCATCGCTTGCTTTCCATGAACGGCGCTGTGTTGTTTCGTTCCACAGTTGGCAGAAGCAGCTGGTGAGGGGGTTTATTGTTTACGGGCCACACCTCCGGCTGGCAGGGCCGCCACAACCGCGCTTGACCCATATCCGCACGCCTGCCTTGCCTGCTCCCATTTCCTCGCAGGAGCCGCTGCTGCCCTTTCCGCGCGACCGTTATGACGCCGCGGGCGATGCGCTGTGGGACGATGGACTGCACCTAACACCGGCGGGGTACGACCGACTAGCAGAGATCATCTATCAGGGACTACGGGACAAACTGGATGACGGTTAGCGGTTAGCTTGGGAAGTTGGGGGCATTAGCAGGAGGGCAGCATGTGGGGTTATAAGGTTTCCTTTCAGCATCACTAACGCGCGTCAACGTACGGCATGGAAGGGCGGTAGGGGGCTAAAATGCATTCTACTCCTTTCAGAGGTTATGAAGGTATCGTACAGTTCTAACACTGGCTGTAAGCCGTGTTAGTTCGCAGCTAGGCCAACACCGTTCCAGTGCTGTGAGCTGTTCCAGCGTTGTTCGTATATCGGCTGTTTAAGCGTTTTCAAATATCGCACCGACAATGTAAATATCTGCATGGAGGGGAGAATGCTGTCATTATGTAGGACAGTAGAACACATCAGTGTTGCCGTACCGCTGCTAATGTGTGGGCGACCCATGGGCCACATGTGGTGGCTTGATAGCACACCCGCGAGGCCAACGCCGTCATAAGTACATACCAGTTGTAGATCTCATTGCCCGATACCATCCTTCTGAGCTGTTTACAGATTGCCGTGTTTCGCCCCAGCACCCTAACAACTCCAAAGCGGCAAGCAGCGGCCTGACCTCCCATCATCATGACCACACACTTTGAGCAGCCACAGACCATGCTGGAGTGGGGCAACATCTCATCTATCCGGCAACCATGCAGCCCGCAATAAAGGGGTAACCAAGGCGGCCTTATGTACGCTTGACAAGCCCTGTGGTTGCGCGTCAACTCCAACAACAGCAACAACATACGGCATACAATCAGCCCACAAAGATCTGCAAGATCATTACCTGCGACATTCTTCGGCGGTGCCTGTTCAGTATTCACTACACTGCAAAAGTTGGATTGCATGACCCCAGCAACGACACCCAGGTACACCCGTCTTCAGCCCTGTTTAAGACGATCACGTGTACATACGAACTTCGCGGCCAGTTTTCTTAACATACGAACTTCGCGGCAGTACGTAGGACCTCACTTCTACACATGCAGTTCGTACAAACCCCTGTCGTACGGCACCATCACCCCACGCAGCCCTTTGCCCCCCTCTCCCTCGTACGCATACTCCTGCACAAACTCCTGCGGCAGCCACGCCCACCAGTGGTGGCAGGGCGGCTCCAAACGCCTGCATGCTAGCAGGCCCCCGCCGGCAACCACACCCCAACCTGCACAGTCGCCGCCGGCTATTGGTGTTGCTGCTGCTGCTGCTGCGCGCCCTGCAGCCTCCACAGCTTCGCCGTTGTTTCTACTCCCTTCTAAAGGGGCTGCATCATGAAAGGAGCCAGGCCGTTGTACGACGGCCACCGCCTGCCGGCCCCAGGCCTCCTCCACATCGTCGAAAGCGAGCTCGGGTGCGATCGACTGAGACCTAGGTGAGGTCGAGAAAGGTGGCGAACAGGCGAGGGGAGTACGGGTGCTGCTGCCACTGCCGCTGCTGCCGCTGCTGCAGTACCTGTCGAGGCTTATGGCGGCTGGGAACTGAGTGTGCAGGCGGCAAATGGTGGCATCAAGCGCGGCGCATTCTCTGCAGAAAGAGGGAGTTTGAAGTCGAGGCATTGTCAGGCGTGCGCAAGGAGTTGAAGAGGAACGGGGAAATCGCGTTAAGCAGATCCGTGGGTCACTAGCGTATTACACTGAGCGAGCACTCACCGTTGCAAACGCTTTCGCAGCGAGCTGTCATGGTGGTGGTGGTGGTGGTGAGGGCAGCCATCATCACATGCATCCAGGACAAACTCCAGCGCACTGCGACGCCAACAGAACCTACTAGGGCAGGGGGCAACAGCGATGCACTGGATGATGGGATGCAACAGCAACGTACCAGGAAAGCAGGGGCTGGGTGTATGTCTGACGTCAGCACGGATGGCGGGAAGAAACGGCTATGCAAGCATCATCTGCTGTCATCCCTTCCTGTAATGACCTGGACCGCTTAACCGTTAAGTGGCTAGCCGGTCGCCCCCCTCTTTTGTTTCGTGACAAACTGCTTCCTTCTATCCGCATTGCTTTGCCCTAAACTCTGACCCCCCACCCACCTGGTGGCCCACAGCCTGTGAAGTGCGGCGCTGCTGCCGCGCTGCGAGGCATCCAGCAGTTCATCGTGGCAGCAGCGCACGAACCGCACCACCGCCTGGTGGCGAGGGGGCATGAGGCATGCGGGGTGCCGCAAAGCAGATAGACGCAGCGCAGCAGCAGTGCTGTCAATGGCAGGGCGCTGGTGATGAAACGAGTAGAGGATGAACTATTCCCGGAGTATACGACTGTGGTCCAGGCTCGGACAGACAGGCTAGTTCGTGGTTTCCTACGGTGTGGTCTTCCTAAATTTTACCCCTCCCGGCCCCGCCCACCTGCGGCTGGTAGTCCAGCCACCAGACCAGGTCCTCCCGCGTGTGCCGCAGGTAGGCGGAGCTGCACCGCACGGAGCGGTGGCCCGCTGCTGCCAGCCCCAGCGCGTAGGTAGCCTGTGCGTGGGGGGTGTTGGTGAAGGGGAGGGTCAGTGGGAACTCTTGGAACAGTCGCCACAGCGCTTCTGGGTGCATGCTGTTGCTAGGGCTTGGTAAGCGCCCTCACCCCAGCAACCCGCCTACCCCGCCCTACCCTGCCGTACCCTACCTCGGCGAACCGCTCGAAGCAGCGGTCCAGCAGCTGCCGACTGGCCACGTCACCCGGCAGCAGCCGCGCGGACTGCAGCACACAGAAGCGGGGGGACGGGGGGTTAATATGGATGAAGATTCCGCATTAAGCTGGATTTTAGGATTGCGCATAGTCAAATTTGTTGGGTTAGTATCAGCAGCACAAGTACAAGACGGGGGGGAGATGAGGACGAGGAGGGTATAGGTACCGGTATGCGCAGAGGCTTATGGATTGCTGACGCGCCAGGCATCAATGACAGCGGTTAACACCAACACCTAGCGACCCACCGACCCAGCCCATGGGGCTCACCCTGGTGGCTTCCTTCCCAGCCTCGAAGGCCGAGCGGAAGGAGGCCGCAGCGGCCAGGTCGCCGTACAGCGTCCGCCAGCTGCCCTGGTTGGCTTTGACGACGTCAGCGGCGTCAGTAGCAGAAGCTTTGGTGCAGTCGGGCCATCTGTGCAGTCACGGCAAAATATGATCGCTGCGTTGGGGTAAGAGTGTGCAGAAAGCCGAGCTGGGCAAGGCGCAATGGGCCGTTATAACAATCAACGAACCCCACCTTGCTAAGCAGTGCTGGCGCCAGAGGTTCTCGTTGTCGTACACGAGGTCTCGGCAGAACTTGTCCTGCACCCATATGTAAGCGGCATGCAGTCACAAGCACAAGTGCTGGCAGGTTTGGTAGAGTTGATGTTGGGGTACAGGTATGCTTGCACTGCATTAAAGTGTGTTATGGAGAAACGCATGCTAGTAGGGTGAGCGCTGGTTAGGGTCCGAAGGGGGAAACTGATGCTAACAGTCTGAAGAGGCCAAACAAAGTCGACAGACGTTCTTTACACATTGCAGCTTTGTGATATTCTTCTGGTGTTCATATACAAGTTCAGCGGAGCCATAGACGGTATCTTTCTTGCAAACTTACAAGGAAAGCGACCGACATGTCAACACCTCAGCATGCCTTAAATTAGGCCATCTATCACCCAGGACTTACCACGAGGGACAGCTTAACCATTCCACGAGGACCCAAATGGCTGCGGCATTGCGCAAGTCAGCAAGCTTAGCCATGGCTAGACGTCCGAAAGGTGTTTACTATTTGCGAAAGAAAGAAAACAGTTTGGGCCGTACCGTAATACATCAACGAATAAGTCTCGCGGAAATTGTTGCGCATAGTCCGCGCTGGCTTGCATGTTTGCCTGGCGAAAGCCCTAACCCAAAAGAGTATGCTCCAAAGATAGTATGGTTGAGGCGCTGCATTCAGAGGGTAGGCCGCGCTCTTCGAATACCAGTTAGGAGTTTCCCTGTACTTTTACAGATGACTTGCACGACAGCGACTGGACGAGAGGCCTGTGCTGACGCATACCCAGGCCACCTCTTAGCTATATGCTGGAGATTTGTATCCCTTCACCTAGGGTTAGCCTTATAACAGGTATTTTACGTACTCGGCTGTGGTCGGCAGTGCCGGCATCTCTACGATGGTGGAAGCTGGCGACCTACGCCATGAAATTGTCGATGAGGAGGACACAGGCATTCCCCTCCTTCACATCTACTTGCCGGAAGGAGTGTCGTCAAGGTGGACCCAGGGATCTTAACACAGATCTATGGGCGTGGATGCCAAAGTCAGCTTTGGCATTTTCGTGATCAAAACGTTCTGCTTGACCTGTCTGATCTTTTGTTGAGGAGTCGGAAATGCTTGCCCGATGGCTTTAGCTGACAAAATTGCGCCGCCCTAATTTGCTGTCCCAAACAGCGATGTGGACATTTCACAGGGCAGCAATCCTAACGTGGCAGAAGTGTTTGTCGAACATGTCACGACCGAGCGGATTCTGGGCATGATTGAGTTGCCAGGTGCGTGCATGCGAAGCAGCAAGCCTGGCCAGTTACCTGGAAATCTATGGCTGCGCGCAGAAAGAGCTTGGAAAGAGCTTGGAATGCCTTAGAGTGCTATTGTCTGAGGCATGGCGATAAAAGGCCAAGGGAACCCAAGTGCTCCTCGCGAGTCCGCCGTTGGTTGAGTCGGATGAGTTTCGGTATTGGCTACGGCCGGTTCTCTCAGGTTTCTCGCCCCATGTCCGCTGTCCTGCATGTCCATAGATGGCATCGCCATTATGCACAAGCCGTCCTTGCAATGTGTTGAACTGTCCATGTCTTGTTCTGCCTCAATGCCCAAGCCTCTCTCCCGTGGCCTTCATCCCGCCTATCCATGCCACCCTCACCGGCTTACCCACGGTGCCCCCCGCATGCATCCTCACCTCGCCCCTCCCACCAGGCTTCCAAGTCGACCCGGACAGCAGCGTTCGGTCCAACAAGAAGCAGCGGCGCCTCACCATAACGTACGGCCCTTCACGGACCCACCCTGTCTATTTGCGTTGTCCTGGTGTGCATGTGCCACACACACGGGTTAGTGGGGTCAGCTGCAGAATGCACCTTTTGTCGCAAGCCGGTGCTAGTCATTGTTGTCAAATACGTGATAGTACATGCCATTTCCTGCCGTATTTCGTACCCCAGGCTTGTCCGTGTGGAGCAACCGGCCGAGCCTGCGGCGCCAGCAGCAGCACCCGCGGAAGCACCAGGAGCAGAAGCAACAGAGGTGGAGCCAGCAGCCCCCGCTGCCGCCGTCTCCGAACCCGCAGCAGCAGCACCTCCCTCCTCTTCCCCTACATCGCCTGCCAAGGCCGACAGCATTGCGGTCGTGAAGCCGCCGTCTCCGCCTCCCGCTGCCGCCACAAGCAACATCTTTGGCATTCTTGATAACGATGACGTGTCTGACGGAGAGGAGGCGGAGGCGGGTAACGAGGGCGAGGGCGGTGCGGCGGGTAAGAAGAAGAAAAAGAAGAACAAGAAGAAGAAGGGGAAGAAGGGCGGCGCGGAGGGCGGCGAGGGAGCAGGAGTGGCAGCGGCCAATGGTGATCACGGTGCTGCTGCTGCTGCTGCCGAGAGCGGCGATGAGGAGGAAGTAGTGGCAGCGACAGCGGCACCTGCTGCTAATGCCGCCGCTACTGAGGGCGCTGCTGCCGCCGCTACTGAGGGCGGAGCCGCGAAGAAGAAAAAGAAGAACAAAAAGAAGAAGAAGGGCGGCGCGGCTGCTGCTGCCGGTGGTGCCGCTGCTGCTGCAGGAGAGGATGCGGCAGCAGCAGCGGAGGAGGAAGATGAGGAGGAGGAAGAAGCTGCTGCTGCTGCTGCTGCTACCCCGCAACCGGAGGCGAATGGAGCTGCTGAGGAGGAGCAGAAGGCCGCGACGGAGGAGCGCGGCCAGCAGGGGGATAAGGACAAGGCAACTGCGCCAGCACCTGCTGCTGCACCAGCAGCTGCACCTGCAGCCACCTCGCCTCCCCTCAAGGAGGGAGGCGGCTCCCGGGCGCTTACTGTGGACCTGGAGGCGGATTTCGCGGAGGCGCCGTACGGCAAATTCGAACTGGGTCGTACTCTGGATTACGACCCGCTGCTTGGACCTGCCGTACTGCACGGCCTGGGCAAGGTGCAGGTCAAGGGGGAAGACAAGTGGCTGGAGGTGAGAGGGGGAGGAGGAGGGGGGAAAAAATTATATAAAAGTGAAACAACAAATCCCAATCCCATATCCCGACTCATGCAGTGAGCGCATTCGGAAGCACTAATAACACGCAGGGGGAGGGTTACGGGGTATGTGACACGGAGAGAGGGCGGGAATGCAGCCCTCTCGCACTACGCGTACAGGGGGAATGCGGCCTTCGTAGCAATGCCGCTAAACAATGAGCACTTCCTGAGCTTCGGGGTCCCACATCGTCCCCCACAGCACATGTGCGTCATTCCACATGCAATGCCATGTTGCTGCTGCTGCTTCCCTCCTGCAGGCGCCCACAAACGCATGGCACCTGGAGGGCTTCGAAGGTGCGTCCATTGTTGAACGACCCATGGGTCTTGCTCTCAATGCGCTTCGTCCATCGTCTTGTGTGACAACATGATGCAGCACCCGACGCGCGCTGCTCCCGCCGCAGCCCTCACTTCCCCTGCACTCTTCACCCTGCCCTCCCTGCCCTCCTTCCTCCCCTAAACCCAACCCCCTACCCTACCCAAACCAACCCAAACCCAACTCCCAGACGCCGTGACCTCCGTCTCCGCCTTCGGTATCTTCGACGGCCACGGCGGCCGCGGCGGTTCTCAGCACGCCGCCAAGCAGCTGCTGCCGCTGGTGGCCTCCTTCGCGGAGCGCGCCAAGGGACCGGAGGTGCCGCTGGTCAGTGGGGAGGCGCTTCGGGCGGAGGGGTACCTGGGGGGGCAGCAGCAGCAGCAGGAGGGGGAGCAGCAGGAGGAGCAGGAGGGCGGTGCAGAGGCGGCGTTGCGGCGGGCGCGGATCGCGGCGGCGCAAGATGCGCTGATTGCCCGGTTGCCCAAGGTGGGTGCGGGTGGATGGGACGGTGAGTGGATGGGACGGTGGGTGGGTGGGACGGTGGGTGTGGTGTGATGTGATGTGGTGTGATGTGATGTGTGTCAGGCGGCAGGCGGGCGATCCCTCATGCAGCTGGTTGGGGAACTATGGGCGGTGTGGGGGGTGGGTGGGGGATGTTGGGAGCCAAGGGGTGTTGGCAGCGAGGGGCTGCGTGTTGGGGAGGAGTTCTCGGTCCGAATTGGGTTGGTGCGGGAGGTGGCAGAGGAGTGCTGGGCGCGCGAGCCGGGTTGCCCTATGTGGGGTTGCTTGTATTGTGTGGGGTCGCATGCTTTCCTCCGCGACTAAAAGAGCCTCACCTGCCCGCCTGCCCGCCTCCCGCACCCAAACACACACACACGCACACGCAAAACACACGCAGGCCCTGCACGCCGGCTTCGTGCGGTGCGACGAGGAGGTGATGACGCGGCACAAGGCCTGCGGGACAACCGCCACACTGGCCGTACAGGTGGGAGTGGGTGGATAGTTGGTTGGGGGTGGGAGTGGGTGGGTGTGGTGGTTGGTTAGGTGGGAGTGGTGGGTGGATAGTTGGTTGGGTGTGGGTGGGTGGGTGGGTGGGTGGGGAAGAAGAAGCAGCAGCGTGGTGCGTACCAGCAAGCAAAGGCGTTGGGTTCGTTACGCTGCTCCTTCTGTGGTGCTCTTCCTTTGGCTACCTGCCTAGTTGTGCGCACCCCTTTTCGGGGGGGCACACGTGACGGCACCCCTGCCGTCTCCTATCCCCTTTGCTTTACCCTATCCTGTGGTTTCCTACGTTTTGGGCTGATCTTCCCCCCCTCCACCCCTCCTCCACCCTCCCCCCAGGTCGGTTGGGAGCTGCTGGTGGCCAACGTGGGCGACAGCCTGGCCTACCTGGACACCGGGTCGGAGATCGTGGTGGTGGGTGGTGGGTGGTGGGTGGGGGGGGTAACACATGAAGAAGCTGACGAGGCAACTGACGGGCTGGGGGGTTGGGGGAGGGTGGTTGTTGACATTGCGGAGCGGCCCTGCTGCTGGGGATGCTGGGGGAGTGGAGGTTGTGGGGGCAGTGGCGGCTGGGTGATGGCGGCCGGTGTTGGCAGAGCCCCCACGCCGACGATATATCCCGCCCCATCCGCCCACCACCACCACCACGTCAAGGCCGCCTCTCCTCCCTTGCGATGCCCAGCATGCAGCCTGCCTGCCCCAGCCTGCCTGCCTGCCCCAGCCTGCCTGCCTGCCCCACCTGCCCCCCTGCCCTCCCCCCCTCACATTGTGGTTCTGGTATACCTCTGCCCCCCCCCTGCCCCCCCATCCCCGCACAGATCAGCGCCAACCACCGGGTGGCTGAGAACCCGGAGGAGCAGCAGCGCATCCTGGCGGCGGGGGGTGAGGGGGGGTGGGGTGGGGGAGGGAGCGTGTGTGGCAGACAGAGGAGGAGAAGGAGAGTAGGGGGGAGGGCAGTCTGAGGAGCTTCCTCTACGTTGTGCATATCATTCCTCTGCTTATGGGTTATGTGTCGCCGTAACAGTTATGCTCCTTGCCGCTCCCACGCATTCTCTCCTGTAACCCCGTACTCCCGTACCACTCCGGCCCCCCCAGGCCGTCTCAAGCCCGCCAAGTACGGCGAGGATGACGAGGACCCGCAGGAGGCCACCCCCGGCTCCTCCTCCGCCCCCGGCTCCCAGCAGGGCCAGCAGCTGCGCGTGTGGCCCAGCGGTATCAACATGACGCGGACCATTGGTGGGTGGTGCGGGGGGTGGTGGTTGGGGGCGGGGGGAGAAAAGAGAATAGAGAGTGAGTGATTGGGTGGTTTGGAGGAACACGCTGGGCTACCAGGTAAAGATATTTGAAACCTAGGCGGCAGTTGGGGCCTGAACGCCTGATTAGGCAGCACCCTCAGTCAACATTGCGGCCGCATTAAGAAGCAGCAGGGAAGCGTGTCTCGGTTCAGGTGTGTTGTTGGGTCACCCCCCCTTCCTGACACCTCCCTCCTCAAACGCTGCTGCACTGCGTTGCTGCCCCCCTCCCACCCCAGGTGACGAGAAGGGCAGGGGGCTGCTGATTCCAGATCCCGCGGTACGGCAGATCTCGCTGCCGGTCACCGGCGCCCGCCTCATCATCGCCAGTGATGGGTTGTGGGATGCGGTGAACGCCAAGACAGTCATTGGCCAGGTGTGTGGGTGTGAGGGTGTGGGGAGCGGTTAGGGTGGGCGGAGGGGTGTTAGGGTTGTGGCGCAAGCACACAAAAACCCTCGCCTTGCTCCCTCCACCATCCCTCCCATGCTGCACCCCCCTGCCCTGGCCCCCCCCCTGCCCCCCTGTTTCACTTATATAATTTTTTGCCCCCCAGCTCCGCACCTGCAACGCCCGCGAAGCCGCCTCCAAGGCCGCCGTCTACGCCATGCGCAACAAGCGAGCTGACGACGACGTAACGGTGGTGGTGGCGGACTTCTTGCCGCGACGCGAGGAGACGCATGTGCCCGGGCTGCTGAAGAGACCCAGCGGGCCGGCGGCGGCGGCAGCGGCGGCGCTGGCGGCTGCGGGCCTGCGCGAGGAGCGGGCGGCTCAGGCTTGGAGGCCGCTGGAGACCCCGTCTGAGAGCTGGAGGTGGGCGGGAGGAGGAGGGGGTGCGGGTTGGGGACTAGCATGGGGAACATTTCGGAGGGGGAAGAAGTGCGTTGTGTATGCGGAAGGAAGAGGAAGGGAAAGGGGAAGGAGAAGGGAAAGAGGCACCCGCCCGCCATTTCCTCACCCTACACCGAACCCCTCCCGCCCCGCCCCCCCCCCCTCAGGGAGCGCCACCGCGCCCACCGGCACCGCGCCGCTGCCTACCTGCACCAGCTGGCGGCGGCGGAGGCGGCGGCGGCGGAGGCAGCGGAGGCGGCGGAGCGGCAGCGGCGCATGGCGGTGGCGCCCGCCGCCGGTACGGCAGGTGTGGGTACGGCAGTACGGCTGCCCCCGGTGTCTGACACGTACCGGGAGCTGGCGGAGTTGAAGATCACGGATGAAGTGTGAGTGCGACCGTACTGCGGGCGCTTGCGTTTTGTGGGGGATAGCCTTGTTTATGAATTAACATCCGGGCAGTTGGGGGTCTAACCACCGGTAGTCTTGTTCCCGACCCGACCCGAGCTAGGGGCGTTCATATGCGGTCTGCACTATGGCTGTTTGCGGCATGTGCGACATGCGGAGTGCTTTGCGGCGTGTACCCTGCAACCTGTTGTAAGCCTCTTGTGTAACACGGGGGCCATGGTACTTCGGAACCCGCAGGTTCGAGGCAGCGATGCGCTCCGAACCCACCACCGACGCGGCTGCGGAGCAGGATGCGGAGGGCAGCTGGGACACCGTGGCGGGCAAGAAGAAGAAGGACGGAGGCGCGGGCAGCAACCTGCAGAAAGCGCTCCTGAGGGCTGCACGGCCCAGCGCGCAGGCGGCGGGTGGCGGCGAGGGCGGGCGACGGGATCGGCGGGATCGGGAGCGACGGGATCGAGACCGGCCGCCGCCGGCGCGGCGCGGCGAGCATGAAGGTGCCGCCGGCGGCGGCGGCGCTGCCCCAAGCGGCGGCCAGGAGGCTGAAGCGGCGACGGCGGCAGGGCAGGCAGAGCAGCCTCAGCAGCAGCAAGGGGAACAGAGGCCGCCGCGGCGTGAGAGGGGCGATCGACGGGATCGCGGCGGGCGAGGGCCCCGCGGCGGCGGCGGCGTGACAGAGGCAGCTGGCGGCGGCGGCGGCGTGGCGGCGGGGGCGCCACCTGGTGTGGTCAAGTCAGGGACCTTGCTGGTCGTCCCCAAGTCCTTGTTGTCCGGCGGAGCTCCCGCCGCCGCCGGGATGGCGCCGGCGCCGGCAGCGGCAACTGCCCCTGCCGTTAGCGAAGGAGTCGCTGCCAGCGCTGCGGACGCATCCGCCGCGGCGCCGGCGGAGGGCGCCGACGGCGGCAGGCCGCGGCGGGAACGGCCACGCCGGCCCCGGCGTGGCGCCTCGACACAGCCGGGTGACGCCGCGGAGGCAGCGGAGGACGCGGGTGACGCAGACGGCGCCGCCGCCGCTGCCGAGGAGGCGGCAGGCGACGCTGCCCAACCTCAGCGCTCAGCCGGATCCCGTCGTTCGCAACAAAGGAAGGCGGCGAAGCAGAGGGAAAGGGAAGCCGCCGCCGCTGCGGCCCCAGCGGACCTCCCCGCGACCTCCTCGACCGACCCCGTGGTCACTCCCAGACCGACGGCCGCCGGCTACAACCCGCGCCCGCAGCACTCCCAGCCGCCCCAGCGACAACAACAACAGCAGCTGCAGCAGCAACAGCAGCAGTACCGCGCTCCCGAGGTTGTTGTGACGCAAACCCAACAGCAGCAACCGCCGCCGCAGCAGCAGCAACACTCCCCTCGCAGGTCGGCGGCCGCACAGCAGGCTCCCGTTGCCGGAACCAGCTACCACCAGCAACACGTGCCTGCGGCGGCGGCGGCGCCGCCGCCAGCCGCCATGCCGACGTACGCGGGTCCGATGGATTTCGGCGCCGGTTTTGGAGCTGGTACCGCCCCCGCTGGATCTGCTGCATGGCCGCCGGCCGTCGGCGGGCCTGGCGCCGGTCAGTACGGCGGCTTCGGCGCTGTGGGTGCGGATGCGCCAGCGCCGCATGGCAACAGGGGCGACGCGGCAGCGGCGGCGGCTGCCGCAGCAGCTGCCGCTGCGGCGGCGGCAGCCATGCGGAGGCCGGTGACAGCTGGTGGTAGTGGTGGTGGTGGTGGCAGCGGCGGCGGCGGACGGGGTGGTGGATATCGCGGTCAGGCGGGTCAGTACGCTGCAGGACGGGCTTGAGTTGCAATCTGTAGTACGGGCTTGAGAGTTGCAATCCAATTGTCGTACGTTCGAGGGTCGCACATAAAGCGCAATTGGGAAGGGTTTCAGCTCCGGGACAGTGCATGTACCTCCGAGTTTATACATGTAGGCTGCCATGTTGCTGTTGGCGGTGCTGGCATTCCCTGTTTTGACAACGCAGAGCGCTTCCCTGGTGTAGGTGCTAGTGGTGTGGGGTGGCGGCGGTGGTAGCGCCAAGTGTGTTGTGTGTCAGTCGCAATCGCCCCTGCAATCTAATGCGGGCGAGAGCAGTACGCTATTATATGTTCTAGGTTAGTGTACAATTGGTTGTGGCACGCACGGAGGTGGGAGCTTTACCATCCACAATGCTAATGTTCGGTTGCCGCAAACAGGGCTTTTCCACCTGGTTTCAGGGTTGCTATCTAAACCCGCGCACGTATTGTAGGTATTGGGGGGGCAATGCAAAGGGGTCCTTGCCCAAATGACGTTCCTTTGGGCAAGCTACAAGAAGCCCCTGTTTTGTACGGATTGTACTGGGCTTCACTCGTGTAAACCCATACGGTGTCACGTGAGGCACCGCACGTTCGGCATAAACGGCTGCGGCATAAAGACGAGGTTTCGTACTCAGTGGGTTGTCGTGCAGGTAATGTGATGTATTGCGCCGGAGACTTACATTGCCCTGCTGCTGTATTGCCTGTTCCATGCGCAGCTGCGTACGAGACACCTTACACACACGTTCGTGTGTTGTCGCCCCTTTCGCTCGCTATTTGAGTCGCAGAGCGGTGGCTGGCGATGACATATCCCTGGTAAGAGTATTAGGGGTATTCGGTAGCGCGTTTACACGATAGGTATACCGGTATAACTCCTCCCAGGTGTTTGCCAAGCTCGACTAAGACCCCGACACATACATATCTGTGACTCGCCACCGACACCCATTTCCGCAATAGTTCCAAGGATTGCCGTACACAACTCCGCCCGCACGGTTCTCGAACGCACATGTCACCAGTTGGCGACGGTGGCTGCTGTCACGGTCTTCTCCCGCTCCCGGAATGTGGTGTGCAGCAGCTGCCGAGCTGCCGGCGACCCGGGTCGGCCGCCCAGCCAGTTGCCGTACAGCGCCACCACCGCCGGGTTGTCGGCGGGGCTGCGGGCTGCCACATCCTGCGGGGGGCAACCGGCGGGGCAACCAGAAAGGAGACAAAGCGTTTCACATGTGAGTGGGTTGCAGCTTCCTCTCTCCCCTCCCGAGCCGCCCCTTTTGAGACATCCAGAAACACGGAGACAGGCAAGCAGCAGACAAGGAAGGGAGAGCAATGCTCACACACACTCCGCGACCCACGGGTCGTCACACCGCCCACAAGACACACACACACACACATCTCCGCACGCTATACCGGTACATCAAACACCGCACATCGCACCCACCGAGTGTGCATACACCGCCTCCAGCTGCTCGATCAGCTGCTGCGGAGTGACCCCTGGACCCGGCTTGACCTGCCCGCCGCCATTGAGGCAGCCGCTGGGGCATGCCATCACCTCCACGTAGTGGTAGCTGCAGCGGCCCATCTTGATCTGATGAGGGTGTGGTGTGGGGGTGTGTGGGGATGTGAGGGGATGTGGATACGTCAAGACACAACGGAGGAGGCAATCATGTGACAGGGTGCCCCCAGGAACACCTCCAGGAACACCTCCAGGAATCTAAGATCCAATACCAGTATACACCACGCAAGCAGGTCATCAACTTGCAGGACCGTCCTGCAAGTCACGCACAACTCAGCTGCCCTCCGTCCCACACATCATTCACCGCAACCTCCTCCCTCCCTACGTCCTGGCCCCCTCCGCACCTGTCGCAGAAGCGTCTGTATGTTCCGGAAGCCGTACACCCGTGCGAAGCGCAGTGACCCCTGGGTCGCTTGGCCGCTGGTGGAGCTGTTGGCTGCAGATGATAACGATGACGATGACGATGCCCCTGTTGTCAAGTCCAGCGACAGCTCCTGCGCGGCAGCCGTGCACATGGGCCCACACGTGAAGCTCGAGGCGTTCGGCCAGGGAGCGAGGCAAACTAGGGCACCGTAATGGTGGTGGTGCTGGTGCAGGTGACGGCGGTGGCGGCCCAACAGATCTTCTACCCCATGCCATCCTGACCCGTGTGCAGCCCCTAGCAACGAACGGAAACCCCTTCCAACCCTTCTTAGCTTCCTATGTTGTGCACACACGCAGTGTGTACAACACCGGAGACTAAGGCTTGCACCCCTACCACCAGGTCTAGACAACCCCTACCACCACCCCACTACCTGGAAGTCCGCATTCCGCAACGTCCTCCAGGGCAGGGCACCCGGCGGCACCTCCAACCCGCACAGCTCCCTCGCCGCCACTCGGAACACGAAATCCGCGTAACCGCCGCTGCTGCTGCCGTACTGCAACCCGTACAGCTGCGCATCGGGGCCCAGCCCCGGCAGCAGCGGGTCAGGCGCCGCTGCGGGAGCGGCTGGGTGCGCTAGAAGCAGAGCTCCGGTACCGTTGGTGCTGCTACTGCTACTGCCGCTAGCGCCGATGATGCTGTTGTTGCTGCTGCTGGTGTCGGTGGCTGCCTGGGTGTCGCAGCACGGCGGCGGGCGCTGCTGCAACAGCTGCAGGACCTCCCCGGTGGTGAGGCAGCAGTCCACCTACGAAGAGTGTACCATACCGCACCGTACAAGTAGGCAAGGTGGATGTGGTGCGCGGTGAATCATCAGTTCACCATGTGTGTGTGTTTTCGGTGTGTTTTCGGTGAAAAGCGAGATGAACATAAATGGACCGGGGCTCTATACGCCATTCGTCAGCAACCCCAACGGCAACCCCAACCGCAACGGCAACCGCTACCAACACACGGCTTGTACCTCTGGGATCTTCGCGGCGCCTTGTTGGCCGTCGCCACCATCAACCACCATGCTGTCGTCGTCCGTTGCCGCACCAACCGACGAGCCAACGGCACCAACCGTCGTGACCGTTGTCGTGAGCTCGTCTCGGGATGCCTCGAGCTTTTTATCGTAGCACGGCATGACGGTTACATGGTATAGTGACCCAGGGGTCACTCCCCAGGCGTTTGCTACCAACGACTTGACTAGGCCGCCCATGGCGCCCTGAGGGCTGCGAGTGGATGAGAGGTGCGGTAGCACACGCGACCCGTGGGTCTTTTCCGCGTAGCAGACCCATCCTGCGGTCAGGAACGGTCAAACCTGCTATGATGAGACTGAGTCGGTTAGTCGGCAGCTACAGACGACTCCTCCACTAGGCAATGCCCGTGAATCCCACCGCGCATGCGCCCTCACCAGCCCCTTCCCTGCGGCTTCTTTCCCGATAGCCTTCCGACAGAAACCACCGGCATGAGTGCCTGTCTTCTTCCGTGAAGCGGTTCACTTCCACGCAACCCCCCCCCCTGATGTCCTCGCTCACCGGGGCACGATGACGCCATCACAGGTAGCGGCCCGGAGGCAGCAGCACCCGCAGCAGAACCAGCAGCATCGCCGCTGCTACCAGCGCCTCCCGCCTGAGTTGCCCGGTACCTGCGCCACACACGCACAGGGCGCAACATGATGGCACCAATCGCAGCAAACACATGCAACCCCTTTACTCCTAATCCATAAACGCAGCCCAAGACACGCTCATCTGTCTCTGCCCCCTTGGCGACCCACGGGTCACCGGGCTCCCCACCTCTCCACGAACTCCGCTGCCTCCTCCAGTAGCACGCAGTCGCGTGCCGTACCCAGGTCCCACACCGCCCGCACCCCCAGCCACTTGAACCACCCGGCTAGCCGGGCGAGGCAGGTGGCGGGACTCAGACCAAAGTAGGCTGGGGAGGGGAGTGAAGGGGTGGGTGGGGTGGGATAAGGGCCATCAGTCCAGGTCTATGGGACACCGGCATACAGAGCAGCTAAAGACCAAGAGGTATGATGGGAAGGCACCTCAGCCCGCACCTTGCCCTCCTTCACAACCCCCTCATTCAGAGCCCCCTAACACACCCACGCGCCGTACAAACCCCTCCACAAACCAACCCACCACCACCTTCACCCGCCCCACCCACCCGCCCCACCCACCCGCCCCACCCACCCGCCAGCGCGGCTCGCGACTGTGGCGACACGGTGACCACCACCGCGACCCGCGGGTCGGCCAGCTTGGCCAGGAACTCCCCGCTGCTCTGCTGCTGCAGCAGCACCGTCTCCGCGGAGGTAATGCAGCCGCTGCATGCCAGGCAGTCGTGCAGGGAGACCTGGAGGGTGGAGGAGGAGGAGGCGGAGGAGAGACGGGAGGGAAAAACAAATAAGTGAAACAACGGGGGGGGGGGTAAATAAGGAGCAGGGCGGGTATCATGGGAAGAACGCTCGCAGCCCCCCTCACTCTAACCCTCCGAACTCCCCCCTTCCCCAGCCAGGCCAGTCCATTCCTCTCTCACGTACCTTCACGGGGTCTCCTAGCGGCGGAGTGGCGCCGTGGCCTCCACCTCCTTCTAGTCCTTGTTGCTGCTGCTGTTGCTGCTGGCGGAAGCCGGCGGTCCGAGGCCGCACCTGGACCTCCTCGGATAGAGCTGAGGAGGTCTGGGTTGCGGACGCAGAGGGGAGGGGAGCCGGGCTTGGGAGGGAGGACGACGCGGAAGGAAAGAGATAGGAGGGCAAGCAGTGGCAGGCTCTGGATGCATGCCAACTCTTAACGCGTCCTGACAGGGGCTTAGCTAGTGGGCTAGCTTCATGGAATACCGAGGTAAATGCTGTGGCTGGCAAAGCCACAAAGAACCGACGCCGCTAGATGGACGGGTCCGGATGGGTAAGGCAGCCAGCGCCGTATGCCTACCTCGTTAGCCCGTATCTTTCCATTCAATGCCACAACGCAATCCTGGGAAGGGGCGATGTAATCGTTCAAGTCGCCCACGCGAATGGTCGATGAGAACTCCATCTACCTACGGCCGTTCGAAACGGCTCAGCACGATGTGGTCTCGGTATACGGCGGGAAAGGTGATGTTAAGATAGGCAGCCGTTTACGTTTGTCCCGCCGCTGTGCTATGTGTCAGGTTCGGTGGTTCTGGGGCAAGACAGTTAAGCCGCCAGCACAGCATAGGTTACTTCTTAGTACGCAAAAGTATATGTCGCTATGGACTTTATACAGTTGTTATTAGTGATCTTGGGCTGTGTATGACGTTGAGGACATGTGGCAACCCAGTTCGATCGCGCCAATTAGCTTCCTTCCGTTATGAAGTGCTTACTGACGTCTTTCTCCGAATCACATGCAATTTACATAGCCTGTCAATCTGAATGCTGTTCTGTGTTAGCGGCGAGCGTAGGCCAGCCTTGACGCGACCCATCCATTCGTCGGGAACTCCTGCCTGCCTTACCTACACCCAATGCAGACACGAACCATATGCAGCATTTAAACTGAACTGGGTCACTGAATGCCGGGACGCTAGGAATCCAACTGTCACAGCGGCTTGCTCGCATGCCACATCACCATTCGGCCAATCCGCAGCTGCAGTTGCCGTCCTCCCCCATTACCATCCCGCCCGGCGCCTTATCATCACCTGTGCTGGACCACGACTCGACGGCCGTGAAAGCTTTGACAACAGTCATGCGGGTATGCAGCCAATGTCCGCTTGCACATCTCGCCATCCAACGTGACGCACACGCCAAGCTCACCCAACTCTGTCACACAACCGCCTAAGCTTTCCCATCACCCGATCCCGACCTCACGCATTTCTTGTTTACAGGTACCGGTAGCGTATTCAGTTACGCGACGCAGCTCTACAACGGCACTCAACCGCTGCACATCGAGGGCATCCCGCACAGCTACGCATGGGTGCCGTTCCGGGGGGCCCTCTACCTGCCGCTGTGGCTGCCCAACGGCCACCACGAGTGGTGGCGGCTGCGACGGGTGCCCAAACCGGTGCCCAGGGAGGTGATGGTGGGACCCTGGACCGCAGCGGAGGGGGCGGCGGAGGATGCGGCGGAGGGTGACAGTAACGTCCTCCAATCCTCAGGGACGGACCAACCCACCAGCAGCAGCAGCAGCAGCAGCAGCAGCATGGGGCAGTTCACAGCTGCATCCATTCGGACTGCGGAAACTGCATCGGCAGCGGCGACCGTTGCTGTTGACACTGGCATGGTGTTCGCACGTGCGGCAGCAGCAGCGGCAGTGGGGGGAGCCACGGCAGCACCCGCGCTAGCAGGGGAGGCAGCGAGAAGGGCAGGAGCAGCGGAGGAAGGTGACGGGGAGGGCGAGGAGGAGGCGCATGAGGGAGGGGAGGGCGAGGAGGATGAAGGCGAACAGGAGGAGGAGGAGGACGACGAGGAGGAAGAGCCGGAACCTGTTGTGAGACCGAAACCGCACTTCGGTCGGTTGTTTATGACGGGCGGGTCTATCCCGGTGCGTGAGAGGACGCTCCCGAATCTGCCACCGCCGCCATTTCCTCTACCGCCGCAAAGGTTGGCGTCACCTACACCACCACCGCCGCTACCTGCAGCGACCACACAGTCTTCATGTCCCACGGAGGATGGGGAGGGCGGCAAGGAGGGAGGAGAGGAGGGTGAAGAGGAGGAGGCGGACGAGCAGGAGGGGGAAGAGGAGGGCGAGGAGGAGGAGGGCGAGGAGGAGGAACCGAAACTCACGGCTAGACCGAAACCGCAGTTCAGTCGGCTATTTATGACTGGCGGGGCCATCCCGGTGCGTGAGCGGACGTTGCCAATGCCTGTACCGCCACGATCTTCATCTCTTCCAGAGCCGGCGTCACCAGCACAGCCGCTGTCATCTGCATCGACCTCGGTGCCATCAGTTCCCACGGAGGGCGGGGAGGAGGAGGAGTTGGAGGATGCGGACGGCCAGGAGGACGATGAGGATGAAGGCGAAGAGGAGGAGGAGGAGGAGGAGGCGGAAGAGGAGGGCGAGGAGGAGGAAGAGCCGGAACCAGTGCCGCGGCCGAAACCGCACTTCGGTCGGCTATTTATGACGGGCGCGGCTGTCCCCGTGCGTGAGAGGACACTACCTCATCTGCCGCCGCCGCCGCCACCGCCAGAGCCGTCGTCACCAGCACAGCGGCCGTCACACGCAGCGACCTCCACGTCTCTGGAGCTGTCAACCACCGCCACCGCAGCGGCAGGGGGAGCAGTAACTGCGACACCAGCAGCAGCAGCGGGAAGGCCAGCGGGGGCTGCCTCCGCGTACCCTTCTGGTCCGATGAGGGCGGGAGTTCCCGGAAGGCCGGCGGAGGAGACCTTGCATGGCCGGAATGAAGATGGCTGGGGAATGGGTGGAAGGATGCCAGACCCGTCTCCTGAACCGCACGACGGCAAAGACCTCGCCCCAACACGGTCAGTAGCGGAGCAGGCCATCGAGGCGGCGCGGGCAGCTGCGGTCGCGCGGGCTGCTGCCAGGGGCCTCGGACCCCTGGCGCTGGGAGGTGGCAGCAGCAGCAGCAGCAGCAGCTCGGCGTGTGCGGGTCGGGAGCACTACTGGGAGCTGGCTGTGAGCTGCTACGGCCAGAGAAGCAGGCGTGCGGAGCGGCTAACAAGGTAGGGCTGGTGGGCTCTGGGATCTGGGCTGGGGGCTGGGGGATAAAGAGGAAGAAATTAACCGACCATGTGAGGACATGGCTTGTCCGGGGGGGTGCTGGCTGGTTGGATGTGGCCAAACGCTGCATGATGCGCTGACCGGCTAGCTGCTACTTATAGCGGTGGGGGGCCACGCGAGGGAGCAACCTCCGGTCCCTGCTGATCAAGTCCTGGCGATGACTACATATGGTCATAAGCTGGGTATATCATTAACATGTGCGAAAGGCTTTGCAAGGAGCTGTGGCAACGTATGGCTGCCGCTGTGTGTGCCCCCAACCTAAGCTCCACACCTCCCTGCCTTACTCTGCTTCCGCCACTCCGCCATCTCACGCTTTACCCGCCGTGTTGTTCTTGTCCACGTTCCGCACGCAGGTGGCACCCAGTCTGCAGCTTGCCCGGTGGCGACCTGCCGCTTGCAGCAGCCCTCTTGAAGGCCGAGGACCGGCTCCAACGGCTCTTCCGGGAACCCTGGAGCCCTCCCTCCGCTGCTGCTGTTGCTGCTGCTGCAGCTGCTGGACACACAGGAGACTTGGTGTCAGTCGCTCCGCCAACCGCCGGCAGCAGTGCAACCGTACCTGCTGGCCCAGCTGCCGCCACTTTCACCCCACTCCCCACTACTGTCACCCTTGCAACATCCACAGCCGTTCGCACCGCCGCCACCGCCGCCGCCTCCACCACAGAACCCACCGCAATCACCGTACCCGCGGCGGTCGCCGCCGCCATCTCCCATGCACGCAACATCAGCGGCGTCGCCGTCACCGCCCGAGCCTTCGAGCGCGCCCTGCAGCGTGCGAGTGTGGCGGATGTGGCGGGCCGGGCGCCCACAGACAACCAGATCCGCCTGCTGCAGCGACTCGCACGAAGGGGCGGGCTGCGCGACCTGAGCCCCGAAGTGCAGCATGCACTGTGTGTTCATCATCAGCTGCAGCCGCCATCCGCTTCCCATGCGCATTCCGTTGGTGGATTGCATGGTGAAGTGGCGCGTGTTGATGAGGTCAATGGACGAGCTGCTGGTGTTGCGGGAGCCCAGGCGACTGCGTTGGCGGCGCCGGCAGCAGCAGCGGCTGTAGCGGCCGCTAGCCTCAGCTACAAGGCAGCATCGTGGCCGTCCTTAGCATCTTGTTCCTCAACCATGGCGCCAGGCGCGTCGACGGCGGCAGAAGATACGGCTTGGATGCTGCCGCCGCCGTTGCCGCCGTCACCCATGCAGCGGCCGCCATCACCATCTCGGTTGCCTCATGTGGTAGGATTGCACGGCGGCTTTGTCATCAAGGGTCATCCGGAGCTCAGCAGCAGTAACATCGACAACATCAGCACCAGTTGCAGTAGTGGTGGCAACGACGGCAGCAACAGCGACGACGGAGACAGCGCCGGCCCCGCATCCAGCGCGCCCCCCGGGCTGCTCATGCATCATGTGCTGACGGTGCTGACGCTGGAGGAGGCAGCGGAGAATGCGCGGGAGGCGGCGGCTGCAAGCGCCTCCGCTGCCAAGGGACTTCCGCCGCCCGCGACACAACGTCAGCGCAAGTACGTGTTGTCGCTCATTCGCCGTGCTGCACGGGGCGTGGAGTACGACCCAGCACCCTGGCTTCGGCGGGTGTTTCAGAACGCGGTTCCGAGTCGAGAGCTGCGGAGGATAGTGACGGAGATGCTGGGGAATGAGCATGGCGAGAGTGGCGGCAGTGTCACCGCTGCCGGCAGTGGAGGCGTTGCTGGCGGGTACGACGATGATGATGACGGGGACGGCGACGGGGGTTATAAATGGGTTTCACGTGAGTTTATTGAGGCACGGGAACGGAGACGCGAGCAGCTAAATGCAAGCAGCAGCAGTAGCGGCAGCGCACAAGGAGGCGACGACACCAGCAGCAGTAATAGCGCAAGCGGCGGCTATAATTCTGGCAGCAATACCAGCAGCAGCAGCGTGAAGGTTGGGGGTCAGCGGGATCCGTTGGACGAGTTGATTAGGCTGTTGTCGCGAGAGGGCGCGAAGACCGTTATTGACAGGCTTCGAGAGCAGGTTGACAAGTTGCCGCCACCAGAGGAGTAGACTACGGTAGTTGGTGTTAGGGGCAGGGATGTTGAGGCAGCTGCTGCGTCTTGGTGCTTATGAAACGGGCGAACAACGCAACGCGGTTGTGGCACGCCGTGCGGCGACACGCTGACAGCTTGAACTGCTGGAAGACGCAGCGCTCGGCACTAACGGAGGCAGCAGTGCGGGGCCAGCCTTGGGCAGCGCGGTGTGGTGGTGTTAAGAAACCTGGGCGCAAGTTGGTTTGGCTGTGTAGTGTGGAAGGTTTGGGGAACGGGGCAGGCAGGATGAGGTTCTCAAGGAAAGTCGGTTGGGGGTTTGGGAAACGCTAATGGCTTGCGGCAGGGGTGTGTGGAGAATGTGAAGATCATCTGCTGGACTGAGTGCGCATGGTTAAGGTTTCATTTGCAAAATATTGCAAGCAAGGCTACTTACAGTGAACGTATTTATTTATGATTAGTAGTGCAGTTATATAGGCTGTCGCGGGTAGAGCATAAACAACTTGACTGGACTAGGTGGCTGTTTTGCTCCCCATACAACGTGTGGCTTCCTAATATGCTTCGGCATTGTTGCAGTGTCCTTACCACCTTTGTAAACTGGACCGTGCAAGCGCTTGCACGTTCCAGTTTAGCCTGACCACCGGCTGGGCATGCGTTGTCGTACAGCACGTGCTCACGGCTGCCCAGGGCTGCTCAGGCTTCTGTTTCACATCGGTCGACCTCCAATGGACTTCCCTAGGCTCCCCCAACCCTTCTACCGTTGAAAACCGGCCCGCCAAGGCCTTGCAGCCACACGAGCACTTCAATTCACATGCATGGTATGTTCAGGATGTCGCCTGTTCGGTATGTGGATTTGGGGGACAGTCAGATGTATTCCTGGTTGATGGCTGAGGCATATTATGCTTGGGTGGAGTCCTGATGTTGTGGAATATGCTACCTGTCCGTGATTAGATGTCGGTGCTGCACGGCGCGTTAACTGAATGGTCACTGTGAGGGGTGATGAACTGTTGGCACAACATACACCCCTCTGTGCTCCTCCAACGAAAAGGCATATGACGCAGCTGTGTATATAAGCTGTGTGGCTTGCACTTGCACTTCGATGGTGCTTACCATGGCGGTCTTCCTGGCCTCTTGGGTGGTTTCAACGCCAGGTATGGCCGATGCCCCTGGAGGAAACGGCAGGTAAAGGCTGCTTACAGGTGTTGCTTCACAGAGAGGTGTTGCATGCCAGCGCTGCCGCAAAGCGAGGGGTGCCCCTAATTTACCGGTTCCATTTAGAGGCCTTGGCAAGACAGTTGAGCAAGGCGGCAACAGGGGTAGGTTGCGGTTCACACGACGTATTGTCATTGAGTGTGTCATGCGTGCCCAGTTGGAGTTTCCATTTGCTTCCGGTGCATGCATCTGAATAAACCTCATGGGCCCCACACATGGGCAGGTCCACAGGGTATACCGGTAATGCGGTCAGAAGAGGCGGAGGGTTCTTATAGCGCCATGTTGCCCTTACAACGGATGCACACCTCGCGCAGGGTTGAGTAACACTTTGGTGGACATACCCTGGGCAAACCCTAACTTGTCTGTACCAGTGCCGTACCAGTATGATCTCGCAGTGATGTTCCCGCAGTGGGTACGGCTGGATGGTGCCGGTATAGACGCGATACGGGTGTGTGCTAAAACGGACGCATGGCCTCATCCGGGATGCTTTATTTCTGCCGTACCTCATAACTGCAAGCCTGCATCCAAATCCTGCCACATAACATGGAACACAGTTGGGAAACATCGTTGACCACCTCACCTACGGGGTCCAACTCTATTCACATATCGTACTTGCATATCGCCTCATCTTTATTGCACACGCACTGTGCATTGTCGATAGAAAGCAGCGCTTCGACCGCTGACGCAGTGCCGCGGGACCCACGGGTCCGCTATGATAACACCATTCTTTAGCTGTATATTTAGCCTTGTACAAAGGCGGTATGTGTTGTCTTTGCAGTTGCCATCTTTCTTAAACGTTTACGAAAAATACGTAACCCGCAATCAAGAAGCCACGTGGCCCCTACCGCTGAATCACCTCGACGATGACTACGGTTGGTTTTTCATGACACATTTGCTTACGAGATTACGCCTCAAAGCTTGCAATAAACAAATCCTCTCATCTACATTGAAGATAATAACGGTAGCAGCTTACTACGCCAGGGCATTTCACAGGAGCAACAACACGTAACAACAGCTGGGACAGGCGGGGACACTCGATTCGGAATACTTCTGGACAGCAGCTTCACGAGCATCGTTCAGCTCTTCCGCTTTCCGGTCACCACACGAGCGACAGTCAGGTACGCCTCAAATTAAAGCATGCTGCACATTGTGAGGATCCCTGTCGGACCTTCGTCTGCTTTCGCCTCAACAAGTGTCGCTCACTTCGACAAGCGAGAAGAGGACTTGAGCGAGAAGGCGTGTAGCCGTTCTTAAGACATACATGAAACACACTGTGCTATGCAATCTTCTTTGAGAGTCGCTATGTATCAAACGAATCCGACAGCTTAAAGCACGTGAACGACCTACGGGGCGCACTCAACCCCACTAACGTCATTGCAACCTTTGGCCACGAATTGCCATCCATACGCTCCCCCTTTTTCCAACGTCTTCCCCCTTCTTTCATTATTCGCATGGCCTCATCAAGGTTTGCCCGGATCATGTCGTCCTACAACCACGAACGACCGCAACGCAACCTCGACGGTGCTCCCTTCGCTGACTCCCCGCGACCGGAGCCGCTGGCGGCGGTTGCTCCAACCGCCGCCGCCGGCCACTCCCACTCGCCGTACAACCCCATGGGCCGCGTCGCCGTCACTGGCAGCGGCGCCGCCGCCATCGCCGGCCTGACGGGCGACGTCAGCAGCGGCGGCGGCGGCGGCGGTGGCGGAGGCATGTGGGAGGTGGCGGCGGACCCTGAGGGCCGCTTCGTGTGGGCGCTAGGCGGGCGGCAGCAGCTGTACCGAGCGGGAGGGCGGCCGACGGCTGCGACGGCTCGACACGTGGTGATGCCGGATGGAGGAGGAGGCGGCGGTGCAGCGGCGACAGGTGGGTGTTGATGGTTTTGCTGCAGCCGCACGGCGGGGAGCTGACGTCTCGGTTTCTTAGCAGTAGTCCTTTGGGGCGGGCATGACAATCCACAACCCATGTTGCCGGCCGCAGGAGACATCATGGGCGTGAGGCCGTCTCTGGTTTAAGGGGATAAGGAGCAATCTGATGAGGCGAGCGAGGCAGACCGCACACCGGCGTCGTCTGCAACCTGTAGCTGATACGGAAACCCATGATTCTTTAGGCGCGGGCGTTTTTTCCCCACAACGAACGATCACTTGCCGTGCTGGCCAGCTAGGCATTGCTCAACAGTGTACTGCGGGGGGAAGTCATGGTTGGTAGGATGCCTGATAAGAGCATAGGTGGCAACTGTACATGTATGGGGGGCTTTCGGGTTTGTGTCCTTCCAAGCTTTCGCCGGCTGTGATGCCCATGAATGTGCAATTCTGTTGGGTACGATGTGGCTTCGCATACCAGTACCGTGCTGTCCATTTTTTCTGTGATGCGTCGACTGGCTGCACAGTTAGCTGTGTATGTAGCAATGGGGGCGTGCATGACTGGCTGGGGACGGGATGGACACCGTGTAGTACGGTTTGCTGGTCAAGCCGAGATTCTGGGTTTGGAGTTTACATAAAGCGTATGCTTGTTGTGATATAGTGCGTGGGGGTGCTGAGCGGCCTAGGTGTGGGGCATCTCGATTACGAGCACGATGGGTGTGGGGCATCTCGGCTTCTTCTGCTGTACATACAAGTTGGCTGATATTGTGCGCTTGTTTGACGAACTGTGTTGGGTTCACGCAGTCGTTGAAGGCTGCTGCGTCGCTTAGTTTAGTATAGGGCCTACTGTCAGGCTTGCCTGAGCTGTTTTGGCTTTATGGCGGTTTAGCTGAGGCCGTAACTTGGCAAGCATATGAAGGATGGCGCAGCGTGGCGGAGGACAAGCAGACCCTCGGGTCGTGTAGTTGTTTGGAGAACCTCGCGGCACTGTTGGAAGGGAAAGTTACGAATGGAAAATTATGAGGCTGAAGACCCTTTTGAGTACGTGTTCATCTTTATCAGGCAGGGGCGGCTTGTAGGCACAGATTATGTAAACTCGGAACCTGCGACTCGAACAATCCTGTAGTTACATAAACATAGATACTGAACAAGATACCGCAATTTAGGAGTATAATGGCTGAGGCGAGAACATGCCTTTGCAGGTCTTGCTCCAAGCTATAACGATATAACCATTCCGCCACCGCAAACATCCTTTCCGCTTGCTCAATTGCATTAATGAGAAATTCACTACTTCTTGGGAGCGGACGCTTCGTAGCGAACGCGAACACCTCCGGCTGTCGCTGTCGGCCGGGCAGGAGCCATAACTTACTTTCCTTGCACCAGAAGCGTTGCGTTGCTAAAAGTGTTTTGTCGGCTTCTAATGTGCCAACCCATTTGGATAAGGAGCGTCGCGAACAGTCACAGTCGTTGGAGCGCATAATCGATGGTCTCGAAGTTGACAGCATAGCTGCGCTGGCCTTCCATGACCCTGACGACATACGCGGGCTGGTGGCAACGGAGCCAGTAAGGAGTGCAGCGTTGATAACAGTCCCTATCAGCAGCACGGTAGCTGTCGCGGTGGATGACAGCGGCCATCTCACGGTTGTAGCGCCCCCGGACATCCCTCCGAATGTGAAGAAGGCAATAGAAGGTAGGACGGAACAGTGTGTATGACATGGATAACTGCCGCCGTTGCTCGTTGGCGCTGGCACTAGATAGGCACCTCAGACCTTAGCACAACCGCAAATCCGCACACCACCTAGCGCACACATGGCTTACTAGCACTGTAACCCGCCTCCGCAGCCGTGGCAGTTCTCGTGCGCGACTCTCCGGACCCCCAGCTTCTCATCCTTGCCGTACTGCTGCTGTGGGCTCGCAAGTACGGCAACGCGGCATGGCAGGAGTACTGTGCCGTACTGCTGCCTGCACCTCGGGAGCTCAGCTGCTTGCTGAACTACACCCCGGGGGAGCTCTCCACGCTTCAGCTGCCACACTTGCGGGTAAGACAGAGCGAGGGCAAGGTGTGGTTTCCATGCAGCTGGTCCAAAAGGGCGCGCTGAGGCCTACCGATCTCCTTACCTCGTCCTATGTACCGGTAACAACCTCCTAATACGGCTGGCTGTCCCCTATACCAGTCACCTTTTTCCATCCTCGCCTCTTCCAAACCCCGCCTCCTCCCAGGACGAGGCCTCCCGCCAGCACGACTGGTGCCGCTGGGCTCACACCATGTGGCTCTGCAGCACCAATGGGGCGCTGCGGCGACTGGGGCTCGCGAACGACCCATGGGACACCGCTTGGGCGCTTGCGGCCGTCCGCAGCAGGGCTGTGGAGTTCCCGCTGGGGTTGGGGCGGGCGGGCGGCGGCAGCGGTGGTGGCGGCAGTACGGCAATGTACGGCAACCGTGGCGGTGCTGGCGGTAGCGGGAGTACGACAACGACGCGTGGGCCCTTCATGTCCGTACTGGCGCCGGTTGTGGATCTTGCGAACCATAGCTCGGATCCAAACTGTGTCGTACAGCTTACCACGGACCGCTCAAGGTGCGCTGATTGTTAGTCCCGTTGAAGCTAACGGACAGGGCGTGACTGGACGTTCCATATTTCGTGCGTGCAGTTCTCTTCTCCATTACATGATATATCGCAGGTTCCCCACTGGGGCTCTGAATGCGTGGCTTAACAAGCATTTTAATCATCCGTCTGCTGCCTGATTCTCGCCCTCAATTCGCCCCCTCCAGGGTTGTCCTCCTTCCTCGCCGGGCCATCAAAGCAGGAGAGCCGTTGACCGTTGACTACGGCTTTGCCCGCTCCTCCTTAGAACTCATGGCCGATTACGGATTCGTTACAACCGGCAACCCCCACGACGGCGAAATCCCCCTCCCTGGATTCGAAAAGCTGCCGCCTCTGGATCCAAACCGGCTGGAACGAGCGGCAACTGCCGTACAAAAGCGTTGGCGAGGTCTAGGGCTGGTTGCGGACCCCAGGCAGCGGCGGCAGCTGCTCTCGGCAGTGATGGCGGGGGAGGACTGGACGGCGGCGGCTGGGGTGGTGGAGGCTGTGGTGGATGGGGGGGAGGCAGGGAAGGAGGGAGGGCAGCAGCGGGATGGGTGCTCGACGGAGGAAGCGGAAGCGGAAGCCTGGCTGCATGGGCGGATAAGGTGAGGGAGCCTTAAGGGTTAGGCTCGCTAATGGCAGAGGCTGGAAGGTGAAGTCCTTCAATGCGTTCAATCGTTTCACGTATGCATGCGAACAGGTTACAGGAGACAGCGCTTCAGGCGCGGTTCACTACCTTCACCACCACTTCTCCTGCAACGGCTATGCAGACAACCTCCAGGCTGCATGCCCATGCCCCCAATGACCCTCACCCAACCCTCACCTCACCTCTCCTCGCCCCCCTGCCCCCCACCCTCCAGAGCTGCTGCCAACCTGCTGGCCCCCCGCATGCACTCCAGCGCCCCCACCACCCCCGCCATGCAGCGCATCATAGCGGGCCTCTGGCACAAGCTGGTACGGCACACCGCCGAGGGGCTGCCCACCTCCCTGCAGCAGGACTGGCGGCTGCTAGATGACATGGCGGCTGGCCGCGTCAGCGGCTTCGCGGCCGGCTTGCCGCTTGGGCTGGACCCCACCTACTCCTCCGCGGTGGAGCTGCCGCCGCCGGCGCCGCAACTGCCGTCCAAGAAAACACAGCAGCAGCAGCAGGAGAAGGAGCAGCAGCAGCAACAGCAGGGGGCGGAGGAGAAGGAAGCGACCCATGGGCCAGCAGCGAGCACGGACGACAGCAATGATAACGCCTCGGGGACGAGATCCTCCGGCGGCGTCCAGGCGTCAAACACGCCCCGGGAAGGCTCTGCCAGCAGTCCTGCAGGACCAAGCAGCGTACCGTCCGCGTCCCCACCAGCACCCACAGCACCTGCACCACCACCACCGCCGCAGTCGGCTGCTGGGAGGTCGTCGTTGTGGTCGGCATCAGGGGGCCGCTCCGGCCGGCGAGTGGGGCGGCTGTATGCGGCGGTTCGGGCGCGGGTGGAGTACAAGGAGGTGTTGGCGGTGGCGGAGGCGCTGCTGCTGCAGTACGCGAGGAACTACTAGGAAGGTGGTAGGGCCAGCCGAGCCGCTAGGAACTGTCTAGCGAGGAATGCAATAGTAGCTAGGCGGGTAGGGAGCAAGGAGGGCTGTGTGAACATACCAAGTTGTTGTGCATCAGGGCGTGCTTAGCGCCGCCGCACACAGCGAGTCGGTAGCTGGAAGCTCATTGTGTGCAATACCGTAGGTGGAGTTGGTGTTGGTGGGGGTAGAAGTGTTGCTTGGGCGCGTACTTGGCACTGCTGCGAGGAGGGGGTTTTCCGGTGGTGGATTTCCTAGAGCCGCTGACTACTGCGCTTGCGGCTGTTGCTGCTGCGACCTTGAGATGCGCCTCCTAGGTATCTTCCTGATGATGTCTTCGGTAGCACTGTGTACATGCGAGTGCACTTCACCCCATCCTGCGCGCCCACGTCTACCCACCAGTCGCATGCAGTGCCCAGACAGGTACCGGAACACCCGGGACATCCCGTTCGCCATGTCAGATACTGCAGCATGTACGGTATAACATGCTGCATGGATGCAACGCGTTATCGCGTCACGACCACTCTCTCCACACCGCCCCTCCTCCCACGACCATCCCTGTCCGCTACCATGTCACCTGATGCCATGCACTGCCCACCGCCGCAGCCCACCATCACCACCACCACCACCTCAGAAGCACCAGGCAGATCCAGACACGCAGAAGCTGCACCAGCCTTAGATTTTCTCACTCTCCCCTGCCCCTGATGCACACCGCCTGGTGTCCGCCGCCGCAGCAACGTAGATGGCGGCGGCTGCCGTCTGCTGCACGGTTGTAACCACCAGCATCACCATCACCCCCTGAGTCCCCAAGCCCTTCCACACGCCACCATCCCAAGCCAATACCGCACCTAAGGCCACCGCAGTTTACCTAATCCCCAGCCATACCTATACCCTGGCTTCCTCCGCCCACTCACGACCCCTCCGCCTCTTCATCGTCCGAGTCCAGTCCAAACCCAGCAGCCAGGGGCGCCGCCGGCTTCACCTGCCGCCCTCCCGCCGCCAGTCCACTCCCGCCCCCGCGACCCGCCACCAGCATGGCACTCGCAGGGCGCTTCAGACCGCCTCGCACCGCGCCACCCAGCAGCCCCCGGCCGCCCGCACCCGCAAGCAGCCCGCCGCCGCGACCACCTGCGCCGCCGCCACCGCCGCTCATGAGTCCGAAGCTGATTCCTGTCGTACCTGGCACGACGGCTATCGGCGCCGGAGCAGATGACGGGGCGGTGGTGGCGGCAGCCGCTCCATCGCTGGCGGGTCCTCCGTCGGGTAGTGGAGGTAACGGTGGCGGCGGTGGTGCCGTGGCTTCGTCGGGGGGTAGAGGCGGGGCGTCTGAGGGCAACGGTGGCGGCGGCGGGCCTGGAGGCAGCGGCGGCGGCGGCGGCCCCTCATCCGCTGGCAACGGCGGCAGCGGCGGCTGTCCTTGTTGCTGCTGGCGGCTACGTTGCTGAGCTGCCTCGATCTGCTTCTGCAGTCGCGCCATTTCCTTGTCAGCGACCTTCTGCTCTCGGCGCTGCCGCTCTCCGCGGTTCCGCTCGGCCATGGCAGCTTTGGTTTCCGCGAGCCGCTTGCGGTGGTGGTGGTCGTAGGAGGAGAGGTGCTCCTCTAGCTGCCGAGCGGAGGAGTACTGCTTGTCGCAGACCTAGGAAGAGAGAGGAGTGCAGTGGAGTGGAGAAGACAAGGTGCAGGGTGACGGCGGGTGGTCCCATGGTTCATGAGGGGGGGCGTGGTGGAGGACGCGGCGTGTAGACCGGTGGAGTTGGGAGCAGCGAAGGGGGAGAGGGGAAGGGAAGGAGAGGGAAGGGGGACGGGGAGGGAGGCGGGAAAGAGGAAGAAAAGAGAGAAGCGAGGACCGAAAGCAGGAAGACGACAGACAAGCAAGCTGAGGTGCGTCACGGGTAACTGGAGCTGCAACACAGTCGCAGGTGGTGGCAACACGCACAGGCGAGGAAGCGGAACAACGACACCCCATGAGCCGATATAACACTGCCCTGCGCCACCCACCCAACGTATCCTTGCCTAGCTAGCTAGCCAACTACGCAGCTGACCAGGCATGTCACACATCTCTCGTCAATTGGTTCTTGCCCTTGTCCCACACACATCCCCATTCAGCTCCCGCAAGAAGCGGGAAAGCTCCGCCATGCTCCGCACCTCCCAAACCCGCCACTCCCCCACAGCCTCCCCTCACACCTCCCACACCTCGCAGTAAAAGGTCTGCAGCATCTCCTTCACGTCCTCCGCGCGCTTCTGCAGCACCTCCGCAGTCGCCTCCCGCCGCCGCGCCGCCTCCTCGTCTTCCTGCGCCGCCACCTCAATCTCCAGTCGCTTCCGTGCCGCCGTCGCCTCCGTCGTGTGACTGTCGTCCTCCTCCTGCAGTGCAGCGGGGCCTCAGCATGTAGATAGGCCACACAGGTGTACGTGTGCAGGCGCTTCCAAGAGGAGCGGGCGAACGTGTTTACCGGTAGATGAGATGCAAGAAGGTCATTCAGTGCGTGCCTTTACATGTACATGGAGGTGCTGATGAAACGCTGTCAAGGCGTGTAGGTATTAAGCGCATGAAGGCCTCGAGCGCATGAAGGCCTCGAGCGCATGAAGGCCTCGAGCGCATGCAGGTCTTCCGCCATGCCCGGCGTGTTGCCAAGGCGCCGCTTGGGTGCCATGTGCGGGTCAGTGTTGACGGAGCGCGCAGTGTGCGCGCAGGGTGCAGGAGGATGAGGTAAAAGCACGGCGTCAGGTTTGGGTTTTTGCTGTTGCTGCTGGGGCTGTTACCTGCTTGCCGAGTCCCAGCCGCACGCCTGCCTCCACGCCCGCTTGAACGGGCTCCACTATGCCATTCTCCTGAGGGTGCGCGGGACCGAAGCCGGAGGGGAGAGGGTGAGGAGCAGGGTGATGGACAAGGAGGCCTGCGCGTCTGGGGGCTGGTCGGAACTGGGCGTGTGTTCGTGATTGCGATGAAGCAGCTTTGGGGAGAGGTTCCAGCTAGGGATTCTTAGCCCGCGGTTGCCCTGCCCAAGCCACCTGTTTACCCCGTGTGTTTCCCAAACCTCTCCGCTATCCTATTCATACCTGTTTTCCAAGGCCGTGACCCTCCTTCCACCCCATCTTTTGGAGCAGTTTAAACCCGATGTTGGATGTACCGATGGGCGCTGCTCCGCCTCCGTTATGGTCCGCATTGTCGTCGTCATCCTCCCGCCCTGGAGGTCTGGCCCAGTTGTCATCGTCATCAAGGCCTCTCCGACGACTTTCCTGGTACGCGTTGGTCCATTCGTCGCCGCGAGGTGCTGCTAGACGAGGGTCCACCACAGTCACGGTGGGAAACAGCGGATTGACCGCGGCCGGCTGCTTGGGTGGATTCATTGGTCGAAAAGCGCAATCTGGCCTTGATACAATGTTTCCTTGGGATCTAGGGCAAGCAGCTTAAGCTTTGGAACTGCAAGTGCATGGCTTTCCAAAAAATTATAAGATAGTAAACCTGCCTATGCCGCTATGCGCATAGACCTTTATCGGGCACACGGTGGGGCATATTGCAGTCGGACGCTTGCAAGGAGCAGTAAAGCCATGGTACGGACAAAACAACGGCCCAAGTAGTTAGTTGCAGCACCCTAGTTTCCTTTCTTGACATAACGCGCACTCTGAGTTTATAGTTGTAGATCATTTGCTCCTATGACAACTTACTTGCGACCCACTTTCCTGCGATATACTCCAAGTACCATAAGGCTAATGCAAGACGCCTTAGGTCACAATTGCTTTTTTTACACGCCTATTGTACCTGCCGAGGACATGATGAAGTTCAAGTCGCTCTACCTATAGCCCGCGGCTCTGGCATTAGCATCCTGCTGTCTCTCTAGCTTTTTTCTTGCCTTCACAATTCCCTAAGCATGGCGTCCAAGCAGCGAGACATGGCGGATTCTATGCACTACGAGTCGAGGCAAATCCGCGATGAGCTTCAGGCCAGCCATGCGCGGCTGAAATCCGCACGGTCAGGGCGACTTGCTTCCGACCTGCAGCCGCAGCAAGGGGCCCTTATGATGCAGGAGTGGGAGGGGCTCTCGAGCGCTGGAGACCTGGACAATGTAAGACTAGGCCTGTCCCTCCGGTGCCCTTCCTTACCATCCCAACCGGCAGCGGAAGCTGCACTTGCGACCCCGCTCCATCCCTTCCCCCTCCCGATTCAGATCTAACACCTTACTTTCATACGACTATAACATGCTTCGCAGGGCCATACGCTGGCCAGCGGCAACCCGCAGTATGAACAGATGCGTGCAGCACTGCTAGCATTTGAACGCGAGTTGGGCTACTCTGTCCCAGCTCGCGAGCGCGCCTTCTTCTCAGCCCTGCGCACGCAGCTGATGGAAGCCGGGGCGCAACGTGATAATGAGCAGCGGAACATGCACATAGCGGCCACCTTTAAATGGTTCGCACGGCACAAGTGAGGCGGGGGCTGGGTCTGAGGCTGTGCTGAGGTGACGTGAGGCATCACACGGATAGTAAACCGGGATAGTAAACCCGTTGTGCCGCAGAAATCCTGCTTAGCTGTGTAGTGCTGTGCCGGTCTGCCCAGCCTCGTACGGCTGCCCCTTCCCACGCAGCTTGTCACCCTCAACCCAATGGATCCTCGTACTTGCAGCAAACTTGCAGTAAACTCACAAGGCAGAACACCACATTACGGCATCAAACACATCACATACCACACAAACCGCTCCTCTGTCACACGTCGCACCCCATCTGCTCCCTCCGCACCCACTGCTGCGCCTACATGTGCCTCGCTTCCCTCCAATCCTCCTCCTTATCCACTACCTCCCAGGCCCCAGGGTCCGGAGGCGGATCCCATCACCGCGGCCGTACTGGCGTCCTCGCTAGCCGTGGAGGCCGTCGGCGGGCCGCCGCAGCCGCCTGACCCCCGCCAGGCTCCTTCCTCCTCCGCGTCCTCCGGCCAGCTGAGCTCCCTGCAGCGCATGGGGTCGCCCACGATGGGGCTCGCAGCGCACTCCTCCAATGCCGCCGCCATTGCTGCTGCCGCCGCCGGGCCGCCCGGGGGCCAAAGCCGGCACCATTTCTTCGACGTGTACACGCGAGCCCCTGTCGTACATACCAGCGCAACCGCCGCGGCTGCTGCCGTCGCGGTGGCAGCGGCCGCAGCGACTGCGTACGGGCCAGGGGCGAGGGGCGCAAAGGCGGCGGCCGCGGCGGCAGCAGCAGCGACAACAGCCGCGGCGCCCGCATCAAAACGATCTGGGGAGGCCGGTTCCCAGTCCCTGTCGCTGAATCACCCCCTTGCCATGTACCCAACCGTCGCGACGGGGCATCCCATGCGATTCGGCCTCGGAGGCGCCTCATCGACCACGACTGCTCCGCCGCCGCCTGCCTCCACTAGCGCTGCCGGCAGCGGCGGCTTAGGCGGCGGCGGCGGCCCTCGGGCTCGCTTTGCTTCCACTGATCTCTACGCTCCAGGGAAGCTTGTACGGCCGCAGGAATTGGACGAGCTAGACCACCGCGCGGCGCAGGTAGCTGCCGCATCGGCGGCGGCGGGTGTGTCTGGCGGCGGCGCCGAGGGCAGCTCGACTCGCGGCGGGGGGCAGCTACATCAGAAGCCGTGGATACCTGGGCCGCACCGGGCGCCCGTGACCACCCTCGGGAGTAATGGCGGCGCCGCTGGCGGCAGCAAGGGCGGGGCCCGTAGGGGCGCTGGCGAAGAGGAGGATGAGGTGCAGGTGCTGCGCAACAAATGGTCCGTCATGGAGGCGAGGACATCCCAATCGGTTGCTGACGTTCAGGTGAGACGGGACGACAGGTACATGGGTTCAAGGGCACGTTCAAGGGCATGTGTGCTGAGGCCAATGCTGCGAGCCACTCCCCCTCACTCCGGAATATCCATCTCCCTACAACCCCATCTCTCCATGCACTCTTCTCTTTCACCTTCTCGCAGTCCAAGCTGGCTGAATGGACGCTACAACGAGCCCGGTTAGAAGAGGAAATTGTACGACGCCAAGAGGCCAGCCGCTACGCCGCCCCTGGCGGCATGCACTCTGGCGGCATGCCCTGGCCCCACCACCTGGGCCGACCCGACGTTGACGACGGTTCCGCCCTCGTGGGCACCCTTTCGCCGTACGCTAACGCCAATGCAGACCTGGCCGCGGCAACCGCCGCCGCCGCCACCTTCTCCACCTCCGTCAACTTCATGATGCCGCCGCCGCCCGCCGGTGGCGGCGCCGCCGCCGCACTGGGTGCCAGCATGCGCATGCGGCACGCTGAGGTGGCAATGTATGACAGAGGGAAAACAGATTTGCTCATGCGGCTGAACAACATGGGGCTGAATGTGAGTGGGGAGACGCTTGACCGAGCGCTGAGGCCTGTGGAGGACCGGCCGTTCCTGGATTGCATTGCGCGGCTGCCCAAGCCGGGAGAGCACTTGGTGAGCCGGCCGGGCTCGGTGGGGCAGCAGGGGGCGTCTAAGAAGAAGCGCAGCAAAAGCTCGAGCAAGAAGCGACCCACAAGCGGGCGATAGCGAGTGGTGGCTAGCGTGCAGTTGTGGTTAGATGCAGGGCAAGGATGAGGGCAGGAGGGAGGAGTTAGGGAGCTGGAGGTAGAGGGAGCTGGAAAAGGCTTAGGGATAGAAACCTACAGAGCGAGTGCCAATATGTTCACAAAAACTGGCCGTGAATGGGAACGTACTGTGATGCCAATGTGTATGCGTGTGAGGACTAGCACTTCGGCTCGAATGCGCGATGCTAACGGCTAACGGAGGAGGTATTGGTGAATGAGATGCCGCCACGTAAGGTGGCAACATAGGCTGGCAATATGGCTTTGACCTGCCATGGCAATATCACACAGATGTGGTAGGTTAGCGGTAAGTCTCAAGCGCGGGTGGGACCCTTGCCACAATATAGAAGTGAGCTCTTGCCACAATGTAGCAGTGAAGAGGGAAGATAGTCCGTAGCTTAGTTTCCGACAGTCCTGTACTCCATAATTCATTTTACTGCATCACTAAGGGGTCATTGGGAGAGGAGGATCCCCCGTTGCCTGTACTGGTTAATAGCACTTGTATTTGTGTGTTTTTGCGTATGTCCGCACCTCCTCGTGTGGGGTGATGCAACAACGCGTCGTTTTGTGATGTAGCACCTGCGATTGGGATGTATTACAGCAGCTGAAGGCTTGCGACTGTTTTGCATATTATGCTGATAGAGCACGTAAAGGTATGCGCACATCTCGTGGGGGTTTGATTGGCCACATGGCCCTTTAACAATCCTCCGCACGCGCAACAAGCCACGGGTGCCCGCAGATACCCTAGCGAACTGTACAGCTTTCACGAAGTCGTGATTGTCAGTTCCGGTAGCCCCATTCGTCACCCCCAGTAAGCAGCAGCCCAGCACTATCCTCCCTATTGTACATGGTCTGGTATGTTCCTATCCGTGTCCTGCCATGTAGCCACGCACGTCACCAACCCAAGTATGATCAATCCGCAGCAGGGGCCCCGTAACACCGTGACTACCGACACATGCCCTGTTAGATGCATGGACTCAACATAAATACCGAGCTGCTGCTAATCAACACAAGGTCAACAAACGCATGTGTAGGCAACGATCTCACAACCAATAGCCGCAGCGTATCAGTACATAATGCCCAAGTTCAGGTGATTGAAACTGATTGGTACGCATGGATGTGACGTTGCTTGATCCACGCATGGAAACCCCTGCAGTACAAGTACCAACTGGAACCTCCTGCACCGCGTGAAATGGAGTGCTGCAAGAGGCTTCCCTGCCACCCTCCTGTAATCGTCCTCAGAGAAAAACACCTAGCCTATCTCCCTCTAAAACTGTTCACCGTTATGCTGCAAGAAGACTCCCGGCTTCGACGCAATCGGGGCGACGGAATGGTCGCCAACCCCCGGTGGAAAAGACGGCAGCTACAACAACAGTCAGCAATGCCAATGTCCGCCATCCATCCTCCAAATCCTGCTTCCCGTCGCCTCTGTTCTTGCTCCAACAACGCAACTTTGGGTGGCGCAGCCCTTCATGCTTTCGCAACTGGTTTCAATACAAGCAACATGCGGGGTTCACACAACAGCGATGGCCGTTACAATTGCCCCCTGACAATAAACAACAGCAAACCTAATCACAGGCAGGGTTCTCTCTGTACAGCCTTCTCCACAAATCCAATCATCCAACACACGTTAGCAGGCCCCCTGCCCACAGCCCCAACGGTGCTGCTGCCCCAACTTTCACACCTGTCAGGATGGCGACGACCCTTCACCACCGGCTCCAACTTCGTCACAGCCACCGCAGTTCCTTCCATTACCGCGCTAACTGCCCTACCCATGCAGCGGAGCAGCCCCCCTCCAGCTCACCCAAACAGGGATGCAGGCGCCGGCGATGCGCTAGGTGACAGCAGGGCGCTAAGCCACAGGGTATCACCCTCAAACTCAGCAAGTGCGTTGTCATCCCAGCAGCCCGGCGGACTGCCCAACAAACCCGCACCCAGACTCCGGCCCGGCGTCCCAAGGCCCGGACCACCCGTTACCTGCGGCTGCTGCTGTTGCGGGGTCAGGTCTTGTTGCAGGGGATGCGCCTGCGGAAGACCTGTGCTGCTGGAGAACGCAGGCATGTTCACACCCGTCGCGCTCGTTAAAGCCCCAGGAGTGGCAGGAGCGGAGAATGTTCTCGTCAGAGGCGGCCGCTGCGAAGCTGGGGCCCCGCTGCCGCCATGAGGCTGTGGGGCGTTTGCGGTACGAATGCTGAGTGGGGCTGCAGCGGCGCCTGAGCTGGCCGCCGTAGCTGCGTTGGGTCCGGCACAGGTAGCCTGGAGATGGAGCAAAACGGAGGGGAGGGGTGTGAAGGTGGCTACATCATCTGGAGTCGCAATGCACCGTAGAAAACACGGCAATTGCTTCATAGCAGATGGGCGCCGATACCGGCAGTGCGCACAGGTGGCGACTTCATCATGCGTAGCGTTGGACACGCCCTGTCTGCTTCGCCGCCCCGATCCTAACTTTTCACGCATGTAGGAGCCACCACAAAGGGGACAAGCTGTGAACAAGGTACAGCCCGACACCGCCCCCTAAGCTGCAAGCTCACTACGCACCTGGCGATTGCCTTCCCCAACCGCGCCCCAAGTGCTTGGCGGCCCACCTCCACAAGCAGCACCTAGCGACTTGTCCCCTTGCGCCTGCGGCCCCACCCTTCCTGGCTGCCCGGCATGCTGCCATTGCCGCAGCAACTCCGTAACAGGACAACCTGGCACGCCGCCCAGCTGCTGGTGTCCTTGAGGCACTGCTTGCGTGGCGTTGCCAGGCTGGCTGTGCCGCCGGGCCCATGGCTGCATGCCCCCTGGCGCACCGCGGTTTGCAGCCTCCACGGCCGGTACTGGGCCCGAAAGGGAGTGCCCTAGCTGTTGCCCTAGGCGGAGCTGCTGGGCTAAATGAGCCACGTTGATGGGTCGGGCTACGAGTGCTGCCAACAGTGGGTTGCGGGCGCTTGCATCGCCCTGGGACCAGGAACCCGCACGGACTATGGGTGGCCCCACCGGTTGTGCAGGGCCATTGCTGGCAGTGCCGCCACCGGAGGCCACGGCACGTTGCGACATGCAAAGGGGTCGAGGGAGCTGCGTGGCCACAGATGTTTGCTGGCTAGAGGCTGGGTGCTGTTGGGGCGGCAGGGGTGCTGAGGTATGCTGGCTGCCCCATGCAAGTAGGTGGCTGTTGTTGGCGCATGCGGAATTGCTACTGGTGCCGCCACTGATAGAGCTCAGAGAGGGGGAGGAGGCTACCGCTGTTATGGCTCCTGACCTGGCGGCCAAGTTGCGGGAGTGGACGAGCTGGCTGATCCGTGCGCGCAGTAACTCCTGCATGTGCTGCAGCTGTAGCCGGGGCGGCAAAGGTGGCAGCGGCGGCAAAGGAGCGGAGGCGGAGTGGCCCGCCGCATGCTCTTGCTGCTTCTCAGCGCCACCTCGTTGTTGCTGCTGCATGGGCCCACTGGCTGCGACCTCGACGTGCGCTTGGCCTTGACCGCCGCCTATAAAACCTTGCCCTCGATGCAGTAGCTGTGGTGGTCCCTGCGGCGGCTGCTCTTGCTTCACCTGCACGTGGTACAACCCAGACGGCTGAGCCTGCTGCTGTTCATGCATGAGCTGCTGCTGCTGCTGAGGGTAATGAGGACCATGACAGCCGTACTGCGGGTCGCTGTGCTGGGGCTGTTCTGGCAGCACGCTGCTGCCGCTGCTGGTCGTGATCGTCCTGGCAGGCGCACCGCAATCGGATCCCATGCCTCTGCGACAACCGTGCAGCTGCCTGCCGGGGTCAACCGGCTGCATGGCATTCTCCCGGCCAGCCCCGGTCTCGACCACCGAGGACGATAGGGCCCCGAGCCACGTGGCTCCCGCCTCCGAGTCTCGAGCCGCATCCGCCTTCGTGGCACATTCGTGCGGCGTTTGCCCCTGTACTGCATGCCCCGGTGCGGCATCGGAGTCATCGCCGCAGAGGGTGAGGTCCATGTCATGATCCTCGAGTTGGGCAGTGAGCCAGCTGCCGGGCGATAGCAACCCGGATAGGTCAGCCACCTGGAAGGTACGCTGCGCTGGGGGTGTGATGTGGGACACGGTGCTGGGCGCGTCGGGCTGTACATGTGGGGAGGGCGTGGAGGGAGGTACAACAGAGGGTGGCAGTTAATACCCTTAGGTGCAAGGAACGGATGGTAGAGAAGGGAGTACTCTGCGGAAGCCCTTTCAAGCCAGCGAAAACTAGCTTTCTTCTCTACCGGCATACGGTAATGGATGCGATGGTATATCTTACCGACGGATTTCCGCTTGAAGGCCCAGCTTCCGGTTGCTGCCGCTGCAGCTTGTCTCCAACAGCTACGTCTAACACGCAGATCCCAGCGTCGGCCACTACTGTACCGCGGTCCATAGGAGTCGGCTGCTGTTGCTGTTGACTCGGCGCTGGATACTGCACCATGAACCAGCTCCCTTCCACCTTTTCTCCGCCATCATTTGGCAGGCCGCATATCACACCCTCCATGGGCGTAGCTACCGCTACCTCACCCTCCCTAGCCATGCAGGAATCCCACGGCGCAGCAGCCTGAGCCGTCTGTTGCGTCGTAGGCTCCTCGGCAGCAGGAGCCGCACTGTTACCGCAGTCAGTCGCACGCTGTTGGACGTCGGGTCCGCCGCTTTGGACGGTCGGTTGCCACGCGCAGGCCATCAGGTGCGGCTGCGGCTGCAGCAAGGGCTGTTGCTGCTGATGGGAGGGGCCAGCTTGCAGCAGCCCAAATGGCTGCTGTGAGGACGCAACCAAAACGGGCGGCCAAACACCCCCCAAGGGCTCTGCTTGGCCCGCAGCTGTGTTGGGATTCGGTTGTTGCCGGTCTTGCAGCGTTACGGGCTGCTGCTGCCTTGCCGACGGTGGCGGCTGCAACACCACCGCCGCCGCCGCTGTCACTGACTGGGACAGCAACGCCAGTTGCGTTGAACTGCCGGGTGCACCGTTGAAGTCGGCACTGGTGCCTCCTGCAGGTTGCTGCCGCTGCGCAAGAAACGCCTGCTGTTGTGAGTTCAGGAACAGCTGAGGTTGCTGCTGCGGAGGCGCCGGCTGCCCACCAGCTGCATTGACCTGATTAGGGCACTCTGTAGCCGCAACAGCCGAGGCCGCACCGGCGCCGCCGGGCGGTGCCGCCGCACGGAGCTCGCCGCCGTTGCACAGGCCAGCAGCGCTGCTAACGACGTGGTGCTGACGTGCAGCTTGGCCGCCACAGCCGGCGATGACACCAGTGCCCAAGGCGGCACCTGTGGTAATGGCGTTCAGGGTGTTGTGCTGCCATACTCGGTTCCAGTTGCTGACGTCAACTGCACCGGTTGCACTAGGACCCGCTACGATGCTGGAACCGCCGTCGGATGCCTTGTGTGAGTGGGCATGGGGCGTGAGGAGGAGCGACACGCTGCTTTGGCTGGCAGGCTTGGAGGTCCTGGCGGTTGCGGAACCCACCACCTTTGAAACGCCGGCTGGAGTAGGCGCCAGGGGATGCGCACTGGCTTTGCTACTTGCGGCTGCACCGGCTCGGCTTTGGACGACGCGTGCTGCAGCCGTCACGGTGTCTGGAGCCGTCTGGGCGGCGGATTCATCTATGTCAGTCGTGAAGTCGCTGCGAGGTACAGCGTCGCCCTGTCAAGGGAAGGACGCGTTCTTAATGTTCGGGATTTGAGGGTTCGACAGGCAATTTGGCCCCGACTTACCCGTCGCTGCGCTCGGTAAGCCCGGAAGTAGTTTCGAACCTCGTCCACACTGTCGGGTGGGGGCAAAGTGGCATCAGAAATGTGGACTATATGCAAACCAAAAGCACATAAAGCAGTTGCAAAGGGCGCTTCTCTCAACGTTGTGCACGTACCTTCGCAGGCACTTCGCATGGATTCGAGTCTCCAGCATCGTCGGCATATCGTTTGGAGGCCATGTTGATTGTGCGTTCTCCTCATACCACCTTGTGGATTAACATGTGAGACACATCAGCATATACGCTGCCTCAAAGGCGTTAAGCACAAACATGGTACCGGTATTACCGGTTTATGGCTGCCGCATCAGGACGTCGGCCGCTTTCCTCTAGGACATGTCGCCACCACTGGTTAAACCGGCTCCAGTAGTTTACGGGCCGCCTGTTCTGGTTCTTTGCAGATACTTTTCCCATGGCCACTTTCAATTTGCAGGGCGGAAGGAAGCCGCCATACCAGGCGGTGGGCCTTTCAAAGCATCTTATATGTAAACGTTATTACTCCACGGAGACTGCAACTCGAAAAACGGGCCTTTTCGGTGTTGGCCTAGGTTGGCCCCCAAAGCTGTCGCAGAGATGCCATAGGTCGAACTGTCGGTAATAGGCTGTAGATATCAAACCGGGATTCGATGGACAACCTTCGCTTTATTTGTAGCGTAAAAGAAGTTGTAACGGAGCTTGGGCGATGTAGACGTTACAGGATCCATTTCATAAGGCTGTACGACTTCTCAACCTTTACAGTATAACAGGGCTAGGGTATCGACACGGTGTTACTGCCACCTTTGAGAAGGCCGTGTTTGCTTCCTGCACCTCGCTACCCGAAAATACTTTGACATTGCCTGCACGAAGTTGCTTCTATGCAATAACGCTTCTTGAGGACCTTCGAGTCTACACGTTGTATTGGCAAGATGTCAATCCTTGGGCCGAATGACCGTCGCCCCGAAGTGCAGCTCCATGGCACAACAGTATCGCATTTGAAGACATGGCGGACAGTGTACCAGGATGACTACAGTGATCCAAAGGTGAGTTTTCTGGACATTAAGCGATGTCGTCTATATTTTTTACAAGCGTTTGGGGTTTACAGAGGCCACCTGTCTCGTAATCGTGTTGTGGGACAGTCAGGATGCTTGCTTCTAGGTGTATCCCCCTGTATCGAACCCTCTTGACGGATGTCGAAATCCGAGCACATGCGTCCCGCTGCTCTTGCCCCAGCAGTTGCGGCTCCTCCCAACCCGTTTCTAGACCTCCACCAGGAGTCCCTTGCTGCCTGTACACTAACTTGGCAACCATTCCTTAAGGATGGGCACCACGCTCGGAGTCTATGTGAGGGGCATCTAAGCAACATGGCCCGTCTCCCTGTTTCCTATCCTCCGCAGCTACCAGCGGGCGTACCCACCGTACGTTCGCAGATGGCTGGCATTACGGCGCACATGGCGACCTTGTCCGGCAGCCACAGCCACGTGTACCATTCGACTGACCGCCTGCCGCCGGGGCACCCACCGCTCTACACCTATCGCTCAGCAGGTGCTTGCGAATTGCTTGCGTGAACGAGTGTGGTGTGAGGGGAGGTCGAAGGGCAGCAACGAGTTTCCCCTTAACCACGACTGCCACTGTTAAAAGACTGAAATTTCGCACCATTGCACATACCGCACCTGATGCCGCCCATCGTAACATTGCTGCCGATTGGTGACGTGTTCCCCTTCCCGTGTACTTCTCGGCTTGCATATATTGCAGGAGATGCACCGCTAGGAATTTCGACCCGCGGTTCAGGCACCGTCACCTCGCTTAAGGACTCTGTCTTGTACGGCAAGGAGCAGACGTGGGCCCACTGGCGTGTGGCGGTGGAGGGAAAGCCCACAGACGGGCGGCGCAAGTACCGCGGCGATGGCAAATAGCTGCTTAACGCATGTGGGTCGAGCAACTAAGCGACTGATATATTTAGGGAAAGGTTACGCGGACTGCGGCCATTCATTACCTAGCCTAGGAGTTCGTCAGACCTGTGAGGGTTTTCGAGCTCTTGGGGTGTGCCAGGTAGTTGCCAAGCCCTTGGGGTTATGATTTGGTTTGCGTAAGGTTGCCTTGCATATTTTGCAGGGTGTGGCCGGTGTACTTTTTGTGTACAATTCTTATTTCTAACCGCAGTTCTGCAGGTGAGGGGTCTATTCATTGGTAGCAGTCCAGGCTGGGGGGTTCGCAGCAGTGAAAAGCGTGGTAGCAGAGGTAGCCCGAGAAACGTGGTACACTATGTTTTGCAGCCGTTGTGTGGCGGCGGCAGGCACTGCGCTTGGATGAAGAGCAATAAGGTTGCGATAAGCATCTTTCTGAGGGCGTTGGCCCTGTGACATGCGAACGTTAATCGTGACGACCATAAGCAGGAGCAAATACCTGCCGTGCATGTTGTGGTCCCCTTCACCCTTGAGATGGGGTACTGGGTGCTGGTACGGGGCCAGCCTATGGCTGTTCGGACTCCTGACATCTTCATTGCAACAGCTGTTACGTGCTAGACGGGTGGTTGGTGAGGGGCAGTGTTTGCTTAATTCCGATTTCTGGTTTCCGTTTCTGGTATATGTGGCATTCCTTTGCCGTGAGCCTAGACCCGTAAGCCGTGCACGATGCCCAGGTTGCATGGAAGCGCGTCGGATCAAATTCCACAAGACGCAACTCTTGTTTCAGTCGCAACCTTATACTTAAACGAATGTTTGTAATATACATTGCTATGCTCTTACGTTCGGCTCATGTAACTGCCTTGGTATTCGGACCTAGAGCTGCGTTAAACGTTGCGCTTCCTTCTAGCGAAGCTTTTTGAAATGATAAATTTAAGCACATTTCTTGACCTTTACTGATGTAGCACCTGCTTCTATGTCGAGCACAGCCAGGCGTGACGAGGAGGCGGGGAGGGCCCTTCATCCCTCCAGCAGGTCCCAAACACAGAGCACAAAGAAACGAGCTGTGTCATCAAAATATGACGCTCATAAGGCAAGTCGGTGCTATGGTGGTGACTTTGCCGGGCAATGCGCAACACACCCATGCTGCTGCTAACAGGTCAAGGTCTGGCTGGGTGAGAAGCAAGATCACTACTACATCCTATCACGATTCCTCATTAGCCGCAGCCTTACGATTACGAAGATTCCTGGCACAAAGGTAACCGCAGGGCTTGCAAGCTGGAGCTGGCATTGCGCTATGCAGACGTGCAGCAACCCATGTCCCGGGCGCAACACCGCACGTATTTGTCTTGCAGGCTGTTAAGATCGCCCTGGAATTGAAGAAGCACCTGGTTGACCACGACAAGCTGAATGTCAGCCAGGTAACTGCCGTAGAGGGAAGCCAGCATGCTTGCATGACAGCTTGGCCGCCGCCCTGTCCTGGCCCCACGCACGGAATGTCTGCGTGCGCTCGGTTTACGCATACACCTCGGCTAAGCACGCGGTTCTATCAGTCTCGCAAGCTCAAGTGAGAACCACTACAAGGCTTCAATCCACCCACAACCCTTGGCCCCGCTGTCACCTCCAGGCCGAGCTGGAGGAAACCCTGTTCGCGCTCATGCGCGCCAAGGGCTACGGCCAGCCGTACATCGACTGCTACCGTACAGTCTCGCAGTTTTACACGCTTCGTCAACCGCTGGTCATCATCGTGTGCGGGGCGCCATGCACGGGTGGGGAACGGCCCCGTATGCAACCGAAGTCGAACGGACGGTGTCCCGACTAATGCCATGACAAATGCACAAGCTCAATCCTTGCACCTTCCTGCCCACCTGCTTCCCTCTAAACGCCTTCGCTATATCGTGACAAGCCGCTCTTCCCAGGCATCCCATCTCTGGCTCGCTCCCTCTCTCTCCTTCACCGCCTGCTGTCCCGCCTCGCATCCGCGCCCCAGGCAAGTCCACCATCGCCCAGCAGCTCGCAGCGCGCCTCAACATGCCCAACGTGATGCAGACGGACGTCATTTGCGAGGTGGGCTGGGGGCTGGGGGTCATTTGCTGAGGGGAGGGCTGACTGAGCGCCTGCCGGGGTTCCTGGGCCCGAATCGGACCTACCTAGCAGCCGAACCTCAGCCAGACCTAGCATTGCATTAAGCCCCTGGCTTCCTTTGCTGCTGTTCCCCACCCCCTGCCACCCCCCTGCTGCCGCGCAGCTGCTGCGTCGAAGCTCCGGCAGCACTCTTCCACCTCAGCCCCCCTGGAGCCGGAACACCACCCACCTACCCGCCACTGCTGCTCCTGCCGCTGCCGGCACCGCTCTTGCACCCGCCGCTGCTGCTCCTGTCATGCCCGCCGCCACTGCCGCCCGCGCTGCTGCTGCCAGCGGAGAGCCGGGCAGCTTTGGCGATGGCAAGGGGACGGCCGGTGTGCGGGGGAATGCATGCGACGATGGCAGCCAGAAGTCGTTGGCGCAGCAGCCGTTTGCTTCTCCAACAGCAGCAGCCTCCGAGCCGCAACCGCAGCCTGGGTCCGCCGCCTCCGCCTCCGTCGCCTCCTCCGCTGCGGCTGCAGCTGCCCCTCCAGCCCCAACAGCCAGGACGGCAGACAACACACCGGCTGGCCCTGACGCGCATGCAGGGGGTGAGGGAGAGGGGCAGCCGCCGCCGCAGCAGCAGCAGCAGCCGCATCCACAAAGCCAGCAACAGCCCTCGCAGCAGCAGCAAGAGGCCCCCCAGCAGCAGCAGCAGCAGTCGCAGCCGCCCTCCGACGTGAGCTCCTGGTTGCTTTCGGAGTTTCGGAGCGAGTGTCGGGTGGTGCGTCGCGCACTGCAGGGCGATTTCAACAAGGTGGGAGTGTTGCTCCTTGCTTGCCCGTGTAACATGTGTCCTTGTGTGCGTCCTCCCCTCCTGGCCTGCCTCCCATCTGCCACCACTCCATGCCTTGTCACATGGCTACGGTAGTTCTCCCCCTTTACCCACCTGCCACCCCACCTGCCACCCCGCCTGCCACCCCTCCCTGCAGGCCCTGACGGACGGCAAGCCGCTCATCGTGGAGGGCTCCCACCTAGACCCGGGGCAGCTGCTGGGGGAGCTGCAGGTGGGAGCGAGAGGGGGGCGGGGGAGGGCGGGGGCGGGGCGGGATGGGATGGGATAGCGAGCCGCAAATCCTCTCTATGTTTACGTCATATGCCGATCTACGCCCCCGCTACATGCTGGGGACCGGCCTGACGGCCCTAGTTCGAACCCCTACTAATATGTTAGCACGCTTTAGCGCTACCGACATGGGGTGTCCAGTGCCGGCGAATCTCATTTCTCACAAGCAATGCATGCGCGGTTGCCGCCGACGTCCCTACCTGCATCCCCCATCTCCCTCTCTCTCGCCTCCCTTCACGTCCAGGAGCTGGGTATCGTGCTGCTGCCCATGGAGCCGGTGCCCCTGACGCCCCTCAGCAGCCAGCAGAGCGAGCTCAAGTCACCGCTGTCTCCCTCGCAGCAGCAGCAGCTGTGGGGGCAGCAACTAGGGGGGTGGCAGTGGCAGCGCTCAGCACCCCAGCAGGTTCCTGAGCGGCAGCAGCAGCAGCAGTTGGAGGCGCCGCTGCTGCCGCCGCCGCCGCAGCAGCAGCCCGCTGCAGCGGAGACCTCGCTGCTGCATGGGAGCATGCTGCGAGGGACGGGAGGGGCTGCGGGGTCTGGCTTGGTTGCGGGTTCGACGACAGCAGTGGGGCCAGCGCCGCCGTCCGGGTCCTTGGACGCAGGTGCGATACCCAGGTCGCCGCTACGTCACCCGAGGTCACCTCGCCGCTACCAGCAGCAAGCATCGCCGACGCAGCAGCAGCAGCAGCAGCAGGCGCAGCAGCTAAGTGAAAAGCATGTGTCTTGGGGTCACCTGGCGGCGGAAATACTAGCGGCGAGCAGTGACCCACGGGTCCGTGTTCATGACGATGAACACGGGCAGGCGGAGCAAGGAGTTACGGGTGGGGAATCCGGCGCCGAAGATGACGTTGCTGACGGGGCATCTGACGTCAACAACTACGGCGATGCCGACACTGACGGAGCCGCCAGCGGCTGCACATCGCCGTCTCGTACGACACTCTCGCCGTCGCCGCCGCCGCCGCCATCGCCGCCGCCGCTTCCGCTGGCCTCGTCGGGGTCCATGAGGAGATCTCAGTCGCACCCGGTCATGTCGCAGATGGCGGCGGCGACCGCTGCCGCCGCCGGCGGCGACAACGACGATGGCAGCGGCCCCGGCGACATAGTTGACGGCGACGGCAGCGGGACGGATGCTGCCGTACAAGGGTTTGTCGCCGCCACTGGCGGCGGCGGCGGCGGCCTGACAGAGGCGACTGCCCGTCAGCCCGCCGCTGCTGGCTGCCCCTTGTCACCTCGCCGGCGTGGAGGCCTGTCGGGATGCTCTTCAGCTGCCGCCTCCGCCGGCGCCGCCGCTTCTGCCGGTCAAGTCTCAGCGCTAACCCCGTCCACCGTAGGGCCTCCCGCCCCACCAGCAGCGACAACGGCAACACCCGGGATGCAAGTTAGCGCTTTCGCCGGTGGTGGTGGCGGTGGTGGGTCATGCGGCGGTGGCGGTGGGTCAGGAGGTGGCGGCGGCGGCAGCGCTGGGGTCCGTGGCTTCGACCGCACGCGCAGCAGCCACTCGCTCCTGTTGGGCGCAACGGGGCCGGGTCCGGGGCCGGCGTCACGTGCCACACCGTCGCTTCCCACCTCCATGTCGTTCGGGCGGATGAGCAGCCTGGCTGCCGCGGACCTGCATGTGGTGAAAAACAGGTGAGCAGGTGCGGGGTAAAGGGGAAGAAGCTGGCGTGGGGTGGGGTGGGGTGCGGCGCGTGTAGCGCTGGTTGCGGGTGTTGGTGCAGGTGTGGCTAAGCGTTGCGGTGCTTTGGAAATCCGCTGACTGTTGCGGCCGTCGGCTTCCCTTTCCCCTCCTGCAGTCTGGCCGGCATCTTGCGGATGGGCAGTGTGGCCCGTGGGTCGCGACCCAGTTTGTCACCCAGGCTAGGACGCGAGGACACAACAGGTACGGGCGCGAAACAGCCTCTGGGGAACTGGGTCCACATGCAAGAATCCCAAACAATCGCTCCTAATATGATCCATGTTAATGGAATGCTGGAATCGATCTTACCTGCTTGCAGGCATGGGTGGCGGCAGCGGCGGACCCTCTCCCTGCAAGGCAGCCAGCGGCGGCGGCTCCGGCAGCGGCCGTTCTCCCTTCCTCGGCACCTTCAGCCTCTCCGCCGCAACGGGGCAGCCCCCCAGGCCCCTGCACCCTCGGCGGTCCTTCCAGGGGCACCGCAACGCGGCGGCGGGAGCCTCTCCCGGCACCTGGAGCGGGGGCGGTGCGGGAGGTGGTGCGGGAGGCGGAGGCGGTTGGGACGGCGACGCCGACACCGCCGCAGTGCAGCAAGCAACACAGGCCGGCGGGGCAGACGGAGAGATGGTGCTGACGCCGCGGGCGGCGGCGTCTTACGCTGCCGCTGCAGCGACGGCGGCGGCGGAAGCCGCCGCAGCAACGTCTCCGGCCATGGGAAGTGCGAGCAGCAGCCCCCAGCCGGCGGCAGCGCTACCGCCGCCGGCGGCTTCAACGGCTGAAGGGACTGAGTCGGCCGGGCCTGGAGCTGGTGGTGCGGTGGCGGGTGCTCCTGGCGGCGGCGGCGGCGGTGTGGGGCCTCGTGTCAGCGCCACCAGCAGCGGTGGGCTGGCGCTGCCGCCGCTGTTCGTACCCGTGGTGCTGCGGATGAGCGCGGTGGGTAGGGTATTCGTGAGATATGGGAGGCGGTGGCTTGATAAGGTCACTGTAGACTTGAGGGTAGAGCCGTTCCACGCACTACGCATCCGGACATTGTGTGTCGGCTCCTGTAGCAGCTCCATTGAACGCATGCTGCTGCTGTTGCTGTTTGCTCTCCGCTGGGGCTGCTGTGACAGCGCGCCGGAAAACATGCACCCCGCATTATCCCCATGTTTCTGGTGTTTACGTCCCAATTGCAGGCAGACCACCGATTGGCCCTAGAGGACAACACTGCCGTACAACCAGCCACCGGCGGCGGCGCCAGTGGCGGCGGGGGCGGCGGCGCTGGTGGCAGCAGCAGCGCTGGCGGAGGCGGCGGAGGCGGCGGTCCCGACGGTCAGGCCGACGGAGGCGATCCGGGCGAGGGTCCGGGTTCCGAGGAGGTCCTCCGACGCGCGCAGTTCATCCAGGACTACCTCTGTGGCTTTGAGGCGCAGGTCGGGCGGGGCGGGGCTGAGCTAGCCGCTGCGCCGTTGCTGTGCCGCTGCTAGTATACCAGTAGATACTACCATAGCATGCACGTATGGAGGCATTCACGCAATTTGGCTTGTTTGTAAGGGTGGTTTCAACGGCAGTGGTATCGGTAGCCCCAGGAGCATGGCCGGGGCTCTTGAGAGCTTCCCACCTTCACAGTGCTAACATCTGCTGACATGGGGTTGGCCTGCGCTGCGCCCCTCGTCCTCCTCCTCCTCCTCCTCCTCTGTACAGGGCCTGCCTGTGATTGATGTCAAGTACGGGGCTTTCGGAGAGGCCCTGGACATCCTGCATGAGTACGTGCTCATGTGCATCCAGGTACGGCGGCCGTGCGGACGGGCTCTAAGGCCCTAATGCTCTAAAGTGCTCTAAGGCTCTAAAGCTCTAATGCTCTAAAAGGCTCTAAGGCTCTAATGCCGTGTCGCGGCCAACCCTCATATCAGTCTTGCGTGGCTCATATCCCCCACTAGTCACAACTCACAAGGCTTCGTCGAATGCACGCACTCACGTGCCTCACACACACGTGCCTCACGTATCCCCCACCACCTCATGGGACCGCAGGCGGCCATGGATCAGCTGTGCAGCGAGATGACCGGTGGGGCCGGCAGCAGCGAGGGACCGCCACCCTCCGCGGCACCCAAGACCGCGACAGGGGCCGGCGGGTCGGGCGCCTAAGCTGCTGCTGCCGCGCCTGCTGCTGCGACGTCTTTTAGTGCGCCCGCTGCCAGTCCCCCTGGCGCTGCTGTGCCGGAGAAGCGGATGCCGGTTAGGAGGTGTCAGGAGGTTCAGCGGAGGGCGCTCCTGGAAGAGGGTGGAAGCTGCCGTACCTGCTGGACCAACAGGGGCCATACGGGTTTCGGGGCTTGAGGGTGCCTGGAGGGTGTCAAGTTTGGGCGTCTCAGGAGAGGAGTGAGATGAAGCAGTGTACGATTAGTCAGGATTGTTTATTGGTGGCAGGTGAGGGCGCTTTGCCCCTCGTGCGCAAGATTAGAACGCATGGCATGCAGGTCTGCCTGGCCTGTTCCGTGATATGGGTATGGCCCCGGGGTCCACTAAAATGAATGTAGGAGCAGGCAGGAGCATTGCAGAGATGCAACGTTTTTCACCTGTACTTGGAGCCCACCCTCGCTATGTTTCTTGTCCGGGGACTGTTATATGAGGGCTGCTTGTAGGAAGGAAAGCTTGTTAAGTAGGGGACAGAGACGTTTGGTTCACTCCCTAACAAACCGTGCGCCAGCTGCGTCTTTAAAGCACGCGGGATGGTGACATGGATATTTGGAGCAGTCAGGAGCCAGGAGCGATAGACAGGCAGGCCAGGGATTAAAGGGCACCGCTTCTGGGCGTTTTATGCAAGCAAGTATAGCTAGGCTAATTCTAGCAATCTTGATTTCACCCTAAAGGTGTGCTCGTCATTATTGTTCCCAGGACGGGGTCGAAGATGTCTAGTTTACCCTTAGCAATGCGCCCCAAGCATTGTTGAGACGTTGCTGCCTTGTACTTATCCGCAAGCCCGTAACCTGGACCCACGGATCACATGGCCGAACGTACGTGTGTCTGCCGCTGTTGTCAACTAAACAGCCGTAAGTTTATCAAGCTTCACTCAAGCTACAAGAAGGGCTTCAGTGCCATTCGCTATCCTTTTCTGCCGGACACCGGCCGTTGGTCCTGATCACCTGCACCAGCGCGCATTGCTCCTATAACAACAGCTGAGTAATAGATGGAGGTGAACCATATATATACGACTAACTGGTTATAGCATTAAGACTTTCTGCGCTCTGCAGGATCCAGTCCGTTTTGGTACCTGCCCTTTTGACGTCTTAACTGGAAAACAGCTCTGAAGGCGAACTGGTTACGAATATAGCTAGGATAAACACTTCAGACTTGCCTATCGTAGAAGGGTCAAGCAGTAGTACCAATCAATTCGGTCAAGGCGGCAGTATTTGCGCACATAGAGGCCATGTCTAATAGAGGTACGGTTATATTTAACATAACACTTGAACACATTTGTGCGGCTTCTTGCTAACCTGGCTCGGTGCCTGTAGGTGGAGGCTGGGGCAACAACAGAAATAATGGTGGTGGTGGCTGGGGTGGTGGCGGCCGAGGAGGGGGAGGAGGCGGAGGTGGTGGCAGAGGGGGCGGTGGCGGAGGCTGGGGTGGTCAGGTGAGCCAATCCAGACCGCTGCCCAGTGCTGCTGCGTCTCCCTGTGTACGACAACCGGGATCCGATTGATCCCTCCCACGTGAACTTCTCTAGGCGTTATTATGCAACCGCAAACGTCTTCCCTTGCTCCTGTCACTCCCCCTAGGGAGGCGGCCGCGGCGGCGGTGGTGGTGGTGGTGGCTGGCAGGGCCAAGGTATGCGGAAGAGGAGGGGGCTGGTAAACAAGGAACGCGACCCTTCTTGACCAGGGCCACAAAGCCATCCTCTGTCCAAATCCTACCGTCTTCTGCCTGCGCCCGAAACCCCGAATGGCCCACCCCTTACTCGGAGGCCTATGCTCACAACTCCTGATCCACTGCCCTGTGTGCTGCGCCGCCCGCTGGCTCACGTGCTGCACGCAGGCAACCGCTTCGGAGCTCTGCAGAACGATGGCGGCGGCGGTGGTGGCGGCGGCGGCTTTGGAGGCGGCGGGTGCGGGGGCGCAGACGGGCGGTTAATGCACGCACAGGCTTATGCGCTTATGCTTCAAGTGTGCCGGTATTGGTGCTAGACTCACACACACATCCAGGGAGGGCAGTGTGGGAGGGTGTGGAATGGGTGCAGGCGACAACGCTCTTGCGACATGCAAGGCCTGCAAAAGGCAACGCGCACAAGCGCTAAGGCAGCTCTCCCAGTCCAATCCACCGCCAATCCACCGCATGCTCTTCACTCCTCACCATGTGTTTTTGAACCGTGCCCGAAATCGTCCGCCCGTACCAACCGCCGTGCAACTGCGCTGCGACGCTGACACCCGCGTGTGTGCGTGTGTCCGCGTCCACAGCTCCCACAGCTTCGGAAACCAGCGCCAGCAGCAGCAACAGCAGCAGCGCGGCGGTTGGGGCGGTGGTGGTGGTGGTGGCGGCGGGGGCAGTCACCCTGGGGAGAGCCCCGAGGAGGCAGTCCGCAGCGATATGCAGGGCGAGCGACCCGCCTGGCTGCTCAGCTGCTACGGCCACAGCCGCGGCGGCGGCAACGACCTGACGGGGGACGTCTCGTTTGAGGAGGCGCGCTGGGCTAACCTGGGGGTGCGTGCCGCTGTGTATGGTGGGGTGGGGGGTAAGAGGGGAGCAAGAGGTCGTGGTGGTGGTTGCGGTCATGCTAGGCAATGCAAGGCGTGGTTCCCCTCTGAGCTACCGACCCCGCGACTCCGGGCTGCCCACTGCCGCCGTGTGTTCCGCTGTCCCCGTGCCGTTGTCCGCGCCCCCGCAGCTCCCCATGCACGGCCCTGTCGTTCCGTCCTCCTCCTTTCACCCTCACCACCTGCCCCCCTCCTGCCTCCCTTCTTATGGTTTGGTATGGTCTTTGACCCCCGCCCCCCAGGACCTGCGGTCGGGCCGCACTCCGCTGTCCATCAATGCGGACTTAAAGGGCGCGGTGCGGGCCAAGCAGGAGGAGATCAACCAGCTGCAGGCGGTACGGCAGGGGGAGGCAGGCAGGGGTGAAGATAGGAAAGTGGACAGGCGGTAGAGCAGGCGGTGGGGGAGGGGAGTGGACATCGCTAGCACACCTGATACCGTACCCGCACCATGCACCCCGCGACAAGCGCACCCTCCCCCCTTCCCATCTTCACGTGTCATATCCCACACAGCGTGCTCGCGACCGTCGCGGCCCGCCGCTGCCCTCGCTGGGCGGTCCCCCCATCCACGTCCACAACGCCTGGGCAGCGCAGTTCTCCGCAGCCGCAACCCCCGGGGCGTCCCTGCCGCAACCCGCGGTCGGTGGCGGCTTTGGCGCGGCACCCCCACAGCCGCTGCAGGCCCCGGGGGCACCCGGCGGGGGCTTCGGGACGGGATTCGGGCAGCCGCAGCAACCGGCAGCAGCAGCCGGCGGTTTCGGGCTGCCCATGCAGCCACCCCAGCCGCAGCAGCAGCCCCAAGCAGCGGGAGGATTCGGGTTCGGGCAGCAGCCGGCACCGCAGCAGCTGCAGCCGCAGGGAGGGTTCGGGCAGCCGGCAGTGGCAGCGGCGGCGCCCGTAGCAGCGGGGTTTGGAGGCCAGTCATTGTTTGGCGTGGGAGGAGGGTTTGGGCAGCCGGCCGCAGGCGGCGGAGGCAAAGGTAAGGCGCCAGCACAGCTGGTAGAGACCTCATGTTTCCTGTGCGGAAAGGTCTCGCTGCGTGAGACTTTTAACATTCACCCATCCCCTGCGTTGCAACACGCTTCAGGTTTAGCGTCTACCAACGCAGCTTCCGTGTTTTCCTGCATGCTTTGCTTTACATACCTCACGCACTTAAGCACACTTGTTTGTCACCCCAACCATACCAAACCTCCACTTCCTCCTCCCCCCCGTTCCCTCAGGCAGCTGGGTGGGTCAGGGAGGTGGTTTCGGAGCCCCCTCCGCCCCCGCCTCGGCAGCGCCCGGGGTGCTATTCGGCCAGCCAGTCGCTCCTTCCGCACCCCCCGCAGCGGCTCCCACCCCACCGGGCGGGTTCGCAACCACCATGCCCTCCTTTCCCCCCGCCCCAGCCGGCGCCGGCGCTGGCGGCAACAGCCTCTTCGGTGTTCCCACGCCTCCTGGCGGCGGAGGCGGTGGTGGTTTCGGATTCGGGGCTGCAGCGGGTTTCGGAGCCGCTGCCGGTGCAGCTGCTGGCCAGCCGGCCGCTGCTGCTGGAGGCATGTTCGGCTTGGGTGGTGGTGGCATTGGTGGCGGCGGCGGTGGGGTGCAGGCGGGGTTCGGCTCACCTGGTGCCGTGGCGGCGCCGCCGGGTGGGAGTGCAGCCGGTGGGGCGGTGGCGGGGGCAGCAGCGGGCGGCGGTGCTGGCGGGAGCGCAGAGGCGGATGTGGAGGCGTTTCGCTCCGCGGCATTCACGCTTGGGAAGGTACGGATGGGCACGGGGGGTGCCATGGAGGGCGCAGGGGCATGTGCTGGCATGTTTCCTGACGTTCTGCTTTTGCATGCTTACATGTCAAGTCATGTGACGTTACATTTGAGGCCTTAAAGTAGAGGGCAGGGGCAACACGTTAAGGGGTGCACGCTGCTTGGCCGCTGCAGATTCCCGAGGCGCCACCACCACCGGAGCTTTGCTGCTGAGGAGCTGCGGCGAGAGAGCACAACGCTGCATCAACGCTGTTCCAAGCTTGCCCTCGGCTGTGAAGTAGCATGTCACGTCATGTTACAATGGGAAGAGCTTTGTCAGAACGGGTTTTGGGATGTCCAGAGCCTGTGGCTGTAAATCTTATCAGCCGTATGTTTGCAGCCTCCGCATTCATCCTATAGAAACAACATGCAGACCATGGTCAACTCGATGTCAACGCATCCGGGCTCCCCATCTAGCAATGGCCTCAAGTAGAGCCAAAAGTTTGTTGACAGCTTGGATGATAATGCAGCTCTGTAGGCGTGCAACTTGCAATAAAAAAACTGTGAGGCAGGTAACCTCGCAAGCACGCTACTACATTAATGACTGCCAGCTTAGAGCTTCCACCCTACTTGCAACACCATCCTCCTAACCCGGTCATACCTCTACCTATCCTGAAACCAATCCCCTGGAAACAAAAGGGACACAGTTCTGTACGCCCCTAGAACTCGACACGGAAAACATGCTTCTTTTCCTTGGGTTTCCCCTGCGCCTCCTCAATCGTCCATGTGCATGCCTGGATGGCATCGGGGTTGTCGCCGGTGCAAACGCCTCGCATGATCTCGGAGCCTACTTGTACCATAGGCCCAAATTCGAACACTGAAGATGGCCGCGGCATCTGGGAAAGCACGGGGTCCGACTCGTAGGGGTCCTGTTGCAGCGAGCTGACGTGCGGCCCGCTAGTCACCGCCTCCTGGGGCTTTGGCTCCTCCTCGGGCTTCTTGTCCTTCCCAATTCCGAACACCATGGTGAGCGCCGCTGTACGGTGGCAAAGGCTTCCGACGCCTATGAATGAGAGAGCCTAGAAACAACTAACTCGCGGTTCTGCTTTTTATGTAGCTATGAATGCAAGATTGTGGAATTGATCAAGGCTTTGCTTGTGTTAGCAGTTGGCGTATCCGGCAGGCTACCACGCAAGCACGGTGCTGAGCAACTTGGGACGTCTGCAATGCTTGAAACGTGCATACAATATGATGTTATTGGCGTAACGTTTCAGACAATTGACAGGGAAATGAACAGTAAGCCGTCCGGGCCTTATCGGTATTAACTATGGGCTGCTATGCGCATTTGGGCGAACACATGCTACACAAAAATGAAATTGTTATAAGGATACTCGGGGACCTCATTTCGTATGCTTCTGCATAGGCGCTTGTAGTCACATGTGTCATGCCGATTCGAGAGGCAGGGCCAGCGTGTAAGCGGAGCCCTAGCACGCAAACGTTTGTAGCAATGATGTCACTGTCGCTTAAAATTCTACTCTAACGCACTCGAATATGCCGTGTCCCAAGGCCCCAACTTGGCGACCCGGGGGTCCAATGGGTGTGACATGCTGTAACCCAAAGGCGAACCTTCACGGTCAGTGTGCCGGCAAAGAGCTAAACCTTGTGGCCTTCCGCGAAGGCAAGCTGAAAGAGAGTGGCTGGGCTGCTGCTGTTGGGGGCCTTGGCGCGCGGTTCCTTGCTTTAAGCTGTCTGTACGCAAGACAACGGGCGGAAATGCACGGCCTCCCAACTAGCGTTACAATTACAGACGTGCGTTCTTGACTCACAGGTATGCCCCCTCGTCTCTGCCATTCAGTACCAGGGTAGTGGAACAGATCAGCAGTGGGCGCCGAGGTAAATGCTCTACGCTGGAGAAGGATGCATCAACCCTAGGTCAACCGTCGTACAACCATCACTGTCGCAGTCTTCCCCAAACATTCGATTGCGTATGGGGCACGGCGAATCTCGTGCAATCCGAAGGAATGAATCGAGCTCAAAAGGCGATCGAGTCCACGGCAAAACTATGAAATGAATCGTACGTTTGTCCCAGCACGGCACGTTTGTCCTAACACCGTATCAACATGCAAGATGCAACCGCAGCCGTTATAGATTAACGCCACCACTCGCCGCACCATCAGCTGCACGACGGTCATAGCTGCGACGTGAAAACCCAGGGGAGCCTTGCAGCCCCGGAAAGAGGGTACGAATGTACGGAGGAAAACTCAGGATCCAGGAGAAACGCACGTAACAACCGCACCACATCATCACCACAACCAAGGATCACCGCAAAAGTATTTCCCCGAGTCCCCTGCACCCTGTATCCCGGCCGCAGTGACTGGAGAAATGTGTCGTCGCAAAACACAGCGTCTACTACCCAGCCAAAGACAACCGCACGCACGCATATTATAACTATTCCCGCAGAGGTTCCCGGCCTAGTTGAGGACTCTTTGCGGCGCCACTTGTGTATTATACCGATATTATACCGATATGACGCGTTGTCCGTCACGTCTCAGCTTTCCCTACGAGCACACAGTCGCGAAACACGACTAAAAACCGCCCGCTGACGCTCTTGAGCACCCCTTGGACGACCCAAATGATACAGCCCTCGACCTGCCCTCCTTGATAATAATGCCCTCCTTGATACGAATGATACCGCTTCCTGGGTTCAACAGGAATCCACAGGGCAACAACCCCGACCTCCTCGCAAAACGATAGAGCTGCCGCTGCTGCTGTCCAAAACGAGGAGAAACGTGCGCCGCTATCCACGCAGGGGTAAGGGCGACGGATGAAACAGGACACAGGACACAAGACCTGGTGCATAGCCCGCATCGACAACTCCCTCCGCTCCCACCCCCGCCCCACCGACATGATCTCCTGCCTTCCTACCTGACACCTCCATGCCACCCACTGGGCCCTGCACGCCCTACTCATCTTACTCATGGACAAACACAACACACCGCACATGCATGCACAAGTCCTGATACACGCATGCGGTCGCCTCACAGCTCACCTGTTTCAGCGCTGTACCGTCTCAGTATTACCACGTTTACTGCAGTGCAATAGGGCGCAGCGCTTGGCAACAAGGCTACGTGATCCCGACGGGTGTGCATCTCGCTGATCTTATTGCCCGCACCACCATTTCCGCCGCATTATCAGCAGAAGCAATCCTGTAAGCGGGAGACCCGTGCTGTCAAGCGCGGGTCCCACCAAGGGCAGGCTTCCCGACGGGCATTCCTCTGCAGGGCCAAGCCCCTCTCCCGCCGGCTCCATGCGCCGCAGCTTCCCCGGAACAAAACATCTCGTGCATCTCGCACGCAGGTAGCGGTAGCCCCCAGCTCCCTTACCAGCAAAGCGCATATGCATTTCAAAAGGCACACCCCTCGCGGCCAGTTTTGATTATACAACCCTTAGAAGCTTCCAAGATGCCAAGATGCGCAAAGATATATGACGTGGAGGTTCGCACCTAGGTTAGGTTTGTGCGTGCAGCAGCAGCAGCAGTACAGCTGATGCGTTTGTCGGCCCGCCTTGCCGGTAAGGGCCCGATGCGGCCGATGCTGACACGCAGCAGCAGCAGCAACTGTTGCTTCACCAACTGTTGCGCGGCTAGTAAGTCCTGACAGAATCCTTCAGATAGCAGCCAAGCAGCAAACCCGCTGGAACCAGCAGCCGCGGCCATGCAAGGCACACCGGCAAGCACCAGCACCCGCAGCAGCCGCCAGCAGTCCTAACAGCGTTCCGCCCACTCAACCCGCCCATTCACGCAGCCAGCCGCCGGATCGTGTACACTCGCGTCTTGCCGCTTCCCTCCCAGAAGCTGGGGTGCGTCTCAATGCAGGACACCTCGCACAGCTCCACCTCCCACCCAGCTGCCCGCGGGAAGCAGGTGTGCACGTCGGCTGCCCGCACCCTCCGGAACCAGCCAGTCCGCGTCTCCTCCTCGCTCACCGCGCTCAGGTACAGCACACCGCCCGGCCGCAGCAGCGTCCGCAGCACCGCCGCGTAACGCTCCCGGTCGCCGTCGCCCAGGGTTTGGAAGGTGAAGGAGTCCAGGACCACATCGAACAGCACGCCGCGGAGCTCCTCAGGCAATCCGCCGCTAGCCTCGCTGCTGTCGCTACCGCCAGCACTGCCGCTGGCGCAAAGCCCGTTATGGCTGCTGCTGCTGCTGGTAGTGGTGGCGGTGCTGCTGCCTGCAGGGGCGGATTCCGTGGCGTTGCTGGGGGTGGTAGTGGTTGCGGCAGCGGGAGGAGGAGTGGTGGTCGTATCGGCAGTGCTGCTGCTAGGACTGGTGGTTGTCGTGACGGCAGTGCTGGCGGCAGCAGCAGCAGCGAGGGACGTCCCTGCGGCGGTCATGTCCGCAGCGGCAAAGGTGACGGAACCCAACATGCCGCGTAGGCTGGCCTTGGCAGCGCAAAAGTCCAGACAGCGGGGTACGACGTCCACGGCAATGACGCGCGCGGAGGGGCAGGCGCGAGCGATGTAGAGCGCATTGTCGCCGATGCCGCAACCGACGTCCAGCACTCGCCCGCTGAAGGCGTGTCGTACAGCTAACTCACGGACAAACTTCTGAGGCCTGTTTGGCATGAAGGTGAGGTGTTGGAATTAGGATTGGGCATGACGAGATTTCTTAGAGAGCCAGTGAGCGGAGCCGTGTGTTGGTTGGGCCGGGGTGATGTTCCATACGGTGAAACGTTGGGTGCTTAATGTTCGACCTTCCTGGGACGCCTTCGTTCCCAAGCCCTAGACACACGCAACCCACCGGTGGATCTCCCAGGGAGCCAACCCGGTCCCCGATATGCGGCGGATGAACTGCGAGAGCGTAAGACGCAGGAGGAGGGAGTCAAAGGGCGGGCAAGGGGCAAGTGAGAAGGGCTGGCAGGCCACACTGGGAAAGGTGAACGCGGCGAAGCGCAAGAGAAAAGGACTGCAATGCTGGAAGTGGTGTAACAAATTGTAGGCGTATACTTATACATCAGACCTTCACTATTTAACCCGGAACTATGCTCAGTCGGTTGGCTTCCCAATGCGAAGAAGTACTGCCGCCGCAAGGTTTAGCCCGCATACAGAGAGTAAATGCTCGTGCAAGATGTACCTGGTGCTTGTGTGTAGAAAGCAGGGAATCCGGCTTGTCCGTGGCAAAGAACTTCAGTACCGTATCGAGGTCGAGGATGCCATTGCCCTCGTCTCCCGCCAACGGTAAATCTAAACCCAACTCTTCTCCAACCGAGCTCAAGTCTGAAGCAGACATCATCTCGTCTGTCCCGTTGCTATCGCAGCGTGAGGGAACCGCGTGACCCACGTCAGCTCCCAAGCTTTGCAAATTAACTAGACAAGCGTTTTGGTGAAAAGGTGCTTCAATTTGTATAGTGCTCATTCCAGAAAGGGAATGGCAATGTGCTATGTTTTGCAGCCAATAGTTCAAAGGAAGTTATCGGCAGGACGTCTATCTGCATCCAGGTTGCTGTTGAAGCATGTTCGCTGGAATGTTATGTGGGGATTGAACGCGAGTAACCGGCACCGTTTCAAGCGTCGTACCTAGTTACGACAAGATTTTTCCTTATTTCCGCACTACGTGCCCTACAAGCCCGGAAACCAGCTGGGTGGCTTGCAGCTTAGTGCTACGGTAGTGAATATTATCCTGGATACTGTCCGTTATTGTACAGCAAGTCGTGCAGGCTGACAGTTTGTGGCTTGGCGCTGTGGCATGTCCTGAGCCCCCCCCCACTATTGGCGCCAGGGGACAGCACACAACGACGATTTTCAGTATGGACAGTTGGGCATCGTCGCAGGCCGTTCCGGGGTTCGGGGCCATTCAACTAGGGTTTGCGGCGCTGCTTGCCGTGATTTGCAGCGTAATGGCTTAGCGCCTGGCAACCATGTGCCAGCTTGCTCCTTACTGCTCCCTACTCCTCATTCCTGCCATAGCCCATCATTGAAAGGGCCTCACGGATCACCCTACCTAGGACAGAACACCTAGAACGGAAAGCGCCGTTGGTAGGCCTTTCTACCCAGCTCGGTCCCCTCACAGTCAACAGACGGCCAGCCTGCGTGTTAACATATGTACACGGCCCCCGTGGTGCACAGCGGCGGTAAAACGGCAAGCAACACACTAGAGAGGGGCGCTCTGGAAGCCGCTGCCCTTGCACTGGCTGCAAAGCAGCATTCCTTTTCCCTTGCAGACCTTGCAAGCCCCTCGACTAGCCATGCGTCCTAACCGGCTTGTTCGTTTCGAGGGCCCGTCCTCATAGAGCTCGTTTGACTCGAGAGATGCAGTAGCTGATGACGATTTGCCGTCTCCGCCGCAAGCAAAGCATCTTGTGCCGCCGGTTCCCTTGCAAAGACTGCAAGGAACGGGATCTTTTCTTACTCCACAGTACACGGCTACGCTTACGGTGCCCATGATTGCGCTGCCCACGACGATGTCCTGTAAGCAAGGGCCGGGCCCGCGTTAAGCAGTTGTGAACATAAGACAAATCGATGGTTCGCTGCAGGTCATATCTATCTAATATAAGGAAAGGTCTGCGTCGAGGCTGGGTCGTCACACGCAAGCATATTGCATCCGTCGCACGGATGGTCATACCTGGAAGGCCTCCGGTGCAACAGCTTTGCAGTCGACTGGCCTCCTCCCGAACAGCCTAATATGATGTATAAAAGGCGGTAATTGTCGGCTTAACGAACTGGTTGGTGTGCGTGGTTGTGGCTGAGGCGAACGGATACTCTTTTGCATTATGGGCTATCTAAATGGGTTAAAACCACAACGAGGGTAACTTGTCAGGAGTGGGCAAAGTAACGATTACCCTCGACTTGGATAAGATGCTTAACAAACACCCTGTCTTGAATGAGACGCGCCGCAGTAAATGCAAGCCTTTGTCGGTTTGTCATGCAGCATACCAAATACTGCACACTTGTCCAAACTGCCGAGCTACACCGAACAACGATTGTACGGCGCGAGGCGTGTGGTTGTAGCTTTACCTGCCGCTGGCCCGCGGCCCGATGGCCAACGGGGCATTCCCAGTCCTCCGAGTCGCTCAATGAGCCTGTGTGCTGAGCGCTGAGCCGCTTGGCACAACCGAAGCGAGTGCCTTACAAACCGCAGCGGTACTGTAACGCGGTTGCGCAGAACACCTCAGAACCCTGAAAACCCGGCTTGCTGCTAAACTCACGGCGAACTACCTGCCTGAAACCACCCTAAAGACGCAGTGATAGGATTGTTACAACAGCCGCATCGACCCGGTAACCCGCAGACCCGCAATGGCCTCTTGACAGCAGCTACATCGAACATGCACCTGCAACACCTAAAACATTTGCAAAACATTTTTCAGCTGGATCCGATCCGAGTGTTGTACGGCACTGTGCGGGGTGTACGGCGTCCAAAACACGACACCGCGGCCACCACTTTCTGGAGACCGCAACCCCCGCGCACATCAGCAGTAACAGCTCCGCTAGTAACCGCTCACACACGCACTGCCCGCTGCTCACACAACCCGCTCCGAAACTGCATTCAAAGGAAAGGAAACCCCGCTCCCTACTGTCCGCATTCGTCCGCAGATCCAATCCTGCCTTCCCTCTCCTTTAAGGAAGCCGCCTCGAGGGAGCCGCAAGCTGCTCCAGTCGGTTACCGTAACCACCTACTCATCTGTCCGTTCGAAGTACCGGCGGTGACCACTGCTAACAAACCCAACTGCCACTGCCACTGCCACCCCAACACTGTCTGTCTCCTATCTACTTCTGCTGCTCGCTGCCAGCACCACCAACAGCCGCAGCAGCAGCAGCTTTAGCTTCCGCAGCCCGCTTGCGCCCCTGCGTCGTGTCCTCGTCCCTGCAGAGGGACACGGGAGGTACCAGCCATGGGGGTTACGAGCCGTACGCGCCGGGTGTGCGAGGCATCCAGACATGCGCATACGCAGTACCTTCCAACTCCACACGAGCACAGCACATGCCACAACACCAGGACTCACCACACAGCAGCAGCAGGAGGAGGGCCTGCATGCCGGCATGATACCACAAGACCCAACTCTCCTCCCCGTGCATTGTCTGCTTTCCTCACTACCCACCCCTTGCTCTTACTATACCCCTCCCTCCCCCCCTACCTGGGCAGGTCCGCATCCTCCGCAAAGTACCTCCGCTGCCGCTCATCGAACAACAGCTCCATGGCACTCCAGCTCAGCTGCTGCGCGGGAGGCCGCCGCACCCACCAGTCCAGATCCAGTGCTAGCGCGCCGTACATGGGCCCCCCGAAGCGCTCCTCCGCCGCCCGCACCTCATCCAGCGGGGGAGGCGGGAAGGGTGCGTCAGCGGCTGCTGCGGTTGCCTCTTGTTGTGGCTGCTGCTCCTTGCTGTCTGCTGCGGCTCCTTCTACTCCCGCCGTCACCCAGCGCCGTACCGCCAGCAGGCGCTGCCGTGTCTCCGGGTGTAGCAGCGCGTCACGGACCTGGGAGGCGGGTGGAGTGGAGTGGGGGAGGTGGGGGGTAGGGAGGGGAGGGGAGGTGGGGGGAATGGCAGGGAAGGACAAAGAGGTGGGGGGATGGTAAGGGGGGAGAAACCCAGATTCCACACATACCCCAACAGCTCCCACTGCCCTGCACCTCGTACGCCCGCCTCAGTTAACTTGCATCCATTCGCCAGGGGCTTCACCAGGGTGTAGTTGCAACTACCGTTCAAGGCATGGTGCCGTACTCCTTCTTCTTTCCCTCCCTCCCCCCCGCCCCCCCTCCTCCTTCTCCCCCCTCCCCCCCCGCCCCCCTCCCCCCCGCCCCCCCCCCTCACCCTCTCCGCCGCCTCCTGCGCCGTGTTGCGGCCCACCAGGTCCACCACGTCCAGCCGACCCATCACCGCGCGCGACACGGCGGCCAGGGTGGCGTCGTCCAACTCCAGGGGGGGAGGGCCGGGGGAGGGGGCGCCCCGGAAGGAGGCCTGGACAGGGGGGGGAGGAGGGGGGTGGGCGATTGAAGGTTGAAGGAAGACGGGAAGCACGCAGCTACCATGAACCATCTGTGTGAAATGATTACCGGTACAAGACAGACCAATAGACACAGTCTCTGCTTCTACCTCCCTCCCTGCTTAGTCAGTTAGTTGTTTCCTCTTTTCCCCCTTCTCACCATGGTGAAGCCTCGTCACCCAGCTCGTCCCCACCCCACCCCTCACACCCCCTCCCTCACCATGCCCATGCTGCCCGCCCCCGGCACTCGGAAGCTTGTCTGCGCCGCCCTGCCGCTGACGCCGCCGCCTGCCGACCCTGACAGACCCACGGGTCGGCCCTGCTCGTCCAGCTGCCCCGCCTGCTGCTCCCCGGTTAGGATGATGTGCGGCACCTGGCCCAGCACCTCCTGTGCGGGGGGAGGGGAGGGGGGAGGGGATCCGGAGGAAGGAGGGGCAAGAGGGGGGCGGTCACAGACCATAACAAGGGGGCTGTGAGGGCGGAAGTGAGGCGGGGAGGGGGCAGCCAGGCATGGAAAGCAGCAGCAGCAGCAGGGAGTGACGACGGTGGGAAGAGCCCCCCCCCCCGACACCCCCTTCACCCCCCCTGCTGCTGCCCCCACCTTGAGGATGGGCAGGAAGTCCGAGGCGGCTTCCTTCACGGCTGCCAGCGCCCGCACCGCCTCCTCACTCAGCGGACCCCCTGCGGCCGCCGCCAGCACCTCACCGCCCGCTGCCGCTGCAGCAGCGGCAGCTGTTGTGGAGGCAGGGGTGGAGGTAGAGGTGGAGGCTGGTGGAGGGAAGGTGGTGGCGGGTGACGGGAAGGTGGAGGAGACGGAGGATGCGGAGGCGGGTGAGGGGGCGGGTGGCGGCTCCAGCGGGTCCAGTGGGGTGCTCTCGATGATCTCAATCAGTCGGGAGCCTGGTGGAGGGTGGGGGGAAGGGAGGCGGGAGGAGGGGTGTCGGGTAGATGACCTCTGGGAGGTCAGGGAGGAGTGTGGTGTGAGTGCCCAAGTACCGGCTGCTAGGGTCCCCGCCTTGGGAGCTGCACGGCGCACCCCACAGGCGGGGTAGGTTGGTGCGCGTGGAGGGGTAGGGCCGGCTGCTCATAGCCCCCCGGCTGCATGGCACCCCTGCCCGCCTTCTCCCCCTCCCTTTCTTGTCCACTGCCATCCCCTCCATACCCCCCCCTCCGCGCCCCCCCCCTCTCACCGCTGATGCTCTCCCCCTCCGCGCCCAGCATCTCCGCCGCCACCCGTGTGATGGCGGAGCGGCGGGCCACCACCAGCCGCAGCGACCGCACCCAGGCGGCCTTCAGCAGCGTCAGGGTCAGCTTGTGGTAGCTGGGGGGGGCGGGGGAGGGGGGAAGGGGGGGAGGGGGGGAGGGCAGTTGTCAGGGGTTGAAAGGTAGGATTTGTGAGTTGGGGGAGATTGGAGGTGGGGTGGGGTGGGGGCGCAGGGACGAGCGGCCCACCAAGGAAGCAAGGGCGGCATGCATGCATGCAATGAAGCATGTGTGCTGGCTCGCGGCTGCTACATGCACACGGACCGGCACTCCTCCCCCCCGTCACCCTCCCGCCACCCTCCCGCTGCTTGACCCGCCCCGCTACACTGCTAGGTCCCTCCCTAGGTCCCTGCCTCACCCCTTATCACACAACGCATGACGCTTCTGCCCCCCCCCTCCCCCAGTTGCTGCACTTCTCATTTATTTCCCCCTCCCTACGTTGTGTGCTGCTACTAACTATACACAATCCTAAAATCCAGCCTAATGCGGCATATGCATCCCTACTACCCCCGGTCCCCCCTCACCCCAGCTCCTCCTCGAACCCCAGCGCCAGCGGGTCCTGCCGCCAGCGCCCGTCCGGGTCTCGCCCCATCCAGCAGGCGGTGTGCAGCGGCGGCATGCGGCGGTAGCGCGGGTGCGCGGAGCTGTGGCGCACGCAGTAGTAGGCCAGCTCGAAGCAGTCCGCCAGGGTTTGGGCTGGGCAGCGGGGGGAAGGGGGGGAACAGGGGAGAGGGGAGGGGAGAATTGGAGGGTGTGAAGGTAGGGGGCGAGCGCTGCCTTCTCCAGCCTACTCCCGGGTCCCCCACCTAGTTCTCTCCATCCCCTCTCCCCTCAGCCAGCGTCATAAACCTCCTTGCCTACCCCCTACCCCCGCCCTCCATCCTCCCTTTTCTCCCTTCTTTCCCTCCCCCCTCACCCGTAGCCAGACTGGCCCCCTCCCTGCCGTACAGCGCCACCTCCAGCGCCCTGCCCGCGTACAGCGGCACCAGCAGACCCGCCACGTGCAGGAACTCGCCCAGCGGCTCGGAGCCCACGGGGGCGGCGTTGGTCTGGGGGGGAGGGGGAGGGGGGGGGGTGACAGCAGACGGGGGGAGATGTGACATGGGGGAAGATGGGGGTTAATAGGGATACATACGCCGTATTTGGCTGGAGATGGGGAAGGGAGGGAAGAGGTGAGATGGGGGAGGGGTCACGTGTATGAGGGTGTTTGAGGGGAGGATGGGAGGAGTAGTAGCGAGTTGGGTGTTCCGCAGGCAGGGGAAGATGGGAGGGAGGGAAGGCCACCAGGGGCAGGACGTGCAGGGGAAGGGAAGGGCGGGATGGGAGAGGGTTGCATGACGCTAAAGCAGGGCTGCAGCAGCAGCAGGTGGCCCCCTGCCCCCCATTACCTCCCCCCCCACCTTCACCCCTGCCCCACCCCCCCTCACCTTGTAGTGTGTCCGGAAGCTCATGAGCTCCACCTCCTGCGGGTGCTGCTGCAGCTGAGCCCGCTCCTCGTCGCCTGGGGGGCAGGGGGGACAGCAGGGGGGGGCGGGTTGGAGGCAGGGGGTTGGGGGAGAGCGGGGTGGGGGCGGGGTGCGGGTTGGAGCAGGCAGGCAGGCAGGCGGGTGGGGGCGCATGTCTGCAGCACCACGGGGATCTGCCAGCGAGGGCGGAGCTGCTGCTGTTGCGCTGCACCCGCTGCCCACAACAGCCCTGCAGGGCTCCACCCCAACCAGCAACCAGCACACCCGGTCCCGCCCCGCATCCTTCTCTAACCCCACCCCTCTCTACCCCACCCCCTGGTGAAGCCTCGTCATCCAGTTCGTCCGTTTTCCTTATGTTTACCCTCCCCTCCCCTCCTCCCCCCTCTCACCAATGAACTCCACGCTGGGTCCCAGCCCCCTCCTCCCGCTCCACAGCGTCACCTCCTTCACCGGCTCCAGCCCGGGGGTGAGCGCGAAGGCAACAGCCTTGGCAGCGGTCACCAGCGCCAACCTGTGGAGGAGGGGGGGAGCGGGGGGATGGGCCGGCCATACCATGTTAGCACCCGCTGGTGAGGCGCCTCTACTTGTGATACAGCTCCCTCGTTTCCTCCTCCTCCCTCCCTCCCCTCCTCCTCTTCCTCCTCCTCCTTATCCCTCAGTCAGTTAGTTGTTTCCTCTTTACCCCCCCACCCCCACCCCCACCACCTGTCCTTGCGCCTTATCACACGGTCAGTTACAGTTGGTTGTTTCCTCACCCCACACATAGGATATTCTTCTTTTGCCCCCACCTGTCCTTTGCTTGCGAGTCGGGTATGCGCGGCGCCTTCTCGCCCCAGTTGAGTCCCTCCACCAGTTCCATCACCAGCGGCAGGCTGATGGCGGGCACGCTGCGGCGCACCGTCAGGATGGCGGCCTCGTTCATGAGGTTGGCCAGCGCGGCGGCGGACCAGCCCTGGGGGGAGAGGAGGGTGGGGGAGGAGGAGGGAAGGGGACGGGGGAGGAAGGAAACTTAACCAAGGGAGTGGAAGGAAAGGTGTTCGTAGAGAGTTGTAGGTACTTGCACTTGCAAGCTCGCTTCGAGTAACCGCAAACATAAAGACCGCCCCTCCCCTAACCCGCGGTTTGGTATGGTCTTTGACCCTCCCCTCCCTCCTCATCTCATCATCATATATATATTTTTTATCCCTCCTCCCCCTCCCCCCACCCCACCCCGGACACGGTATCGGTAGGGAACGCTAACCAACACTTGTTTTGTGGCACCCTACCGCTCCTATCCCCATTGTTTTGCCCCAACCTGTGGTTTCCTATGGTTTGGTCCTATGGTCTCTGACCCCACCTGCGTCGCCGCCGCCACCTTCATGAGCACCCGCTCGCCCCCCTCTCCGCCCCCCTCGAACGTCTTGTTGCGGCTGTGGTACTTGAGGATGGCCAGCCGCGCCACGGGCCCCGGCTGCGGCACCTCGTACACCACCTCGAAGCGCCCCGGCCGCATGAGGGCAGCGTCCAGCTCCTCAGCCAGGTTGGTGGCGCCGATGGTGAGGACCTGGGGGTGGGGGGGCGGAGCGGAGGGGGGAAGAATGTGGGGGAGGGAGGGGGGGAGGGATTAAACAGGAAGGAACTACCGGTAACTAACCGTATGCCAGGGCGCCACCATGGGGGAAAGGAGGACGCGGTAAGGAAAGGAACTAACAAGGTGTGGACGATGGCGGCATCCAGCACTCTAGTACGGCATACCGCACTCTAGTACGGCATCCCGCTTCGTTGCGCCTATACCGGTAACCTACTTTTCCTTCACAATAAACTACCCCTACCCCTACCCCCCCCGCCCCCCGCCCGCCGCCATCTCCGTCTTGCCCCCCGTCCCACTACTTCCTTGCTTCCACCCACCATCTCCGTCTTGTTGCTGATTCCGTCCATCTGCACCAGCATGGCCAGCAGCGCGCTCTCGCGCTCCATGCTGCCGGGGTCGCCGCCCAGGCTGGAGCGAGCGCGGCCGATGGCGTCGATCTCGTCGATGAAGATGATGGAGGGCGCCTTCTTGCGCGCGTTGTAGAACAGGTTGTTCACGCGGGCGGCGGCGATACCTGGGAGAGGAGAGGGGGGAGGGGAGGGGGAAGGGGAGGGGGCGGCTGGGTACATGAGGTCACGCACCTCCCTACTATCCCACCCCCCTCCTCGGCTGCCATGTTTACAACCCCCCTGGTGAAGCCTACATGTCATACAGCTCGTCAGTCTCCTCATTACCCACGTTCTCGCTACCCGCACCCGCTTCCCCCCACCCGCCCTCACCCACCTGCAAACATCTCCACAAACTCCGACCCCACGGACGAGAAGAAGGGCACCCCCGCCTCCCCCGCGATGGCTCGAGCCAGGTAGGTTTTGCCGGTGCCGGGGGGGCCCTGGAAGATGATACCCTGGGGGGGAGGGCGGAGGGGAGGGGGGGAGGGGGGGAGGGGATTACCGGTAATAGAGGTCGCCCCAACCAGTCGCCCCAAACATCCTAAACCTCCACCTCCTCCCCCTGCTCCTCCTCCTCCTCCTCCTCCGCAGCCAGCCAGTCAGCCAGCCAGCCAGCCGGCCAGATAACCCGCCACCCCACCCCACCCTCTTTTCCAACCCGGCTACCGCACCCTCCCTCCTCTCCCCTCCCCTCCCCCCTCCTCCCCTCCCACCTTGGGGCACCGCGCCCCCACTTTCTTGTACGCCTCGTCACCCTTGAGCAGCCGCACCACCTCCTTCATCTCCGTCACCAGGAAGTCCATGCCGGCGATGTCCTCGAAGCGCACACCCGTGTCGCGAAGCTGGGGGGGAGGGGGGCGGGTCAAAATAGACCAAACCATATGAAACCACAAAGGGCAAAATTGGGGAATGAGGCAGCAGGGATTGGGGGGGGAGTGCGGGAGGTGGCGGGTTATAAGAGGAGTGTAAGGAATGAGTGCGGGGGCGGGGGCGTGGGAGGGGTTGGGGAAGCCCCTCCTACCCCGCACCCCTCAACCCCACCGACCTTTCCCGTCTTGGCATCCTTAGTCATGAACTCCCGCGCCCTGCTGCTGGTAAGTCGCTCCCACTGGCTCTCCTTCTTCTCCTGCTTGCTCATCTTCTTGGGGTCGGGCGCCGCGGAGGCCCCCCCCTTGCCGCCCTTCTTCAGCCCCTTGCCGCGCAGCTTGCCCCATGATACGGACAGCAGCTTGAAGAAGGGGGAGCCTGGGGGTGCGTGGGGGGTAGGGGGAGGTGGGGGAGAATACCTAACGTGTTGAATGAGAAGGGAAAACACGGCGACAACCTCAGCTGGGGGTGTGCGGAGGAGAAGATGGTGGAGGAGGGAATAGAGGGGAGGAGGGGAGGGAGAGCAGAAGGCATCCCCCACCTCCCTCCCGCCCCCCTCTCCTCCTCCTCCCCCTGCTGCTAAGGTCACGGTCAGTGTTTCCTCGCGGCTCAGTACACCTAATCCGCCCCTCCTCCTCCTCCTCCTCCCCCCCATGCTGCCGCCCCCTGCCCCTCCCCACGCCTCACCGGTAGCCACCGCGATGCCAATGCCCAGCAGCCGCAGCGCCAGCGCCACACACGCCGCCTTCTCGTAGAACTCCAGCCGCCCCGGGTGCACCAGCCAGCCCAGGAAGTCCCAACTGGGGGGGAAGGGGGGGAAGGGGTGGGGGGTCAAAGACCATGGGGGGGAGGGGAGGCAAGTGAAGAGTGCAGCAACGGAGTTCCAAGTCCATATCCCGACTCATGCAGCGAGCGCATACGGAGACACAGGGGAACAGGCAAGTGAAGAGGAGGGGCAGGGTAAAGCTAGGTAAAGAGCAGCAGGGCGAGCGGGGCACTTGAACGAAGCCTAGCAGCCAGCGCGGTTTCCTCTGCTTTCCGGCTTCCCTCGCTTCCCACCTCATCCCCTTCATCCATCCTCTTCCTCCACCTCCTGGCCTAGCCCTAGCCCAGCACTTGGACTCCCCCTCACCGCCTCATCGCCCTCACTCCAGTGCCTCACTTCTCATTCCTTGTGTTCCCCCTCCCCTTCGGCCCCCGCCCCTCACCCTCACCCCATGATGACGCCTTCTCACCCGTCGTTTCCTCCCTCTCCCTCCCCCCTCCCGCGTCCCGCGTCCCGCCCCCCCCCCGCCCTCACCTCTCCTGCGGGTCCAGCAGCTGCACCTCCGTGGTCACCTGGAACACCTTCTTCTGGGCGGAGTACGGCAGGATGTACTGCCGCGACACGGGGTCCCACACGGGGCCCGCCGACCCGCGGGTCGCTGCCATGTGCTGCTGCAGCACGCCGCTCTCCCAGAAGTCACCCGGCAGGTCCACGTAGAAGCGGTACTTCTCCATGTCCCACTCCGGCATCTCGGCGCAGAACCACTGACTGCGGTTGGGGGTGGGGAGGGGGGTGATTGGGTTGGGAGGTTTGGAGGTGATTGGTTGGGGGGTTGGGAGGTGGTTGGTTGGTGCACATGCGGGTGCATGTGGCTTATCAGGAGGTCATCCTAGCGGGCGCCTCCTCTCCACCCCACCCCCCTTCGTTGACCTGACGTCATTCAACAGCTGCTGCTTCTGACGCCCCATTCGGTTGGTTGCTGGTCTGCCAATTGCCTGCTTGGACACATCTGGTAACGCAGTCACAACCCTACAAACGTTACCCCCCTCCCTCGCCCCCGTCCAACCCCCCCCCCCCACTCACGTCACGTCCTCGGGTGCCGCTGGGTTGGGGGTGAGCAGGCTGACCCGCATGTGGTTGTTGTCCTCGTAGAAGGGGTGGGTGGCGGGGTGCCCGGTCACGGAGGCGCTCCAGGGGTGCGGCACCTCCGCCACCGCGGTGCGCTGGTCGCCGTAGATGACAAGACGCTTGATGCGCTGGTCCTGAGGGGGGGGCGGGGGGGGCGGGGGGGGAGGGGAGGGGGTTAACGTGGGGAGGAGGGGTGAGCGGAGGGTGCGGGCTGCAGGGAGAGAGGGAGGAGGGGCGTTGCGGAGGAGGAGTGCTGTATGAGCTCCGCGGCGCATTCCCGCAGGGCCAACCTAGCTGCCACAGCCCTCCTCCCTTTCCCCCCCGCCTTCCCCAGCACATCCTCCGTTAGCTAGTAGCGCCTTGTGCCCACCGCCCACCCCACCCGCTCCCTCCCTCCCTTCCTCTCCCCCCGCCCCTCCGCTCATCCTCCGTCCCCGCCCCCCCGCCCCGCTCCCACCCTCAGCAGCTGCAGGAACTTGGCGTAGCTGATGCGCATGTCTCCCACCAGACCCGCCTGCGGCAGCGCCTCCTCTGGGGAGCGAGGGGAGGGCAGGGCGGGAGGGAGGGGGGGAGGGAGGCATGGTTGAAGGGAGTAAGAGGAGGTTGGCTGTGAGGTGGTGGGTGTGCGGTAGGTGTGCATATAGGGGGGCCGTGCACGGAGGGGCTGCGAGGTCGCTGTACCGGCCCCGCACTGGTTGGCGAGAGCAGCAGCAGCAGCAGTGGCTGTTGCTACTGCCGCTGTGGAGGCGGAGGCGAGGGGACTAGCCCCTTCCCCTAACCCAGGTGACATGCGGGAACCAGGAACCGCTCGGCTGGGCTGCTGGGCTGGTTGGCTGACAGCTGGGCTGGTTTTGCTGGATGGTCTCATGTCCCAAGTCCCAAACGTGCACGCAGCAGAGGGCCGCTGAGGACTGCACGGGTGTGCAGAGGACAGCACACCCGCCCCCGCCAGCAGGGAGCCCAGGGGCTGCCCGGACGGAGCAGCACTGCTTGCAGCCGCGCCCGCAGTGCGAGCAGTGCGCCCCCCGCTTGAGCGCTACCATCCGCCAGGCAGGCAGCCGCAGCCGCAGCCCACAGCAGCAACGGCAGGGGGTGGGGTGCGGGAGGCGTGCGCAGGAGGGGGCTCCCACAGGGGCTCCCGGGGCCGCGGGGGATGCACCCCGGGGGCACTCACACCCGGCACCCCTTGCGTGGCCCCACATAGTCGGCGACAGCACCGGCAGCGCCTACCCTCCCCCCCGTACGCCCCCCCGCCTGCTGCATGCTGCTGCTCACACGGGCCCGCACCAGCAGCAGCAGCAGCAGCCGTGTGGCGGCCACCAGGCCCTGCACGACCGCATGCCGCGCCCGCATGTGTGCCCCGCTTCACTCCCACTCTCGCTACCACCCACTGCGGCAGCTAGCTCCCGGCTCCAGGCTGCTTTCTCCCCCCCTCTGCCCTCAGCTCGGAAAGCCGCTGCCGCGACTCCTGAACGCTGGGACAGCAGTGCTGCTCCAGTCGTTGTACGCCGGCACGTCTGGATACCACCGGTATCACCGTATTATACAACGGGGCGTGCTGCCGCTGCTGCTGCTGCACCGCACCGCCGCCGCTGCTGACACGTCAGGGTACGGCAGCTCTCCGGACCGCTGCTGCTGCTGCTACTGCCCACTCTGCTGCTGTTGTTGTTGTTGCTGCACGTATGCCGCTGAGAGGAGCACAACCTTCCTGATGTCGTCGCTGCCCCTGTTCCCCGCACGCCTCCGTTGCCGCTGGTGGGATTGAAGCCCCCGGGGACTAGGGGAGGGCGTCATCAGGCCTTCCCTGTAGATATGCCCTTGCCGCTCTCCAGCGTCCAAGCACAACCCCGACCCTAGCATTCACCAGCTCCAAACATCGCCCCCTCCCTGCCTCCCACACCCGCCCGTGCGCCCGTGGAATGTAAAACCAGTGTTTGGTAACTATTGCGTGCGCCACCCTAGCTAGCCGTACGAACTTACTGTACTGCACTCGATCCAGGAGCTTGTTCAGGAAGATGGCCGGCTCGTTCTGCGCCACCGCCTCCTTAAAGCGAACCCACAGCTCTGGATCCCAAACCGCTGACAGGTCAATGCCGGTCACACCGTACGTCCAATCCATGTACGTGATCTGCTCGTCCAACTGCCGTACAAGATTCGCCGCCTGATCCTCATACTGCGCCAACGAACCGCGCAGCTTTTCGCTGAAAGCAGCTAGGGATTGCTGCCATGTGGGGTCGTTGACCAACGGTAGGGAAAGGGCCGCTAGCGGCGACAGGGCCATGGCAGCAAGCTGGGAGGCAGGGTTGGGAAATGGGTTTGAAGGGTTGTTGGCAAGTTGGGCAAAAGGAGCGTGGGCTGTATTAGATCGAATATGGGCTAAGCAACGCAGCTTGGCCCTTTCATGCTTTGCCCAGAGCATTCCTACCTGTCGCTTAGGCAACCCGGCAATGGACGGGTCAAGGTCGCCAGAGGGCCCTTGCGCCTCGGGAGCTGCTTGGAGTGCGACCTGTTAAAGGTGCAAGTTTAAGGGTTTGGTGCAAGTGGGGGTCCAGACTCCAGACACTTCGCCAGGTGGTGGCCGAGGGGTTTCAGCCAATTCAATTATGATTTATTAAATGGTTTAGGGCTAAGCATCCACCTGTCGGTCGCCCAAATCGCAGCTCCTCCGGCACCACAATGTCTTGACCCCTTGCCCGGGCAAGGCGCCGACAAGCCGACGCCCATGCAGGCCCCTATGCCTAATCCCCACATAGCTAATAGAGCTTGGACGGGATGTCGACGCTGCGCCAGCCGTGCAGCACGGCGGCCGGAGAATGCCGGCCGCCTGCATTGCAGCTGGACTATTCGCTGATCACAGTCCAGCAGCACGTCCAATTATTTATGACAAAGTTAATTGCAGCATCTAACTGTCGTTTGGTCTATGGCCTGTGCCAAAAGCTTGATTACTCCGGCAAACGCATCTGCTTAATGCACAATTGTCGAACGCATAATCCTACGCGTCCATGGCCGCGTGAAGCAGCATCCATGTGATCGCACACTTGCGGCCATGGCATAGTTACGACCGTACGAGCAGGTAACTCCTCTGGAAATGCAGCCGATGCTGTGTATGCCTTTAGCATTTTCTTGTAAGTAGTCGTATCGCATGCTGCGAGGAATGCTCTTGCTACCCCTGTGACGCCCAGATAGAACCATGTTGGAAATGGAGTAGAACGCCTACAGGATGCATCCCCCTGATTAGATGCATTGTTTTGTAATGGATATCCTGTCTTGCTTCTAAGAGGAATTTCCAGGAATGGAGGGACTCTCTGGCCCCCTGGCGTTAGAGAGGGTTGCAGAGGAGCTAATGTGCCCAATTTGCTTGGAGCCGGCGCAACTACCAGTCAACTTTGTATGCTTTAGAGGGTGCGGTGGCCGCTTTTCGGCAGGTAGGGTCCCTGGCTGCACCTGTTATTGAACACAAGCTAGGCATGCAATCGCCGGCTTCACGGCCTTCTTCGAGCCTCAAGGACTCCGACCGTTATTGTCAATGAAATAATTTGCTTAACCCCAATCAAAAAAGCGTTATAATTGCATTCCACTGAGTTCTGCTGGTCGGGCTGGCTGGAGTCAGCTATGACGCCCTTTACGCAGTCTACCGTAGTCTTTCTCCTATCTCACACTGTTAACTTCCACTGCTTCATATCTTCTCCTAAGTCTACCTGCTCCTCTATCCTGCTCCCTGGCCGCCCGCAGGCTCTACCTGCCTCCGCGCCGTGCTTTGCACCCATTGCGCAAACGAAGCCCTGCAGCTGCACCGCCCTCCTGGCGAGCGCTTCCAGTCCACTAATGGACTTGCGTCCTGCCTTATATGCCGTTCCACCCGCGTTGACGCCCGGCTGCTCAGCCCTGACAGCGCCTACCTGAGCAACCATAATGTCATGGCGGTCATGGATGCGCTGGGTATGGGGGGTACCTGCAGGTACGGAAGAGGCCGTGTGCTGCTTGGAAATATGGTGGACATTGACGGGGCATCCAGTGGGGCTACCAAGGCCTACATGACCCGATATCACCAACTTCTCGCCATTTGTTACTGTGCTATGCTTGTCACCGTCGCAACTCAACAAGCTTAGGCAGTTGCAGCGTGCAGTTGCAGCTACGCGCTCACCTCACCACTTCATGCTTACCTCCCCGCGTCCCACCTCGCGACCTCGCAGGCACTGCCCCGGCCTCTCCTTCCCCTCCCAGACCGCCCTCCTCCACCACTACCTCCGCTCCTGCCCCGCCGCGCTGGTGCCCTGCCGCTTCCGTGGCTGCGCCGCCTGGCACCCGCGCGCCACCGCAGCCGCCCACGAGGCCACATGTCCCGTGGGTCGGTGCCCCTGCAGCCAATGTGGCTGCTGGGTGGACCGCAGTGAGCTGCTGCGGCACCTGGTGTCCGCATGCAGGCAGCGGGTGGTGCGGTGCGTGCTGTGCTCGCATGCTGCGCCGCTGCCCGACATGCTGCAACACCTGCGGCAGCACCAGCGGCAGCTGCTGCTGTCGTCGTCGCAGGGGCAGGCGGAGGCGAGGCAGGGCGAGGAGGCGGTGGCGGCTGCTGCCAGGGAGGACGGAGCAGGAGGAGGAAGAGGAGGGAGGAGGCAGGAGACCGTGGGGCCGAAGCCTCCTGAGGTCCCGGGTATGAGCATGGCAGCGGTGACTATCACGTTGTCCGGACCAGCCGTGTTAGAGCAGCTTCAAGCCTCACAGCAGCAGCAGCATCACCAAGAAGGAGCAGCGCCCCAACGGGAACTGCAGCGCCGTGCTGGGACAGCGTCACAGCAGCAGCAGCTAGCAGTGGCACCCGGACAACAGCTTTCCATGGATGCCCCAGAGGAGGCACAGCAGGAGCACGGCCCAATGCGGGCCGGACAAGCACCGCAGGAGCGGCAGCAGCTACGGCAGCAGCAGCAGCAGCATAGAGGGCAAGGTGAGGGACAGCATCAGCATCAACACGGAGAAGAACAAGAGCAGCAGCTGCAACTGCCGTCACAACCACAGCGGCAGCGGCAGCATCAATCGCAGGATGTGCCCCTACGAGAGGCCCTACAGCATCCTTGGCAGCTTGGGCTGCAGGCACAGCAGCCGCCCTCGCAACCACATCAAACACAACCACCGCATGCGCAACCAACGCTACCAACGGAGCAGCCAGGAGCTGCTGCGGTGCAGCTGCCCAGCAGGCAGCAGCAACAGCTACCTCACGAACAACGGCATGGTGCGACGCAGCAGCAGCAGCAGTTACAACAACAGCAGCAGCCACAGCGGCAGCAGCCAGTAGAGTACGACTCCGAGCAGCTCCGGCAGGTGCGGCTGCTGTTGGAGGGGCTGCTGCGTCGAGGGCAGCAGCAGCTGCTGAGGGCTCAGGAGAGCGGGGGGAGAGCCCAGGTGCTGGGACAGGATGCAATCCAGCAGCCGCAGCAGCTGCCACCCCACCCCGGCGGCGGTCGAGAGGCGTTACAGGTGGTACAGCGCCAGCAGCACGACACGGCGGTAGCGTCCCCGCACCAGCAGCCTAGTCTTCAAACACGCAGCCCACAGCAGCAGCAGCAACAACAGCAAAGACCGCAGGCAGTGCAGGACCAAGTGCAAAGCCAACCTGAACCCCAACCGCACACCCAACGGCCGCCGCAGCAGCCTCAGCAGAGGCCACGCGGCGACATCTGGAGCCTGCTGGCTGCTGCTGCAGCCGTACACCCGCGCTCCCATGCGCTGCAGCCGCCCCTGCGCTGCTCCCCCCGCACCTCCTCCGGCAGCCTCTGCCGGGCAACATCCGGCAGCGGCCGCCAGCAGCAGCAGCAGCAGCCCGCCGCCGCTTCCACCTCTACAGCAGGCCCCGCCGACGCCGCTGTCGGCTTGTCTGTCCCAGCCAGTACCTCCGCTTCTGGCCCTGTTACCGCCCCCGCTTCCCGCCTCGCCGCCGGCGCCACAGCAAGCAGAGCCGCCGTGGGTGAAGGAGGCGAGGTAGTAGTATTAGGAGGAGGAGGAGGACGGCAGGGCGGAAGCGTGGTGGCGAGTTCGGGCACGGAAGCGGCTGCTGCAGGTGCCGCGGCTGCCGTGCATGAGGGCGACAACGACTCGACGGGGACGAGCATCAGCAGCAGCAACAACAGTCGCAGCCTCGGCGGAGAGGGAAGAAGAGGAGGGGTAAGCTCCGTTGCGGCTGCTGCTAGCAGTTCGGCTCCGCTGCCAGTTTCCGTGGCGACGGCTCCAGCATCTGTATTGCCGCTTGGCAGCACCAACCCGAGGGCTCCGGCGGGCTCTGTCAGCGCCGGAATCACCGCCGCCGGCAGCGGTGGTGTCGGCAGCAGTGGCAGCGGCGGCCTCACCGGGCGCCTGTCAGCTGACGTCCCGCATGTCGTACTGCCTCCGGAGCTGCAGTGTGCAGCTGCGTCGGCGCCGGGAGGACTGCATGCTAGCGCCGGCGTCAGCGGAGGTGCCGGCAGCGGTGGTGTGGACGTCTTGTTGCAGCTGGCGCGCCGTCGCGGTGTGGTCTGGCCGCCAGACCTGGACGGCTCGGCGGCGGCAGCCATTGCGGCGGCCGCCGTCCTGACTGCTAGGGATCCGCCACTGGCGGCGGCGGCGGCGGTGTCGACAGCTGCAGCGGTTGCTACGGGGCCGGAGGCGGAGGCGGGCTCCTCTGATGCCGGGCTGGTGCGTGCGGCCGCTGCCATCCTGCGGGCGAGTGCGGAAGCTGCGGAGCGGCGCTGGCAGCGGCGGGTGAGGGTGTGTTGGGGCTGCTGGGAGGGGGCCGGGATGGGACAGGATGGGTTGCGGGCGCGATGTGGGTCCGACAAGCTGCTGTGTGGGTCGCGGGGATGCCATGTGGGGTGACGAAGCCGTTTAACCGGTAGATGCCTTCAGGTGTTTCTGGTTTAATACTGAACTGACGAAACCGCGTTACTCCGCCATGCGCTGTGCAGTTGATGGCAACGGCAGGGACGGTAGCTTTGGGAGGACGACAAGGAGCCGCATGTCTGCGGCATTCACAAGACCGACCCCTGGGTCGTCCTGAACGCTCCAACAGTGCGGGCAGTGCGCTAGGCGCTGCAGCTGGCTCCGCCACATCTGCAGCAGCCATCACCTCAGGAACGGTGATAAGGGCTGCTGCCCCTAGCATGGAGGCGCCAGCAGCGACCCATGGGTCAGGAGCGACAGCCCACAACCTCCCTTCGGAGGTACTGCCGCTGACGGCGGCTATGGCAGCGGCAGGTAATGCTGTGGGGGCGCCTCTCCCTCCCCCGGCGGTATCCGCAGCCTTCTATCGTCGGAGCTTCAGTGATACAGGTGAGGCAAGGCACAGCATGTCGTGATGGTTTGACGGGTTGCAATGTAATTGATTCCCTTTGCCGTCCACCCTCCCTCCCTTGTTCCCCTACCACAATCCGGACCTCCTCTTTCCCCCTCACCCTGCTGCCCTTGCCCCTCCTCCCCTCCCTCTCTCCAGAGCTGGTGTTCGACGTGGTGGAGCAGCTGATGAGGGCCTCCGCGGCAGCCGTGGAGAGGGCGTCGGCGTCGGGGTGAGCAGCGTCACGGCACCCAGTGCATGGTAGCGTTAACGTGGTTAATCGGGGGCAGTGATGGCGACTGGTGCCAGCATTGGATGTCCTGATGCTTGCCGAATTGCCGATGCTGTGATAATGGATGACATGTATGGGTATTGTTGATGTACGGGTATGGATGGACTGTGGTCCTGCAAGTGAACTAGGAGATAGGAAGATGGGGCAGTGAACGAGAGAGAGACCATCCCGTGTGCGGTGCGCCTTATCCGTTGCGACGCGGTACTTTGTGTGACCCGGTGCGACTGCAAATGGGGCTGCTGTAATGCCAGATTGGAGAATGGATGAAGGGCGCCGCATAGGGCCCTGTGCTCGCAATTGAGGTTGTTTGCGATACCGTTGATTGATGATCCCGATATGTTGATGGCAGAGTTGTACGATATTGACTGCAGTGCTGGACAACGGAGGACGCAGGATGTGCACGGCGTATGTCTCCGCATTTGAGGAATGGAATGTAGTACATACTGTATGCGAATTTGTTGACGGCTTTCTTGTTGACAGTCTTCCGGAGACTTCACGTGTGGTTACTGCCGCTAGTGGATGTGCGGTTGCGGCTGGTGGTAGTGTGATCATGATGCTGACTGTATGTGGGCGGACCCAGCTGGTTGCATTGCACGACAGTTGGTGTACGACAGCGACTTGAGGTTGGGCTACGTTGGAGGGTTGGGTGGGTGGTTGGATGCGGCTGCTTAATGGCCTTGTATGTTAACTTCATTCCCGTTCTCTTACATGCGATAGCCGCGTTTATGCCTTTTGATGGAAGCGCGTATGCTTGTGAACATGAGCTTTGCCAAGTACCAGGCATGCGGGCAATGTACATTCCATAATGGCGTGCAAAGTAGCGTGCGAAGTGGCGTTCGAGGGTGGATTTCGGTAGTGGGGCCTGTACTGCTCGATTCATTGATTGCATACACCCGAAGACCCAACGCGGTGTGCTAAGAAAACTGGCCGCAACTTGGAATGTACTGGTGATAACCGGAGGGTGGCGGTGTGCGTGTTAAGAACACTGGTCGCGATGTCCAGAACCTTGGGTGCAGGATTGGTGGTAAGGTGGGCACGCATGATCTCACGCTGGTGTTGTGTTACTGGGTAACTGGGTTCCGTTGAGGGTGGCATAGGCCGATGCAGGCGCGATGTTGGACGGTGTTTGCCATTCGAGACGAGGCGCACTGAACGTCATCACCAAACACTCTCAAGCAACAAATTCGTGTGAAGGTCTGTGTGTTCAGTAGTGTGCTGGGCACACAGTAGCTCGCGCCAAGCTTGTCGTACATTGCAGCGCGGCAGTCTGGGCTAAGTTGCGAAACCCCACTAAAGGTTGCTCCAAACGCACGACAGTACGGCGGAACAGAGGCCACTTGTGTATCCGACCTCAAAGAACCTGCACAGCAAGGCAAGCCATCTGCTGTAAACTGGCCCGCCCAGGCCTGAGAAAGGCTTTGTCGTGCAACACATGCTCAGGGCTGCGCCACAGGGCTGTGTGTCTACTGCATGAGGTAATAGCGTGTAAGATGCAGTGCCAAACACTTTCAATGTCCGTTGCAACACAGCTTAGCGAGGTAAAAGCGTACTGTGTAGCCCACTGCAGCTATACGGTTTTGGCATGACAAGCAACGCATGGCCTGCACCAGCCTACAACTATTCATACCGGTATCCCGAGACGAAACGAAATGCGCCGTCCCACTGCTGCTTTACACATTCTTAGCTAGGCAAATACGGCAGTACGTAGTAAGACGGTAGGCGAAGGGCCTACAGGCAAATAGTCCCCTAGTTTCTTGATGCTGTTTTGTTTCCCGTTAGGATTCCTTTACAAGGAGCTTAAAAACTGGCCACAGGGCTCAGGCGTCAGTGGCAAAGCCGCTACAATCGAAATGGGCTTAAAGCATACGCCTATGTTATGTACGTCAACAAGATATGCAAGTCCAAGCAGTAAGAAGCCTTGGATATTTGGTCTTAGCCCTAGCTGACATAATAACGGTACGATATGCGCTGATGCCGTAACAGTATTGCTCCCTTGGAAGCGACGCGGTGTATGGAACAATAATTATTATTGACAAGTTTTGCTCGCGCTGCTGCGCCGTCTGCGGAATGAAGCTTGCGTAGGGCGCTAACCACGTTTAGTGGAGAACCTCGTGAAACATGCCGGCGCTCGATACATTCGACTGGTTGGAGGGATGGTGGATTGGCCTCAATGCCTTTCTGTTTGGTCTGACCGCCGGCTGGGCGTTCTTCCACAATGGCCTGGCACGGTGAGGCACCTTATGGGACATTCATGCCAGTATGCATGTTCATAATCGTTCGACGGCTACCTGTTGTAATTCGCAAGTTACATACTTGCCCGCAGAGAGCCGGCTGCTGCTACCGGTAACACATCGCGCGCGGCTGGAGGCTCCACGTGCTCCAAGGTGGATTCTGCTGCAAAGTTTTCCTAAAGATTAATGAAACAGACGTTTCCTCGTCCTAACTGCCGTTTGCTCTTGCGATTGTCTTCCAGTCTTTACAGCACTCTGCGGATGGACAGCTGCGTGAACAACAGCAGCTGCTGAAGCGCCTTGTCTGCATTCGGTGAGCAGGAAGGCGCATACAGCGTAGTAGTTCCCAGGGCTTCACCCTAGGCTATTTCCTTACAGTGCAGCGTTCGGTGCAACCTCTAGAAGCGACGGAAACCAGCGCTAATTGCTCTACGAGTACCACAGCTGGTATCTGACTCAGCAACGAACCCTCCACCGTCCCTCCCTTACACAGGACTCTGGGGTTTGCCATCCAGTCCTTCCACCTGATAGCAGTGTACCGCCTATGGGAGACCTCACGTAAGTAAACACACCGTACACCCGCACACCGATACCGCTGCACAGCTCCCAAGCCCCTTGCCCGTTGTCCTAACCCGCTTTCATCTCCTTGCATGACCACCCCCTCCACCGCCGCACCACCACGACTCGCTCCTCCAGCAACACTGTACGACCAACTTGCTCCTTTTCCCCAAATACGTCGCTCACTCCTCCCCTCACCCATGCCTTCCTTCTTACACTTCGCTCACTCCTCGGCCTTCCCGGTCCCTTCTCCCCTTCCTCCCCCTTGCTCCCAGGCGCCGGCAGCGGGCGCCACCCCCTGTCCGGCCACTGGCTGGCCCTGGCGGGTCTGCTGGTGCCGCTGCTGAAGCACTGCGCCATGCAGGTGGTGGCCATGGGTGCGCCGCGGGTGTACCTGCAGCACCGGCGGGCGCTGCATGTGGGCGGGCTGGCGGCGAGGCTGCTGGGGCTGCTCATGCAGGTGTGTGGGGCGAGCGGGTGTGGGGGGCGGAGTGGCAGGGAGTGGGTTGTTGGAAGAGGGAAAGGGGGAGGGTTGTGGAATGGGTTTCAGCTCTTAAGGCTTGTCGCGCAGGGAAGGGGCCAAACTGTAACCTACAGGGGGTGAAGAATTGTGTCGGTTTGGTGCGGCCTTGGCGCCAGGCCTTTGGCCTGCGTTGTACCTGATCTGGTTTCGTGGTTGCTCTCCCAGTCATCACCCTTTCCCCTCCCCGGTCGCCCTCTCCTCCTCTCCTCCTCTCCTACCCCCTGCAGGCCACAAGCGAGTGTGCTACGGTTCGTGCCAAGGCGTACAAGCAGGAGCTGGTGATCGCGGGAGTGAGCATGATGGTGCAGCAGGTGCGGGGGGGGGGGGCTGGGCGAGGAAAAACACACACACGCATGTAGGGAAGCTGTCCTGGAAAGCCAGAAGTGCATGGAAGTCAGCACCCTCGGTCCGGTGGCGAGGCATGTCACTTCTGCATGCTGAGCCCTCGTTCCTCTCCCGTTCCTCCGCCTCCGCCTCCAACACTCCTCACAGCTCCCCTCATCCCTCTCTTTATCCCCCTCTATCCCCTATGCCCCGCCCCCGCCCCCGCCCCCCGCCCCCTGCTGCCCCCAGGACGACCCCAAGTCCTTCCTAGCGCAGCTGGGAGTGGCCGCCCTGGCCTGCCTGTGCGGCCACCTAGCTGGGCTGGGACCCGAGGACGACATGCCCACCGAGGCGCTCAAGTTCATGGCAACATACTGCGCCATGCTGGGACTCAATACGCTGTGAGGGAGGGAGGGAGGGAAGGAGGAGGGAAGTGTGCTGGTAGTGGAAAGGAGCAAGGAAGGGGAGGAAAGAATGGTGCGGGCATGTAAGGTCGGCTTTATGATACAGGCATACAGCTGTTTCTTGGTTATACCTCGGTTATACCCATACTCGTACGCGAGACGACCCTAATGCCATACTCGCCGGAACCCTCTGCGGCCGCCGCAGGTACAACACGTTGATGGGCGCTCCGCCCCCCTGGGCCGGCTCCCGACCCAGGGGTCGCACCGCCGACTCGTACTACGACCCACCAGATGACGTCACTCACAACACCCAGACGCCCGATGGCAGCAGCAGCCGAGCCGGCGGGGGCAGTAACGCGGGGTCCCGCGGCGCCACTCCGCGGCTTTCCTTTGATGGCTCCGTTGGAGGCGGCGGCGGAGGTGGGGGTGCTGGCGGCGGTGGTGGCGGCGGCGGCGGTGGCGGAGGCGGAGGCAGTGGTACGACACAGTGGTACTATCCGACGTCTACTGTCGGCGGTGGCGGTGGCGGTGGCACCGCAGCCTTCCCTGCAGTCGGCAGTTTGAAATCCGTGCGCTCCTCAATCGACCTGGGCGCCTACTCGTTGTTACCTTGCATGGGATCGGAGCCGGGTCCTACCACCGCCGCGAGGGCGGCCAACAGGGCGGCTGCTGCGGCCGCCGCCGCCGCTGCTGCCGCCGCCGCGGCAGCAGTAGATGGCGGAGGTGCCGCCGCCCCAGCAGCAGCTGCCGTACATGCACCTCCGCCGCTGTCGGTGCGTGTGCACCCGGTGCACTTGGTGAAGCTCTGCGTCATTCGGGCCTTTGCGCTGGCCTACCTGGCCGCGCACATCCTGCAGGTGGTCCGCGACAGCCGCAGGCGCGGCGAGCCGCTCACGCGCTACGTCGTGTCCGTACACCTGACGACGATGATTTCCGTACTTTACGGCATTCCGCCGCTACTGGCCCTGGTTTTCCCTTTGGTTTATGCGCGGTACGGCAGCACTCTAAACGTGGCTACATGGACCGTACAGCTTGTCATCCGGGCCATAGCTCTTATTGCTGAGCCCTCGGGAGTGCATGACATGCACGCCACCCGGTCTTTGTTCTTCAACCTTATCACAGCATTGGCCCTAGATTGCGAACCCGGCGTGTATGTACGGCTAACGGGTACGATGGCCGTTGGCTGGGTTGCCGTACATGTATACCTGCTTGCCAGCCGCCCCAGCATCCTAGCGTCGTCATCAGGTGTCGACCTTGCAAAGCTTCTAGCCCTGTACCCAGTAGCTTGGGCCGTGGCTGTGGCGTTGAACGTCGGCACACGCGTACCGACCGTGCATTTGGTCGCGACGCTGGGAACCGAGGGCGACGGCGCTGCCGCCGCCGCCGCCGGTCTCGTAGGCGGCGGCGGCAATGGCACCATGTCGTACAGCGAGCGACGTTGGCGGCGACGGCGACTGAGTCACGGCCCCGCGGCGCGCTTGGTCGGCAGCAATGTCGCGACCGGCGAGGACCTGCTGTCCTTTCCACACCATACTCCACATCACCACCCGCACACCCTCCACCACGGTCACCACGGCCATCATCACCACCACAGCCACCACTCCCAGGGGCCACAGCTGCACCACACCCACCACGGGGGGTACGGCTACACGCAGCACATGGGGGCCAGCCACCTGGGGCCGCATGGAGCCGGCGGCGGAGGCGGAGGCCGGTTGTTAAGCCGGGTACGGAGCCATAACCACCTGTCCATCATGGGAGGCGCCAGCATGGGGCCCACTGCGCTAGCGGCGGCGGCAGGGGGGATTGAAGGTGGTAGTGCAGGCGGGGTGAAGAGCCCGCGAGGGGACGGTCGCGGCGGTGGCGGCGGCGGCGGTGGTGTTGTTGGCAGCAGCTCGACGTCGATACGCAAGTTGAACACGAGCGCTAGCTTCGGTTCCGCCGCTGGGTTCAGTCGTCTGTCAACCATCAGCGACTCGCCGCCGACATCGCCGTCACCGCCGCCTACGTTGCCGACGCCGCCATGCAAACCGACGCCGGTGGCTCGGAGCCCTTTCTCGCGGGTTTCATCCATGGCGGAGGCTGAGATGAAGGCGGCTGCGGCAGCGGCAGGTACGGATGACGAGTCCTCGACAGCTGCCGGCAGTGAGCCGGCAGCTGGCAGCAGTTCACCAGTGGAGCCTGTGAGCCAGCAGACGCAAGGGCTGGCGGGGGCTGCAGCAGCTCCGGAGGCAGACGCGGAGGCGGTGTTAAAGCCTGTAGCCGACGTGCTAACCCGGGGTGGACTAGCCGACGTCATGGTGAAAGCCGGCCAAGGAAAAAGAGCGCCCGCCAACGCTGTGGTTGCTTCTCCCCATGCGGAAGTCGTAACTTTGGCAGCGGCGGCCGCTGAGGGAGCAGCAGCAGCAGCAACGGCGGCGGTGGCGGCCAGCTCGCCCGTCGCCAGTCTCGTACAGCAATCTGATGACGTGTACGACAGCACAGAGGTAGTCAACGCCCTACTAGAATCAATGACGGCGGAGGCGACGGCGACGGCGGTGGGTCCCACATGGACTGGATTCGGAAAAGCGGCGACGTCGACGGAGGTGATGGGGGTGATGAAGGCGGAGGCTTCCCCGCAGCTGTTGCCTCCCCCTGGAGAGGTGCTGCCTCCACTGCCGGAGGGCTCTTCAGCGGCGGAGCTGAGTGCGGCGTTGGGGTCGGAGGTGGCGGCGGCGGCGGCAGCGGCGACAACAGCGGCAGCGGTAGCGGCGGCGCGGGCTGAGCCTGTGCCGCCTCCGCTGCCGCCGGCCCCGCCACCGCTGCCCCCGCCGCCCGCACCCGCCTGCGACCCATTGCAGGAGTATGCCGCCCTGAGCTACTTTATTCGGGTAGGACACGCTCGGTGCTGGGGGCCCTTGCTTGCTTGCTTGGCTGCCTGCTGCATGCGTTAGGAACCCCGGATATGAGTCGCCTAACCTGTTAACGACGGGCGTGTAATCTTTCTGTGACTTCCCTCTTCGCGTATTCACGTTTACTTCCCTCCGCCCCCATCGTCCCTTCCGTGACCTCCCTCCCATCAACAGCGCCCGGCCGCATGCAAGGGAGTGGACATCCGCCGCCGTCTGGAAGCAGCCCTACGCGACCCGCCCGTCCCCTTCTGTCCACCTACCTCCTCTTCCTCTTTCTCCTCCCCTTCCTCCCCTTTCACCGCAGCCTCAACCACCACCACCGCCTCCCCACCATCACCCTCAATCCTATCCTCCTCTATCTCCCGTTGTTTCAACGGCCTCCGTCTCCTCACCCGCCTCCGCCCCTGCTCGTCCGCACCAAACACCAGCGACGCATGTTGCAGCAGCACCAGCGATAACAGCAGCAAGACACCCGAGCAACCGCCCCAGAAGCCACCTCACAAGCCCTCCCCCCGACTGCACCGCCACCGCTACTCCCTACGCGATCGAGCCGCTGCAGCGCTGCGGCTGCTTGTGATGCTGCACTCGGCGCTTCCCGTGCTGCGGCTGGGACTCGACCTGCTGACACCTCGATGCAGGTACGCGTCCAAGCGGGGCTGGGAATACATAAAAGGATACCTACCCATAGTGCCCAATGGCCGAAACCCGCCCCAGACACCCTGAGGGGGGGGGTGTTCCATGCGGGTGCATGCGGGTGCTGTACAGGACGTGTGGGGCAACTCGGCCTGTACTCCCAATTGCTTGCTGTTGTCCTACTCAATTACACATTGCACGGCCAGTTATTTTAACACACATTGCACGTCGCTGCTGCTGGCGCCCACCATGCACTCACGCGTTGTTGACTGGTGCTGCTTTTGCTACTGCTCCCCCACCCCCGCAGAACCCCGATGGACGCCGCTTCGGCCGCCTGCCTCGACGTCTTCTCCTTCTCCTTCCCTGCCGCCTCCTCCTCCTCCCTCCTGGGACTGGGCTCGCTGGCATCTCTCCTCACATC